CAATAAAACTATATCAAGCAAATATTTCTAAAATATTTACTATTCAACGGTATAAACCTGAAGTGGCCTCTATCAAATAATTAAGAATCTACAAATTAATGGTTGTCTTAGTTCCAAAGTCCTAAGCTCAATTACATTAAGGTATAACTAATAATAAGTGGCAGGTTCTAATAGTTAAACACTAATAATACTCTCAATAAGTTCGCAAAATCATCATACAATAGTCATTCGTTGCTTAGATTATGTAATAAAAAATCAACCCAAGCACAAGTTCAAGTATAATAAAGGTGAGTTTCTTATAGAATTTCATAAGTTGAAAAATGAATTTGGTCTTTAAGACCATTGGTTGTATTTAGGAACCAGTTTTTGACTGATTACGCTTAACAATATTAACTGATAATTTTAATAATATAATATCGTTTGTTAATTTAAGATAAATCGCAAAGAAATAAAACTATGAAATTTGTTAATAGGTGTTCTTTCAACTAAATGAAAAATAACAGTTTTAAGATCCTATTTGTTATTTCCAATAAAAGGGTTATTGTAATAAACCAATGATTATTAATTAAAATTTAAAAAATCTGTGTTTGCTTTTAGATTAAAATGCATTTTTTTATACTAAAAATAACTAGCAAAAATATATTTTGATTATGTTTGATAAAATTTCTTCAGGTGAAACTCTTGATAAGTTCGATTTGATCAGAGTTATCTTATTGTTTCCTCTACCAAAATATCTTTATTCCTTTAAAAGTGTGGTAGTTTTCTAATTTTTAATTTATTAGCTTTTTTTTTGAGATATCTTTCACTTTCACACAGTATTTTCATCTATCGCGCAACTGTCTTCTTAATGTTAAAATATATGACGACATATAATAATAAGTGCTATATATATATTTTATATGGAATAAATTCAACATTCAAATTAAGCAAGAATACAATTAAATCATCCAAAAATATATCTTTAGATTTCAATAATGCAATACCTCTAAATAAATTTTCTTCTAATAGATAAATCTACAATTAAATATAATAAATTTGAATATGATGATGACTTTATATTACCAAATACATAATTTCATTTTTATTGATATAATGCCCCTCTTATTTAATCAAAATATTTCCTTAATATGTACCTATTTGTTTCATAGAAATCTAAATCAAACTCTGTTCTTTCAATTGCTTTTTCATATGGAACTCCTTTCATCAATTTGTCTATTACAATTATGCTTATATTAATTAGACTAAATGGAATAAATTCAATACTGAATATTTCGACGATATATTCTCAATCTTTCTAATCGATAGATAACTGCAAAATATTAATGATATCCTAAACTTTTCTCAAGCAGCAATTACTCAAGTTCTTCAATTGTTTCTTTAAATTTTGAATTTTATTCAATCAAAATTTCCAGGGCTAAGGATAAAGCTTATCTTTCTAATTACAAATCTTAGATATTAAAAATAGTGTTAACAGAATGAACATTCGTGTTCCTAGAAAATTATTACAAATGATGTATTACCAATATATTAATTTACAAAAAACAATTAATTCATAAGGAGGAACTATATGTTTTAGTTTGAATCTTTTTAATTTATTTAGTTTAAATCTATGAACAATCCAAATACCCACCTTATTTTTAATATATTTTAAAAATTCAACTCTTAGAAATGTACTATCATATTTATTATATTCTAGAGACATTCCATATTTAAGCAACATAATTCTATTCGACAATCGACTATAGCAAAAATATACCTAGGCCCCTTTCTCGAAAGGATCTCTGGTTCTCATTAGAAGATTTTTAAAAGTCTCTTTCTAGAAGGCTTATGTGTAATAATCACAACTTCGATCAACAGGTTGGGATAAGATTTATTCCATGCTAAATATGGGCCTTTCTGGTTTCCGAACTATCTTTTGAGCAAACACATTGTATTTTTATTAGATTGGTCTTTTTAGAACTTCATTTTAAAAAGAATACCAAAAATTTTTATACAAATTGCAATCAATTTTAATTTGTTGTATTTCTGCTCTTGCTTAATAGGATGACCTTTCCAAACTAAAAAATTATTAGATTAGTTAATCCAATTACTAAAAGATTTGTCCTAAAAAAAAAATTGAAAAATTATCTCCAAAATCAATTGTTTAAAACAAATATGCTTTGCAATCTATTGCTAATTAGAAAACATCTTGTTAAATATTCAATCTAATATTAAATTCTTTTCTCATTTTAATTAATTCATCACTTTTCACTGATTAATTTTTCTTGAAAAAACTTTTTATATTTTCTTCAAAATTTATGATTGAATTTTCACTAAATTTATCAAAATTAAATTCTTAATATTAATCGTACTCACCTGTTACAAATTCCGAATCACTCATGTCATCTTCTGAAAATTAAGAATTTTCTGAAGATGTAATTGACAACTCATCATCATTCTCCTAACCTTGAACTAATTTTTTTGTCATAAATTCATAATTGTACCTTGTACTTTAATCTTATTATTCTAGATCATAACATACATCAGCACATTCATGATTAAATAGCTCACAAAATGGTACCATTGTGACATATTTCAACCCTTATCCTCCAAAGCATCTTGTAACAATACTTGTATGAATCCATATGGCATTTTCCATTGTTACAATTCCAGGTTTATAAAGGTTTGGAAATTTGTCTGCTATATATCTAAGAGTTTAAAAAGTAACTAGAAGCCCTATATATTTTTTTCTTGCACTTTTAATTATATTTTCATCTTTTAGCGATTCTAATTCTTGTGTATTCCAAAATACAGCATAGTCAACATCTCTTGGGAAGTTTACTATCATATAATACCATTTGGAATCAGTTCCTCTTTAATATTCATATAATAAAAATGCAAGAATTTGGTGATATTCCCATTAGGAATGAAATTAGGGACTAAAAAATTATGGATATTCTAGAAACATAGGCTTTAATGGAGATTCAAATGCCTATAGGGTGGTAAGTAAGGTTTCTCTAGGGAGAGTGACAAGAGTGTCATTTGGTACAATAGGCTCGGTTGCTCGATAAAAGAAAATGAACAATACCAATAAATCCTGGAAACTTTAAACCATTTTTTGTTTAAAAATATGCATATTTTACTTTTTTGATCAGCGATCCTTGGGATGAGAGACTTTCAATAAACTCTTCAATTTGCTTTGGAGTTTCAGAAATAATCGCATTCAGGTCAGCCTTTTTTATTCCTTTTATTCTGTGAAATTTTTTTCCTGTGCTATGCCTTTTCATGATAAAATTATTACTAATAATTTTGTGAATATGCATTTATTAAATTCTCTAAATAAATTTGTGTCGCAATCCACCAAACAAGTGTATATTGCTGCTTCGTATGAAGATTCTTATTGAAAATCGGATATTCTAAAATTATGGTATTAGGTAATGCTATATTCACTTCTTCTTTCTAATTCTAAAAAGGATACAACTTAATTCTAATATTCGTAAAGATTTCATCTATTAATTGACTTAAACATCCAAATATATAATAACATTTTCATATAATACTACATTTATTTAACATTTTTGTGCTGTTATTAAGATTAAATAAAGTAGAAATCATTGCATTAATTTTAATCAAACTACTTTTTAAAGACTAAAAAATCTAAAGTATTAAAATACATTCAAGTATTATTGTTTTGAGTTTATTGAAAACAAATTTAAATGCAAACTATTTAAACTTTATCGGAAATACTATTTTCATAATTATTTTATATTACAATAAAATTTAAGAGGTTTATAAAATTTAGTATTTATTAGGAGAGATATCTTAATAGAAATGAATCAATAAAAAATATCAATGAATTCTTTATCCATTTCTTAATCTCCAATACTTAGAAGTTTAATTGTGGATCCTAAAAGCATCAATTTACACTTAATATGTGTAATATGTTAAGAATTAGTTGTAGATCCTAAGGAGTGTAGTGGATGTAAAATACTATTTTGTTCTATATGTATATTTAAATAGTTAGAGAAAAATTGTATAAAGTGTGATCTATAAAATAGAATCTTGTTAAAATTGTTGTCAAAACATTAGATTGAACGATTCTCATCCAATAGTAAGAAATTTAATCTCTGAAATACAGATTAAATGTATAAATGAAGGATGTTCTCAATAAATGTAACTCTCAAGACTAGATTCTCATTTGAAGTAATGCGAATACGAAAAAACTAACTGTCCACATTCTGGCTGTAATTTCAAAGACTGTTTGCAATAAATGAAGGTTCATTAATAGATATGTGGATACATCACTAAAACTTGTTAGAAATGTAAACTAATTCATAAAATGAATGAAGAGCATGATTGTCTGGATATTGTAATAAAAAAAATTAAATTAATGGAGAAGTAGATATAATAATAAAACAAAATCATAAGGAAATTAGCAAAAAGACTAGATTAAAATGAAAAAAAAAAAAATTAATAAATTAATGATTTGTGTTAACATGAATTTGAGTAAAATTAAGTGATGGTGAAATGTGACAAATGTCATTTGAAAAATACACAAAGTATTTGCAAAAAGTGTGGTGTATGTTAATGTTTGGAGTGCTAATTGTATGAAATCATTTGAAATATAATTTTTGAAATATTTTGTCATTAGTTTTAAAATTTTTATTGTGTAATTTATGTCTTAATTATATTATTTTCAAACTATATATATTTCAAAAACAATAAAAACATTAAAATATGAAAATCAAGCCTAAAATAAGAATATGTACTTGAATTTCCTTTTTATTCTTTAGAAGATTTCCTGTGTATCTTTTGGCTTTTCCTAATTCATATTTTTTTCCAAAGCCTTAAAACAAGATTAAAGAGTCTCAGGTGACCAGTTAATTAGTCCCATCTGAGAAAGTTACCTTTATAGACATTATTGGAAGCCATTAACTATTTTTCCATCTCTAAAATTCAATAATTTGGGAGCTCTGAATTCACACAGATTACTTAATGCATTGTAAAAGTTGTCAAAATGCCTTTGAAGATTGGCTAGCCATTAGCTAGGTACACAGGGAAGAAATCTGCTGAATTATACTTTTTTTCCTGTATCATCAAATCAAAAGATAATAATAATAATATAATTAAAATGGAATTATAATTTCACTTATAATCTACTAAATTAATGATAGAATACCAAAATCAATATTTCATTATTTTATCTTAATTAAAGAGAAAATAATGCATATCTTTTATTAATTTTTAGATAAGTTATCAAATAATTATATATGTTAAAGAGTCTAACAACATCATTTTATTAAGTTTAAGTTAATTATCAAAATATAATTTTAGATGTTTCTTATAAGAATGTAGGAAGCATAAATTTTAGTAAAATATTAACTAAATTGTTCTACTAACTTATCTATCATTTCAACACTCTGTAAAAACATTTAACAGAGCAACTGCATTTTGAATCGGATAATGAGGTTAATCTAGATGGCTATGATTGGATTAATACATTTCAAATACTTCCCTTGATGAACAATTAATAATAAAATTGTAATTTTTAAATAAAAAAATATACAAACAAAAGTTTAAGATAAAATAATATTTTTGTCTGCTCACTTTTAATAAAATATACTATATACTAATAATTTATATTTGCTACATCACCATTCTAATGAATCTAATTTTTATTCAAAATCTCTTGATCCCTCATAAAATTACGAATACCATTATCTCCATCTCATTAATACAGGATCAGCATCACCTTTTAAATTATAGCAACTTTAAGCTGCAAATATTTTATTATCCCACACACTTACATCTGAAATAATCTATCTCAACCCTCCTGATAAAATATATGCACTAAGCCAATAAGGTAAATAAGAATTTATGTGTAATGTTAAGAAAACCTTTTGATTGAATTTTTCGACAGGTTGCAAAGCTTATTTATAGAAAACCTCAAATAGACTAGATAAAATATATAATTAGATTGTGGCAGGCCCCATTTAAAATCCTGTTATATATAATGCATTAATTTTCCATTTATTAAAGAACATCAGAGATCCATCTAAACATAATACATTCATATATGGTCTTAAATCTTTATTTGACAAATAATGATCGAATAATTACTTTTAATAATTTCTGATCTTTTCTTTAGGGTGTTCCATTTTTTTATAAAAGTCTGGATCATTTGCAGACATGCTTTTCATGTTCCATTTAAATTTAATAAGCCAAGTAGGAATAAAATCACTAACTGATGCGTGAATATAATCAAAATGGCGAATATCTGCTCCATTTTCCGGAAACTCTTGAATATGACAGTTAATGTAGTTGATGCTCTCTCCTCTTAATTACAAATGATCACATTTCTCAACCATAGGATCATACCATGGTTTTGCTTCTAAACAATGGAGCCATATATAGACCATTCCTTTAATCTCTTTAATGAGATAAGTTTTTATTTTGATTTCTCCTTCTTCTACTTTTTGTAAATATTCTCCTTTCTTATTAGGATCCATATTTTGAATATTATTGTAACAATATGTTGATACAATTTTAGGATCTAATTTTTCAGAATTGACACATAATCCAGATTTTCCATCAAATGTCCATCCATGGAATGGACATTCAATACAGGAATTGAATCTAACTTATCCTCCAATTCCAAGATTAGCTCCCATATGTGGACAATAAGCAGCAACAGCATAAACTACTTTATCTGTACCTCTATAATAAGCTATGTGACGACCAGCAAGTTTTATTTCTTCCACTTATCTATAAATTAAGTGATAACTCCTTACCCAATCTTCAATTCTGTACTTCTACAAAGCCGATACCATCCATTTGGATATGAAGGGGGGCACTTGCCTCTTGTTTATTTGTGTCTAATAATGTTTTCTTTCTTTTTCTCCTCTATTACAAAGAATCTAAACTTCTTATAATAGAGATAATAGAGTGCTATGAAGCAAAAAGATAATAGTATTTCCAATGAGAGGTACTCCATTGGTTTGTGTAATAATATTATTAATAAGAAGATTTATATTTTTAAATTTAGACTTGAATTGCATTATTTAATTAATATTATATATGATTTTTGAACATGCATTAATCATAATGATGAGGATGAAATATTCAAGACATTTTAATTAAATTTGATATATTGATAATTATTTAATATAAATTAGATAGCGTAATTAATTAGATAATGAGCAAGAAGTTCTTAAATACAGAAATATTAGTGGAAGCGGGTACAAAAATGTTGCAATTGGTGTCGAATAAATTTGATGAGATTGCCTAATTAAAATACCCGGTTGTCCCTCAGGTTTAACCAGGATTCTTGAGATAACAATTTTCAGAATAGCCTCCCTTAGAACCAGAATCCCTCGATAGCATATTAAAAGAAACTGAAACTAAAGTAAATTACTAGCTTGAATGTTTAGATTTTCCCTGGACTGACTTTATGGAGTCATCCAAATTTTTATGCATATTACCCATCAAACATTACACATGCTTCAATAATAGCAGAAATATTTGCTTCTGCGTTTGGAACACCTGGGTTTTAATGGCTAGCTTCTCCTGCATAAACAGAATTGGAAAATATTGTAGTTGATTGGGTAGTATATGGTTTAGATTTACCTAACAAATTTTTAATGAAAAATTAAGGAGGAGGGACAATAGCTGGCACAGTTTCAGATGCCATCTTTATTTCTGTACATGTAGCTAAGAGAAGAAAGATGAAGTAATTGAAAATAAATACAGATTCTGCATAAATTTGCAAATTTGTAGGTTATTATGTCGAGAGTGCTCACGCTTGTGCTACAAAAGCATTGCATTTAAAGGATATATATTATTAAAAGAAACTACCTGTTATATTTAACGAGGAATTATAAAATTATGTTGTAGATTTATAGAAGGCAATAGAGATAATTGAGCAGGATATTAAAGATGGGCTTATTCCATTTTGGTTAAGTTGTTCATTTGGCACAACAGGAACTTGTGCATTCGATCCGATAGATAAATTAGGTGAGATTTGTTAGAAATATTAAATTTGGTTCAATGTGGATGCCGCTTATGCTGGGTCATCTTGGCTTATAAATGAATACAGAGAGAAAGCCAAAGGCTTAGAGTTTGCAGATTCTATAGAAATCAACTTTGCAAAATTGATGATGTGTGGGTTGACTGGAAGCTTATTTTATGTTAATGATAAAAGTGAATTAGCTGAAGCTATGGGAAATAAGATAGATTTTGAGATTTATAAGAATAAATTCACCGATAATTATGATGTTTGGGATTATAAGGATTGGCAGGTAGCTTTGGGTAAGAGATTTAATTCAATTAAAATGTTTTGGATGATAAAAAGCTTGGGATTGAATGGTATGAAAGAATAGATTTAATAGAAGATAGAAGTGGCTAATCATTTCGAACAATTAGTAAGATCATCTAACAGATTCAGGATATTTACAAAACCATAATTGGGATTAGTCACATTTTTATTGGTTCATGAAGATTTGACTACATAAAATAAATTAAATAGAAAAATACAAGAGTTAATAAATTAAAACACTATGCTTGGATTTATAAGTGGATCAGAAATTAAGGGTGTATTTTATCTTAGAGTGTCTATTTCAAATCACACAACAACCAAAGAGAATGTAGAAGAATTCTGGAATCATATATCAAAATTAAGTGAGTAATTATGATAATTTAAAGAATATAAATTAATATTAATTTCTTTTATAAAAATAAAAATGGCATTTTACTATGAATCAGAAGATCTGAATTTAAGGAAGAAATACAATAACTTGTAGTATGATGAAATAGAAGAGGAAGATAAATAAAATCTCGCATATAGTATTTCAGAATAAGAAATGACAAATAAGCAACATGAAGAATAATTGTAATTGGATTTTGAAATAATAATGAAGGATATAAAAAATATGTGTGTTTATTTTACATAAAAATTCATTGTGTAAAATGAAAATAATCCTCAATTACAGAAATTTCCATTTATTAAAGTAAAAAATAGAGTATGTCACATATTTGAAAAATACCAAGAATAAAATACATTACTAGATTCTATTTTAGAATAGATTTGTGTGAGTTTTATGGATGTAGTAAAAGTTTATGTGCTAAAAAATGTTAATAATGTTGGGGTAAGTAGCTGTGAAGAATTTCACAACATTTGTGATACAATTTATATTCTTACAAAAGTGAGAGGAATAAGAACAATCAGCAGATACTGTCCACATGAAGTCTGCAATTTGGAACCAGTTGTTATGTATTTGTAACATTGCTCAACAGATCTTAATTAGAATTGGGAAACTAAATATGTTATTCTCATGTGGTTAAGCATAATAGTTTTAGTTCCATTTGATTTAAATTCAATTGATTCTTAAATCTTTAATGCCATTTAAGACACTTTCACATCAAGCAATACGATAATAACATCATTGTTAAATTTGGGAGTCAATTATTTAAAATCATCCACAAAATTAAGAAACATGGGAGCACTATATTTGTCTAAATTATTCAGTAGAACAGATATATTGAAATGCAATCTATTAGAATAATTTTTAAATTGGAGTGTCAAATAAATTCATGAATTGCAAGATAATATTCTTAATACTTTTTATATAACAGGAATCCTGGAAACTTTGGTAGAAATTCTGAAAGTTGTTCAAAGAGATGTGTTGAAGAATAATTTATATATTTTATTGCCTTTACTCAACTTGAAATAATAAGGTACATTAATAAACTTGTTTCTAACCAAATTAACTTAGAGAATTGGATTAGTTTATTTAAGACCAAGAGTTGTTAGTTGGACATACAAAAAAGGCACAACAAATCTATAATAAACATTAACAATCATTGATTATTCAAGAATTGTCACCAACTCATAAATATCCAAAACAAACTAATAATTACAATAATAATAATAGTCAAATATTTAACTAGAGGATGTTGATTATTTCATTGATGTTGATTAGGAAGGCTTAGAAACTGTTGTAGATACTTTGTTATAATAAATAATAAATAAGGATACTGTTGTTAGATGGTCAGCCGCTAAGGGTATAGGCAGAATATGTGCTAGATTGAATTTAGATTAAGCAGATGATATTTTTGATTCATTAATCAACACATGCTTCACTCCAATCAATGGAGACACTGCCTGGCATGGTGGTTGTCTAGCGTTAGGAGAATTATGTAGAAGAGGACTAATTCTTGAAAATAAATTAGAATCCATCATTCCTATTATTTGCAAAGCCTTGATTTTTGAGTAGAATCAAGGAGGTTATAGTATTGGTGTAAATGTCAGAGATTCAGCATGTTTCATTGCTTGGTCTGCTGCTAGGGCTTATGATCCTGAAATATTAAAAAATCATGTCCTTGCTTTGGCTTAACATTTAGTAATTGTTATGATTTTCGATCGAGAAGTAAATGTTAGAAGAGCAGCATCAAGTACTTTCTAAGAATTAGTTGGAAGGTGTCCTAATATTATACCACATGGTATAAGCATATTAACAGAAGCGGATTATTTTTCATTGGCTATGATTCATAATGCCTATTTAAGAATTGCTCCATTCGTAGCTTCCTATCCAGAATACTTTAAATAGATGGTTGATCATTTAGCTTTTATTAAGATAGCAAGTCAAGATAAAGAAGTTAGAAAATTGGCAGCCAAAAGTTTAGGAAGATTGCTTGTGTTGAATCCAACCTATTTCAAGGAGAATTTGATTTATGAAAGCATTTTAAAAATGGTTAAATTACAATCCCTGAATTCAAAACATGGTGCCTTATTTGCTTTGGGAGATTTACTTATTGCATAATCAGGAAATATCACTAAGAACTCAGAGGAAAAGGAGTTAAAGGATTCAGTTTTCCTTAGGACATTAACTAAAAATGAAAGATAATTAGCAAAAGCTGGAGAACACATAACAATTTTCAAATCATAATATGAGTAATTATTATAAGCCGAAAATATGAATTTACTTTCAGAAGAAATCATAGATGAGATCATGCAAATACCAAAAATATTAGAGGACTCTTTAAAAGGAAAGAGTGGAGAATAAATTAGAATAGCTGCCTATAGATTAATTGAATGCATCTCTATTTCTAAATTACCACTTTAAATAGATCAACATGCTTATTATTTGAAATTTATTGAAGATGGTTTAAAGAATCCTTTGGAAGAAATACAGATATCAGCAGCCAAAGCTTTAAGATTATTAAGCAATCAATATCAAACATAAGGTCAATACTTAATAGATGGTAAAGAATTCTTAAAAAGAGTCATAAAATAATTGCATCAAAAGTCAACTACTGTTCAAGTACTGATATAGGGAGGTTATGCTTAAAGTGTTGGATCTTTTTCACCTTAGGTATTACATAATGAAGATCTAAGTATATTGTACACAATTGGTCTTTCAAAGAAAAGAGCTAAATTAACAAGTTGGAGTATTGATCCAGACACTAGAAAGTTTGCCATAAAGTCTCTTGGACAAAGCATTATTAATTAATTGAACAATAATTATAATTGTGAAGCTCAACTCTTACCTGTTATTGATTGCATACTTTATGCAATGTTAGATTACACAGTGAATAAAAAAGGAGATGTAGGGTTATTCATTAGAGAAAATTCAATAATTGCTATTTAATCAATTTTAGTTTGTTATGTAGGTTATATTGAAAGAAATCATATAGGAAATATTATCATAAATGAATAATGTATTATCAAAATTATTGGGCAATTATTATAGTAATTATGTGAAAAGATTGATAGAGTCAGATTACTAGCTGGTAGTGTGTTGTAGGATTTGTTTAAATCTGTATTTCCTAAATTATAAAGGTTTGAAAATTATGAATAAATATCTACAATATTCTCAACTGCTAACTTATAAGAGACTATAATAAAAGATTAAGAAAGAGTGGATCAAACCTTCTAAAGTGAAATTATTGAGGCTGAAATTAAAAACCTAAAAGATGTTCTATAAACCATAGGAAAAACAGATCTAATTTATCATTGGAATCTACCACATTGCTGTTATCGATTAATAGTTCCCATTCTTGCATATCCTACATTTTGTAGATACATCCTAACCGGATTGTGTATTAGCGTTGGAGGGATTAGTGAATCAATATAGAAATTTAGTGAAGAAGCATTAATGTAATATATACATCTGAATCAAAATCTTGATCTTCTAATGACCAATTTGATTGAAATTCTTAAATTATATGCATTAGATGAAAGAGTTGTTATTCCATTATTTAAAACAGCTTCACTTGTTTTACAAAAGGAGGAAATACAATCATTACCTATAATTAAATAGTAAACTGAAATTCTATTCCAATTAATTTACAAAGAAACTCATAAAACTCAATCAATAAATAAATTATCTGCAAGTGTTCAATTAATCATCGATATTTTATCAGTCAATCCAGAATTGTTTCATCACATTATTTAACATATCTTTGAAATATTAACTAGCGAGTAACATTTTTGATATATATATTTTTAGTTTACCTAAAGTAAGAAAACAATTGGCAGAAGCATTTTACTTGTACTTGTTATCGCATGATAATGAAGAGTTGATATCTACGGATAATAATTGTTTATTATAGGATTATCTATTAGAAACTGATTGGCTATCTGTATTTATTTGATTCTATTATTTAATAGGAAGAATTAGATAAAAATATTGAAGAGTGTAGAAGTTAATTGAAGCAATTATTAAGTTTATGAGTTAATATAAAAATTATATTATATATTTATGAATAAAAATAAATAATAGGCCTTGCCAATCACAACTATTAATTTAAAGAATATAGATTTCTAAGCAAAATTAGATTATATATAACAACAATTGAAAAAGTAACAAAATGCATCTATTTCATTAGCAAAGAAACTTAAGCATAATGGAAATAATATTAAAAAGATGTGATTGAGAAAGAGGTAACAATGCTTAATTAAGAATTAGAAATATAATAAAAATTATAAGAATTGAAATTAGTTTAAGCAAACTATCCATTTACAAATATGGACAACGAAAATGAATAAAAAAAAATACAAGGATATTTATTTGATGGAATTTTGTGCTCAATTGCTGATTTAACTTTAAATAATTGTGTTATAGATAATGCTTAGGAGGGAAAAATTGCAGATGAATAATAAAAAAAGAAGAAAGGAAGAAAACCTGGTAAGCCTGGAAAACCTGGGAAAATTGGAAAACAAAAAGAATCTTCACAAAAGGTTGATAAGGAATAAGATAAATAAAAAGAGGAGAAAAATAAAAAAAAACAAAAAGGAAGACCAAAATCCAAAAACAATAATGTCACCTAAAAAGTACCAAGTGCTTAAAAAGCCTAATCTAAATAATAAAAACTAAAACCTGGAAGAAAACCAACAAAATAGAAAGCTGTAGAAGTGGTTAATAAAGGCAAGTAAAAAGGGCAAAGTAAGAAAGTTTAGATTAAGAAAAAGATTTCAAAAAAGTTGAATAAAAAGAAATGAGAGTTATCATTTCAATAAATATTACAAAGTAAGTCATTCAAATTTAATTGCCTTGTAATCTTTCTCATTTTCTATCCCTACCCATCCATATTGCTATTGGATTTCTTATATTCCTTATTATAATTAAATATTTTGAATCAACCCCAAAGGATCAATGTTTTCTCTTGTCATAGGATCCAGATAGCCATTTAATTTAAATTGCTACTAAATACTATTTTTATCATATGTTAACCCTGAATTGAGAAGTGTTGGTTCATCCATTATTTCATATGTGATTGGACATACAAAGCATTCTGGTAAAATAATTTCCATTTTCTTATGGATTATCTGTTCTATTTAATTCCAATCTAAGTTATGATGTTATCTATGAGAAATATCATTTAGAGTTTATTTTAGAGATTAGATATCTAAATGGATATGATTATAAAAAGTACTTCTTTTATCTATTTCTTATCTTATCAAGAATACCATTCTTTTTCCTTTAGCCAAATTTTAATTAATCAAGACTTTTAATTTATTTTTTTATTCATTTTTATTTTATTTAACCTATACAGAAGCTATAAAATATAAAGATTATATTACCTTTTTCGAGTTCTTCGATTCCCAATTATGCTTGCCTTATGAGAGCCTCATTAATGTCAGGAAACATTTGGACTTCAATCAAAATAACAGTTCCATAAAGGAAATGAGCTCTTGAATTTTACTAATCAATTTTTATAGCTTATTAAGCATCTTATTTAGCTTCCTAGAATCTATTGAGAAGTTTATTAGCCACTGAACGATTTGAGAAATAGATTGAATCATTATCATAGAGATTCTAGTTAGATAGCACAACTTACAATAGCTTTTGTATAGGATTCAATAGCTTTTTTATATTGTTTCATCTGTATGTATTGATTACCTTCGCTCTTAAACTCCAAAGATTTGACAATATTGGGAGCAAATCGGCGATTACTTTTATGGGGCATTTCATTTCGTTTTGAAGCAGCTTTTAAAATTTTTCTTTATGAAGAATGAGAGGTAATAAGACAATTCTTATGTTAAAAGTGGTATTCTGTCAAGACTTCTGTTATTTGAGGATGATTAGAAGTTGTGTTTCCCATGATTAAATATATAATGTTAATTTCATCAATGAACTTAAATTGATATTGCTTCTTTTTATATGATAATTATTCATTTAAGTTAGTATTCAGAAATGGCAACAAAAGCATCCTCAACAAAATGATCCTCACATCTTTCTAAAGCTTTGATTAATCTAGAAGATTTATGATGTAATAAAACCTATTAATTGCCACGCATCTTAATTTCTCTTGCCAACCCTCTAACATTCTTTCTTTTTCATTTAGTTTTAGCTATTGCTCTTTCAATTAACTTGATTCTAATCTACTACTACTCTAAGTTGATTATTGATAATTAATAATTTCATTGATCTAATTCAATACTCCTTATTCATTAACCTAAATATTTTTAATATTAATTACTTATGATATTTAATAGCAAATGACTTATTTTTTCAATTTCAAGTTCTGTTCTAAAATTGCAAATAATTTCTCTGCTCCCTTTTTTTTATGTGTGGAAACTTTTCTTAGTTTCTAATCTCCCAATTCAATCATTAATTCAATAAATCTCTACTTGAAATACACTTTAACTACTCTTGAAATAGCATTAAGTGCCATCTTTTGACCATTCTTCTATAGGATCGAATCGAAATCTGACTTAAAGAAAGTATCCTTTATTTTCTTAATAGGAGTCTATTGAAGGAAACTAGTTTGTGAAGGTTAGAATGAAGTATCATCGGGTATGCCTTTACCATAATGTTCTAAAAGGGTAAATGCTCTTTGCTTGATTCTATCAAAAGCTTTAAATAAATTATTGAATAGCTTCTTGCATTTAATTATTTATTGAGTAGATAACCCAACTGCTTTTTAATTCAAGTTATCTCTCATTCTCCAATAAGCTATTTATTTACTAATTTTGGAATTCTTCGCGATGATATCAGCTACTCTCTTAAACCATTTATTCTTGGAAGGCTGTCCTTTCCAAATATCCATAACATATTTCTTCATAGCCTTTTCAGCAAATCTATTTAATTATATCATTCTTTAGATTGCTTAACAAATCTATATCATATTTCTTTTGACTGCTCTTATCTTCCATTAAGTGAAATAAACTCTTAATCTCACATAAGCATAATTTTGGAACAATAAAATAGCTTCTTTTTTTAATCTTTCATCCCTTTGTGTCTTATTTTCTTACTTATTTGTATGTAATCTTATAGTGTCTCTCCATTCAATGAAGGCCACATTCAACTAATTCATTTTGTGTTAATAAAAGAGTTGTATAGCTAACTTTCTGTTTTCTTAAACATTCTATAATTCTTATTAATTCATTTAATTTAACGCATCTCGCCACCTTTGTACTGCTTATTATTATTATGATTTAGTGGTTCTTACTAATAATAATACAACTCTTCGCTTTTTATTTAATGCCTAAAAATAGATATCTTATAAGCCATCGAATGATTATAATAGTTATTTTCTAAATAAACTGAAAATTTTCTTTTCAAATATATATCCCTATTTAGTTTTCTATGGTTCAGGCAATCTCCTCCACATTTAAAATGAGTTATGTAATTAACCAATTGATGAATGTGATATTCCTAATAAAAACTTGTTTACTGCCTTTTGACTTTTATTTGAATTGCTAAACTTTCTTAAAATCAATCTTAAATTGTAATTCTTTTTATTTTAAATATAATCCTTAAGTATTTCAATTATAGAAAACTTTTATTTCTATCTATTTTGACTAGCCAATAAATCTAATTTAGCTTGAGTCTATTTCCATTTCTAATAAGAATCTTTGAACATTTCTTCCCATTCTTTTAATAGTCTAACTAGTTCCTCTTGCTTTTTCAATTCTTTAATCTAATCCTCAAAGAAGAAATACATATGATTTTATTAAATTTTATTTATTGAGCCAAAGAAACCCATAACTTTGCTAGCTCTTTCTTCAGTCTTTTGCAATTCACTTACTTTATTCCATTATAAGAAAACCTTCTTTTCCACACTCATACAATTAAACATCAATTTATTGATAGCATATTTTTATTTTGCTTATCCATCCTAATAAATATTTTGTAAATATTTAAAACTACTCTTTCTAAGAATTTATATTTTAAATGAGTTCAATTTTTATTCAAATCTTGATGCTTATTTGAGATTAGATGAATCTGGTAATTGTTTCCATTTCAAAAAGGAGGTTTCAACTTAACCTGCAAAAGTATGTAAAAACTTCAATTGTATTTTTTTAATTAAATTTATTCTATTTCGACGATCATTAAAATTTCTCAATATATCTCTTAATTACCCAATTTTATTATGTTTTAAATTTCTTTAAAGTGCAAATAATAGAAACTTTCTTGTCTCTTTATCCATCAATGAGGCAATCCTATCTGATTTAGCTTAATTATTCCATTTGATGAATGCCCATCTTAATAAATTGTTGTATTAAGATAACATTTTTTCAAAGACTTTTTCTTAAAGTTGATTAGTCTTAAAAATGACTTAGACATTTCCAGACAATGTCAATGAAAGAGTTTAAAAGAAATTTGTAGTTTACTTGCAAGTTTCAATTGATTTCAATAACCTATTCGTATTTCTCCATGATAAAAACAATCTCTTATTTGATCCCATGCCTAAGATGATTAATTTTCTTATGCAATGCATCTTCTTATTCATAGCTTCTTAATATTCATCTTTTAATGGATCATATGATAATTTGATTCTGCCTCTATATAGGTTTTCCAACAATTTCTCTAATCTTCTTCCCTTTTTTACATTTTCGTAATTTTAGATATCAGGAAGATTTTTCCATTTCTGAAATGCCACAATTGCTCCTCCAAACTTAGTAGAAAATAATCTTGAAAAAAACTTCTATTAAACTGCACTAAGAACTGAATTTCTTTTGAATTTAGACAATGCCAATCTCAATTTAGATTTCATGTTATTTCTATAAAAAAATCCAATCTAGCGAATCAGAAATTCTTTTTTCTCTCCTTCGATTGCTTGTAATCTTTCAAATTTTAAATAATTTCTCCATCTCATAAAAAAATATCTAATGTTATCATAATTACCTCCAATTATTTTCAACAATGCTTTTTCTTTTAATCTTGACTCTTGATTGGGTTGCATAATTTATAAATTACATTATATTTGATCACCCACAAATTTAAATAGCAATATAACACTCTTGCATCTCTCAACTTCCTAAATCAAAGCCACATTCTTATTCCACTTGCTAAGAGCCTGTTATTGTTCTGATTCTTATGTTTTCACAAGGAGCAAAACTGCTCGTTTTTTTATTGCTAGTGCATCATCATATATTTCATTTAAGGGATTCCATGTCTTTTTCTTTGCTTGACGAATTAAGAAACGATTAATAGATTATTCAAATTTAGTAACCTTTGTTAATTATGAATAATCATGTTCAGGGATTTGCTTCCATTTATTAAATGATATCCAAACTTAAGAGATTGTATTTCTATGTATTATTGCTAACGCTTTCCTTCTTAAGTTATGAGATTCTGCATTTTAATGGAATCTCTTTAAAATTTCAATCAATGCATAATGTTTCACTTTATTGCCGGAATTAATCCAATTAATTAATCTTTATTTAATTATTTCATCATTCAATGTAACATTCAATTATGAAAACTAATCAAACATCTTCATTTCCCATGATCTTCTATGCCAAATTAGAAATGCTGTTTTTAAATCACTTTAGCCGACAGAGATGATTTTATTTATACAATATTTCTTTTTAGCTTATCCATCTAAAAGATAATCTTCCATAATATTCCATGAATTAACTTTTACAAACCTATAAGCAACTCTTCCAAGAGATATCATAAATTTACTTACTTTTGCAGTTGATCCATTCACCTTATCTTCTGGTAAATACTTCCATTTCTAAAAGCTCGAACTCACTTATCCAACTACAGTTTACATTAATCTAAGATTTATTTTCTTTATCTATTATGCTACTTAAAGTTTTTAATGAAATAGATTTAAAGCTCTTCTTAATCTCTACTTTTTATCATTTTCTAAAAATTTCTTTAAATTTAGAATTAGAAATTTCATTTTCTCATCCCCTAATCTTTCCAAAATTTACTCCTATTTATTATGACTTTTCCATTTAAAAAAGGCTATGGCTAAATTACTATGTTAAGATGCTAAAATTTTCTAGATGCATTTCTCTTTAATATCTACATCTTTTTTGTTCTATACGAACGTTAGTAGATTGGACTGTATTATCAAAGCTAGAGAATAAAATAAATTATTTGTTTTTTAACATGCTACAACTGATTTATATACTTTGGCTACATTCTGCCATTATTTTAAATATCTCTAAGGAGCGCTCATTGTAACTGAGAATAATTATCTTATACAAAATCGTTTCTTTTACAATGCATCATAATAAAGATATTTTAAAGGATCATATGCTTATTTACGTTTATTTGTGATAAACATCTACAATTTAATTTAAAACTTAGAAGCTTTTTAAATATTATTTATATCATTGGGATTAGGTAAGGTTTCCTCCATTTTCTAAATGCATCTATTAATTATCCATTAACAGATAAGAGAATTCTGCCAAAATATTTATTTTTGATCTCCTATGTTGTTCTATTGAGTGAAAATTTTTTTAAAACTTATTTGAGCAACCCCTTTTCTGTTTTATTGGCTGTATCTTTTAATCTTGATATCAAGTCTTATTTGTTTATATTTTTAAGTTTTTCTTCCATTTTCTTTTGAACGCAGTAATTTTCAATTTATCTCAAAGAGTCTAATTTTTATCTTTATTGCAACTTCAAAATAATTTTATCAAGAAATGAACAGATTTGCATCTTTTTACTAAGATTAAACAACTTAAAGGTTTCTTATTTGACTAGTTAGTGAGTTACATTTGCGCTCTATTAGAATGATTTAATTTTCTTAAGATTAGTTTCAGTTAGTTTTGCATATGTATTATAATTTGCCCATTTATAAAATGCTGTATAAGATTAATTGAATGTAACTTCAATCAATTCCCTGATGACTTTAGTTTTTTTATTTTTAGCTTCATCATGAATATCTTTGAAAGCATTCCAAACCAATCTTTTATTTTAGTCTACTTTATTTCCTAATTTATTAATTAATAATAATCCTTATTTCTTAATATCGTTTTCTCTTTTATCTGGTAAATCGACCCATCTTGTATAACATCTTTGCAATCTTCCGAATGTTGTTTTAAGGAGAACAGCAAAGAACTTTTTCTTTAACCTAAAATTTAACAAGTCTCCTCTCCAAATTTCAAATGCCTAATAAGATTTATGTTATTATGTACTTCTTTTAGTCTTTATCTATCTAATCTATCATTTCTCATATTATATTCGTCTCCTAATCTTTCTAATGCTTTAAGTTGTTTTTCTAATTTATTAGATTTGATTTTAGCAATTAACTTCCACCAATTAAATTTTTCTCGTAAATATCTTTCTCTATATTTTGAACTTATTGACCAAATCAGTAAGCCAAGCATTTTATTTGTATCTTGCGAGGTTGGTTTAATTGATTCAATTGCCTATCTTTTGAGTTATAATTCTTTTTTTTGAACAAATAATGCCAAATTGATTATGCTCAAATTTTTTTTTTTCTTTGCATTCATTCTAACTTCCTTTGGTGGTTGTGTACTATTTACTTAATAGTTTTTAATACCCTAATAAGAATTTGAGTTTGTGGAAAGCGTTAAATTAATTCAACTTAGAATTCAATAGGATTTTGTCAACAGCCTTCTTTACAATTTCAGGGTTGGTTCTAACCTACCATCTAAAAATGAATAGTAAAGTAGCCTACCTTATAAATGCGTCTTATATAGAGAGGGAGGATTATGTCTTGATTAATTGGGATACGATTATTCCCTTCAATTTAGGAGACAATTAAGTTGAAAGTCGATTGCTTATGGATAGTAAAAATATCATACTTGGAATCAGAGAGCATTATTAATAAATAAAATAATAATAATTCGTGATCTGTTAATTAATTTTATTTCTATATAAGCAGATAATAATCCAATATTATGATTATATACAATTATAAATCATTCGTGTGTAAGAATAAATTTCACAGTTTTTTATCTGATTTCCTGTATTTTTTGCATCCCAGCATCATATTTTGCTATTTTTCCTTGTTTAGAATTCTCAAGAGTATTCTTAAAAGTTTCCTAAAGTAATAATGCTTCTTCTTCATTCATGTCATTTAATGTTTCAATATTATTTTTAATAAACTTCTTTCTCAATCTATCTTTTGCTTATTACTCTTTCTCTTTCCCTTAACATTTGGTTATTAAATGAGCGATGATGATTGCTATTATAACTAACACTATTAGAACAATAAATAATTATTCTTATTATAACATTTTTAATTTATTAAATTCATATTCACCATTCCAAAGCATCTAAACTTTTCTCAAATTCCCTGGATCCCTCATAAAATTGAGCGTACCATTATCTCCATTTCAATAGCAAAGGATCAGCATCACCCTTTAAATTATAAGCAACCTTATCTGTAAAGATCTTATTATTCCACAAACTGACATCTGCAATCACTTGTCTCAATTCTCCTCCCCAATATGTAAGCACTGGCCCAATAAGGGAGTATACTTGTTGTATATAAAGTATGAAAGACTTTCAAATTGAATCTTTCAACTGGTTGAATAGCCTATTTATATAAGGCTTCAAAAACATCAGACAATACATACAAGGCCACTGTTGCTGGTCCCATTTAAAATCCAGTTGCCCAAATCACATTAAATTTCCATTTATTAAAGAAAACCAAATATGCATCCAAACATAAAACATTCATATATTATCGTAAATCTTTATTTGATAAATACTGATCGAATAGATTCATTTAATACTTACGAACCTTCTCTTTGCTGTGTTCCATCTTCTTATAGAAATCTGGGTCATTTGCAGGCAGACTTTTCATAGTCCACTTGAAACTGACTATCCAAGTTGGAATATAGTCATTAACTGATGAATGAATATAATCAAAATGTCTAGCATCAGCACCATTTTCAGGAATTTCTTAAATGTGACAATTTACGTAATTCACACTCTCCCCTCTTAATTAAAGATGATCACTTTATTCTGACACTGGTTCATACCATGGTTTTGCTTCTAAACAATGGAGCCATATATAGACCATTCCTTTAATCTCTTTAATGAGATAAGTTTTTATTTTGATTTCTCCTTCTTCTACTTTTTGTAAATATTCTCCTTTCTTATTAGGATCCATATTTTGAATATTATTGTAACAATATGTTGATACAATTTTAGGATCTAATTTTTCAGAATTGACACATAATCCAGATTTTCCATCAAATGTCCATCCATGGAATGGACATTCAATACAGGAATTGAATCTAACTTATCCTCCAATTCCAAGATTAGCTCCCATATGTGGACAATAAGCAGCAACAGCATAAACTACTTTATCTGTACCTCTATAGTAAGCTATGTGACGACCAGCAAGTTTTATTTCTTCCACTTATCTATAAATTAAGTGATAACTCCTTACCCAATCTTCAATTCTGTACTTCTACAAAGCCGATACCATCCATTTGGATATGAAGGTGGAGGTGTTCCTCTGGCTAATTTGTGTCTGATGACATTTGGTTGTGCTTTTTCAGATATAAGATAAAATCTGAATTTTCTATAATACAAGGTATATATAATAATGAGAAATATAGGGACTATGATCTCTAATCTTGCCCAATCCATTTTAAATAAAAATATTATTAAAAATTAAGATTTGATTAAATAAATTTATTCTTAATTTATAGATATATAGCATAATTAATTGCCGAAATTTTTAGCGAATTCTAAAATTTAATACAAATCCAAAGCAGTTAATAAGTATTAGTAATCAAAATTATAATAATTGTTACTTATATTACGATAAGAAAGACATTGTTGATACTTTGAAATTATAGCCTTATAACAAAAATTATAAATAAAAACTCGCTAAACTCTAAGATCAATTTTTCTACTTTATTTACAAATATGTGCTATGTATAAATAACTAATTAGACCTTTGCTCGAAACTCAATAAGATTTATTTAAATATATTTAATCAGATATTTTAATAATTTAAAATCATTAACCCATAATAGATCATTCAATAATTAATAAACATCATTGTCCCAGTTAAATTTTTTTTCCAACATAAATCATACTAGTAAGGTTTTGCAATTCAATTTGAATAGTTTTTTTGAAAACAGCAAAATTAAAATAAATTATTTCCAATAATAATTAATTTTTTTGAATTCTTAAATTTCTTCTATTTATTGATATTAGAGAAATTTCGAACATAATCCTTGTAAATTAATCATATATAAAAGACATTTCAATACAATCAAATGATATTCATAATTATATGATAGTTAAATTTATTGATAATTAATTTTATATTTATTCTATAGATATTTTAAATGTAATAAAATGTATATATTCTACTATTGAACATATAATAATTTCACAGTATTTAATATCCTTCTGTTGGATATAAATATTTGCCTCCTGAGTTGTAATCATAATATAAAATTTCATTTGGTTGAATATCCTTACAAGCATACATTATAATTCTAGCCTATTTGTTAATGGCTACTCTCAAACACTTTACATTAACTATTTCCACTTGCTTAAATTAATTCAGATTGATTTACTTCTTTAATTTTATTGTCAATTCCACAAACAAACCTAGCTATGTTAGAATATTTTTCTGGAACAACATAAAGTGTTTTCTTTGGATTTGGATGAGACAGTAATTCCTTTAATTAAACGAAAACTTACCATGATACTATCATTTTAATCAAAAATGATGTTTTTCCACTTTTTGACTTCTCCACAATATTCCGCTAAGATTGAACCCTTCTTAATGAATCCAGTAGCTTTAGCAATAAACCCAGTTTTAATATGAAAGTCAACCATCAATTAAGGAGTGATACCTAATCTACTAAATTCTTTGAATTATAGAAAGGACTTCAAATTTTCTTCGTCTAGATCCTCCAATTTGCGTTCGTACTTGGCATTATTGTCTTCTGGTTTAGAGTCTTCTGGAAAATAGGTCAGATCATCTGAGAAGTAAATAGATTTAGCACATAATGCTTTAATTAATGAATAAGATTCTTAGAGTTGTTTTTCTTTTGAATCAGAATATTTTGGTAGATACAATCTGACTCGATTCTATTTTTTCACTTTATCAATTATAATTAAATCATCTTAACATGTATATTCTGATTTCCATAATTGAATATAATTTGGAATAGTATCATATTAGTAAGGTAGATTGTCTTTTAAGTATTAATCACATACAGAACAGAATTCAGTTTGACTATTATAACATTGTACATGTTATCGGAGATTACATCGATAACAAATCTTACTTTGATTTTCATCACAAATGGCGTAACAGACACTACAAATAGTATTTGCTGACTTGCATTCATGTACAATCAAAGTATCTCCTTCGACTTGTGTTATATATTATAATTTGAGTAGCATATTTTATAATTGAACTTAGCATTTGGAACATAGCTATTTACTCTCTTCGTCCACACATTTTAGATGAAAGAGGTCTTGACATCCATTACACCTTCGATGTGGAGATGTGTCTCTATGATTCATACACACTTTGCATCTGAAGCTAAATACTTATTAATTCAATGATCTTTTGTTTTTCTTATGGATTAGTTTTTTAAATTATTTGTATGTAAGTTCACAATGTCGAAAGATGTTAGCATATTGATCGAGAGTACAAATAATTTTTTTAGGCATATTTAATTAATCTCATGATTAATTCAATAATATTATGCTTTCTAGCATTTGAGTAGTATATGTGAGTCGATTTCAAATCAATAGACCGTCTAATTACACATTGTATAAATGTATAAGAGTGGAATAAAATATTATTATTAAAATAAACAATAATGCAAGAGTTAGGTAAGTAACAAAAGATGGTTATTGGAATGGTTGGATTGCCAGCCAGAGGGAAGACATACATTTCAAGGAAGATTTGTAGATATTTGAATTGGATGGGTTTCAAGAGCAAAGTATTTAATATCGGAAATTACAGAAGACAGATATGTGGAACAGATTGCAACTCGAATTTCTTTGATCCAGGCAATAAAGATGTAAGAGATCATAATTAAATGAAGGCATCTAAAGCAAGAGATGAGTGTGCCTTATTGGCCTTGAATGATATGATAAATTATCTTAGGAATGAAGGAGATGTTAGTTTGTATGATGGGACGAATACCACAAAGTAAAGAAGAAAATTGATCATGGAGACATTACAATAAAAGTTTAGTGAAGTTCAAGTATTTTGGGTTGAATCAATATGCAATGATGAAGATGTCATTCTGAGAAATATTTAGTTGACCAAATTGAACAATCCTGATTATGTTGGAAAGTCATCTGACGAAGCTACTTAAGATTTTCAACAGAGAATTGAATAATATACTAAGGTATATGAACCAATAGACATGGATGAGAACATTTCATTTATAAAGATCATTGATATTGGAAATGATGTAAAATAAAATACAATTAATTTAGATTATGATATATAATATCTAAGGATTCTTATAATCCAAATTAGTCTCATATTTGATGAATTTGCACATTTATCCTCGACCAATATATTTGTCCAGACATGGGGAGAGTTAATATAATGTTGGTCATAAAGTAGGAGGTGATTCCGATTTAACTTAAACAGGATTGATGTATGCAAAATAATTGGGCAAATATTTTGTATAAGAATTAGAAGGCAATAGAAATATCAAGATGATTACTTCAACTATGCAGAGAGCGTTGCGCACAAGTAATGAGGTTTGTGAATTGTTGGGAATCGAATATTATTCATTGAAGGCTTTAGATGAGATAAATCCTGGAATATGCGATGGATTGACATATTAATAGATTGCTGATAAATTCCCTTAGGATTATGAGGAACGCAAAATGAACAAACTAACTTACAGATACCCAAGAGGAGAATCTTATCTTGATGTGATCAGCAGAGTAGAATAAATAATTTTTGAAATTGAAAGATCAAGATTACCTGTTATAGTCATTGCTCATCAAGCCATACTGAGATGTTTGTATGCTTACTTTCATGAACACGAAGTACCTGAGATACCTAAATTAAACATTCCATTACATCAGGTTATTAAATTAGTACCTGCTGCATATTATTGCAAAGAAACAAGAATAAAAATTGATCCCATGACTGGACATTGGGAAATTCAAGATGAAGCTACAATAAAGAAGGTTAAATCATTCCTTGATTTGTGAAATGGTAATAATAAAATAATAATTTTTTTCACTCTTTCAATATCCACTTTTTCTTATCTTAACTAATAATTACGTTTGGTTATTATTGAATATGCTTCACAATCTATGTTTTACATTATATACACTTACCTTCTGCCATAGAACATTAGTTAGTTGTTTTTCATAAAATTTTTTCAATTATTTAAGTTAATCATCTATGATGAGATATTTCTGCTATTCAAGATTATTTAATAATGATTGCGAGACAATGTTCACAAACACATTCATTTATTCCTCATCCTAAACATTTCCTGATTTCATTATTTTATATCCTATCACTAAACCCGCAGTCAATCCTAAAATAACTAAGCCTAATATTATGATGTTTAAATAGTTTCCAGATTAGCTCTACATTTATTAGCTGTTTATTTGGCCTCCATCCAAATCTTTATTTGGGTATATCATTTCACTTTTAGTAGCTCGATGCACTACTTCTGTTTAATTATCTAGTATTTCTGACTTAGAACAAGACATAGAATAAGCTTTTGGCTTCGGGGATTGGCTTTTCTCTTAAGACATATTAATACTTTATTTTATAGAAATTAATTAAATTAAAACTCTACAATTTGCGCTCTCAATTTATTATTTTCACAATTCTTAATTTTCTATAAAATAAGAGCGCACAATTCTTAATTATAGTTCAAACAACATAAATTATTTTACAATAATATGGGATTTATAAACTGTTTATTTAATTAATACATATATCTTGTAACAATCCATTATATTATTCATTTATCTAATAAGCAATTATAATTTATGGCTCATTAAGATCTATACAAAAGTCAAGGAGATGAAATATTCCAACATCTTGAAAGAAATGCTAATCTCTACCTTTAAACTTAGAACAAGCATATCTAATGTTAAGATAATTTAACACCTTAATTAATTACTCCAAAAATTCCTGAGATTTCAAGTCTAAAGGAAATTAACTTAGTCAACTCCCTTGCTGAAACTGGGAATGGGTAAATTTGCTCCGTTAAATTGATATGTCAGAAATGCAAAAAGTAAGTAATTATATTGCTTAATCTTGTTTAAAGATTCAAACTAAACTCCGCAGAAGAGTAGGAAAAGGCACATACACAGTTTCATGTCTCTTACTTCTATGTTCTTTTGGAATTTTGTGTCTAGCCTGTCTACCTTGCTATATGGATGATTGCAAGGATATCATTCATATTTGTCCAGATTGCCATCATCCAAATGGATCAACGCCATACTAATTTTTTGAATGACATATATTTATTTATTATTATATGTCAACTTCATATTTTAATTTGAAATGGAGGCAGTCCATCAATTAACTTATGGAGGCCCTCCAAATCGAAATGGATCCATTAATTGAGAACCAGGTCAAACAAAATCTAAAGTTAGTAAGGCCTGATTAGGAGTGGTTTGTATACTATGGGAAGTTATACTTATTTTACGTTGATGCATATAAATCACTTGAAACTTGTTATGATTAATTGTTACACCCTTAAAAAAGACGTTTATTAAAGAAGATGCTTGAAAATACCATGTTAAGATAAATTCAAATCAAGCAGGTACATTCATGATTTTAAATTATATAGGCCATGATTTTCTATTCAACTTAAGGTAATGTGATAAGATCAGATTTTGTAAATTTGCATTAGGTAATTTTTGATGAAAAGAGACTCATAGAAGATACTGAAGTTTCTTTACCTCATTATTTTTCAGATGAGCAAAATAGAAAACTTGCTTATCGAAAATAAATGCTTAATCATTTTTTAAATGAATTTCATGATACTACTTAACCAGAAGAAGAAGTGTTAGTAGACAAGGCTGTTTTGGAAAATATTGAATAAGCTATATGGTTTATCTAAAAGAACGAGAGAGGAAGATAAGGTATTGAGAGAGTGCTCTTGGCAAAACAATTGAAAAAGCAAGAAATAAAGAAACAAGAGAAACAAAAGAAATTGCAAGAAGGATTGGAAGTGCATGATTCTACTGAGAGAGAAGAAGCCATAACAACGATCTAAAAATACTATAGAGGATTTAAAGCTAGAGAGATAGTTTGGGATTTAAGAGAGTAGGAATCACTATTTTTGGGATTTACATTGGAAAAACAATTACAAGAAACTGATGCTTATAAGACATATCATCTGTAGAGAGAGAAGATGAAAGAGAAGCAATAGGAAAGATTATAAGAGTATAAAACAGCCTTAGTTGAAGCAAAGGATAATTTGATGAATGATTGGTAAGATGATATCTAAAATTAAATGTTGGCTGAAAGAAGAAGGTGGTATATGAGTGAAGTCCAGAAAGCAGAAGGTAAATTAGTGCCACCAAAAGTTGCTTAATTTTATAAAAAAGATTAAGTGAGATTGCCATTGACTGAAGAAGAATAAGAAATGATGGATTTGTTGGATAAGGAAAAGAAAGCAGCTAAGAAAAATAAGGGAAAAAAGAAGAAGAAGAAGAAGCAAGAAGATGAAGATATTAGAGTAGAATAAGGGCCTACTGAAGCTATTGTAAAGATGTAGGATTTAATTGAAAAACATAATCATGAATGGAGAAATGATTAATTAAATCCTTATTAAAAGCATGAAAATTCGTTATTAAAGGGAGAAATTGCAAAAGGAGTAGAAAAATAAATAAGAGAAGTAGTAGATGAAATGATTGATATGGAGTTAATCAATTTAAGAATTGCATTGAAGGCAAAGAAAATGAAATATCCAAAAAAAAAGAAATCTAAAAAAAAGAAAGCAAAACCAGCTGCAAAAGCAGAAGAAGATGATCTGTTAGAAGAAGGAGAAATTAATTTTGGTTTTAGAAGTGTGGCAAAGAAGAAGAAAAAGAAATTCCCTGGGGACAAGGGAACTGCAAAGAAAGATCCTAGAGATATGTTGGCTGAATTGATTGAATCAGGTATAGCTAAGAAATTAGAACCAGCAAAAATATCAGATCTCATTGGAAATTGTAATCCTTTAAGATAAAAATAAGAAATGTTACAAGAATAAGTAGCTGATCCTTCCATTTATGATTTAAGGTAGGTTTTAGTTCAATTTGTTGGAATGCCATTAGGATCTCCGTATATTAAGGACAATGTCAAAGAAAGTAATTATGTCTTATTCTATGGGCCTCATGGTTCAGGCAAAACTCATGCAGTTAGAGCATTATAAACTGAATGTGATGCTTTGATCCTAGATTTATCACCTGCCAATATAGAAAACAAATATTAAGATAAACCTGATTATTTGCTATCATTAGCATTTAAAACTGCTGCCTGTTTCTAGCCTGCTATTATATATATTGATGAAATTGAACGCATTTTCAAAGGTAAGAAAAAGAAGAAGAAGGGTGATTAATAGCCATCATCTGCAGGAGGCATGAATTGGGTTAAATTGAGAAAATACTTATTGAAATATGGGAAGTATTTCACTGAAAAGTAGAAAGAAAACGTTACTATCATTGGTTGCAGTTATGCTCCTTGGAATGCTAATAAAAAACAAATGAAATCCTTTTTCAAAAGAAGAGTCTATTTCCCTTGTCCAAATTATGCTACAAGAATAATGATATTCTAGAGGTTTTTTGAAGAAAGAAAGATTTAACTACATCCCAATTTCCCCTTGAGTTCTTTGGCTCATGCTACAGAAGGATTTACTGCAGGAAATGTATTATATTGAATTAGGATTTTAGATCAAAGAAGCACTCAGAAAGATATTGACAGAGAGACGTTTAATTTTGTCTGCTGAAATCCCATATCGAATAAGCGAATTCGTTGATCCATTAGCTGTTCAACAATCTACATTCTTGTAACAATATCAAGAGTTTCGAAAATTACATGATGATCTCTCTGGAAATAAGGCAAGAATTGATAAACTCAAGAAACCAGCTGACGATGAAAAAGGAAAGAAGAAGCCTGGCAAAAAAAAGAAATGACTAATATTATCATTATTCAAATAAATAATTTAAATAATTTTACTCAAAATCAAAGTTTGATTAATTATTTATTATTAAAGTTTATTCTAAAAGTATGTAACAAACTCATTAATTACTTGATTCGATTGAGAGAAAAGTACAGAATTGTGTCATAAGAGACTAACAATATGAAAAATTACTTTTTAGCGGAAGACCTTCACATATTGAAAATACAGTTGACAAATAATAAAAATAATTGGGAGATTCAAAAATTACATTGCTTGATCATCATTACTAGAAAAAGTTTGAAAAGATGGGCCAGAGATTAGAAAATTTAGAAAAAGAGAAGGAAGTTAAAGTATAAATATCTAGAGAACAATAAACAAGTGATTTTGAGTAGGAAGAAGCACGCAGCGTAAAATTAATAATAAACTAGATTAGATAGTGAATTTGAATAGAACCATCAAATTATATTCATCACAAATTTCATCGTTATAAGAGCAAATGAAAAGAATGTAAATGAACTATTAGAAATAAATCTAAGATCTACAAATATAGCTCAGAAAATATTAACTTTGATTTAATTTCTTATCTTAAAAATCCAATACTAAATTTAATTTAATTTCTATAAATTAATCATTATATTTATATTAACATTTATCATAGTTTTTACTTTGATTCTCCTTTTAATATAATGAAATGTATCCTCTAGTTTTAGAAACACTTCAATATTATTACCATAAGTGATGTTTTTACCCAAATCTTTTGTGTTTTAACATTTATTTAAATTACTATAAATTTTGTAGAAGTATTAAGAAAATTGAATATGTTAGATTCCATTATTAATTCTTTATTTCTAGATTAAAAATAATATTTAATATGAAGTCATTTTTTAGAATTTCTCTGTTAAAGTAGAATTTTTGATTCCAATAAAACTTAATTCTCCTCTAAACAATCTAGTCTTCTTAATAATTTATTGATTTAATCCTCCTATTTTTTCACTTTTTTTATCACTATATCTAAACAATCATGATTATCTTTAACTTTATAAGTTTCTAGACATTTCTAGCAAACCCGAGTTCTGTGTTCGCATGATGTCTTATGAGGCTCAATTTTTATCAAACTATCTTTAAATAAACAATCTGGATATGGGCATTTAGTTTCTATATATTCACATTGTTTCAGATGAGACTCTAAGTTTTATAGCTACATTTCTTTAGGGCATCCTTTATTTACACATTTTACTTATAATTCAGAGATTTAATTTCTTAATATTCTATGAGGAGCATTCAATTACATTCTTTTAGTGCATTCAAATGGACAATTTTCTATTTATTTATAGAATGATTTTTTTACTTTTTTTCTTTAACCATTCGTTTATGCATATTGAACAAAAATTATTTTAACATTAACTGCATTCATTTGGATCCCAAACTAGTTGTTCACAAATCACACAAATTAAGTTTTTATTTAGGTTGTTAGGGTTAACAATTATTTCTCTTAATTTTGATGAAGAAAGGAATGATAGATTCATGAATTGATTTTATAAATTAATTTCTATTATTGATTAATACGACATAAATTACTTAAATAATAGAATTTAAATACACTTTTTGAATAGAATTAAGGCAATCCCACTTAATCTAAATAATTTAAGGACCTATAAATTTAAATAATAATAAATAATCATTAATAAACTTAGATTACATCTGAAAAAATCTTCGATTGTAATTTGAACACGACTTCTAATTGAAAACTTTAATTTTTGAGATTTTAAGTCTAATACGATTGTAAAATATATTGATGATTTGAACTTTATTTTCATGTCTTAGTTATTAATATCTCAAAATAGATTTTATAAGATTTCAAAATGATATAAGAAAGTTTTCATTTGAATTTGGTATTAATGATGATTCATAATTTATAATATTAAAAATGCCTCCGAAGAATAAGAAAGAAGAGGAAGCAGCTAGATTGGCAGAGGAAGAGAGGAAGAGACAATTAGAAGAATAATTAAGGTAGGAGGAGGAGAGAAAATACGGATGTGGTCGATACAGGACAAAGTAATAGTTACAGAATATGTGAAGTATGGGATTGCCAATTAGTCAATATATAATAAATGAAGTATTTCACTTAGAGGATGCGAGCATTTTGATAAAGGAATATTTGTGCAAGGTAGAATAATTAATGGAGTATTTAGATTTTGGAGAGGAATCATTGTGAAAAGTTGAGAGACATTGATATTGAAATTGCGGGGGAATAATTGATCAATGATTTTAGTGTTTGTTAGGATTTCGAATTTGGTGGAGACCAAGCATTAATATTCATTAATATGATGTTTTTAGTTTACATCAATCAACATGAGAAGTTTGGGAAGTTGGTGGAAGGGGGATTGACAAGAGGGAAATCATTGTAGGGAGACAGAAAACTATTTTAATAATTGCTATCTCAACATAGTACTGATGGATAAGGATGTCATAAAGTATTTGTGGCTAGGTAATTGCCACCAATTATCGATTATATTGAGAAGGGTAGATAAGATCTATATAATATTAGGTTATCTGTCTCATTGGTTGTTATTACATCAAGCACACTCTCATAATCAAAGACCATTAGAAATTTAGGTTGATTTACAAATTGAGTTGCCCTTGCCACAACCTTCTCTAGAAGATCATACATATTACAAGCCTATTGTGGCCGATGACACTTAATCTTTTAAAAAGACTGAGATGGAAGAGTAGGAAGTGGAATACCATGAACCTACAGATGAGGAGTTACTGGATTCTGTGATTATGAATGCCATTCAGGATAAATTGAGTTTGGCATAATAAGAACTGGAGACGAGGTTGAAGGATAGACAAGTTGAGATTGAGTCTAAACTCCAAGAAATGGCAGCAGCATTAACTAAGAAGAAAAAATGAATATAAAAATATTAAAATCTTTTAATTATGATTAAATATTTATAGAGATCTCTCTTTAGAATTAGTGATGAGTATGAATACCTCAAATGTAAGGATATTTTCAAGTCATAACTTGGACAATTTAAGAAGGCTCTAAATAAAGGTATAACCAATCCATCAATATTTATTAGCAATCTAATTACAAAAGTAAATTGATCAGAATACTCAAGCAGCCTACAAAATGTAAAGTCATGCTTTCTTCACTTCTAATGTACCTTCTAAAACTATTCTGGCTGCATTCCTGTAAAAAAGAGAATACTCGAATGAAGAAATTGTTGGATAAACATTTGTTCAATTAGGACATGCTTTAAAGGGAAGAGGAGATAGATCCTACTTTGATCATAAATAAATTGAATCCTCCATGGGTTTTGATGTCCTAATTAAAGACCTATTAAATTTGAATGATTATAGAATTTTGGCCGAAGGAATTCATGGATTGGCTCTCACAGGAGTCGATTTACACAGCGAATAGATTGTTGAAAAGGCATTTTAATAATTAGATGCTAAAGAGTTAAATTCTGAAGAAAAATAATTAATTGAAGCATTTATATTAGATATCTTTGAAGAAAAAAAAGATGTGCCTATGAACAATTTCATTTATGAAGTTGAAAAGATGATTGAAGAAACACAATCTGATATCTTCTATGTTTTGGAAGCAATCGTAGAAATCAGAAGAGTTTATTTAAAATTACTTGATATCTAAAAATCTGATTGGATCCACGTTAATACTAACATTAAAATGATGGAATTTGAAGAAGCCTTAGTATCTACAGGTTTGTTGCATCCTGTTGAAGTTGAAAAGGAAGACATCTCATTATCATTAGAAACCGCACTTTCATATATTTCAGGAAGAGACCCAAATCTAATGGCATTTATCATTTCTCTATTAGAAATAAAATTAATTCATAAAGATCAAATAAAACCTGTGGAGCCAAAGTTATCTGATTTTGGAAATTTGATGGTAGCAGTGTCTGAATACAAAGGACATCAAATTGCAGAAAGATTAAAGAATGCATAGTCTCTATTGGTTCATTCAGATAAATATAAATTAGCAAAGGCATTTGCAAATGCTGGACTTAATGTTGAAAGCAGAGAGTATTTAGCTTAAGTTACTGATGAAGAACTTCTTAATTCGGTAGATTCATTACATCTTCATTTATAATTGAATAAAACAGATAGACAATTCCCATTACCAGAGAATTTATCTATCCTCTCCTTAGATGAACTAATTGCTTATGCTACATATTTGGCATTGTAAAATCAAAATTATGGACTGTTCATTGAAGAACTCAAGTTCAGAGTTAAGAATTTGAATACAATTAGAGATTTGAATGAAAAATAACAGGAAAGAATTGATGTATTAGAAAAACACTCTGGACAGAAGTTAATTTATGAAGAGAAGGACATTAATCGTACTGAAGTATATAAGGCCATTAAGGAAACTTTACCTAAGTCAGTGTAATTGATTGAGATTTATGATCTGAGTTTAAATAATGAAATAAATGGATATGCTAAATTAAGAGTAGGTTCATAGCCATATATGACTTTATATGATTTCTTAGGTAAGGATAAGGAACAATTCAAGTAGAAATTGCAGTTAGCATTTAATCTAGAAAATTCTGATATCATCTTGTTTAATAAAATCAAGGATAGATTGGAGAGCGTCTAAATAGAAGAAAATAGTAAGGAATTGAGTTCATAAACAATCTTTAACGCATAATGGTAATATTTGAAGAAAAGAGCTTTGAACTATTTAAATAAGAACGACAACTTAAATAAATTGAAGTTGAAATAAACTTTACTTGATTTACAAGAGAGATTGAATATATTGAATTAGAATAATGTATTTTAAGATTTGATTGATGAAATTAAAGTTCAACCAATCAAGTTTCCAAAATGGTATGGAATGATCCCATCTTAATCAATATATAATCCTTAATCATCTATTGAAGGATTTAAGGCTAGTTTGATTAGTAATAGAATTTATGATCCTACTTATTGTCCAGACTAAGACTTATTTAAGAGATTAGAAGAGAATGGTTTTATTTCAGATGTGCTTCCAATTCCACATTCTGATAAACGTAGATAATAGATAGTTGTTGAATCGTATTCGCTTGCTTGGAAGAAACATTCAGCTAAGAAGTCAGATGAGGAGTTAGAACAACTTAATCAATTATATAAATTCTTATAGAAGGATTAAAAGGATCACCATAGCGATGCCAGCGATTTGTTCATTGCAAATCTATTGAATTTGAATGCAGAATTGAAATCTAAGAGTTTACCTGAAATTGCTGATTTTGTATTCAACATCAAATTTTGGGATAAATTGATTGAAGAGAGATTGTCAGCTAATAAATCAACTAAGCCTACTGGTATCTACTTATAAAGGGATCCAGAAGTTATTTTACATGAATAAATCAAATAATACAATCCATTTTTGACAACACAATATCTAAAGAAAAAATTGGAAGTCAATAAAACATTGGACGATCTCATTAAAATGAGAAAGGAATTATTGATGAAGTTGTAAGAAGATGTCAAGAACAAAGAAATTAACAAATAATAAGCTAAAAGTATTGTTCGTAAAATTAACAGAATTCTTTATGATAAAATTTAAGATATTAAGGGTGAATTAAGAAGAAAACATTCCTCCCCCTATTACAAATAGAAAACTAACTATATCGATATTCTATTTAATGAAAGTGATATTGAGAAATTAGATATCCAATAGACACCTGATAGATATCTTGATGTAGACTTATTGTATGGTATCAATGAATTTGTTACAAGAAAGAGATCAAGAGCAGAGGAGAAATTGATTACTTATTATTTGATGAATAAATAAATGGAAGGCAAATAATTAAATAAATAGGAATTATAATTCTTAGATTCTTTGAGTCTTTACTAACCAAATGTTTAGGTGACTCAATTAAGAATAAAGGACATGCAGTTTGATGATCTTATTCATTCAGATTTCAAACAATTTGGAGAATTCAGTGCCAGTGATCTCTTATTATAATTGAGTCAATTATTTGATGATCAGTTATTCTTGGATATTTTAAGTCACAAATATTACAAAAAATTAGGAATTTAACATCAATTTAGAAGAAGAGACAATTAATTGTATTTGTAATAATAGGAGAAATTAGTTTGGATTGAAGAGTCCAGATTAAATGATGTAGAATTAAAAGATCTTAAAGAAATGTTACAAATAGGCAATGCCTCAGATCAACATGTTGAATCATTGAATCAAACTGATTACCCTTTGTAGAATGTATATAGTTGGATACATGCAAAATCAGCTGAAAAGTTTGACTTATCACTTTTGGATTAACATAATTAGGAATTATGGAATAATATATTCAAATGTCAATATGAAAATACAACCGAATAATAATTACATGATGTGGTCAACTTATTAGTCGAAAGGTACTATATCTTGCAATTCCATCCTGTTACATATCTCAGATAGCTCTTGAGAATGATCTTGACTCATCCCAATTTATCTGCACTTGATAAAAAGGTAACAATCTTCAATATGTATACTATAGAATCTGTAGTGCTTGAAGAAGACTGTTGGTTTCAATTCTGAAGATATATTGGCTATATCCAAATCTGAACGAGCTGCTACTGTCCCGTCCTATTTAAGTGAAATGTGCTACCCTTATGGTGAGAAATTAAGTATAATTTGACGTACAAGGATTTATATATCTATAATAATTATTCATATATTGTTATTATTCAATCTGTATATTATTATTACTTTGATTTAGATATAATTGGTTAAATTATTTGGAATATCTTGAAGGATATAGATGAATATTATTGAGATAATTCTAGATCATTAATTAATATCTTATAAATTATTGTAAGTTAACAGATAATTGTAAATTCATACATATTAAAGTACTTCATTTTAATATAATGGAAATTAGTAATATTTAAATGTGATATCTTTGAATTAATTAATTATAATTTAAATGATTGAATAAATTGTGAAGTTGTGTTTGTAGAATTTACTTGATTATTCAGATGAAAGGAGAGAGATGATCTTGGAACTTGAATGCTCTGCTAAGTTGTAGCGATCGAGAGACTGTTAAGGTGAAACCAGAAGATGTTCATTTTATATAAAAAATTTACTTGATGTTAGTAGTGACAGAATATAGGAGTTGAAGACTTTGTTAATGAATGCATTGCAGTATTCGTTCTAATGGATATCAGATTAGCAATATGCTAATTTGGCTTAGGATATTTTATAGTTATTCGATAAACACAACATTGATTTTGAGATGTCAGATATAAACAATTTTGTGTAATATCCAAAAATATGTTCATTATTAATACTGATAGCTGCAAGACATAGGAGATATATAGATTGTTCTTTCTTGCTTACGAAATTAAATGAAATAGATCATATTGATTTAAGGTTGGTGATAAATTCTATGTTATATATGGATTTAAAGGAGGAATAAATAGTGAGATAGATGATGTAGATTTGTTTGGAGAATGATTATTTCAAGGAGATACAGATACTGTTGTTGAATCCAAATCCTCATAAGTAGATATTTGAATTGGCCTTCAAAATATTCTCATAAAGCAACCATTAATGTTGGATGCAGTCAGTAGTTTACATGCAAACCAACTATTAGTGTGATAGAGAGAGGATTAAGAAGTAGATCACGTAATTTGATAAATTGAATTAAGGATTAATTTAATTAATAAATTCCATCATTGATTAATAATTAGGAAATCAATTGGTTAAGATATTGGATAAATTGGAGGTTAATGAATACTATTTTGATTTGTTGACAATATTGTTATTGAATGATATACAGGAGGGGATTGATTATAGAGAGTAATTAAAGAAAATTCCAGATGATTATTTTGATAAGGAAAATGATTACACTTAGGATTCATTGTTTTTATTCGTAGAAACATTGTTAGCTTTGAATATAGTGGATTAGAAGTAGAATTTGGATAGTAAATTGGAACATCATATAGAGAATTGGTCATTTAAAAATGATTCATGTAAGAGAATTTGTGATAATTTTTCATGATTCTTCAAAGAATGACCATCCAGTTATCTTATTTTTATTTTCTTCAATATCCATAAAGTTGATTCTCAAAGGTACATTATTGAAAGTCTGTTCTGTTGGTCTAGATGGTTTCAATTTTCTATCATAACAATCCTTCCAATTTATATTAGCCAACCAAGGATGTTCTCGAATTTCTTCACCATCTGAATTAGCTCCCAATCTTTTATTCGGATCTCTATTTAGAAGCTTATATATAAACAGTAATGTACAGCAACAATAAATGATTTAGCTTCAGCAGACAAGCTTCTTGGTATTTTTAATGGTCCTCTTCTAATATTATCAAATAATTGTTCACGTTCATTGGCATAATATGGAGGAATACCAACCAATAATTCGTATGTCATTACTCCTAATCCATACCAATCTGCCATTCTGTTGTGTCCCTATTTAGATAATATCTCTGGTGGCAAGTAAGCAGGTGAACCACAAAATGATTTATTTAATTCTTCCTCCGAGACTCCTTTTTTGGACAATCCAAAATCTGTTAATAGAGCATGTCCTTCTGAATCTAATACCACATTCTCTGGTTTCAAGTCCCTGAAAATGATGTTGTTTTTGTGTAAACATTCAATTGCTAATAGGATTTCTGCCACATATATTTTAGCTTCCTCTTCTGATAATTTTTTCTTTATATCAAGCAATTTAGATAGATCACCTCCTGGACAGAAATCCATTACCAAAAATAATTTAGATTCTGTCTAAAATGCATAATTCAATTTCACTATGAATGGATGATGCATTATACTCAGCACTTCCTTTTCAGTTTATGCATATCTTAATAAATTTTAAGACATCATTCGTTCTTTCTTTAATATCTTCATAGCAAATAGTTTTTATTGTTCTTGTCCTATTTTATCTACCAAATATACTTCTCCAAACGATCCCTTTCCCAATAATTGATAAAAATTGAACATATTTGGTGTCATCCTCTATTTTAAAACACTCACATTCATAAATTTAGCCAGATTCTAGAACTTCGACATTTTCTTAACAGAACTGCTTGAATTCGAATTCTAAGGTATCCCTCCTTCAGCCAACTTCTCCATTGTCATCAATTTTAATACGTGATCATACCTCCCATTCCTGAGCAGGAAATTAGTCCCAGGAATCATAGTTCTCTCATAATTCTTTCTAATTGATTAATATTATTACTTCTTCATGTTGAGCATACCCATATTTAATATACACTTACAAACTAATTGCGTCGCAGCAAATCTAGATACAGTTTTAATTGAAATTATTTCTTATATTTGGATCAGCCTTTGACTCCAATAGAAACACAATCATTTCAATTAATCCCATTTAGGATGCTATGTGCAATGGAGTGTTGCCATCCCTGTCTTATATGTTGATATTGGCTTTGTGTTGCAATAACACTTTGGCACAATCTAAGAAATTCTACATCACTGTCAAGAAGAAAGGACTCCTTTGAAATTTAGTTAAGGCATCAACTGTAGCCCCATGTTTTAATAGGATGTTCACAATCTCCAGATTCCCTTCATTTGATGCGAAATGCAGAGCTGTCCAATCATCGAGACCTCTAAGTCGATATGTCAAATTATGGTACTTTGTATCTATATCAAGGTAATAATCCATGGATGGGATTAGCAATGTCTCAATTGATTGTGCATCACCCAATTCTGCATAGTCCAACAGATGTTCATTCAGTTTTTTACTCAGCAATCTATTTAGAAATGGTGAATACATAAAGTCATTCCAAGCCTAGTCTTTGATAACATAAACAGTATTGCCATTCATAATGTCTTGTATCTCATTTGCTTACTTGATAGATAGGAATTTGATACCTCTGGAATTCTCATATCAAAAATTCTGCCTGAATCCTTATCAATCATATAATACATTCGCTCTTGATTTGGCATGTTGTAAAATTTTTACAATTAATTTTCTTTATGTTATGTATATCGTACTTCAAACACTTATTATAACATTGTCATCTAATCCCTTAAGGTAATAATCTTGTTACATCATCATGTCCATATTCGCCATTTGATTGTTGAATACATCACAATTTTCCATTGAATAACACGTTTAGTTTGAGTACCTAGTCAATTTGCTTGGTCTATATTCTGGTTGATTTTGTGGAATTTGCATTATAATTTTTGTATTCGAAATTTAATTCTAAATTGTACTAATAGAAATTTAATCTCAAAATCAATTTTATCATTTCAATTCAATAATATGGAACAAAATTCATTTGACGTATTCCCATCAAATAACACTCACAAATCAACTGCATACATTTATCAAATTAATAACACGAAAACATTATTGTAAATATTCAAATAAAATTACAATAATAAATATATATACCTCACTTAAACATTGACTCATTCATCCTTCATCAAAGCTCCTCTTGCAGCTTTACCTATGCTTTAAAGTAAATTATTGAAAAATTTATCCAATGTAATTTATGTCACCACTTCTACTTGATTTGGCAATGATGTTTCAAAGAAATTAACATATCCCTTACAATTACTATTCTCTTCTATTTCCACTCCGTATTTTTCAATTTTAAATTAATCCCTATTAGATAGGAAATATACTCCCAACACTAAAACATATTATTCGATCAATTACATTTATGCATAGAGAAATTACTTTACTCTATCATGCCAAGAGCCCAATTGCTTAATTTCTTATCATATTATCTTAAAGCATCTAGATATTTTTGTGGAATTTCTTATTCTGCTTTAGGAATGAATGTGATATGTATGTTGTTGGCTTAAAGAATTTCCAGAAGGATTTGTAAAGCTTCTGGATCACAATTATAATTTGGATCACATCCATCTGTGTCCCCACCAACAATTATGACTCTTCCTATTGACTTTATTCTTTCAGGGAATCTCTAAAGTAATTTTGCAAAATTAGTAGCTGCTCCTAACAACAGAAGTGTAAACTAAGATTTACATTACTATCTATACAGTTGAATTCTTGCTTCGATATTCAGTTTAAATATTAAGCTCCTTAGTTAAATCTTGACTAAATATAGGGATTTGATGGTCAGGAAATATACTGGCTTGGTACATTCCATCCCCATGTGAAGTCACACATGAATGATTATTGTATGGAAGATCTAATCCTTGTATGACTGGAATGTGATATGGCATTTAGATATTTGTAGTTAACTTCAGAACATTTTCTCCTGCTTTTTCAGCTCTAATTCATTAAATTAATTACGATGTCTTTCCGTAAATAGTTGAAATTCCTAATACATTGAAGTTGAAGGCTGCATACAGAATTGCCAATGCCTGAGCATCTCCAGAATCTAGGATGTGCATATATTGAATACCTGTATCAATCCACACTTTTTCTAAGTTCTTCTATACAGAGAGAACACATGGAATCAAGAAAATTAATAACATTATTTTTAATATAATTTGTTTTTATTAAATTCACATTAAAACTAATTTGAGATATTAAGTCACAATTATGGTCATTGTTTTTTGTATATATTGTCATTTAACATTAATTCTATTCTATTTTATCAAATATATACATAAATATTATATAAGTGAAAATGGGAATGCTTTTATTTATAATCATTACAAAATTTTATGAATAATCAAAATTAATATCAAAAATAACTTAAAAATTTATCATTCTTTTTGTGAGATCCAAAAGCTGAGTAACTTGTATAATAATAATAAAATTATCTTACATTCTTCTTTGGGGAGATTTGGACGTATGAATTCTTTTAGGGGGCTAGAATTGTGAGAATATATCTTCATTTTCAGAGTGACGAGTAGGAAGTGTGTTTCGACTACAACTCAACGTCTTTTTTAATTTAGCTCTTAATTATTTGCTTGTTGGATTCCAGGATCTTTAAATAAGAGGAACAGTGTTAGTTGTGGAAGTCACAAAGGTTGGAGAAGTAAAAAAAGGGTTAGTAGAAGTGATTTAGAGTACAGTTTCAAGGGATTCAAAACTCTGCATTTGAGTAGTTTTTTTATTGATTGCACTTTAAACCCTGGTAATCAAAATCTAGTTTTCTTCAAGATTGGTAGTTTTAACTCTCTACTTCTTTTCGGCTCCAGTCCATACCTTTCTGGATACTCTATCTCTGATTTACTCAATTAGACTTGTATCAACCATTAAGAATTTAGATTTGGCATCAGTTGGTTTTTTCTTGAGATGATACAACATATTCTAATGAGCAATTTCAGTTTGTAAGAGTATCTTAGGTTTCTATGATCTAATGTCATTCTTGTCTGGTCTATCATGTGGATCTTTGAATATCTCTTACACAGTTTTTCTTTCAGTAATCATCAATTGGGGTGGTTCCTATTTTTGATGTTCATGTTATGCCAGTATAGAAATGATGTTATTTTATCTGTTATTCATATATTCAGAAATTAAAGAACTCTTGTCTTTCAGTAATTTCACAATGTCAGGGAAGTTCTTTTTGAGATTATTGAATTCATTAACCTCCATGTAATATGCTGATGTATTATCCAAGACCTAACAAGAATACAATCGACAAGGAAGAGATTCGATTATCTCTTCTTAACCAACAAATGCATTATCTGATAATTGACTTAATATGATCTTCTTCTTCTTTCTACTGGCATGTTGAGTAATCATTTCCTCTGAAATATACCTATATAATTGCACTCTACCCTTCAAAATCAAAAAATAGAATTTGGGTTCATCTCCCTCCTTCCATAATATTGTTTATGCTGAGAATTGAATGGTTCTCAAGTTCTAAATAAATTTGGTAACTGTAAATTTGCTAGCTCCATTAAACAATTTCATAAAATAATCCACATTAGCATTCTATTCCTGAATCTGTTTCTCACAAACCAATCTATAATCATGTTTATTCATTGATATCAGATGTGCCTCCTCTGATACTACCACTATGCTTGCTGATCTTGGCTGATCATGAATTAGTGCTTAATCACCAAAACACTAACCTGAATAATATTGCCACACTTTCTTAAACAAAGGAACTCCATTATTATAGTACATAGGATTATCTGTTAACATTCTTAAGGCTAAATCGTATCTGTTTAGTTAATTCAATACAACACTCTTCATTTTCTTTAAAGAATTGTTTGCACCATTGTTAGCCTCACTACTCTACTAATTCAAGATGTCCAAATCATTCTCAATATCATCATTTGACCGTTTCATGTATACACCTACTTCACCATTCAGTAACAAATAAAATCTATCTCCATAATCTCCTTGATTCATTATTGTTTGCCCGAAATTGTAATGTTCATATTTGAAAAATTAAGCAGCATACATAGCAAAATCTCTTACCTTCATACTCTTTTCACATTGTTTTTGTATGAAATCTATTTAAGACAAAGAGTCAGCCACTTATTGTGCTTGAGCTACTGTATGTAATGAAGTATACATTCTATATACTTATACTGCTGGTTATAAATTGATTTCATTCTATTTTCGAATCAAATCATGATCTGGCTGTTATTCTTAGAAGATTGATCTTTTATTTTTCATTTATTTTATTTATAAAATTTAGACTATATTCAATATACTACATCAAACGATGAATATGAACATATCAATTTCGATGAATTGGATGAATAATTTATTAAAGTTCTGTTTTAGAATATATATATATATTTATAATTTAATAGATGAAAATTCATAAAAAGGCTGCTTTCAATGAGATTTTTGTAAAACATGATGCTCACATCAATCGATACATTAAACGGATTATTTAATTGTTTGAAGAGGGGTAAATATTTAATAATACTCTAATAAAGCATTCAAACTGTTTTAATACATGGGATGTCTGCAAGTATTGAAAAATGCGTGAGGATTGCTTTATAAATAAATGATCAATATTGTGGGATCACCTATAAGATAAAGACTAGCTCTCAGGATAACAAGTCCGGTATCCACATAGAATTGACCAAATAATTATTAATATGAGTTCTTAAGTTAAGAATTATTAATTCTTTACATAATAAATTCTAATTAATATCATGCAATAGGCATCAACTTAAGATTAATTCTCTTTTGTTAGTCCTCCCAACTAAGATAATCCAACTCAAATCACCATCTTCTAGTCAAGTGCAATGTAAACCTCAATATTCATTTTTAGATTTGGATAAGATACTAAGGAAACTTCAATTATATCGGTTACTAAACACACTCCCCTAACTCCAAATCAGCACTTATACAATATTCTTGAATAATTTGGCAGCACTTTAGCAAGGTGTTTGGCCTTGAAAATGATCGGCATACAGAGTTATTTGAAATAATCATTTGAATACTTAAATCACAACATTCAGGACTTGAAAATGCTTATATTTAATGCATAGGTGATGTATGCTTCTAAAAACCAGACGAAAGAATTTGAATTGGCTAGAGATGAATAATGCACTTAAATCTAAGCATTAATCAATGGAATTGAAGATGACAGCTGCAAATAGGCTCTATCTAATTTATTAGGCAAAATAGAAGAAGTTAGATTTTCAAGTTAATATACCTTAAAAATAGCAGAACTGCTTGAAACTGAAACTATTTATTTTCGAGTAATTGAAGAAGATAAAAGCATGAAGACTTTCATTGATTTAATCAAAAAAGACTCTATCATAATTGCCTAACAGCTTTGTCCTTATCTTATTGTATTGAGTGCAGTATTTAAAGAGGTGCTTAAGTTAGATATGATTCATTAAACATAATAGAATTCTTATAGTCTAGAAAAATTTGTAAATCATCTACAATAATTAAATAAAGACTAGGACATCTCATCATATTGTGAAATAATCTCGAAAATTTACCCTAGGCTTAAGGATCACTTTACAGAAATAGAAGAAATTAGAGGTAAAAAAAGGAATTATTTTCAATGTCAGTTAGCGGATGAAGATAAGGATATTTTAAACTTGTTTTATGACAAACAAAGCATTTATGTGCTGTAATTTCCACTAGATAAGGTACTTCCTGAAGAAATATGTGAGTTGATTTAATTGACATACTTTTTAATTACTCAAGGATAAAAGAAGGTTACCTAATAAAATATAGAGACTAAAATCTAAAAAATATTATAGAATGAATAATTTAAACAGTATTCGTTCATTTTTGACTTGATTGCTGATTGTGTTCATCAAAGCTAATTGAAATTGCTATTTTATGGATATGTCCAATGCATTCTAGATACTAGATTTATCAAATTTACTAGTCACCTTCAAACAGACTTAACAACATTAAACTAATTATCTCAGAAGCCATAAGCAATGTTGACTGAGTAACAATTGTAATAATTGAAAGACATGCTTTGTATAACAAGAAGGTAGAATTTACAATTCCAAGACTTCACTTAGATAATCAATTCAGCAGGTTAGATTGAAACTCTGGTGGCAACAAAATATCAGGAAGCTCTTGAGGAGGCAACTATTGAATTAGAAAATTAGTTAAAGGAGAGTCATGAGATCAATGAGTTGATCATCAATAAAGAACCCGCAGCCCTGTAAATAAGGGCTAAGAAATTGAAATCACTTATGGAATTGTTTCTTAGATTCTACAAAGTGTCAAATGAGACTCTTTAAAAGTTGTTCCTTTATTATGAAAAAGTCTACGAGATCAAATAATAACCATCCACCATTTTCCAAAAACAGAAGGTGCCAGTTGCAAAAGATTATTTGAGTACAGTGTAAAATCAAAAGAAGACTCAGAATTGGATTGAAATACAGAACCAAATCTTAAATGATGAAGTATTGGGAACAGAGAAAAACTACTATAGACCCAGTGTATACAAAATATTTAAGGGTTTGACTAATCAATAAACAATTCCGAGTTCTGCATCTTTGCAAAAGATTTTGAGGAGCTTTTAAGCTAAGTATTAGAACACATATGCTAATTAAATCCAAAGTGATTTTGTTAATTTATTGAAGGAGATTATACAATATTCATAAGACAAATAAGTCATCACCTTTGAAACAAATTTTAGAAAATATTACAAAAAGGAATTCAAAGAGTAATTGATGGAGTTGCCTCAAAATTAATTTGAAAGTTTGACTTACGCATTAAAAGTGGTTTAAGCAATAGAGGATTAATAGCAATAAAATAATTGATAATAAATTATAATAGTATAAAAATAAAGTGCAATAAACATGAAAGTCATTAGATTTAAATAAAACCTTCAAAAATAAGATATCAATATTTAGTATAAGGTTCTTTATTAATTACAATTCTCGGTGCTGCTACTCTAGGTTCTACCGGTGGTTTTTTGCCTTATTAAGTTTGTAATTGAGGTCTTTTAGGAACTATGGGTTTTTGAGCAGATTGTGGTCGAATTTATTTCTATTGGACTTTTTGATTTTCTTTAGGAGAATTGATAGGTTAGGGTTAGGGTTTTGGTGCAATGATGGATTAAGCTTTCGCAGGTTGTTAAGGAGGAATTTGCTTTAATTTAGGATCCACTTCTTTATTGGCAATTTCTTCCTTAACTTTTCGGATATCATCCATTTGATCGTTTTCTTATCTTCTTTTTTCAGGTTTGGTCCAATCGTAAATGTAATCCAATTACAGGTTTTATTTTTGTAACGTTTATTTGAAGAGATTCCGTAAATAATTATAATCTGGTTTCTCTTCAAATTTCAATTTCTTAACATAATTCAAGTACAAAGCCATTTCCTCAGGTAATCCTGAACAGAGTTGCTCAGTTGTTGTCTTAATTTTCTTTTCTTTGATGAGAACGTATTTGTCATTTTTATTGTTACATACAAGGTTCATCCAGGGTAGAGTGCCTTTGGCTAAATAAACAAGAACATAAGCCAAGCCTTCAAGGTCGTCTCTTCGACTTTGTTCATATCCCAAATGAGTATTAATACTTGCATAACGAGCAGTCCCTGTAAGTGGTTTATTTTCTTTAAATGGAATGTGTCCATCCTTGGTCAAATATCTTTTGGCTAATCCCATATCTACGACATAGAGTTTGGCCTGCTTCTTGCCTATGCCCATTAGGAAGTTATCAGGCTTCACATCACGATGTATGAAGGATCGTGAATGCATTAATTCAAGTCTGGAAACCATTTGTTCTGCAAGCATACACACCTGAATTTATATTGATAATACTGTTTTAATTGATAATTTGCGATGGCATTAAGCAAATAAATCTTCAATTGATTTTCCCAAAAGCTCCATTACCAAGTAATTATAATCTCCTTCAGTTGCTGCTCCAAATATCTTGGGGATACCTGAGAAAGTGAATTTAGTAGATTACCTTTGTCTAATTATTGAGAATCCTGATGAAGGAAAGCATACACCTTGGCCTCATATAGAATCTGTGGATATTGGCAATTGGTTCTTTCTAATTTTATAGCGTATTCCTCCTTCTGTTTATTTTAAGCCAAGTAAATCTCTCCAAAGGCACCCATTCCTAAACGCTGGATGAGCTTGTAATTCTGTTGTTATAAGTAAGTATTTGATAAGTTTCGGTTGCCCAATGGGATTATCCATTTTTAATTTATTGATTCTAATAATGACATCAATTACTCTAGTTTATTTAATGGATCTCAAATAGTGAATCCTATTTTAATCCCAACGCATATCGATAGTTAATCAAAGTAAATGCAATTTAATACTACCACAAAGATACCTCAAGAAGGAGAGTCTCTCTCTTATTTGATTAATCAAGGGCAAAAATGAGTACCTAAAGAATGTCTTTTAAAGATATTATATTGGAGTTGAGTATGACAACATTGAAAAAGCAACAACAATTTGAGAGCATTGTGAAAACATTAATAAATATATTAATTCATATTACCAATAAAAATAAATAAATTTATTATGGAGTATAGACCACCTATGCAACCCAATAGGGAAATCCCTCAATCCATTTCGCAAATTCAATAGGAATAAAGAATGAAGTTCCAATTACAGCAGATTCAGGCCAAGATCATTGAAGAAAGACCCAATTTCTAAGACATGCAAGGTGGACAACCTCCAAATAAACCCTGGTTAGGAGAGGACATCTACATGGTTGTATTTCTGCTTACTGTTGAAAATGATCGATTGAGAGAAGAAAATACTCACGTTTAGCAACTACTTAATACTAGCGAGATGAGATACAAGGGAGTCGATTTAGTTGAAAATGAAGTGATATCTCAAAGAGTCAAAATAGGGGAATACGAAAAGAAACTCGCCTTGTTATAAATGGAATGTGAATAATGGAGAGTTAAATATTAAAATAGAGATAAGGAAAGTGAGGATCAGAGATATCAAAATGAACTTCAAAGAAGGATATAAGTAGACAGGGAAATACGAGAACTCACAGCCAGATTCATTGCAGATAGAAATCAATTAGAATAAGAAAATAGATCATTGAGAATCGAATTAGATTAAATGAAATTATCAAAGTATTCTTTTGAGGACAACAAGAAGTAGTGTGAAGCACTGTAAAAAGAAAATTAGAGATTGAAATAAGAATTAGATACTTTAAAGTATGTAAAATACATTATTAATTTATAGGAAAGGCTTTGATGAACTAGAATATGTACTATAAAGTGCTGGAGATTTAGAGTAGGAGAATCAACATCTCAAAATTCAAATTGAATAACTTTAGAAATAATTCTAATAATTACAATAATAACAACAATCTTAAATACTTTAGAGGCCATAATCATCAAATAAAATTGAACTATGTAATCAAATCTATTAATTATAGCCAATTCAAACTACAATGTTGTTCAAGAAAATAGGAGATTGAAAGATGAAATTGATAGATTAAGAACATTACTCAATCTAGGAACTGGAAGTTATTCTAAACCATTTATGTGAATTTTATAATATAAATATGATAACAATTTTTCTACTTCTTTAATTTGAATCAAATTTATATCAATCTGCCAAACAATAGAACGACAAGAGAAAAGAAATTCAGATAGTTTAGAGATATTGATTTATATAATAACTATGTTTAGAACTTACATATAGGAATCAGAAGTTACATTATTATTTAGCAATATCTAAAATTAAATTGATTCTGGTTATTTATTAACTAAAGAAGTATAAAATTAAAAGCCATTATATCTGAAGTAATTAATAATATCAATTTTCAAGTTGATTGAATTTCATAATAAATAATATCTTTATTTTTTAAATTAATTTATTAGAATGTCTCCTCCTTTTTTAGAAGCTAATTCTTAAAATAAAATTGACATTATTATCCCGTCAACTATTTTAAATTTTATAAATCCTATATTTGCGTATTTTAATTCATTTCTACAATTATTTTAAAACAATCTAAATCTTTTTCGCAAATATAGAATTTTATACTTTCATCTACTGCTTTTAAGGTAATGACATTGTTCAATTACTGTTTTGATAAATGAGAAATAAATTAATCATCAAATAATATCTAATTTTCAACAACAAATTAATACTAACAAAGCTTATCAATTTAACATAATTCTATTAAATAATTTTTCAAATCCTTTAACTTCAAGTCTTGAGAAACCAGATAACACTCGAACTTCTTTATGGTATCTATGTAAATGTACATAGCAACTTTTGAAGTTATTTTCAATTTAATTTCAGAATAAGGTTTTATTTAAGTTTCATAAAATAATAAGTCTCTATCCAATGTTTTTTTTTTTAATAATGTTTCCTAAAAATAGAGTTGAAATTCCTGTTACAGATTGAAACATTATTACACTTATTGATATACTTAATCTATTGTTGCATATATATTGATCTCTATAGATGTTTCAACCTCATATTTGATTAAATAAGTCCCAATTATTTAACAATTAATTACATTGTCATTTTCAATGGGTAAATCAATAAGGGGTTTATCTTTATGCAGTTTATTTTATTTATGAAAGAAATTTAACTGATAGGGTGATATATTATGAGTTTTTTTGAGTTGCTTTTCTAACCAAAATAAATTATCAAAGCAATTATAATCAAGAGTAATTTGCTCTTCTTGGGTTTCAAATATGATAACAATTTTAATCTAAAAATTGAGAAGTATTTTAATCTTTGAAGCTGTACTTATTAGTAAAATTGATAAGTCATCGGTGATATCCTTTTCTTAATCATTGATCTTTAAAATGAATCTGGTTTCTATTGGAATTGATTTCTATAAACGATTCAAGGCTTCAGATATATAGAATTGCATGGGTTTTGCATAGTCTGGATTTTCATCTTCATAAATATGATTATTAAGTTGTGGAAATTATATTTGAATCATATAAATAATCATTAATAATAACTCCAAATTAACATTAAATGATCAATTTATTCAACATATTCCTGAAATACTATCATTCTGCTGCAAAGTTTTAATAGGATTAAAAATTAATGTTCATTTAATTTAAAATAGAATTCCTTCTTTACTTTAATAGGTGATAATTATTATAATTTTGAATGAATTTTTGTTTCTGCGCATAATGTTAACTATTCTATCAAATTTGAATGAAAGAAAATGAATTAGAGAATTAATTAGATATAATTAAGTTATTATTACCAGTAAATAATGATATCTAATAAAAAGGATTTGAGTCAATGGTGTGCATCATTCAAGTTTAAAAGGTACAGACTTCTGATGCATTTTCATGTTACACCTCTATCATTTTTGAGTCGTTTATCGGTCAATCGTTAATAAAGCATTCTATTTAGACTTAGATGTATTATTCAAGTTAATCAATATGAATATTATAAATTGTCGACATTTTTATGTAATATTATTATTAAAGTTTATAGGATGTGTGACTCGGATAGCGATGTTGAGATACTGGATTTTGAATAAGGGCTTTAACTTTAATAGAACACAATTGAAAATTTAGAGAAGGAACTTCAAGTAGAGGATTTAATTATTTAAGATTGTGATCACAAATAGCTCATTTTACTAATAATAAATATAAGAGTTATTATCCGAAAAGAATTCACTTAAAATAAGAGTAAAGGAATTAGAAGAATAGAACTTATAGCTAGAAAATAATCTTTAAAAATAAAATTAGACTTATTAGAGAACTATTGAGGAACTAACCTTTGAGTCATAAAAGAATGAGGAGAAACTCAGGAAACATCTAGAAAGTCTTATGGAGTAACAGAAGTAAGAGTTCGAACGAATTTTGGAAAAATAGAGTGAACAGATTAATGATTATGTGAAGAAATTGGAGAACTAGGAGGAAGAGAATAATATCATATAGAATAAGTTAATAGCTACTGAATTGTTTAATTGCAAACTATAATCAAGTCTGAGTGAACTGCAAATGGACATTAAAACAAAAGCTGAAACTAGAAAATGTGTTTAATAGTTTAATGAAAAATTAATGGGTGAAAATATTAACAATCTAAATAAAATAGAATCCCTTAGTATGTAAGTAGATGGGCTAGAAGAAAAACTCTAAAAGCTGACCTAATAACGAGATCATTTTAAGAAATAATTCGTGGATATCTCATAGAAAATTCTATAATATCAATAAGAGATATCCCAATCCAACAATAGTATGAATATGTATTCAATATTATATAGTGAAGTTGGATTTAAAGAATAAATATGAAATCTGTTCAGAACAAATGAAGAAATTTTAATAATTACTAAGGGAAAGCGTTGACGAAAACAAAAAATTAAAGTAAATCATAGGACAATTCCAATCATAAATCGAGGATTCTAAATATAAATCAGATTTATACATCAAGGAAAATTCTACTCTAAAAAATTAATTAAGTATTTCAAATATTAAATTAGACACCTTACAATAATATTACAAAGATTAGATTAGCCAATTGTAGCAAGTCTTAGCTAGTAAGGATGCACAGATTCAATAGTTGAGTGAACCTAATAAATTAACAATAAAAAAATTATAAAAACAAAACTAATCTATATTAACGATATAATAATAAGAGTAGGAGAAAAGATAATTAATAGAATAGAAAATAAAATCTTAACAATGATTCAATATATTATTCATTTCAATGCACAAATATCATTATTATCAATGTATTTCGCAATAATTCTAGCCATCTCATTAATATCAGTATAATCTGTTATATTTCTCAAAATTCTCGTTGGTTATTCATGCCATTTTTCTTCTTTAACTTACCCATTTTCAAATGTCCAAACTTTATCCTTCATTTATTCTATGAGTACCTTGCTCTCCTCTACAATTCCCTTCTCTTAAATCTTTTTGACTATTTCAGCTAATTAAGGATTGTCTCTAATGCATTTCTTTAAATTCTAATATTACCTCCAATAGTTGTAATTCTTTACAACCACTTTCACTTTCTCTTTTAATTTATCAATTTCTTAAGTCAAATTATTAATAATTGTCGCACTATTATCGATTAATCTCACAATTCCTTTTGAATCCACAATCATCATGTCTTATTTATCTAACATTAATCCATATATTCTTTAAAGGATTACATTAAATTTAAATCTTCCTAATTGTTCTTCCTGAGGAAACCATGTTTCTATTGTATTATCCAATACTGACCTAGTTAATTCATATTTATCCAAAAAAGCTTAAAATTTGGTAGTCCATGTTGAAAACCTTAGATAACTCAAAATTGCTATTTGTATTCCAAGTTAGGGATTATTTTTTTTGATTTTGATTAATTCTTTTAATTTTTCCATATTCTCCTCAATTTCATAATCAAAAAGCCAAACCAATAGAATTTTATCAGTTTTACGATTGATTTCTAGATTTTTGGGATGAGGATCGAATTCTTCATATGGTGGTCTCCATTTCTCTACAAAAGGTATATTAGCATAATTAGTGCCAAGAACTTTATCAACTTTGGGTATATTTTCAAATAATTTAGCTACCAAATCACTTATTCGATCTTACACTGGATCTTCATTGGGTTCATATTTGATGGCTTCACTTGCTGCAATCCATAATTTGATTTAGGAGATGTAATCCAAGGTTTTATAATAAGGCACTAAGATTCCATTTTCCCAATGGTGAACCTATATTTGACAAGACTCTTTTGTAATTGATATGATAATGTCTTTTTGCAAGGCGATTTGAACATTAAGAGAGAATTCTTTAATTTTCTCATTGAGTTTAGCTTTCAACAATTTGGAATCCCATTTAAGATTCTTTTTGCCTAATTGATTGGCAAATTTATCAGCCATTGAGAAGGATTTTGGGGAACTATTAATGTAAATAATTGGTTGATCATAATAAACTTACTTGTCTTCTTTGTAATAGATAGTTTTCTTTTTGATAGTAACTTCGACATCTCTACTGAAGGATTGCTTTTTTTAAGTCATGATAAACTATTTCAGTTTGACATATTCTTATTATTTAATGTAGGAGATGTTGGTAATCATATTAATTATGTTAGCTTACTTAACTTCATTTTCAATCAATTCTAAAACATCTTTTTTGACAATCTGATAATCACACTGAAATTGCAATTTATCAACATAATGCTTGTAAATTACAAATCCATCATAAAGCAATAATCCACTTAGCATAGAGTTGTGCCTTATTTCATGAGTCTATTCATCATATTATAGATCTAGAATGTTGTCATCTTCAAGAATAATGTGATCATATTCTTCCCATCCATTATTCATGATTACCTTTTTATAATTGTCAATGTTTCCTCTCACTAATCCAACCAATTTAATGCCCTTAATTTATATGCAAGATTCAAAGTTGATCATCATTTCCCCAAGACCCCATAATTTCACTAGAGTGTATCCATATTCATTCAATTCAATCGTGGATCCTCTGACAGTCTTAAATCCAATATTGATAGGATTTCCTAAACTAACACCACAGTGGAATTTGAATCCTGCCTCTTCATTAATTACCTTTATTTTCTCAAGATCCATAGGCAAAACTAAACCCAGCGAATCTATTACCTTATTACTAAATTGTATACCTTCTCTTTTTTGATGTCTTCCTTTCTAAACAAACCATCATATTTCAGACTATATGTAGTTACCTTTTATATGGCATAAGAATCAAATTCATGTAACTTTTATTTTAGATTTTTGACGACTTCACTCTTAATCTCCTTTGAGAATTCCATCTGCGGTAAGATATCCTCATTTTGTGGGCCACATTATTTGCATTTTCCAATAATTTATTAACCCATTTTATGTAATTAAATAAATATAATTATATCAATAATATTATATCTAAATAATGTCTATGACATCCTGAATTGTTTATATTATGGAATTTTACATCTATGTAAACTTTATAATAATCCTCATTTACCAGAATTTGTCTTAATAATTTATTATTATTTATTAAATTTATTTTTTATTCTTAAATATATTAATGAATAATTATAACTGTAAATATTAGTTTGTTGCTTAAATTTGACATTTAATAGATACTTAATTACTCCCACTTTATTTTCGTTGTTGTAATAATTAACCTTAATTTTGATTATTTATAATTCTGAAAACATGATATTGCAATAGATACTTCTGCCAAAAAGGACTAAATTTCAGTTTTCATCAAGTCCCTCTTTGGGTTATTCGAAAATGTAGTATTGAAAATTGAGATTATAAAAATAAAAGATCCTTTAGATATTTTAATTCATAATTCAGATTTTAGCAAATAACTCAAATTAATATTTTTACAATCATGATGAAGACTTTAACAATAGGGAATATTAATGAATTAATATAACTTTCAGAAGAGGAATTTACTAAAGCAGAAGAAAATGCTAGAATGGCAAATAGAGGTGTTGTATCCTTCTACTCGATGTTTGCAATAGCAATTCATATTGTGTTATGTGTTGAGGTTTTTGGCTACGAAAATACAGCTTCCAAGGTTTGTTCCATACTCGCGAGTGCCTTTTTCATGGTACAGCATTGCTACAACGGAAGAATTGGTTGCCTCTTCAATCTGTGCTGCGCTTTACCAATTTGTATTGCAGGGTTTGCTATAAGTAAAGTGAAATTAGTAAATACTCTCGCCTTTATCTTCCAACTTTGCATTTGGTTGGGAGAGTATTACTATTTGGTAATACAAATCAATACAGACGCTTTGCTTAAATAACGACCAAAGGCACAACAGGGAACCAATGATTAGAATAGTGGAAAATTAGTAATCAAAGTAGATGGGCTACAATTATCAAATACTCAACAATAGGAAATAAAGAAAGAGATTAACGAATTAGCAGGACTACTTCAAAATGGTTTACAACAGATCAACCATTAACAATAACATCAATAGGAGTTAGCTGAGAAATAGTAAAAATAAGAGGAAAACCCAACCTAATAAAATTGATTTATAGAGTAATTATTAAATATGATAATCCTTACATATAATATCATACTGGATCCAACAAGATTAATTTTATACATATAATTTATTATCCAATTAAAACTGGATTTTATTAATAAAAATAAATCAATAGCAATTTTATTAAATTATACTTAATTAATTTTAGCTAAATTATTTATTGTTTAATTATTCAAAAACATCTAACACCCTAGATATATGTAGCATCTATTATAAAGTTTTTTTAGCTCTACTTTAAGAAATTGATTGGATGAGAGTAATTGAATCAATATCTTAAAGGTGGCGTTAATATAGTATAAATAGAGAAGATAATTCTAAAGTCACTTAATTTTGATATTATAAAGCGTAATATGGAAGTTAATATAATAATATTAATTGAGAAACAAATTGATTGTTGTTTATTATTGTAAGTTTCTTAAATTAAGATTGAAGGAAGGATGCAACAGCCTGGAGTAATTTTTGATTTAAAATTGGATAATATAGGTGTAAGTTTGGGTCAAGATTTTTTAAATAATTTATATTGTTTGTATTGATAATATAATTTTTATAACGAAATGAGTGAAGAGATAGAACCTCATATAGCAAGGAAATTCGAGATTATCTCGAAATTAGGGAAAGGAGCATATGGCATAGTGTGGAAAGCAGTGGATAAAAAGTTGAAATAGGTATAGTTGTTTAGTTATTGTAGGTCGTTGCACTAAAAAAAGTTTTCGACGCTTTTCATAATGCGACTGATGCTTAAAGAACATTTAGAGAAGTGATGTTTTTGTAGGAATTGAATGGTCACGAAAATATAGTGAGATTGCTTAACATCATAAAAGCAGAGAATAATAAGGATCTTTACCTGGTATTTGATTACATGGAAACTGATCTTCATGCAGTGATTGTAATGATATAATAATAATAATTACAAGCGAGCAAATATATTGGAAGAGATTCACAAGAAATATATAGTTTACTAAACTCTGAAGGCATTAAAATTCATTCATTCTGGAGAATTAATCCACAGAGATTTGAAACCATCCAATATTTTGTTGGATTCTGAATGTTTGATAAAGGTGGCCGATTTTGGATTAGCCAGAAGCTTAGCTCAAACAGAAGATGATAGTACTAGATCAGATTTAATATATTTGTAGGTTAAATAGTGTTAACTGAATACGTAGCAACAAGATGGTATAGAGCACCTGAGATTCTGTTAGGGTCTACTAAATACTCCAAGGCTGTTGATATGTGGTCAGTTGGATGCATCATAGGTGAATTGATTGTTGGCAAAGCCATTTTCCCAGGAACATCAACACTCAATCAAATTGAGAGGATTATAGAACTCTTGGGAAAACCAAGAGGCGATGAGATAGATTCTCTTGAAAGTCCTTTGGCTGCTAACATTTTGGCCTCCATAAATACATCAAAGAAAAAAGCATTCTAGTCCTTTTTCCAAGGAGCTTCAGAAGAAGCTTTAGACTTGATTAGAAGACTGTTGTGTTACAATCCCAATTAAAGGTTGACAGCAGAACAAGCTTTGAAACATAAGTATGTCAGAGACTTCTCTTCTCCCGACGAAGAGATTGTGTGTTAGCATCCCATCAGGATTACGATGAATGATAATAAGAAGTTCACTATCAAAGAGTATCGAGAAGCATTGTATGCAGATATTAGTTAACGAAAGAAGGAACAACGAAAGAAATGGCAAGCTAAGTATTTAGCCTAGTTGGGAGTTTCTCTGGATGACAAACAAAATCAAGTTCAGTAGGCTCCAGAGAAGGAAGAGACTCTTTAAGAGCAAAAGCTTTCTCAACCAGATCTCATCCAATAATAAATCTATTAGCAATAGTTGTTGTTGCAATAATAACGAAAAGCTTAGAGACCACAATCTGGTTAGATGGGAGGACGATAATCCTCAGTGGAAATGCCCAAACAGTCTTAGGCCTAGCAATAAGCTGTTGCTCCTTAACAACAGACTCATCATAAGAGTAGTTCCATGATTCAATCTATGCAAACCAAACAAGGATATTATTATCCTTTTATTTAATAATAGATGGCTTCCCAACCAAATAAGGTCAACAAATCTGCTGTCCAAACTTAACAATAACAACCTTAACAAAGGCCATCAACCAGCTATTACTAAAAACCTCTGACTTAAGTCACCACTTCGTCAGTTAAGAAATGACACGTTTAAATTATTTCACATTATATATCACACATAACTCAATTTATTAAGTTCCTTTTAAAATTAATCCCTTACACTAATAGGTACTTACTTGGAATTACTGAACTCCTTAAAGTACTCCAATGGCTATAATATTGTATCATCATTAAGCATTGAAAACAAAGTGGAAGTCACTCTCCACCTCTTATTTAATTTAATTGACTCTCGCTTAGCCTCTTCTGTCAAAAAAGCCTCGTGATATCCTGCCTTGTAGACTCCTCCTGTCATTAATTCAAACAGCTTTCCTGGCTATAACAAAACAGTTTATTCTGGTATTCTCAATTCCACTCTTTTCCCGTTTGGCAACCATACGAACAAGCCTGGGAATCGTGATTTAGTATGAACAGTGATAAAGTTCAAATCTTAATCATCTATAATGTAATACCATAATGATATCCTGAAAATCTTGTGTTAATTGAGTGTTTCTGCAAATCACAACCTATTGGTGACAATAAGTGAGTGGCCTTGTTCATGTTATTGTAAAAAAAGTCCTTCTCTTCCTTGAATGCCAATGACAATATTTCTAATACAGATTCTGTTGTTCTTAATAATTAGATTTACCATAAGTTCATAATTCTTTCAAAATTAGGGAAATCTTTAGGAACCCATTAAGGAGGATTGTATTATCCATCATACCTATAAGGCCAAAAGTATTTCCACTTAGGATCTCTATCAATTAGGATTGGCTGATCTATCATAGATTTCAAAGACTCCTTATCATAATTCGGCTTTCCAATATTTTCATATCCCATTCCAATTTAATATTTATATTGAGGAAAACAATCATCAACTTTTCCCGTCTATTCCAATTGCATAGCTCTTTTTTAAAAATACTCCTCCATCAGATCAAAATATTCCTCATTTGCTTTCCAATCAATTCTTTTGTCCTTCACCAATAGATACCCATAATTCTTAAGTTGTGCATGTATCTCATCATTTGAAATGCGATTGCTTAAATCAAATATGGAACTAAATCGATATTTCGAGATATTGCGCATTATTTAAAATAAAATTTAACTCTGATAATGTTATTTTATTACTAAGTAATAAGCAAATAATAATATTGTCTATTAAATGTTAAAAATTGATAGTAATGTTACACTATTTAATCATCCATTTATCATTTCTTACACCCTCTACCTTAAAAATAAGAAAAACCTTTCTCTAAATTCAAGTGAATATAAGTCAACCGATTTGATATAATCAATTATTTTGATACAAAAATAAGCCATTTTGGAAAACATATAGATTACATTGATATTTTATGACTCATATGTTATCATAATATTTAAAAATTAAATAAAATATTTTGGTTGATATCAAATGTAAGACTTGATATGAAATATCTACATGACTTTATTGTTAGGGTTGGTATTTTAGTTTAAACATATGGAGTCCATTTGAAATAATTGAATATTATAAATCTTATATTTTTATCAAATATAGAATTATTAATACTAAGAAATAATTAATAATGAGTGCTTCTAATGTTTATCATGTTGACTAAAACGTAATATTTGTGCTGAAAGATAGTTCATCAAATGATAAATAGAAACAATAAAGTATTCAATTTACCAATTATAGTCCGCAAAATCAACAAGGAAAAGTTAAAAATAATCTTGCAAATTAGCGGATGCAAAGCAGCTCATTCATATTCTCTTTGTGAGAAAATCTTTGAAATGATATTCAGTAAATTGTTGGGTACAAAAACACTCAATACTTTTAGAAAATTTTGATAAACAAAAGAACCATCAACCATTAAATGGATAATCTAATAAACAAGTAAACTCAGCCACAATAACTGAAAAACACTTCAAAGAAATAGTATTCAACTCTGTATTCGAGAAAAAGTACATTCGAGAGAAAGAAGACCTTTATAAAGAAGATTTTTAAATTGCATGGAGTTTGACAGAAAAAAAGTAGCCACTCATAATCCTTTTTGGTGGTACTTCAGGTACTGGTAAAAGCACAGCCAGCAGCATTTTAGCCTCAAGATTTGGAATTTCTACAGTTTTAAGGTAGTTTTATCATAGATTTCTAGCACCGATTCTATAAGACATATAATGAGAAATTTCTTATCAAAAGAAGAAAATCCTGTTTTGTTTGCAAGTACTTATGAGGCAGGTAAGACATTGCCTGATCTGAATATCAGTGATCAAAGGAGGATAATCAAAGGATATAAGGCTTAATGTGAATTAGTTTAACAGAGATTAGAACATGTAATTAATACTTTTGATGAAAAAATGGATTCTATCATCATTGAAGGAGTACATCTGACACCTATTTTTATGATGAAGATTATGAAAAAATACAAGAGAGTGTTACCATTTGCAATATGCATTAAGAAAGAATCTAAACATAAAGAGAGATTTGCAGTGAGATCAAAATATATGACTCTGGATTCCAGACATAATAAATATGTTGAGAACTTTCAAAATATTAGATTGATTCAAAAATGGTTTTTAGAAAAGGCAGATGAATTCCTAATTCTTAAAGTAGACAATGTCAATATTGATAAAAGTATAGATACCATACATAGAACTATAATCTAATATATGAAGCATCTATCAGATGATCAATCTGTTACTGAACTTAAAAACGCATTCCCCATTTATGAAGAATTTAACAAGGTAATAAGTGATGCATGGAGTTCTAAGGAAGTAAAGGATTATATCCATAGTTAAGTGAATAAAACTGAGATATATGAACAATTCTTACAAAAAATGAATGAACAATAAGCAGACAATAATACAACTGTCATTTAAGAATCAGAAAAAGTCAATTCCAAAGTCTTGATTTAATAATCAGTGCAGAAATTCAATGAAATCAGTCTCAAAAATGAAAATAGAGATAATCAAAATAATCTAACCAATACAACTGAAGTTAATTATATAGTGGATGATCAAGATGAGAAAAAGGATAATCTCAATCATATAAGTGATCAGGAGGATCAAAATGAAGAGAGAAGGAGAAGAAATCAAGATGATAATGCCAATCCAACTTTTAAAAAAACAAAGTCATTGAAAACATTGATCACTTAAATTGAGAGTGAATAACAAATTCAAGAACCCATAAAAGAGTAGAATAACAAAAAGAATCTGAAAGTGGCATTTTAAGAACCTGAATTTGAGAAGGAGGAGTAAGAGTAAACAGAATAAAAACCTCATAGAACTGATTATAAAGGCATTTTGTATCATCTGACTAAACATAAGAGAATCTTCCTAAGTAAAAAGACCAAACCATCCAATCTGGTATTTATCAAGAAAATGATTTCTAATTACAATAAAAGTTATCAAAGTCATGACAGAATCAAATTAATTCAAAATAATGATGGTAGTTATTGCTTATTTAAAATGAATGTATAAAAGTTCATTAAGAAGTCTGATTCAAGAGAAGAGTCTTCCAGTGAACCTGATGATAAGTAATAAATCATTATAATCAAGTGAACAATCTGTTGTTTAATAGGGAAGGTCACTCATGACTCCTTCTAACTTTCCATTCAGTGAAAGAAGAGATTAATCAGATGGTGATTCCGTAAGGTTTAGAAATGATGTAAACAGTGATGAAGAGGAAATTGAAAATGAAAACGAAAATGAAAATTCTGTTGAAGGTAATTTGAATTGATCTATTTAATATAGCATCTAGTTCTGATGAAGAAGAGGGGAATCTAGAAAAAGTAAAATTGAAAATGAATGACGATGAGGAAGATTACATTGAACTATAAAAGATTATTGAGGAAGATGAACAAATCAATGAGTAAGATGAAATCATGGAAACTCCATTATAAGTTTAATTACTTGATTAATAAGATTATTCGGATCAATCTCCTTGATTTTATACAAAATTTACTTAAATCATCATTTAAATATTTATTTATTTAATTGTTTCAAAATTTGAACAATCATTTTGATATCCATTTGGTTAGAATATTATCATACATTTAAATTTAGTTTACATCTTGTTATTTCTATTTAAATTAACTAAATTCTCAAAATCAACAACTATAAATCTAGTGTTATATTTTGCTTAGATTTAGACTAATTTATTAAATCTATAGCATAAAACCATAAAGTGTTGATTAAATCTTTTGATTAAAGAAATCTTAAGATTTTCTAGAAGAGTAAACACTTTAAAATGAAAATTAAATAATGATAATTCTCATTAATAATATTAAACTCAAATGATTCCAACAATTATACATTTAGTGCAATTGATTGTGCACACATACTTTATGTATGTCAATTTTGACTCAAAATCAATCGAAGAATTCTGGAACTAAATAAAGTACTTGACAAATATCAGCAATTTGTGCATGTACTCCTTCCTCATCCCACAGGTCGTGGAAGACTTCAAATTCATCCGTAGAAGAGGATGGCTTATCAACATCCCAAGACATCACACTTTCACTCACTATGCATACTAGTGCATGAATCCAATTATATTTATAGTTATGACTATGTTTTGGACAATGTTTCTGATTGACCCCAAGTTGATCTTCGCCAATAGAGATGTTAGTTAAATTGATATGGTCCTTATGTGTTATGTTCACGGAGGAAACTGGATTTTAATGTAAGTCATCTGACTATTTTTAGGTAACTCAACCAATTCGAAAAATAGCCTCATTTAAAGATGAGAATCAAAGGACTTAATCTACTTTGTCTACGTTGTACTCTACTTTGGAATTTATGGTATATATATATAATATTTCAAAATAGGCCTTCATTATTTGATATATGAATAACATGTCTATGGCTTTCAAGCTTTACTTTCCAAGTTCGAACTTGTCTCCATGTACGCAATTTTATTTGCCACTCTGTTTGGTTTAGATGTTGTTTACAATAAAGTGTTATTCAAACCACGCCAGAACTTTGTGTAAATCAAAAATCATTGACGTTGATTGACTAATTATAATATATCTTATAATATGTAATAATCGTTAATAAATAATAATATTTGCTTTAATTATATATTCAAATTTCAAGAAAATATAATAATATAATTATAATTATTATAATAATAATTATACTCAAATATAATTAAAGATTTATCATATATAATATCAAAAATTCAAATCACTTTCGTCAGATTCAAACATACAATATATTAGATAAACTAATAACAATTATGATCCACATTACATCTTAATGAATTAGCTTTAGGGTTCAATAAACATTCTAATTTTCCTTTTATTCTTGAATATGAATAACTGGAAATGTCTTCTAATTCTTCATTGGTATTTTTATGAGATAGCCTTGGAATATTAAATCACTTGATAAATTATTGATTCTTATGAGGTAGTCTTCACAAACATTAAATTTGATTGCCATAACATATAATTAGTCATCACCTTTCGCTTCATAATCAATAAGATCTTCTTAAAATAATTACTCTTCTTAGTGTACTGATTGAACCTGCTATATCTTTCTTACTGTTCATCAATAATAATTATTGATTATTCATAAAGAATTTAAAATCAATTGATAAATGATTATCTTATTGAGGTTCTTGCAGTGTGAGCTAATAAAATTGTCCAAATTGATAAGTTTGAGAAACTTGTATCTTGGAGAAACCATTTGAAATTAATTTAATCTCAAAACTAGCTATTAATTTTAATTCTATTATTAAGAACCCATTATTTAGAAATTAATTATTTAGTATTTAGAGAGAAAAATATTGTTTATAAAACTTAACAAACCAAATTTATATATAATTATTATTCTACTTCTATGATTACCTTGAAATCAACAAATCATTTTCCCGCTTAATTAAATAATATTATATATATCTAAATTATTTACAATATCATATATTTTTTATAACAAATATTAACAAATTATTTATAATAGATTTATCTAAGAAACTACTATCCAGTTCAATAAATACAATTTTATGTAAGCAAGATCAACAGATTCCAACTTACTTGAATTTGTAATTAATCATTTACTCTTCTTCTTTTAATCTCTTTTACTAGTCAAAGTATTTCTCTGGCCATTCAATTTGGACTTCAATAATTTATTTTAAATTCAAATAATTATTTTAACATATCTCTTTATTCTTAATAATTGATTTGATTTATGAAGAAAGCAAATAATCGATTTCAAATACTTTATTTCTAAATTTAGTAATAATTTAAATACTTAAAATTTTATAAATTTATAAAATTAACTTAAAATTTAGTCATCAACAAAATCAGTCCAAATTAAACTTAAACCTTCTTGTTACGATGCAGTTAATTCTTTCCTTCTCCATTTCTTCATTCGGTTCCTTAGTTCTTGTAGTTTCTATCTAAAGTGAATGCATCTTTGGTTATGGTGTTTCTAAAATTTCAATTTACTCTATGACTTTTTATTCTTCTCTCAAAATTGGATTTTCGATTGATTTCTTTTCCTGAATAGAGAAATTTTCAAATAATTTTTCAATCTCCCTCCAAGCCTCATTTATATCAATCTTATTTCTATTTTAAAAGAACTATTTTTTTGGTGACTTTCCTGTAGTTTCTAGATCATCCCTCATAATTGTATTATTTTTTGAAACTGCTTCTCTGATTAAATTTTCTACCTCTTCTTCGAATTCTTAATTACTTTTCATTATTTTATTTAATTGCTCGATAAATTTTTATTGACAAATTATTGAGCAGATAATTAATAATTATTTATTAATATAATTTTAGATTAAATATTAAATCATCGAAAATTCTAATCAATCATCCAACACAAAATAAGTATATAGAGGGATTATTAAGAATACAGGTTTTTATTATAATTAGTATTTTATTTTATAATTTCAAACATGATAAATTTTCTAAAATTATGAGTTGGATTCATCATATTTAAATGAATATTATATAATTGAAATTTAGGATTTTAGAATGTTTATTAAAGAATTTACTTATCCAGTCTTATCAGATTTGATTGGAATTATCGAAATTGTAAATTTAATTGAGGAAAATAACTTGGAATTTTGGAATTCCAATTATTAATAAACAAATTAGATTTATGAAAGCAGCAACAGTTGTACCTACAACAGAAATCAGTCAAACTAATCGAGTAACAGTCAGTTTTCAAAACCTAACTTATTAAGTGTCTATAAAGAATCCTAAGGGAGTGTCAGAATAAAGAACAATCCTAAACAAGATATCGGGAATTTGCCATCCAGGTGAAGTAACAGCCATTTTGGGTGCATCTGGAGCAGGGAAGACCTCGCTATTGAATATCTTGGCAAAAAGAATCTCTTTGTCAAGGAATGTTTAATTGCTGGGTGAAATATCGGCTAATGGATAACCTTACAACAGTGATTAATTTGCTTAGTTTTCATCCTATGTGATGCAAAATGATGTTCTATTCGGAACATTAACTGTTAGGGAAACGTTTGAGTTTGTAGCCAATTTGAAGTATGCAGATCCGCAGTAGAAAGTAGATAAAGTGGAATATGCAATTAAGACATTAAAATTAGAGCGTTGTTAAAATACATTAGTACAAATTTAAATAATATTTAAAGATTGGTAATGCTCTTATAAAAGGTATATCTGGAGGAGAGAGGAAAAGAACATCAATCGGAGTAGAATTGGTCAGTGATCCGTACTGTATCATGTTAGACGAACCAACTTCTGGATTGGATTCGTTTACAGCCTTTGTTATAATGTAGATATTTTATAATATGAGAATAGTAATCTGCTCAAAAAACTAGCCCAAAGCTCAGGTAGAACAATCATTTTTACAATTCATTAACCAAGTGCAGACATTTATACTTTGTTCGATTAAGTTATGCTTCTGGTGCAAGGCAAATTTATTTATCAGGGAAGGAGAGATTAAATGGTTGATTATTTTAAAGGCATTGGATTTGAGTGTCCCGCTCATTCTAATCCTCTAGATTATTTGATGAGTGTGATGCATCATGAAGATTCTAATCATCCTCATTATCAAACATTGTTCACTCACTACAATAATTAATTTGAAAATTAGATTTTAAGTCAGATCTAGGCAGTTAAGAAAGAAGCAATACAAAGATAAACAATCTAAACTACTTTTGCATTTCAAGTTAAGGAAATCTTTAGAAGAGGAATGATTAATATGAAAAGAGACAAAGTGTTAGTTAGAGGTAGAGTAGTGATGACCATCTTTATTGGATTATTAATTGGAGGAATATTTTGGACTGCTGGCAGTGAGCCTGGATATAAAGGAATATAGAGTACTATAGGAGTTTTGTTCTTTTTGGTTATGAGCAGTTTTATGGGAGCATTGAACCCAGTTATTATTTAATTTCCAGATGAGAGAGAAGTTTTCTTAAGAGAAGAGAATTCTAAACTCTATACTACTGCTGCTTATTTTACTGGCAAAAGTTCCGTTGAAATTCCTTTTCTAATATTATTTCCAATAATCCAATAATTAATCTGTTATTGGATGGTAGACTTGAATGATAAATCAGGTGATATTGTAATAATTAACATTGTTATCTGCATTCTCCTTGGTTTGAGTGGAAATAGTTTTGGTAATTCTTAAATATTATTATTTCTAGGATTAATGGCAGGATGCATGTTTACCGATGTGAAAGCTGCCTCAGGTTTTCTGCCTGTTGTTTTAATGCCTTTGGTCATTTTCTCTGGATTTTATGCTAATCAATCCTTATATATGGATTGGATTGGTTGGGTTTAGTACATAAGTCCAATGAAATATGCATTTGAAGCCTTAGTTTGGAATGAATTTGATTCAAGAAGTGATGAGTTTCTTGGTACAACAATTTAGAACAGTAGCCCTATTGATACATATGACTTAACTCTAGGTCTCTGGAAATGTTTAGTTATTTTAGTGGCTATAATTCTGTTTTTCAGAATGATGGCTATGATGTTTTTATACTTATTGAGATAGAAACAACAATGATATTTGTATTATATTTATTAGTTTAAATTTATATATTGATTCAAAAATAAAATCTAATGTTATATCAATTATTAATTATAGTATTATGCAGCATATAATTTTGGAAATGAGAATTTTGATAAATCTTTGAAAATTATAACTCTACTTAATTAATCTTAATATTAAAAGAAATCTAATTGGATGAAACATAACATGTAAGATAAACTAAAAGTAATTAATTATAATACTTCTATATTGATAAAAATTAGCATTTTTATTATTATAAAATAATCATATTAAAAATATAATATAATCACTTCAGTAGACCCTTTTTATTGATTAAAACACGTATTTTACCCTATGGCAATGATTAGCAAGATCTAATGAGAACTGAACTTGGATTGGTAATTGAAAAATATTAACCATCTATTTAGAAATAGGTTCGCAGTAGTTCATTCTATTTGAAATTCAATTTGAGTGGGCCTTTACTTTAACTCAACCTTGTAGCTTAACCAGGAATCAATCGTTCTGAGCCCAATCCTAATATGGAGTTGAATGAGAGAATTTCCAACAATCCATCAGAAACAGAAGGAATATTGGAATATGATTTAACTTAATTTTATTAAGCGTTGAGCCATATGTTTTTCAATCCCCCAGCATAAGAGTTGATATTCAAACACAATAAATTGACTGGATTTCCAGGAACAACAATCTCATCTTTTGATTTCTATATCAACCCACTTTCTAAAAGATCATCATCATTCAAATTATGGATGTTCTCAATAGATTGATTAACTTTTGGAGTTTTCAAAAACATCTTCTTAAATCCTTCCCAACAATAAACACATTTGTTGCAACACTAATTGGATGTCCTATTCTTATCAAATCCAAATCCAATGCGTGCATCAACTCCAATGCTAAAATAGTTAATCATCTATTTGTAATATCTCTAATCTTTTAATTGCAATTTCATTTCACCTACACCATTTTCATTTCTTTTGATCTCACTTATATATCCACCCTTATCATACAATCATGTCTACATACTTATTATAGTCTAATATCCACATCCCAAACATCGAAATATGACTCTACTCCCTCCATCCACTCCTCAACAAACCCTTTCAACACTATGCTGTCCATACCAATCACATCGTTTGGTACTGTCGTGCCCCATCCCAATGTATTTGCGAAATCATTTCCAGTTCCAAAAGGAAATGGAATTATAATGCAGCTATGAATACTCACTTAATGCTGCAATAATAATTCCACTATCCACATTATAGATCCATCTCCTCCAGCCATCACAACATGGATGTTTTCTTATTTTTATTTCATTATCTGCTACAATCCTACTTCTCTTGATTTACTATCACAAATATTGTAGAACTTCACCCGACAATGACTATCCTTGATGTTGAAACTTAGTTCTTTTTACTATCATATACTTGAATTTACATCAAGTTACAAGAATTGTTAGCCTCTGTTTCCACCACTGCCTGAATTATAAAAGAGGTAATAAGTGTATTCCATAATTAAATATATTTATATTCACAATCCCCTTTAAGCAAACATTATTAATTGACATTCTAAAATTATATTTTTAACTAATTAAAATTTCAATAACAATAATTTTATCTAACACTACACTTATTAAGAAGATACCAAAGCAGAGTATCTAAGAAATCAACAACTTGAAATTGATTTTAATATGTCTCTGAAGGAAGAATAGCAACTTAAATAAACAATGAATATTAGAAAGGATCTTTTAGCAATTGCAATTTGTTGAATGCAACCTTTCAAATTATGCATTAACCATTATAATTCATTTTAAGCTCAAATTGGCATTTTACTTTTAGAGTTTATGCTTAATTTTTTAATCTTGAACATTTAATATATCATTTGTTAGTATTCTTGCATGGTATCTAACTAATATAGAAACTGCGGTAATTCAGTTATTCTTTTTTGTCTTTTCCTTTAAGTTAACTTGATATCTTCAATAATCTGTTAATTATCCTTTCATTTTTGTTATTATTTCTTAAACGAGCATTGCAGATATCTTTCATATTAAATAGATTTTAATTTAGAACCTTTATCTATCATTACTTAAATACAGAGAATCCGAAAACTAAAAGAAGAGATAATTTTGGTTTTAACTTTTAAATTATAATATTTATTAGAAAAAGCTTAGACTAATTAATTGATTCAATTATAAACATAGTACCAGCTAATTCGATTAACTACATAATTAGAATGTCTAAAATAGAAAAAGTAAATTGATAATCACTTTTGGCGATTTCAGTTCAAATTTATGATCAAAATGTAGTTTTATAATATTCCTGCATTTATTTTGACAAACTATTTTAAATATTATGAGCAAATGTAAAGAGAGGGAGTTTGACAGTGATGACAATAGTATAATATTTTAATTCATTCCTTAGACATTTACGATGTAGAATTTGTTTATGGTAAGAAAATGTTCAAAAAAAGAACCTATTATGCTGTTAAATGGCTGGGATGGACAATATAGCAAATGTCATGGGAACCTGTTTCCAATTTCACGAGTATATCAAGTTATCTAGTAAGGTATCCATAGTTTATTTAACTTTGTAAGACGCTTAGAAACAAGACTTTGCTATTCTTTATACTACAAAAAGGTTGCTCAAAATACAAATGGTATACGAGTCCATATAAAAGGGAAGTTTTGCTAAATCTAATAAGTTAATACCAATCTCAAAAAAAAGTCAATTGGGTGCGAAAAATAGATTGTATCATGCTCTTAGGATACCTCATCTCCATTTGATAAGGCATAGAAGATTATTACATATATGAAACAAAATTTTTTAACCTCAAATAATAGTAAGATACATTAAAAAATCTAAAAAAAAGTATGCAAATAAAAAAACAATTTTAGAAAAATTCTAAATTAATAAGAAAATAATGAAGTAATCTCTATAACAAGCCTATCCCCAATTAGATATGAAGTGCCAAAACAAAACAAGAAAAAAAGTAAGTAAAATAAGAAGGAATCTATTGATTATGAGTTAGAAAAAGATATTAAATTGCTCATTTAAAATGAATTATAAGAAAAAAAATTGAAAAAAAAAGAATCACAAACTTAAAGGCAGAAATAGATTTTAAGTTAAAAGAATAATAATAATAATAATAATAATAATAAAGTGTTTGTGAATGTTAAATTATTCTCAATGAACCTGAAAATACAGAACTATCAAAATTAATTTAACAAAATAAAAATCAAGAAAAACCCATAAAATTATCTTAGTGGAACAGTTAATAATTAGAAAAAAACAAGACAGCTTTAGAATTCCCTAAGACACATAATTTATCAAGCTTCGATGTTCAAGAAAAAATAAGCTAACCTTAAGAAGAATCTTTTGAAATAGATTTGCAGTTAACAGAAGATTGTGAATAGTAGCAGAAACCATAATAATTAAATGAGTTAGAAAAATTAAAAGATGTCCATATTTAAAATTTTGTTTCAGTTTCAACAAGTTCTCTTAAAAATTAGTGTTCAAAGTTTAGAGTTGTGAAATCAGTTTTCAATCCAAAAATAATTAAAAATACTACCTAAGAGGATTCTAATGTCAATAAAAAGACTGAAAAAAATTTCATTTCTCAAATAATGGAGGTAGAACAAAAAGGAGAGGGTTAATAAAAGGAAAAATTTCCTTTCATGCAATTATTCTATAGAGAACCAAAAATTCAAACTAGTGTGAAAACTAGCTAATAAATTTAACAGGAGATATAGAAACTATAATTGGAGAAAATTAAATTAAACAGGACTAACAGATGCAGCATTCTAATAATACCTAAGCTAAAAGAGGTTGGAGTCTAATATATTAAAAATAACTTTATGAATACTGAATTGATTCTCTATGATATGGAGTTAAATGAGGTCAAATTAAAATAAATAATTGTAGAGACCATTGAATCTCATCATTTTTTAATAGGAAAACTTCTTTTTAGATGTCTTTATGAGGATGGGGATCAATATTATGTGGAATATGACACATTGAAAAGATATTGTCCAACATTATTATTAGATTACATGATAGTAAATTCAATATTAATATGATTTATGAATTTTTTCAATAATTCTAATTGTGTTTAGTAAGATTGCAATCAAACCAAACTAATTGACTTTCATATCGATTAATTTAGTTACAATTTTTCCTGACATACTATTATAATATAAAAATATAATAATAGTAAGCGATAAATAGATTACTTCGCTTAAGTATTTACCTCCTTCAACAAAAAGCTTTTCCTATTCCTTTGTCACATGCTCATAGAGCCTTTTAACTCTATTCACTCTCTTTTGAATGATGGCATTTCCTATATATAGTAGCACTAAAAGAATTTGCAGTTAACAAATAATTAAGGCATAGATTGAAACTTGGGTTTGATAATAATTACAAATAAATGAGAGTAAATCGAAAGGTGGCATATTAAGAAAGATGGCATAGAATTCATAAATCACGCTTAAACAGAAATATATTGCTAAGGCCTTGACATAAAACTTCTTTATTAGATTTACAAAAGTCTTCCACCTTTGTGTTCTGACTTCTGATCTCCTCAACATCATATTGCTTTTCATTATTAATCCTTCACTTTCTAAATCAGTATTATAGTCATCATTCTATTCAATATGCATTCTGATTCCAACTACAAGAATAATAGAACCTTGGTAAATTTATAGAAGTCCATGGACAGAAATAAAACAATATTCTAAATCCTCATATGACTATTCTGTAAATAAAAAAAGCGCTAAAACAATTGCTGGTAATATAAGTTGTTTTCTATAATACCTAAAGAATGTTAAAAATACTACCATAAAGAAGAATCTTTGCTTTTTTAGGTTGAAAGCCCAAATCTCTTTCTAATTTATTCTTATTCTTCTAAATAATTAAATCTATTTAATCTAAGATGAAGTGTCTCTATTACCAGCTATTGCCAGACTGCTTGAGCTAATAAAATAGAAATTAAGAAATCTTGATTCAATTTCAAGCAAGCCGACACGACTAATAAAAATAATAAGATTGTGTGCACAGTTGTAGCAACTTTGGTGACTATACCTATTTATTTGTTTCTCATCTATTGTTGCATAATAAATAATGAGGAGCCGATTAAGAATAATTTCATTATTTATAAATTGAGAGTTGTATTTAATACAATTGGTGTAATATTAGGTATGAGAGAACTTTAATATTAAATTTAATATAATTTTATATAAAAAATTGTTACAATTCCTTTAAATTCAATCATTTCCTAATAATTAACTATTTGAATTCCCAATAATTTAATCTATTATTTTATTAATTGATAGGAAGTATATTCCTAAGCATTGAAAATACAACTGAAATTGAATTATGTTTAAAATAATAATAAATCATGGTTATTTACAAAGCTTCTTTTAAATTAAATCATTGAATTACAGTGGGTCTATCATTAAATTACTTGGTAGTAAGAATGGCGTATTCTTATTATTAAGTAATAACTCAAGAGAAATTTAAGGTAAAAACTTGTATTGGTTCAGAAGTTATTGTTATTATTATTACTGTTATTATTGTTGTTGTTATTGTAACTATTAGGCTTAAATGTCTGATTTTGTGGTTTAATAATTTTCTTTGACTTTTACTTCATCCTATGATTGATTCAAATTTAATACTTTATTGAGATTGATTAGGAGGGATGTAAATTATTGGGGAGTCATTTAAGTTGTCATTTCATCTATCTAATCATCGAGTTACTGTTAACATATCCTCAGATCTTTGGATTTGCATTTCATCTATTTAATTAAACTAAAGATATATTTTCCATATTACTAAGAAAAAGAGTGCTTGTGCTCAAGTATCCTTCTCACAATATGGGTTATTGAATGCTGCATTTTGTCTTCGCTACATCCAGTGATTTCTTTGAATTGCTTGACATATTCATGCAACTCTTCATCTTCCAGAATTTGAACTGAATTAATCTTTTATAAAATATACAATTCTTTGGCAGACAATTACTTCCAAATAGCAGAGTCCCATAATTACCATCCATCAGAATTCGGGCTACATTCTAAAAGCAATATCTAATATATTGCTTTCTTTTTGAACCTGTGGCACTAAATTTTAATTTATAAGAGTCCGTGAGCAATGCTTGCATCTCCTATCCTTCAGTTGTCTCTGGGTCTTTGCTTTGTAATTAATCAAATATTTGAGCTTGTTCTATGATCATTCCTTTGAAACATGTATTGTGTTCAATTATATTGTGAATATGCTTGAATGTTATCTCTGTTTATTATCTAAGCCCCTCTATTTGCCCATTCAAATCTTCAACCTTTTTCTCCAATAATCCAATATATAACTTCTTCCTTTATCTAGAATTTCTGGCACTTTCCCGATTCTTTTGCATCTTTAAATCCTCATTTTCAAATTATTTCGAAGAGTTCGAAGAAACATTATCCTTTATTCTTTTTGAAGGGAGCAATTTTTCTTTATCCTCCTCCATACTTACATTAAGTAGAGAACTAATCTTCTTAATATATGCATTCTTCACATTTCCTTTTATATTTTGTAAACACAAAACATCATCTTTTAAAGATGCCTATGAATCATTCTTAATCATCTATCTATCCTCTTGTTTTATTTCAACTTAACTTCTGACTCGATTCACTTGGTTCTCAAGATTGGATATGACTCCATAAGGTAGAAATGGCATAAAATTCTATTACTGTGCTGGTTTCTTCTGAACATAATATAAATAAATACCTCCTCGATATCAAGCATGTAATGCTCAGGATATTCACAATCCACCTTATTATTAGAATTCATAATTATTTATAATATCCATATATTAGATAATGACGTCTAAGAATAAAAATATATAATCACAATCAACCATAAAATTAATAGATAATATTTGCTACGGAATATGATTCAAAGACGTATTAATTATTATCAAAATTCGATGAAATTTGAAGAAAAACTTCGCTTTTTTACCAACATCGGGATTCGCCTATTTCTTACAAAATAAACAATAATTGAAATTTTTATAATTTTCTTATTCCAAATTTTTCCTCTTCTTAATAGAATGTTCCACTATAAACTAATTCATTGTTGTATTTATATATTTTCAACTAGATTTTTTAATGTGAAAAATTTTGCAGATTAAAAAATAACCATTAGCTAAAACTTCATTTTAAATAACAAATTTAATTAGGTTCAGATATGAATAAGCAGGCATTCTTGTAAATTCATAATTTTTTGATGAAGCCAACCTGAAAATTAATTGAAGTGTAAATTAATGATGAACCTAGGTTGAGTGATATTAAGTTGATGGTATTTATAAATCAAGGCTAGAAATCAAGTTTATCAAGAAGAAACGAGTTAAATATTATTTGAATTACTCAATTTCTTTAAATATTAATATTGAGTTAATTGTTTATACTATATTAATTTGAATTCAAATTTATATATATGAACAACTCCCCTATAAGAAATCAGTCTTATTACCAAGATAAAATTAGGTATCAGAGATCGCCTTATTCGGATAAGGAAAATATAATGAGTGAAGTCAATTAGAGTCAATAGACACTCTAAAGAGAGGGAATTGAAATATTGAATGATGTTGCAGAGACATCAAAAATTGACGAGTCGGTTTTAGATAGCAATCTAACTTTGTTTGAAAAGATTACTCATCATAAATGGTAGATAAGAAGATTGGTCTTAATGAATTTAACAGAGGAATATTAGAAAAACTAAACTGTTTATGAATTTTAATCTGCATGGCTTAAAAATATAATAAATGATAGCAATTAATTTGCTATGACAGAGGGCCTTAAATTTATTTAAGTGTTTGTCAAAAGTTAACAAATGAACTATCACATTTTACCATACTTTATTGGTGACCTAATTGAAAGAGGTTCATTTGTAAAGTCTCAAATCCAAGACCTAGTAATTGAAATATTATTGCAATGTTGTAAAACAACTCAAGACACTGGATTTATCCTATCAGAAATTTAAAGAAAAATAGAGGCTAAACATCCCAAGATTATGACTCTGTGTTTGACTTTCATTGAAAAGATCCTAGAACTGTCCCCCAATCATTTTATCAAGTATGTATTTGTAAATATTGAATTTTAGAGATTAAATTAGGGACTTCATCGAATTATGTGTGTCTTTAGTTTAACATACAAATAAAGTAATCAGATAGAAGTCAATTAATATATTCTGCAAACTCTTTTAAATGATTTCAGAGAGTTTTGAACAAGTCAAGAAGACTTATTTAGACAAACGATTGAGACAGATTCAAATTAAGGAACTAGAATAATTATGCAACAAAATCACAAAAAGAACTTAGAAAATTGAAATTCAGTCTATCTAACCAGTCATTCAGATAATTGATTTACACACATTGTTACCAGATAAATTCTTTGAAATGCCCTATTACAAACACAATGAAAAGAAGAACATAACTGAACAATTTGCTAAGAATTTGGAGAAGTATGATGGAGACATTGATAATTCTAAAGATTATGGGAGTATTTATGCAATTATCATAACCTTGCTTGAAGAGAGCAATTATTTAATATACAGTCAGGGTATGAGATGCGTTAAGGGATTGGTAAGATTATTGAGAAGAGGAATTCCTTAACCAGTTGCTAAACACTTCTTTATTTTGATCTTGGATAAGTTAAAAGGCTCTTTGTCTAAGCCTTTATAATCGGCTGTGTTTAATCTCTTGGAAGATATATTGATATATGAAAATATCTCATGTGACCAATTCATGGAACTTATGATAAATTAATTAGAATCATCAAAAAACATTGGATTAAAGATTGCATGTGCAAGATGGTTTAAAGATGGTTGGCTAGCCTTAGCATTGGCTGTTTAAACAGGTTCTTATGAATCCTCAGATTCTGAAGTACTCAAGAAATTTGCTTAGTCAAATAGTGAGAAAATATCGAAATCTCTTCTTGTTCTTTATAAGAAGGTATAATCTATTTTGAAAAAAGAGAACAATTTAAATTATAAGAAAGTGCTATTAGATTTAATCAACTCAATGCAATGTGATGAATAAAGTCTCTAGGTCACTGTTATTGAATCATAGATTGCTATTGTCAATCCTTAATTTGATTTTTAAGAATCCAGAATCACTGAGAAATAACCTAGAAAACAATAGATTAATTCTGTAAAGAGTAGGTATTAAACTGATGAAGATTTGTGTGAATTTGCTTAGATTGGAGAAGAAATGTAGAATTTTAATTAGGGTAATAAAAACAGGTAAAGTATAGAATTACCTACTTCTTAATTGAATAGAGAATAAATAGAGTTCATGAATAAGTTTAGTAGTGATCTCATACAATTAAGAAAGCTGTCATAAAACAATTAAGATCAATAAATATAAAATAAAATAGAAGAAATCTAACTTTCATTCAAGACTCATTATTCAGATAAAAACATTACCAGCAATGATTTCTTATAACAAATGACCAACAATGTTATAGTGGAATTGTTACATTTCTGTAAGAAGGTCTAAGTGTAAAAGAAAATAATTGCTGATAAATTGTATGACTTCATAATATCATTGTTGATTAAAATGAATAAAATCTAAGTGACATTAGATCAAGAAATGCTCTATTAAGAATATAAGATATGTTTAATTCAGTTAAATCAATTGGACATTCAAAAACTGATGGCACTCTTAGAGAGCTTATACATTTGCAATTCATTGGAAAGTATGATCAAGATTGGATACAGGATAACTAATAAGTATCTCTAAAAATAAACAAATAGTAATATTAAAATCTTCCAAGCATTCATTAACTGGATTACATCAAAAATTAATGCTGCCACTTAACAGCAATTAGATTCTGGATTTATAAGAACTTCTTATAAGACTTTTGAAACTACTTTTAAAATGTTCCCATAAACATAATTAGATGTTAGATTGTTATTAAATGCATTAAAAGGCCGCATAGTAAATCAATAGGTGGAATAATTGGATTAATATTAAGATTTGCTAAATTAATCATAAAGAAAGTCTAAGTCAAAGTCTTTTGGATCCTAATCTAGATTTTCTCCTTATGAAACACCAAACAAAACTCAAAGTAAATTGGAGTTTTCTGATTCCGAGGAAAAAGAAAATTAGGAATCTTTACAGTAAATAGAACAATAGGTTTCCACTCATTTCACATTATAAGGATTGGAGAAATTTATCCATTATTTGAATCGTCATAGAGCCTATCAACTTTGTAACTAATCATAACACACAGTATTTTTAAGTCCAAATTCTAGTTCACCTGGTAAACACTGGAGAAGAGGAATCGGCAGAGAAAACATGATTATAAGTTCTCCAAATAGATAGTAATATGAAAGTTCTAAATTCGAAGATTTCACAAAGATTTTAGAAATAGTTTGTTAGAATTTCAGCATTTAAATTCAGAATTAAGTCTTCTAGATGTTTTATTTGCTCAAACATATCTTTCCAAGCAGTCAATAGTGTCTGATCTATCTTATCTTTGCCTACATTTGCCCAAAGACAGAATATTCAGAAAGTTTTGAAGTGTTCCTGAGTACCTTCCTGTAACTTGACAAAAGCGTTATGGCATACTAATATAGGTAGGCTTTTAATATCTTATATCAAAAATCAGAGAATGAAAAAGTATTGATTAATTTGATACACACTGGATTCAACTTTCTATTTCAAAAAATATTTGAAAATGATTTGCTTACATGTATTCAATATTTCATCACCACTTTAACCTACATGTTAACTTAGAATATGTTTTGTTAAATAGCAAATGATTTTCTAAGTAAGTTTTAACAACAAACCAATAACTTTAATTAAATTGTGGAAACTGAATTAATTAATTATAAGAAGTTGTATGACACCTACTTAAATTGGTAGTAATTATAATACTAAACACATGAAAAGCCTTTGATTGATGTGTAAAAACTATACAAGTAACAACAGAATGACATCTTGATAGTTGATCTTTAGGAAATTGATGAATGCGCATCCAAAAGAGAAGAAACAGTGAGAGAACATGTAAATAATAGTTAACAAGACAATTTTATCCACATCAACAAAGAGGACTTTGAATTATTGGAAAGCACCACTAAAAACTTTAATTCTCAATAAACATTAAGATTTACTGAGGAAGGACAATAACAATAGCACGATATTTTAAATATCCAATAATTCATTAGTCCTCTCTAATAAATAAGTCAAATCAGCAATTAAATGCATGACACTGTTATTCAGGATTTAGCAAAAAACCTCTACTCAAATGATACTCATAGACTAAAGGAGTTAGACATGATCAAACTGTAAAATGAAACCTATCGATAACATAAAAGGGATAGTCATAAATAGGTCTAAGAGTCATATCCATAACCACCATTAAAGGACCCAATGAAATAGAAGATTGAGAAAATCTACGAAGAAGTTCAAAATGAATCTGTTAATGGAAATTTCAATGAAAAAAGTCTACTTGGTGATGTGCTAGCCCCCATTGAAACTACATCACTCTTTGATTAGGCCAGAAACTTAAAAAGAAATGAATGCATAAAGCAAATGTAAGAAATTTTATTGACATCAACTTCATTATATTTTGATGTAGCATCAACTCTGCTTCTTTAGTATGAAAATTTAGATATGGCTGAAGATAAATTGGCCTTCATCAATGATCTTAAATTATCATTGGTCAATTAAACTTTGCTAACTAATATTAATCAGCAAAACTTCTCAGTCATCCTAGCCATCGTCTTGAGATTGTGTACAACTGTAATTTATTTTAATATCTATTTAATAGCCTGCAACTTAATCTGAAATCTATAACAGTTCGTTAGGATATGATGATAATCAACTGACAAAGTCCTTATAGCAAATCTTAGACGTTCTATTGCACTCTAAGGATACTGAACAAGTACTGATTTGCTTAATACATGTGTTTAATGATCATTTGCCTATGGACTTCACAAATGAAATTTCAAAAAGTATTACAATTTTTAGATTAGTTTTTAGATGAAAAAATGATGTTAAGGTTAAATTTGAAATGCATCGAGAGATTGATATAAAACAGTGAAAAATTGCATGTATTTGGGATTTTAATTGAAATACTTAAATTCTTTAAATGCCATCCTCCTGAAAACTTAATTGTAACAATCAATAAATTATAATTTAGGAAGGGCTACCCTCAATTAAGGAACTTGAGTTATACTTTAGATAATTGAAATAAATCACTGACAGTTTGTTGAATAATAATTTATAGGAAGGAAAAGAATTTTTAGAGTTTGTTTACAGAAAAAATAATAAATGCATCTTTTTAGATTATGTCAAAAGTGTAATTGAAAAAAAATGATGTTAAATAATTAATTTTATTTTCTAATATATATTAGAATTTACTAATTATTTACTTTGAGCTTTTTGCTGATATAAGGTGTCTTCAAGAGAACCCTTTCCAAAATGTTATTTTGATTTGATCAAGTAAGAATTAATAATTATGTAATTTATTTCAATAGAAGTTATACTATACAAATTTTTCATCTCATTTAGTATAATTTTATGTAACTAAATACAACCTCCAAAAAAGGATACTTAAAGGGGATCATTCGTGGCAAATACACCGTTATCTCCAAGAAGTCAGACTTCAAGGAAAAGCTCTCTAATGAATAGACAGTCATTTGAATAATAAGAACTTTATTCATCAAGAAGGATTGGATTAAACCTAAAAGACCCTTAAGTACTGATCTACAATTTATATGATAGAAAGTGGAAGAGATGATCAAAATCAGATAACAAAGATTGCCTCGAAAGGAAGCGGCAAAGGACGGCGAGAAGGATCTTCGAGAAATATCAAAGGCATACGATGTATTAAAAAATGCTTTGCCTGAAATAAACAATAACTATGGAGTCATAAAGGATCAAGAACTGCTTTAGTTTTATAAACAATAGATAGTTATAAACTAAAATCCTCGAAAGAATTTTTTTGAGTTCAACACCTACTTTTATAAGAATTATTAAGCGAACAACAATGGTCCTTGCACAACTCTCCCTTAATTGCTAATAAAAAAGGTGGAATCATTTTAAAACAAATTGGAATAACTTATTAAGGATCGATGAAGGTGTGGTTAGAATCTAAAAAGATTTATTTAGTATGTATATTTATATATGACTATCTTATATTTTGTTTTTGTTATTTGTTTTTTATTGAATAAATCAGACCAGACTTAAATTGCTAACTGATGCTGTGTCCCAACTTGTGTGTCTATCTGTTCTTTTGAGGCTAATTAATTTTCTTAAACAAGCCTTATAAACAAATCTTTCCTCCTCACATTCCCATAAATAATGCTTGATTTTTTTTGTTAATGGTCGCATACTAACAGTATAAGAATATGTAAATACTAGGTGTAATGTGTTGAGCTATCTTGATGCATGGGAGTATGTCCAAAATCCTAGAGTATAAGCGGAAATAATTACGATAGACTTGCCATCAGTAAGCATTCTAGGCCACATTGAAGGCCAGCTTGGATGAATGATTTCCATTTATTTAGTATTTGATCTATTAGGAATAATTGAAATGTTTACTCGAAAGCACAGTCTTCATAATCATGCATTTGTTTTAAGCATGGGGTTGTGTCTAAATAGGCTAGATATCATACCAAAGACAGGTGGCACTGAAGAAGGGAGTGTACCAAAATACAGATAACTCATATTAAATAAATTAATCAAATATCTGGTTCTTTAGATTGAGGCTTTCTGGATTATTTTTACTCAATTTATTCAAATACTTCAAGAGGCTCCTTCTTCTTACGTTGGTAGTCCTGTAACATTTATTTGGCTGCAGCTTTTCTCATATCTGTCTTGGCATCAATCGAAATATTTGGAGACTTGCTTGAATTAAGAACTTAAGAAGCTAACTATTATAAACTATTGGAGTACTTCGTCGTCTATTTTCGGAGAGATTTCAATAATATTATTTAATTCATAACCTGCATTTATCGAAATATTAATACCTACATATGCAAAAATTGCAGCTATACCACCATAAGTAGCTATGTTTCCTACTAAACCATACCTGAACATTTTATAACCAAAATTAATAATTATTAATTCATTTATATTATTTCATTAGTTTTCTATAGTCTCCGAAACTCGACTTCATTGCCATCCTCTTCTTTACTAGTGGAACTTAATCGCTTTCCAGTAATTCAATCATCGACATTGATATTTTTACTATTGAAAAAATCTCATATTTTATTACTCTCTTCAGGGGTCAATTTTTAGGTCAATCCCAATTTTACTTGCTTAACACACCATGCTATTTCAAGATCTGTCTATTCAGCCTCAGTCAAATTCAACTTTGCTTTTATCTCCTCCTCAACTTACTAAATGATCTCCTAATTCTACTCTTTTAACTTTTTCTTCTTCTCCTTTTTTTTCTGATTCCTCTTTTAGTTCTTACTTAGTTAATCGCCTTATTTTTCATCCTATTCTTCAACTACTTCCTCCTTCTCTTCTTGTTGCAATTTCTCCTCTTATTTATCCATTAATTAATATTATAATGTAATTATTTAACTAATCCAGTGCTCTTTAATCCTATTATATTATTTATTTATATAACGCACTTTTTAAAAATTATACAACTATTTTGAATTACTTATAGTTTTAATAAAACATATTCTCAAGAGCCCTTAATGCTTATTATTGATATATTTTCATTTTCCTAATATTATCTTTATCTTATCACTTTGATAATATGGAATGTCTTTTAGTCAATAGTTTTAAGGAAAATAAAGATTGACTTCTTCCTTTTATCTCTCAATCATAATGATAATAAAAGTGGCAAAAGTCTAAATTTATAATTAAAGTTATTATTTCTAATTATTTTATAAAAAATGCTTAAATCATAATGATTTGATTTATATTAGTAGTATGTCTTGTTCAGTTATCATTTGAAATAAAAATTGATAGCCTCCGTAAGATTTATACATAATTTGATTATTTTGGATATATATGTTAATTTATATCATTTAGAATGTAATAACTCCTAAGTTAAGATATTTGACTTTTCATTCTCTTAATGTTTTGGATTTTTTTGATTTTAATGAAGCATTCAAAAAGGTTTTCATACTTAGAGAAATTAAAGAAATATATTCTCTCATTTGCACTTTGATATTATTTTTCGTATCCCTTCTTGTTTTCTTAACTAAATACATGCTCATAGTTTAAAGCTATTAAAGGAACTTATTATTTTACTCACTAGTGTAATCATAAATAATTTATAAGTATGATCTGTGACAAGAACAATCTGCAATAGAATAATGATTTAAATAATAATACTATATTTATTTCTATTTCAATTGTAAATCCCGTTTTTGAAATTCCCTCAAAGACATTCAACAATACTATAATGATGATATTTTTCATAATAAAAACGAAATAATAATCAAAATGACTAAATAATCTCATCTATTCTAATACTCTCCTCATAAAGTACTTTGCTGCAATATTACTTACTGCAACTATTTAAACTTTTAGCTGCTGAATTTGTACTCATACAATAGGTAAACTAAAATTAACAAATATCGTACATCTTGATAGCCAGCTTCTGTTCCCTTATATTACCCAGATTTTTATGCTCGATGAACATATTATTTAAATTGATTAGCACATTTTGCAGCAGTTTAATCACAATTTCCTCCGCCTTTACAAGCTTTTAGTTGAGATCCACAATAGGCATTTGTACAATCCCCTGCCTTTGATAAACACAAAACAATTAGTATCAAAAAAATTAAGAATTTTTTCATTATTTATATAAATTAATTCAAAGTGATGGGAGTATATGAAAAATTTGTAAATTTTAAATTTGTTTTGATTCACCATGACTTTTTAAATATATTTATTCAATAGATATTGACAAATGATTCTTAAATAACTTGATTGTTTAATTTAGAAATCATTTACAAAATACTATTTATTATAAATTTACAATTTTGTTTATGTATTAATATTATGAAGACAAATTAGATAGAAATTGCTTATCACTTGTTTAAAATTGACTTGAATCTCTATTTGATTATATAAGAACAAGACTAAATTTATATATATATATTAAAATGGGATGAAGCATATTTCTTCAGTCAAAGGATCAGTATTATACTATAAATGATTTCTAAATTATGGATCACTATAAAGAGAAATAATATTATTAAAGAATGTTAATAAATAAAATATAATTAAAATATAATAGAGTGGTTTTGATATCTGACTTAGTAAAACCTAATAATATCTTTAGATTTGTTTAATAAAGTAAAGCTGGAGATTCATTTTGAGAAATATAGAATAATGAGATAGTTAAGGACATGTTATAATTTTATTAACCATACAAAACCAAAATATGAAAGCAAAACAGATGTTTGAATAAAATAATTAAATAATTTATATATAAATGTCATCATAATCTCAACAAGAGGACGATTAGGATTAGGAGAATAATGAAGAACTTTAAGCAGATGATTTAGACTTATCATCGAAATAATAGGAAAGTGAAAAATAAGTTAAGAGTAGTATTAAAAAAGTAAGAAATTATTAAAAAGTTCCAGAGCATCTCAAATCATAACTTCTTAAATTAGTAATTTAATAGGGAGTTAAGATAAATCAAGTAATTCAAATGATTATATCATAAAGGCAGCTCAATAATTGAATTTAAAATATGCCACAGCTAAAACAATAGTCTTTACCTACCGAGCTCAATCCAAACCTAAAAAATCTAAAAACAAAAAAAAGAAAACTGCTACAAAAGTGGAATTTGTACCAATTCAAAATAATGTTGTCTATCCTATTCATGTAGAAATATCGATTGGAGGAAATATCTAAAATAAATTTACACTTTAATGAATAATTATTGAAATATTGTGTTTAATAATTGGAAATATATAATCAATCGAATAATTTTTCTAAAAATGATTTTTCTTTGTTAGGCTTTTATGGAACTCCTTATTATTATTATGGTAATTGCTATTGCTATGGTTATGGCTATTATTATTATTAATATGGCCTAGTTCTACCAAGATCCTATTGAAGTGATTATTATTAAGGAACAGACTATGCAAACTACATGTATAAGTTTAATATTTACTTGATTAGGACCTACAGTCTATTGTAATTATGGGTTGTATTAGGCAGTTTAGGCCAATTGCTGTTATGGACGCTTACTATGGATTGTTGGATCTTATTCAACTTATTAATTTATGTATTGTTAGGGAACAGTTTAAGTGGGAATTTAATATCCTTATGGCACAGTAGCTGTAGCGATTGGTTACTTAGGAGCTGGTTAAATTTAACTTGCCTAAAATTATTACCCATAATTCAATGGGACAGTCTATAATAAAATTGGTTAATAGTTCTACTTATTATATCTAATATTAGGGTTATTGAATTCCAATGGGACTAGCATATTGTTAGTATTGAGTTGGCAGATATTATGCTTAAGGAGCTGGTAATGGGACTGATTATTGGACTGGAAGTTATTAGATGTATTGTTATTATTGGGCAACTGGATATTGGGTGACTTCTCTTGTTTAGATTTGGGTTTACTGTTAGTATGGCTAATAAGCAAGTGCAGATTGACGTTCAATTATTTGATTGTATTAAAATTGTTCAGGTATATAATTAGTTTGGATTTGGGATTAATATCCGATTGGCTATGAAAATATACATTGAATTTACTTGTTAAATGACATTTTGCTTTTCGACAGTATAATATTCAGTCCTTTCTGCAACTCTCTCAACTGGCACATACTCAATTTGTTTTTCTTGAATCACTTGCGGGATGTATTCAATGTCATATTAGACAGCGTAGTAATCGGTGACTTATTTAGTAATTGGAACTTGGACTTATCTTCTTACTTCTTCGTATTCTGTGATGGTTCGTTCGTATGGAATGTATTCTATTCTGGACTGGCCTTTTACGACGTTTCCTTCTTGTGGTGGTTAGGCAATTTATTAGATTTGGGATTGACCAAAGATGGGTTATTGAGGGCCAAGCTTGGTAGGTTAAAGTTAATTATAGAGTGGTTGTTGCAATGGTTAACTAGAATAGGGTTGTTGGGCAATCTGTTGTGGCAAATATTGCAAGGCAGTATCAGGCAAGGATTGGATGGGCAGATTAGATCGAGCAACCTGGGGTTATCCTATGGTTGGTTATTGAAATGTTTGTGGTTCTCTGTTGTTGGTTGGCAGATTAGAAGGGGGGGAGTATTGTTGGGGAGGTAAGTTGGCCATGGAAAAGATATTAATAATTAAATTTTATTTTTTTATTCATATATAAATCAACTCATCGTTAAAAATTATTATATTATTATGAACTTAATTATGCAAAATGAGAATGCCTACCAAGTCAAAAGGAAATTAGGGAATGGCTCATTTGGTTGTGTATATTTAGTATGTGATGTCAAGAGCAACCAGGAATTTGCCTGCAAAATTGTATTGCACATAGACTTTATTTTAGGTGTCTAAATCTATGCTGGGCAAATATCAGGCTGAGGGGATGGTGAGGTAGGAGATTCAAATTCAATCGAGCATCAACCACAGAAACGTAGTAAAAGTGTTTAATTCATTTGAAGATACTAAAAACATCTACATCATTTTAGAATATTGTAAGTAAGGTCAATTACAACTCCCCTCACAACCTTATACAAATAAGCAACTCATCCAATTCCTCAACCAGATGCTCAGCGCCCTTGATTCTATTCATCAAATGAGTCTTGTGCATAGGGATATCAAAGTAAGTAACATCTCCCCAATTCCAGTTAGACAATATCCTTGTTCACGAGGATGGAACTTACAAAATTTCAGACTTCGGATGGGCTACCCAACTTTCTTAAATTAAACCTATACTATGTGGTACTACCGAGTATATGCCCCCAGAAGTTGTCAATAACTAAAGTCATGACCATAAGGTAGACTCCTGGTCTTTAGGAATTGTACTCTATGTACGAATGTCAATTATTCTAGATTCTTACCCACTGCAGGAAACCTTTTATTGCCAAGACAGATCGCGAATTAATTAAATAAATTTCTGAGAAAGAAATTGATATTGATACTTCATTGGATGAGAATCTATAAATTCTCATTCAAGCATTACTTACCAAGGATCCTAGTTATAGACCCAATATATAATAGCTGTATTTCAGCAAGTGGATTAAATTCTAAATGAAACAACACAATATATTCAATAGATACGAACATGAGAAGTTAAAGAATAAATTCAGAAATCAAAAGATCGAAATCAAGTCTGTTGACAATCGGTAATCAATAGTTTTCATTTTAGTGCCATCTAATTGAGAAAGAAGAAGTAAATACTTCAAGATTGTTCTCTGTCTCATAGTTTAAGTACTTAATTGAGTAATTGTGACATGAACGAGTCAGGAATAATAGATAGATAAAAATTTGAAAAACTGTGACTTATTTATATATATTAACATAATTATCAGTCATTTATTTTGTATTTTTATTAAAAGTGTTTATAATATTAAGTTTAACAGTTTACTTAATTAACTGTTTTCCATGTTATTATAATTATTATTATAATATACACATGGAACATCAAGGGTTGCCTGTCTTTTAGGGGGGATTTAGTATTAATAAAAATTATATGATGATTAAATATTATAATCAAATTATTGAGGGCAATCATTATTAATATTTTGAATCATTAGTTGGCTCCTTTGTTTTGATACCTGAACATGTATATATTGTCAATTATGATCCATGTATTCAAAAGAAGGGAATAGCATCGAATCAGGTGTTAGAATAAACTTGAATGTACTCTCAATTAATATAATTGGTTAAATGTTGATGTTCTATATGAAAGTAGTGGTTTTGATGGAGTCACAAGGATGGATTTGATATTATATTATTTGTTTTTAAGGAAATATTGTTCTGTTTTGGTTGTATCTTGAGGGAGATGGTAGTATAAATCCCACTTTATGAGGGGAAAATTTAAAAAGAAAAAAACATTTTTAATTATAGATATGGCCTAGCATCTGTAGGACAGCGAACTATTAACAGCAAAACCTAACGTTCACAATGGATAGGATCTGGTTATTTAGGGTTCGGGTACACAAGAACAAAGCGATTCGAGCTTTTCATCCCAACATTTATGTTCTGTAAATAAATCAGACTTAACTTGATTAGAGCCAATAGAGTAGTCATAGGAACATCAATCTTAGTCAGAGTTCATTTAAGAAGATCAGCAAGAGTAGTTCGGATCTTTAGAACTTCACAAACAAACATGCCCACATATGTGCCCATTATAATTTCCTCGGGAGATGTCCTTTGGAACATTGCAAGTACGATTAATTGGTCAATATCTGTAGAAAGAGACACATTTTTGTATCCGAAGACGATGGTTTAAGCGATCTAATATCTGACAATATTGATTTAATCGACAACCTCACAAGCAGCGGAAACAAACTCAAACTGCCCCATACTACCTATGGAACTTAGCTATCTAAATATAGAAAATGTAAATCCAATACTAAAGAATTTTGTGAGAAATTGGAGCACAAGTTCATAAGTTAGGAATAAATACATTTTGGCGATTTTCCTATATAAAACTTTTGGAATTGGAATGCCTTTGCTTTGCAATCCTTTTCCGTCAAGTCCCAACCTGATCTGGGCAATACTCTACAAGAGAATAAATATTTCAGCCAATTAATTAAACCCAAACCTCTTGTGGATTACAAATAGGCTTCTGAAATTTTAGAGAATTCTTCATCAGCTCTAAACATTTCGAATGAGATCAAAAAAAATCTAATGTCCAAGCTGAAATCCGACATTGATAAGATGTAATAAAAAATAAAGACGATCTCTATGCTAAAAAAATGGATAACCAATCAGTAAGTGGATTAGAACGAATACAAGAACTTGTACTCCTCTCTTTCCTAAATTCAATAGATCCATTATACTAATTTCCTAAGGATCACCAACATTTCAATATCCAGTATTTATACATTAATATATAATTAGATTAAGCAAAACTCAACAATTAGTTTCAAAGTGTCAATTACATATAATAATGAATTTTATCATTATTTCATGTATAGTGTTATGTGAATAATAAAATATTAATATCAAGTGTTCTGACTCTCTTTTTCTCTTTTCTAGAAACTCATAACTTATTTTCATCACCCAATTTCATTATACTTTTCAATATAATCATAATATACTGCCTTTTATTTTTGATTGAAGTATTCAAAATATTTAGATTATCTTAGAAATAGTACTAAAATAATCAAATAAAGCAAATACCAGTTCTGCAATAAAAATCATTGTTTGTCAATAATTTTATAATATTTAACAAAAAATCAAAATATTTGAGATAATAATCATAAACGTAATATCATAATACAAAAAACAATGGAAACATGAAAAATAATATTAATAAATAATATTGTCAATTTTGAAATCTAAAATATATAGCTTAATATTAATAAGCATAATAAAATAGTAAGAATTCTTCATTTAAATGTCTTTATTATTTATTTGAAAAATAGAATAATATTATTTAATTTTGATTCAATATGCTTAAAATATCATATTTTTTCTTAGAATGTGCTGTCTGATTTAGTTACTTTCTTGTAGTCAGCTTATTAATAAATGTTGTAGGATGTTCCCTTGGGATACCAATTTTCATCTATATAACAGTTACAACAATAAATCTACCTTCCATTTCCAATTGTTCTTAGATATCATCCTAAGATTTCCATAACTCTCTTCTGCAATTTGGATTTCTGGGTGAAGGAAAGACTCTATCACTCTCGGGAATATTGAATTGATCTTCAATTCCAACCATTTCACCTCCCCCTAGATGAATCAAAGGCTTCATTTACATTCGCATTCATATTCAAACCAAGTATTAGGCACACCCAAATCCAAGTCACCTGTAGGTTTGATCATAGGATCTGACCACAGGAAAATTTCCCAATGGTAATCTATCAATTCCCTAACTGGTGCAAATCCAACAGGCAACTTAGCCAAATCCTCCAAAACTTGAACATTCCAAAGGATTTCAACCTTCTCACCTTTTGAATTGGTCACAACTTATCTTGCAACATAAACACTGTTTGGAACATAATCCACATCGAAACCACAATTATAAACTAGATATGCGAAATCCACTTATTCTTATGGTGTTAATCCCATATTCAAGATCTTCTCAACTTCCCTTCTTGTGATTCCTAACCAATTTAATGATCAAAAATACCTGGTACTCTTCTCATGATTTCATCTGGATCCATCTAACAACTCCATGTACCTTGTCTACCAAGGGAAGTATTTTGCCAAACAGCTCTTACATCTTCCATACTATTTAAAATTAGGGTGAGGATAAAAATACGTGTATGGACCATCATAGGGAGGTAGTGGGCCTGATTGTCTGACTGGATTGACATGTCTGACATTACGCACTTTGCATAATCAACATTGCTATACCTGGAAGGGGCACTTATTGTGATTTAGCTATATCAGCAATTTCCTTGTTGGATTAGAAAAAGTTTGGGTTCAAATAATGTCTATATCGGTTTGGATTGTATGGCCCATCTATGGCATATCAACAATCGCTTTACTTCTCGATGAGAATGTATATTGAGGCAATGCTTTACGGAAACCAATATTAATTGCACGATTAAGCATATCTATAAAAAAAATATTAATAAATCTCTACAACCGAATTATTAAATAAATTTAGAGTACTCCCAATCTATTTATACTAATCTAATCAATATTTTATTATTGTTGCCTCTGAACACAGCATCCATTTGACATTTAAGACTTTCGATCAATACATAAATGAGGAGAGCAAACATTATTTTGAAATCAATCAAAAAGATTTATTGAAAAAAGTTATTCTATTACTGTAGTAATTTGGCTTTATTTGAGAGGTGAATTTGTATATTATTTTAGACGTCATTTTTTTAAACATCAACAAAGAAAAATTTGAAAATAATCTTAAGTCATTGTATTACATAACTCTTTTCTTTAAATTAGTTGGATCTTAGATAATAAATCATTGAGTGATTAAATTTTGTACGCAAAGAAAGGAGAATTAATTTTAATTATTTTAGATTATGAAATGATGAATTATAATTAAAGATATAAGCTAAATTAAATAAAATCTTTTAATAATATGTGCTAAGATTGAAAATGAATTAAAATACCAAATCTGATAACTTATAAACTAATTTTTACTTAGATTGTGTCGAAAGATTTAAGTAATTTAGAAATTATTATATAAAAATAAATTAATCTTAATAAATAAAAATGAGTATTATAGATATAAATGAATAATTAAAGCAGTGAAATTTGTGGACAATCACTGAGATAACATAAGATTTAATATATTCCATACATCAATTAAGTAGATAAAAAAGTAACTCTTTTAAATTAATTACTACCAACATTCGATAAAAACTAAAATAAGATTTTGAATATTATAGTATGGTTTGATTAATTATATATAAAACAGCATGAATTTATCAATATTTAGAATTCTTTTTCCCTGCTACCACCATAGATGATTAGACATTGTTAATTTGAGGAGGTATGTAACTTTCAGAAAATTTCGGTTGTGTAGGATCTCCAAATTGATTAGGAGGATTATAGGTAGGATCTCCAAATTGATTTGGAGGTACATATTCATTAACATATTTTGAGTCTTAGTTAATTGGATGGCTTTAATTTTGTATTATGTTATTTTATGTGTTTGAATAGACAGGAGGGAATTTGGATTAATACGGTGATAAAGGTTTTTAGTAAGGACTAGTTTCTGAGTGATGAATATCATCTTTAGAAGGAATTGGTTGTCTCTAAGTGTCTGGATCAGGTAGGTACAACTTCTCCTTCTTCTATTTAAAGCACCAATGGAACATCTATACTATAAACATCATAATTAAGATGAATTCACTGATGGCTATGATTATTATCGAAATTGTAATGAGTGATACATAAGTATTGACATCTGCTGGGAAGAGATTGGGAAAATTTGCGAATACATTGTAAATTTAATCTGAGGAGTAACAATTAGCTAATGATTTAAAATAGAGTTCTGAATCATATCTAAGTTTTTCTTGATATAATATTAGGCCTCCTTCAATTAGTATGAATGACATTTGGCAGACCAGCAGAATTTTAAAAATGACTGTGATTATTCGTATATCATTCACTATCCTGAATTTGAGAATATAAATTTCTATTATTAAAATAATTCCTATAAATCCAGTGAATATCTATTTAATAACAACGTAAATTAAACCAATTTCTTAAATTGATTATTCACAATTTTCAGTTTCATTAATCATGTTATTATCAATCTATGTGCAAGTATCATCAGCTTTTGAAGCAATTTTATTCTTTTTTTAAATATTATATGTACTCTTGCAGTCAAATAAGTAATTGCTGAACTAGTTACAGAGGAGGGTACACCATTAAAAGACAATGCTTCTAGGCCTTACTTAGCAAATTCCCCCAATGTTGTTTGTTCTATTTTCACACTATTATCGGTATCAAAATCGGTGCCTTCACAATTTTCAGGATCAATGTATTCACTATTATTGGTTAATCCTGCTGTTATATAAATTAAAGGATTCAAACATGGGTATCCCCTAATTACAACCTGAATTTTAAATATGCCATAGGATGAATTTTCTCTTTGAATATATAGGTCCCTCTTCTTTTCCAAGTTTTGATCTGCATCTTCATCGACAACCTCATTTTATATTATAGTCAATTTTGAAATGGGACACTAAGAGCCTTCGCTTGTTTGTATGCAATAGGGTCCACAATTATATTCAGTCTCTGAACATTCAGTTGACAATCTTATGTCTACAAATCTAGTAACACAAATCTATTGAGAGAACCATCTTGTGATATTGAATTCGGCGTATGGAAATAATTATTAAATTTCCTCAGATGAATCGCAATCCAAGTCTCTGAAGTATACTCTAATTATTAGTGATTTGTTACTGCTTGATTGGTTTGTAGATGAGATTATCTGAAATATATCCAATTGTAGCATTTTGAGCTTCGAATTGATATGCATTTGAATAAAAATCGACTACTCCATGCACTATATCAAGTCCTATGCTGATCAATAAAGAGATGATCATAAAGAACAGAGTTAAAGACTTCACAACCTTATCGTAAACTGAACTATGAATTTACTCAATCGGATGCTTATTCATATAATTTTATTTTAAAAATGCATAAATAAAAACATAAACAAAATATTTTATCTCACTGATTATTGCGTAGATTTCTTACTTACCCACCTGGGAGTACAATCTATTTCTTTATCTAAAACTAATCCTCTTTTGTAAAACCCAACTACGAAAGTTTTCTGTTGAAATTAGTTCTCGTTATAGCCTCATCCAAATACAAATTCATCAACTGTATATCCTTTATAAACTCATTATACTACAATTTTTATTCATCCATATTACACATATTAATAATTCTCTTTGATTTCTGGTTAAATTAACTTAGTAAAATTGTCTTTTCCTTCTTCTTTTCCATCAACTCCTATATCAATTACGACTTCCTATTTTCCGATGGCAAGGTATGTATAATGTTCTCTGGTCTGTGTCTTGTTTTGGGAGGTGGATTGCATTTCGAGAAATTCAACAATTATTACTCAAACATAGAACTTATTTTTATTTTTTATGGCTTATTTTGAGATTTATTTTTTAATTGATCCTCTTCTATACTCTGACTGTGCTTAATCTTCACTTCATTTATTTTAGACTTAATAAATTCATTAGCGTGCTATTTGAATGCCTTGTAAATGTCTTCCTCCAATTATTCCGTAGAATTTAGGTCAATTCCATACTACAAAACTATCTTGTAGAGCTCCTTATCATAATCTATTTAAGTTGGCTTCTATTACTCTATCTGTACCCCACTCTATGGCTCTCCTGATTGAGTTTTGCATTTTGTGGATTTTCCAAGTTTCTAAAGAAAGTTTTCAGTCTCCTCTCTCTCTTTCTTTATTTATTCGATTTGATCTTCAACATGATAATAAAATAGATTTTAATCATACTGAGATTTTGTCACATAATCTCTGTTTGACCTTTAATTACAACAACCTTAAAATTAACTAACTGCTCTCCTTCCGAGGTCTTGTAATCTCTCCTTAGATAACTCCTTAGTCTTCTTGTTTGGTGCTTTAACCAAACCTAAATCTAAAAAACAATCACTATCCAAGAAAGCTTTATCAAATTCTGTTACGAACTCTACTTCGTATTATTCATACATCTTTTCTAAATCTGCTTCCTGTTAATCCAATTGTCTTGCTACTTTCCTTCTTATTAGATAATTCTTTACTGATTCTAATAAATCTCTATTGTTGATAATATTCAACCTCTTTAATTTGGTTTTTGTGTCAATAAAAGTCTCAAGTATCTTGAATTATTACAATTAACGATTAAATCTACTTTAGCTTGAATACTTTACCTGACATCATGTGTATTATTCGTCAATTTTAACTGTGCCTTTACTTTATTCACCAATCTTCTGACTCTCTCTGTACTACAACTTTCTTGATAATCCTACTGTAACTTAGTAGATTTAGATGGCTAAATGATTGGCAAAGCATCATTCACTTTTTAGAATCTCAGATTTTTTGTCATTCAGCCTATTTCTTATAAATAAAATATATCACGCCTTTACATTAAATCTAATCATGATATCAACTTAACTTTTTTAAGATTAACTAATTACCTGTTCAGCAGAAATTGATATAATTGTAGCATACATTTGTTTCCCCCTTTAAAAACTTAGAATTCCTCAATTCAAAGCTTTATTCTTATTAACAAATATGCTGAACCTTAATAAAATTGCATTAAATATTGAAATTATGGCAATTAAGAGATCAATTTCATAAGAATTAGGAATTATGTGTACAATATTTACTAAACTATTGATTATATTTCTAAAACCATTATGGTAATTTGATAAGCAAATAAATTCAACTATCTTTTTGATTAATATGATAAGATTATTCTTAATCCCCATAATTCAGTTGAAATAATGCCAAAATAACAATGCCCTACTAAAGAAAGGTTTAAGTTGGTTTATTTCATGTTCATTTAATTTCAGTCTGTTAAATTATTTTAGATTAGTGAATTACATCATTCAAATTACACATAAATATACTTGTATTGCATAAAGAATTGAAAGAGAAACAATATGTACTAAACACATTTAATTTTTATTAATAAAAATTCTATTACTTTTCTCCAGTTTATATTATAATGAAGTCTTTCATAGACATTAGAGAAAATAAAATTATTTATTAAATTTATATAATTGGTAATGAAGTCATAAAAAACAATTAATGAGGCTTTGTAAAATCTTTACAATAATGGTCAAAAAGATATTGGTATGGAGGAATTATACAATCTCTTTATTTCAGATAAGTCATAAGGCTTAAAAGAGCAGAAATAGAAAGTAAATTCTGTGTGCGGAGCTTAAATTCATCATGACGAGTTGAGTTTTAAATGTTTTGATTGTTCTAACGATTTCAATCATATGATTTGTATCAAATGCTTTGATATTAAAAAACATATAAGTATTATGTATGATATCTTTTAGATCATAAGTTTTTGCTTAAGGATGGCGCTGGATGTTGTGACTGCGGAGATGAAAATATTATTAAATTAGGAATTTGCAATGACCACCAGGGTCATTCTATTATTAATAAATAGGAAATTCTTGAATAAATACCTGCAATAATCAAAGAAAACACTGAAACTTTTATATAATGTCTTAATAATATCTTAAATTAACTATACGTTGAACTTAAACCTAATTCTACGATCAATCCTTATTTTGTTAAGGTTTATCATATTGCGGCTAAGTGGAAATTAAAAAATATAACGGAAGCGATCTCGCTAGAAGACTATTATCAAATTTTCCACAAAGCACTTTATTTTCACAATCTATTGATTAAATTCATATCTTGGTTTATTTAAGTGAATCATTAGAATCTCTTTTTAATAACTCATATCTTATCATAAACAGATCCTAATTCCAATTAATTAATATTATACAATATTTTTGAAAGATAATTAACTCTTGAATCTTTAGGACCTTATAAAGGGGAAAAATTAGAAGCAATTTTTTATGCTTTTCATGCTGATGGTGAATTCAAAAGGCTAGTACAAATTACATTTTTGAAGAATTTTCATAATTTTCGATCTTTTTCAAGCCTAAATTATAAGGCCTTTATTGTTCTAAAAAGAATTTATGAGAAATTAAACGACTATGTTTAAGCATAAAATTACATGGGTCTTTAATTAATGGAAGATAAATCATCTGAAGAAATTATATAAGTCTAATTTGATTAGTCAGAGAAATATTTTACTTTTTTATAGTTTACCGAATTTATAGTTCACCACTCATAATTTACCTCTTAAGAGATGATAGAAGCCATATTGCAACCTAACATTTGTTCTCCTTATTTCTCAAACTTAACTGAGAATCAAAAATTATATTATTAGGACCTTAATTTTGTTTAAGATTATTCCCATTTGCATTTAAATATATTATCATTTAGGGCTGAATTTATTTATTTTAAGTAAGTCCTTATGAATTGCTTTAAAAAATTATTTGACGATAAATTTGATTCCTTTTAAGAGAAGATAATTTCATAAGATGATTATGAGGATTTTTAATAAAGATAGTTTTTCTTAACTTAATTGCTCCATTCCTTCTATAACGTTAAAAGGTAAAACAGGAAATACAAATTAGATAGTCTCGTTGTGTAAAATGATAATTTATATAATGCTGCTCTCATTATCAATTTTTAATTAAACTAATTCTATGTATTTAATAAAATGTTCAATGGTTTAAGAAGTTTAATGCCCAAACTGATTGGAAAAAGAAATCTATCAAGAATATATTTGTATTAATGTTATCTGAAATTAAACTAAGATGTATAAAATATTGGAAATTATTTTGAATAAATTGATAATTTTTATATAGATTATGTAGATTCTGAAACAACTATCAAAGGACAACAAGAAGTATGCGAAGCGTATAATTTATTAAGCCTAAAACTCTTAAAGAGACCAATTTTTACGAACCTAATATTTATAGAATTGCTAATTCTCGAATACTTTGAAGGCTAATTTATTGATAAAGAATAATATCTAAAGCATTTGATGGAAGTTCTCAGAATGGAAAACTTAAAAGATTTAAAACCTTTGTTTAATAATTTATTAATTGATTCTCTTTAGAATTTGATTGCTCTTAATTTTGACTAGAAAAAGAGATTATAAGAAGAATAGTAAAGAATTGATTTCAATTCAAGTGAGTTGGAATCTGTTGATCTTGCTTACATAAAATTCTATCTATTCTTATTTGAACTAGATGGTTTATTGTTTTTAGAGGTTGCATTTTAAAAATTTAGAATTCCTGATAAAAAGATCGCCTCTGAAATTTATAAGTAATTATCTTAATCTATTTTAGTTCCATGTTGTTAAGCATAATTTCATCAGAAATAGAATTTTGGAATGTGTTATAAATGGTCGAAGAATCATTGGATCTATATCCTAAATAGCTCAACTCTACGATTCATCATATTATAATAAATTTGTTCAATCAATCAGCTAGTTTGAGCTTTGATGAAATATAGAAACACATAGAATAATTAAAAGTAAAAACTAATTCACCAATAGAAAATCTTGTATAAGAAGTATGTTAATTAGATTTAATATCAAAAACATTTACTTTAAAAAAAGGTATTTAATTATATCTTGATCCTATCGTATTTACAAAAAGCAATGCAGTTAAAGGAAATATTGTAGAAAGATTGATTGATCAAAAAAAATCGTAAAGATTTATGAACTTTGGAAATTACACCCAATATAAGGCAGATGAAATCATCAAACATCTTTCATCAAATAAGGATTCAATATTTTTTGACATTTTTCACCTACTTATTAATGAACCTTTTATTAAATAATTGATACAGGGAAATAGAATAGAATTAATTATAAAAATTGTAAACATCTTAATTACTAAATTATTTGATTATCATTTTATCTAAATAATAAAATAAGGTTGATCAAGAACTACTTGATTTGATTTAAAAACTTACCTAATAATATAAATAGAATAATTAAAAATGTGCAGAATATCTTGATCAGATCATTGAAAATTTAAACTCATTATTTGAAATAGGGTCAAACTCTTTACAATAAATAAATAGTTAAATATTGATTTCAGATAAATCCAAAATGAAAAAGAAATATCTTTAGAAATAATCTAAATTTAACGAATAATTAGATATCAATGTTGGATTAGGATTACCATAAGAAAAATACGATGAAAATGAATAGTGTTAGTCTTGTAAATTAACATTAAAGTAAGATGATAGATATATTCCAATTTTAATATCAACATTTGCAAAGTAGAATAGATATGATACTATGCCAATGGAATTATAAAACCTATTAAATGCTGAGACTTTGAATCTATTCAATGTGTCAAGTTGCAAGCATTAGTTTCATTTTAAATGTTTAGCAAACTCATTTAAAACCAAATTACATTAAGAATATCCATCATGGTTGATATCTAATTGCCCTATTTGTTAATAGAGTTGCAACTTATTATATCCTAATTCTTAACTTGAAGTTCATTTTAATTTATTCATTTAAGAATTAGAGGCAATTTTAATTGAATTAAATTTAGATTTATAATTATCATTAAAATATGAAGGTAGAGAAGAATTAATTTTATTTGATATTTTCTATCAGTTACTTATTAATATTTTAATCTAAATGATATAATAAAAGGTAGACTTTTAGAGATCTGGTAAAGTTTAGATTTTCTAGCAATTTATCAGGATTTTAAAGCATCATTATAAAAACATCAATTATAAGTAGAATATACTGAAATTTAAGAAAGGATAAATATTTATATTGGACATTATGATGTTAATCGAGAATTAAGTAATGTCAGTAATTAATAAAAATGATTTCGAATAAGAAATCTCAAAAATATTATTATCGTTGCCAAAGCAAAATGATGACTTAGTTAAAATTTTATTTACTTGTTTCGAAATAAAATTTAATGATGAACTATTTTATGGTGAATAAAATGAAATATCATCAATGTGTATAACAGATTTCTATTAAACCTAAAAAGAAATATCCAATTAAATAGCCATACTATTAGGAAAAAATTTTGAAACTTTTAGACATAGATATATTAAGAACTTATGCAAAAAATGTGGCTTCTTTGCCACTAAGTAGAAATAAGGTTAAGATATTGCTGTATGTTTACTTTGTTTAAAAACATTATGTTTAGGTTCATGTAAAAATTATAAAATTGGCAACTTAAGTATTCATGCTGAAGAGGAGCACAACTGCCATTCAGTCTATGTTTGCTTGAGCTCAGGGAATGTTGTGATAACATCTTATCCTATGTCATATGTTAATTGTTTTAGCTTATTTTATAACAACTTAGGTTAAGAAATAAATTAACTTACATATACTAATCTAGATTGGGATAAATACAATTTAGATATGGAAAAAGTAGAATAAATTTCTAAGATTATCTTATATAATTAATATTAACAAATTATAAGAAATGCATTAAATGATCAAAACAGAAACAGACAGAATGTTAGAAGGAATTTATGAATACTATAAATAATATTATCATTATTTAATTAAATCTTATAAATTTATATTAAAAGTCTACAATAGTTTATTTAAAATTATTGAGTAAAATTATTTTTTTAATGAATAGAATACAATAATGTTATAATTTGGGAAACCTTTTTTATTCAACAACTCTACTTTCCTCTTAGAATTTGCACGTGTCTTTTTGGTTTTTATGTAGTTTTAAAGGGTTCATTTGTAAATATATGCAAACAACCTTATTAGCTAGCCATTGTTTCATAGAATCGGTAAAATTAAACGCAAACTCTTAATTTAGAATTATTTAGGATTAATTTAAACTCTAATCAGTTAATGAATTTTAAGGATGAATCAATGATGTCTTTTCCTGCATAATAAGGATTCCTTAAATTAATCAAGTTATCATGTTGATCATCGAAGTGACTCTCATTATTAAACATACTTTTTGGTATTTAATTTAATATATTTAGAAACCATTTGAATTATGAAAATTAAGAAAAATAGAATAACATTCTAAGCAGGCCTAAAAAAATATTGATTTATATTATTTTTTAGTGGAGAAAATGATTTGATCTATTTGAAGTTATCACAGAAGAGAGAATATATATATAAATTTCGTTTGTTTAATTTAAGAACGAGCTTAGCTTCCGGAATAGGAGCCTTGCCCGCAACCTATTAAATAGGTTTAAACTTGGATAGGTTTTGCTCATTAAATTGAACCCAGTGATGGATTAAGTTTTATAAGCAATATTTTTCTCGATAAATAGTAAATAATTAATTTCTAAATTATGGGTTTATAAATAAATTCATTAAAATTAATATTTAAATATCAATGTTGGATTAGGATTACCATAAGAAAAATAAGATGAAAACGAATAGTGTTAGTCTTGTAAATTAACCTTAAGGAAATTTAATAGATATATTCAAATTTTAATATCAACATTTGCAAAGTAAAATAGTTATGATACTATGCTAATGGAATTATATAATCTATTAAATGCTGAGAATTTGAATCTGTTAAACGTATCAAGTTGCAAACATTAGTTTCATTTTTAATGTTTAGCAAACTCATTAAAAACAAATTACATTAGGAATATCCAACATGGTTGATATCTAATTGCCCTATTTGTTAATAGAGTTGCAACCTATTACAGTTTAATGAACAGAAAAAAAATCTGCTATAATTTATAACCATTTTTAATATTCAAAAACAAGACTACTTTCCTGCTAGAATTTGCGGGTGTCTTCTTGGTTTTTCTGAAATTGTAAAGAATTCACTTGTAAATTTATTCCAATAAACTTGATTAATTAGCAATTACTTCATAGAATCGGTATCATAAAATTCCAAATTTTGAGTTTAGTTTTATTTAAGATAAATTTAAACTCTAATATATTTAAAAACCAATTGCAGTTGCTGTTAATTTAAATACAAAAATTTAGAAGAGTAGAATAAAATTTTAAATAGGCCTCAGAATTCAGTAATCATTTAAACAATCACTAATAGAATAAATGTACAATTATCCAAATACACAAATTATATCGTGTATACTGAGTGCTATGCCATGCGTTAACACTGAGTAGTTAGTCTCGTTTCAAAGAGAAATTATATTTTTTAAATAATTTGTTAATATTGCTCTAATAAATATTTGATATTCTAAAAATTACATGTGTTCTATTGTTTCTTTAAGTGGAGAAAATGATTTGATCTATTTGAAGTTATCACAGAAGAGAGAATATATATATAAATTTCGTTTGTTTAATTTAAGAACGAGCTTAGCTTCCGGAATAGGAGCCTCGCCCGCAACCTATTAAATAGGTTTAAACTTGGATAGGTTTTGTTTCAATTTGATTGAACCCAGTGATGGATTAAGTTTTGTAACCAATATTTTGCTCTATAAATAATAAATAATTAATTTCTAAATTATGGGTTTATAAATAAAATAATTAAAATCAACAGCTAATTTTTAAATTAAATTATTTTCTATATTTTACTCTATCCCATTAAAGATTCAATTAAATGGGTATAAAAATAAATATTCAACTATTTTTCTAAAAAAAATTAGAAAGATATATCTAAGATGAAGCTTTCTTTTGATTGCCAATATTCTTAATTTGATTATAGGTTTTTAATTTATATCAATGAACATTAGTATTTTAATGTGAGTACTATTTTTGTTATATTTGGTTATAACAAGACTCTAATTGATTAAATTTAGATCAATAAAATACTTGATTATTATTAGTCCATTATATTATTGATGAATGATCATATTATATCTGTTATATCAATTTTGATTAAGCAAGATACTTATAATTAATTGCTATATCTTATTTCATCTATTATAATTTATTTATAATCAAGAATATGAAATAAAATTAATAATTTGAATAAAACTATGTTTATTAATTTCCACTCCATCTAAGATATTATTTGAAATGTTAAATATATTTAAAAATGCCTTCTCAAAGAAGCTGAGACAAGATTCACAAACTATTCAATTTGAACAGTTTGATCAATTCTAATTGGAAGAACCTTAAGTAGATAATAAAGTACCCATTGATTTTTAAATTATTGATGAAGAAGCAATGAAAATTATTGAAGAAGAGTATGATAATAAATAGCAGGTTCAATCAGTACACTAAGAAGAGTAATAATTTTAAGAAGATCTTATTGATTATGAAGTGAAACCTGATGATTCATTATATGGAATGGCAATCAAATTTAACGTTTGTGAAGACTACCTAATGAGAATCAATAATTTGTCAAGTGACTTAATATTCTAAGGTTAATTCATAAGAATACCCAAGAAAAATGAGAAGACATTTCCAGTTGTTCACATTCAAGAAGAAAGGGAGAAATTAGAATATTTATGGAACCCTGAGGCTAATTCATTAAGATGTAATGTAGATCATAATTATTACTAGTTGATGTAGTATATTGTAACAATATATAAAATGTCTAAGGATAGTTGACTCTGGCATCTGATTTAATCCTATTCAATCCAGTTCAATAAGATCATCTAGTTGATAACCATTAGAAATTAAGATTCCAAGCTTGCATCTCAATGAGTGATATAAATGAAGCAGTTTATTATGTCTTACCTAATAAATATGGTCATTTAGACTATATTGTGCAAATAATGCTATCAGGGATAGGAAAGCCAAAATTTGAGAAGAAACACAGAAAACAATTAGACAAACTTAAAGAGTAAAAATAAAGCATTGCTACAGTGTTTTTTAGAGTAAGGGACTTAAATATTATATAATTAGCATGCTGAAAGAGACTATGAAGGGAAATTGTATGCTGAAGAAATCAAAAAGGAAAATTGCATTACAATGGCCAGGTTCATCACTGAAGCCTGTTCAACTTATACAGCAGCTGTAGAATTAACTCTTTTACCATTTGTAGATTTCATTTATGATCTTGCTTAAAAATAGAATTTAAATGTGGATGTAGATGAAATCTCAGATGTTATTGGGCAGCGTATGGGCAGTAAATTTTATTAAAAATAATAGATTTATGGGCTAGTTTGGAATATGTTCCAATTTTGACAGGAAACTCCAATTGCTTTACCAATACAACGTTCAAATAAGTCATTTAATCTATACCGGCTATATATAGATTAGCTAATTGGAATAAGCTTTACGATATTGATATTGATGGATCCAGTTATCATAACATGCTTCAGTAAATTAGATAAATATTTCCCATGTTATTAATAATCAAAGATTTTGATCTTAATATTTTTGGTGTATACATTTCAAGCGAAATTAATAAATACTTCCAAGGCTTTAAGGGTAATGGTGAAACCTTTTTATTCAATGTCGATTCAAAAGTATAATTAAAATTATATGATTTAAGTAGAATGAAATTAGGACATTTGTTTGGACTGAAAAAAATAAAGATTTTATTTTCTGCGATGAATCTGGTATAGGAATAGGATGTGGAGATAAATTTGGTCTCTTTATAGATTAAAGTCTTTCATTTGGTTATTCTAACCCTTGTTCCACTTTTGAGAACCCAAGATTTACTAATGAAGAGAAATTTGGAATAATGCATATGGAACTATGGGCTATTGAGCAATAATGAGAGATAATACTATGTTATATGTTTAAATGTTTAATAATTTTCTCTAAGATCCTTCTTATAATAAGATTCGAAAGGATATAATAGGAGAGTTTAAACTATATTAGAATTCTATGTTTAAATATTATTTGCACAAAATCTAATTAATTATCATTATTATCATGAATTGGTTATTCAGTAAATACAATATGGCATTTAATAATTATTTCACAAATTTCTCTCATAATTTATTATTTAAAAGTATTATAGTATTACTTTGATAAATTTAAGGACTTATTTTATTCTTAGTATCATTTATTAATTATGTTCTAATCCTTTAATTTAGCCAAAAAACTTCAAATCAATGATGACTCCCTTTAGAATTGCAGAACCTTTAGAGAATTTTATCATTCTTAAAGAAACATTATCATACCATCACAATTTCAAAAACTTAAACTAATTCCAATCTAGGACTTGCAAAGACAATCCTACACCAACAATAATTAAAAGAGATCTTCATTAAGGTATAACAATTTGTTCGCTTTTAATAACCAGGCGGATTTGCTTAATTAGGAGAGATTAAGACATGGTAGGAAATAGGTTAGTTTTAGTGATAAGATTCTAATCATAGAGCCTAAGAGAGGCATGATGATTAGAGAAAGAATTCCTCAATCGTCTGAGCCTGTCAATATCATTAGAACTAGAAAAAGAAAAAACTGCATTTTAATTCAAAATCATATTAGAACATTAGAGACTTGCTAATCCACTTTCATTGATTAGCTTTGAACTCTTATTATAATATTTTCGATGTGGATATAAATATTAATTTTATTAAAAATAAATGGCTCAAGTTTAGAGATCTCCTTTTGAATTGAGAATTTGGCATTTCTACACTGAGGAAGAGAAATCCATTACACTACTTAATGCATACAAACAAAGAGTATTGTTCTCAGAAGATATCAAATCTTTCCTTCTCAGGGATAGATTAAATACTTGGTCCTATTGGGGATTCCCTGTTGCATGTTATGCACTCTTTCACTACTCTGGAGCATTATAACCATATATCGCAACAAAATACTCAGTAGGTGCCTAAAGATTGATTCCTGCAGCAATATCTGGTTTACTTTGGCTTGGTTGGGTCCATTTCAATCCATTTTACACTTCTTTACAAAAGTAACACAATTCCTCATTACTCTCTTAGTGAAAAGTTGAGTTTGCTGAATTTGATTGAGAAAAGAGTAGGTTTGAATATGAAGGCACTCAATGAGCAAGTACCTCGTACTTGGACATCATAAGAGATTCACAGATAAATCAGAGAAGCCTATAACAATAGACATGGATTTTTCACAAACATACTATATCCAAGTGAGGAAAGAGCCTCCCCATTGTAGGATATTTCATCATATCCATTCAAATACAGAAGAGATAGAATTGTTAAATGATAAATCCCAAAATATCATTTAGAATAAAATCATATTAAATTCCATTATTTTTAACTTATCAATACTTCTTAGTATGCAGAAGTATGATGAAAGAAGGTTAATAATATAAAAGAATGCTTAAAGTACTTAATAAGATTTTTATTATAATGGATTGTCATGCATATTCATTTTTTAATTTGAGTTTCTATTCGGTCTATGACAATAAGTTGAATTCTTTTTGGTTATTTCTAAGTGTTTGCAATTTTCTAGCCTTCTCCCTTTCCTGAATAATTAATTATTTTCGGTTATGCTTTAAATATGAATACAGACTGTTACTTCATTATATTGAGCCCACATCTTTTCATCCTCTTTTTCTTGTTATCTTTTTTATTCATTTTATTCTCTCTGTTTAGCCTAGTCGTTCCTTATTTCTTATCTCTATTAATCTGACATCCCTTTATAATGATAAGGTATCACTCGATGAGGAGCTAAAGCACTTTGACAAGTAGCAGTACTAGTATAAGACTTTAGAAATACTTCTCAGTCCAAACATCGTTGTTCAAAATCTCTTCCGCGTGTTATTTCTTTTCTAGTTGAGCCTATCTAGCCATATATTCCTCCCTATCCTATTTCTCCTTTGCCAATTGATTATTGATTTGTTAATTGGCAATTTCCATTTCGACTCTCCTCCTCTATTTCTCTTCCTCCAACTCCTTTAAACTCTAATTAATCTATAATGTCTGCTGATCGTATTATTATTATATCTGTTTATTCAATTGTTTTTTCTGTTGATTCTCTTGTGTTTATTATTATACCCAGTCCTTCATTTACAGTTACTGCAATTTTCTCCTGTCTCCAGCAGCTAAGAGAATATATGCATAACTTAATACTTAAGTCCTCACCGTCGAGCATTTTTAGATTGGAAACACCAACTTGATTTTTCATTTATGCGTGATTGTAGGTTGGATTTTGATAATGACTCATTAAATTTAATATACTTTATATTTTAATATTCAAGCGTTATATACTCCAATTACAATAGCATGATCTCTTTCATATGGTTCTAGAGTGAGTTATTCTTAAGGTGTAAGTCCTTCATCCTAGAATATACATTAATCTATACCTTAAGACGTTACACTTCATGTTGAAATACAACTTCAGCACGATTGGTAGAATCAATACAGTTGGCTTTGATGGAGATCATGAAATGACCTCCCTTTTTAAGGAAATATTGTGAATTTAATCCCACAATTCTGGCCTAATCAGGTTGTGCAACATCTGCAAACACAACATCCACCATTCCTACGAGCATTCTGTACTCCAATGGCTTTCTTGCATCAGCTATGATAGGCACTATGTTTGTTCTTTTCTTTGCCATATTTACTAGATCTCTTCCAGATCTGTGAGAGAATTCCACTGCATAAACCACGCCTAAAAAGACATCATCATAAATTCTTACCTTCTGCTCCTATCACATCTGAAACATGGGATACTGTTGTTCCTGATGCAGCTCCCAAATATAATACTTTGGCACCTGGCTTTATGAAGATGTCACTAACACCACCAATTATACCAGCAGCAATCTTTGATCTGAATGGGTTCCAAACTCTATATTCGACTTTCTCTCCAGTTTGTTTGTCTTCCACTGAAATTCTCTTTTCATTGTACACTGATTCTCCTGGCACCATGTTCTTTGTCACCAAAGCTTCTTGTTATCCTTTAGCAACGAAAACTCCTGCTAATCTTGGATGTGGAACCACAAAAGCCTTAGGAGCTCCTCCCATTCGGCCTCCTCGACCTCCTCGGCCTCCTCTGTCACCACCCCTACCTCTTGGGGCTCCTCTGCCTCGGTCTCCTCCTCGACCGCCTCCTCTTGTGTCGCCTCTTCCTCCTCTGAAGTCTCTACCCATAAATTATATTTTAATATATTTAATTAGCAATAACAAGAGATAATTGCTACTTTCTTTCGTTTTCCTCTATAACTTAAGTAACATTAGAAACAGCTCTTCTACATTTAGATCATCCCGTTGATCACCTCAACACTCTGAAATACTATAAAGGTTAAAAGTTATAATCAGTTCATCTATTTATAGGGAGTAAATTATAAAATTAAATGGTCTACTCTCTTCTTTTCTAATATGTTAAATATTGCACATAATATGAAAGAGGAATGATAATTATACAATTTGCTTTTGTTTAAATTTGAAATAATTGTATATCAAGTTTTTATATTATTTAATATAATGATGGAAAGTAACAAATTGCCTTATGATATCCTCTCTATAGGTTGATGAAATAAGAATGTTTAGGAAATTTTATCTTGTTTGAAATAAAATCTCTTTAATTAAATATATACTCAAATAGTTTCATTATTATAGACAAGCATAATTAAATTATGAATTTTTTACTTAATTTTAATGAATTATAATTATAATCCCTTGTTCTAAAGGTTTTAATTCATTTATAGGTTCAGATTAACTTTGGTACTAGATAGATTAGTAGAATTACACCATTTCTATATGTCAATTGAGAAATCTACATAATTTTTCTTTTGATATTTTTTAGAATTTCATCTATGTTTTTACCAAATTTGAATTTCTATATTTATCAAATATCACTTTTCATAAATTATAGTTCGACTTATTTTTAACACTTTATTTATGCAATGCATGTGAGAGGAGTATTATTTGTAAAATTAAGATACGCAAGGTTACCAGTATTTAATACAACTTAAATTTAATATATTGAATTAATAATATTATGGGTTTGTGCTAGTCAAATAGGAATTCAAGGAAATCTTTTGCTGCCAAGAAGTTACACACTTAAAGCGACACAAATATTCAAAGTAAATCAAAAGGAAAAGAAACCCCAATAAGACCTAAAACATAGCCTACTTTGAACACAATTGTAAAAGACCATTTCTCGACCATAAAAACTCCAATTGCAATCGGAACTAGCAAAAGGATGTTTAAGGAAGCTTTAGCCAAAACTTATTCCGTTCTCAATTAGGACTTTGGTTATCCAAGTAAGCTCATTTAATTTATTCAGATAATGACAATATAGGTTTAATACAACATAATGTCACCGGATAGGTTAGAACTGCTAAGACCATTCTAAAAGAAGACGAATCAATTAATGACATGGATTAATACATTAATAATATTCGAGAAAATAACTTAGTAATTCTATTTATATTACAAAAGTCTTCCCCACATTTTAATAACGCAATCGAGCTGTTTCAAGATTTTAAATGCTACTATGTGATTCAATAATACTGTAGTGGCGGTAAGCTTAACAATTTATGCGGTAAAATTGAAGAGGACAATGCCATTTACATTATATCTTAAATTTTAGATACTCTCAAAGAGATTCATAATTTAAATAATTATCATGGAAATTTAAGCATTCAAAGCTTTGCTCTCTAAGATTAATCAAATAATCATTATGTCAAATTGATTGATATATATCCTGTATTTTAAGTAAAGGATAAATAGGATGTTTAGAGGAATCAACTAAACGACATGAAGGCAGTTGGACTTATTTTATTTCAATTGCTTACGAATAAACAAATAACTAAATAAACAACTGAAATGATTTTAAAGAAACCAAAAGATTTATCATATAGAAATTCCTTTTGGTTTCTTTTAGTAATTTAATTTCTGGAATTAAAAAATCTCTCAATTTATGATAATTTGCAGTAAAATTCAAATTACTAAAAAATTATAAAGAAATATTAATCTCAATATGCTGAATCGATATTTTCAAAGATATAGGTCAAAAAGGCCTCGTATCTTTAATAATAAATAATATTAGTCATGAATAAGATGTTTTTTTAGGAGAGATAAAATCAAATCTAAAGGGTATTTTTGAAGAATGATACCAATCATAATGGAACCTTACAAAAGGAGGAATTGAAAAATGCCTTAGGATATGAAGAAGACATAGATGAAATATTTGATTAAATTGACATTGATGGAAATGGAAAAATAGATATGAATGAATTCATTTTTACTTCTTGTGATAGAGCAGCTTTGTTAAATGAATTCAATTTGAATATTGCATTTTACGAATTGTAAAGGAAAGGATTTGTTGTTACCTCTTAATTTTCTAAATATATAAGTTGTGATGAAGATAAAATTGAAAATGAAATTGCAAGCAAATTTAATTAAAAAAAAGTAATTATTCGATCTATTCTTAGTTAAATAAGCAAGATTTCATTAAACTGATGATGGAGCTTCTCTGAATAATCTTATTAGTTTAAATAATTTAATATATAACATTTGCTCGAATAATTTGTAATTAGTTATATAAATGGCATTATATCTCCTTATTGAATCGAAATATTAATCCTCTCCAATTCTATGAGTGAATCAATAGGATATTCTCTAGTTTATTTTTCAGTTTTAAATCATTTTTACTATTATTCCTATTGAATCTAATCAATTATCAAGAAATTTATATGATAGAATTAGAATGCTTACTAAATAATAAAAATTATTTTGATATTAGATAATGAAATCTAATATAAAATATCTCGGGATACCAAGTAGTGCCAATTAAGAGTATCAGTTATAAAATTAAAATAATGTAGGATAGAATGGGCAAGTTTTACAAAGCCTGAAAAATCTTTATAAACAAATAGAGGAACTGAAAGATAATTAATGTAATGTGTCTCAAAGTCTGACAAATAATTTCACTAATATAAATAAAAAAATGGATGCTATGGAATCCTTGATTAATGAATTAAAAAATCCGCCTTTTAAATCTACTATGGATTTTCCTAAACAATCAAGTATCAAAATTATGAAATCACAATCTGCAAAGACAGTTAGTACTAGAGCACCTAAAATTACTGAAATTATTTATGATTAGAAACAGAATTTATTAGAGTAATCTTTAAATTTTTAGAAGGCTGAGAATAGTTAATATATAGATGCTGATAAAAATAAAATTGTAATAGAACCTAAGCAAATTTAATCTATATATCAGCCTGTAAAATACACCTCATCATTATCATTAGGGAGCTAATTAAAATAATAAAATATATAACAAGATAAGAATTTAAAAATAAATTAATTTCAATATAGGCAATGCGATGTATGTAAAGACAGAGGGTTTGATATAATTGAAACTCCGTGCAATCATTTCTTTGATAAAAAATGCTTAAATACATAATTTAATTAATAATTCCTGAATTATGATCATCAATAAAAATTTTATTGCATCTGCAAAAAAGAATTATATTCAAACTTCTATATAAAACATTTAGAATTAAATGGAGAAAAATTATTCCAAAAATAAATAAAAATTATATTTCAAAAATATTAGAAGATGTTTTAATAATGTAAATAGTGCTAAACATTTTGGATTTTTGATATCTATAAAAAAACTAATGATAGTTGTTTCAAATGTGGATCAATTTATTACCCCTGAATTATAAGTTTTATTAAAATTTTAAATATACTGTTAAATCTCAAATTTTATTACCTTTTTGATTTTCAAATTATCTTTATAGAAATATGAAATAAACATAATTTTTTATTTATCAAACATAAGAAATGTAATTGTTAAGATATGTAAATGAATAAAATTTTGATTTCAATCCCTTAGCAATAATGATCTTGACTAGCTAGAATTTTATATCTTCATTTACCAAATAAATAGATATGATAATTGTAAATTTAAACAAATATTAATTGTAAAATTAAGGATATTTTAATTTAAATCAGATTGAATTTAAATTAAAGGAAATTTTAATAATTTCTTTAAGGTTTTCAAACTAGATTGATTTCAACTAGTTGCAAGATTAGAAATATTTTATCAAATAAATTACGATATAAATTTTGAGTAGACTAGATAGTAAGTATATTTTGAAATACCATATTAATAAATATTTTTATAGTAGTTTATATTATAACCTATTTTCCTTTTATTTATGATGAAAATATTCATCATAAATTAATATTAAATACTGTTTATTTATAAGTAAAATAGCTTAACAATAACAAATTAAATTTCTCACTTTTCATCACACATACAACACTATTTGGCATTATAATTTTTCTAAGATTATTTGTTAATCCAAAAGAAATTACAGCGATTGCAAGTTTAGAAAATCTATTAATTTTTATAAAAGATGAATTCTATTTATTTTTATAGTAATTCTTTTTGATGTATTTCATTAAATTCAGCATCAATTTTTGGAATTCTATGAATTTTTTATTTACATATGCATGAAAGCTATGGATTTTATTTAAATCCTTTTATTTGTGTACTAATTAATTCCTGCAAACAACTTATGTGATAAATATGTTAGCAATTTAATTAATATTAAGTTCCATCAATATTTTATAAACAAGTATAGCATTGAACTTATCTTGTAAAAACTTTAGACTCAAAAATATTAGTTTCTTCTAATTATTCTTGATTCATTTATGAGTCTTTATTTATTTATGAGTCTTATTTTTTCATATAATTTGATTAGAAAATATTAAACTTATTAACATTAGGATTCTAATGAAATAATTTACTATTTTCATATTATTGAAGTTGATTGTTCTATTAATTCTGGGTTGGTGCTTTATATTCTGAAACACTTCTAACACTGTTTCCGAATTAACTTTTTTCTTCTCTAATAGTCGAAGTTATGTTTTATTTGGGATATGCTTTATACTATTTCTCATATATATCATTTGGTTTAAATGGGTTTTTCTGTACACAAGGAATTTACTAATTGCCAAATGATTGGATTTGGTTTCTAAAATTTTCTATTATAAATATTAATCTAGATACTTACATTGTATAAAAGGACTCATTGATGTTCCAAAGTCCTATACTTTAATTTGAGCTTTAGTATTATTTTAAATTATTGATTAGTTTGATTTTTTTGGGTCATAATAATTTCTATCTGCACCCCTTTTTCCATCAAAAGCATATGTTTGATTTTGATTATTTGGCATTTCAATTATTTTTATTTTTGGGTTTTTATTGGTGTAGTCAGATATTGATCTTGGTTTCATTTCTAAAGATGTATTCATGATTTTATTAATTAATATTTCTCTAGATATTTCTTAATTAGTTATACACAGAATACCAAAAAATATTTAAAAGATAGATATTATATTGTCATTGTTCCACCTTTTACTAATCTAAGGGTTCCTAAACAGGAAGATAAAAAAAGTTAATATTTCATTTTAAAGAAATTCTATAAAGTTAAATATGTAATTCTTAAATCTTTTCAATTTTATTGATAAGATTCCCATTAAGAATAGTAGAAAATAAGAAACAATAAGACATTTGGATCATGAACTATCAAAATAATAGTGAAAACAATCAGTTGATTTAGAATAACAATACCGTTGATAAAACCACGTTCAATTTCTTTATCTACTTTATGTCTTATTCCTCCAATAATCCAACTCACGAATCTTTACCTGATAAGTATCTAATTATTGATTCTTACTCACCCGATATTGAACTCTAATAGCAATGAAAATGAGGAAATAATTGAGTATCTTTTAGGGGGGAATATGGTGAGGTAGTTCCTATTGGAAACTCCAAATAGATGATTGCAAAGTAGTATATTTGAGAAAGTGAAAAATGATTTAAGAATATAATTAAGTACATAAATTCTTTTTAAGTCAAATAATTTATTCATGGTCAAACGTCTGATAATTAAGTTGATAATAGAGGTCAGTTCCACTGTAGCGAAGTCATTTATGAAAGCCTATTAATAGAGTGCAAAATGTATGAAGTTAGCAATTAGATTAGAATAAGGAGGAAAGGCAGGAAATCCATTTACAGAGTTCCTCAATCAAACGATGCAGGCGGCAAATCTGACACATAAACCTATGACAAGGGATGAAGCCTTTAAAATATTGCAATTAGTTCCGGAGAAGGCAAGCCCTGAAGAAATTATCAGAGTATTAGGAAGGATTATAATTTGTAGGTTTATTGGAGGTAGTTCCATAAAAATGATCCAGTGAAGGGAGGGTCATTTTATCTTCAATCGATGCTACACAATGCAAAATGCGAGTTGATGAAGGACTTCGGAGATGTGAATGAGAAGGAAATCATGGACAAGATTAAGAAGGAAGGAGAGAGTCAGAAGGGAGAAGATGAAGGGAAGAAGGATGAGGCAAAGGTGGAGGAGAAGAGCGAAGAAAAGAAGGAAAATTGAATTCTTAAGTACTTATTTTGAGGATTGAAATTGATATATAAATTTAATTATGTTATAGAGATTGTCTGCAGTAATAAGAAGACCAATGTTCTGGCATGGCACACATCATCACGATAGTAATGATGCTACTAAGAGATTGTTTGACACTGTTTCAAGTACAGTAAAAGGCATTCAATAAATAAACTATGTGGTGGAACATGATCCAAAACTAACAGTGGAAGAGAAGGCTAAAATGAAGCAATTTCTGATTTACAGATACGATCCAGCTGTATGATTCAATATATTGATTTTAGGACGAAAACGACTTTCCCAAATACGTGAGTTACTATGTGGACTTGAAGAAGATACCCCCTATGTATTTGGATGCATTATTGTACATCAAAGACAATTATGATTCCTCTCTCTCCCTCCGTCGTTCATGCAGAGAGGGTATCTGTGGATCATGTTCTATGAACTGCAATGGTCTCCATAAGTTGGCATGCATCCATGCAATCGACACTGATTTGACTTAGCCAGCCTACATCACTCCTCTAGGTCACATGTTCGTTGTGAAAGACCTTGTGGTTGACATGACCAACTTCTACACTCAATACAAAACTATCGACCCTTATCTGAAGAGAAAGACTCCAAAGGTATAAAAATCTAATTTTATCTTCTTAGGAAGGAAACAAGGAATACATCCAATCAGTCGAAGACAGAAAGCTATTAGATGGTCTCTATGAATGTGTGTTGTGTGCATGCTGTTCCACCTCCTGTCCATCTTACTGGTGGCATCCAGATAGATATCTCGGTCCAGCTGTCCTTATGCAAGCCTATAGATGGATTGTGGATTCTAGAGACGAGTATACAGACGAGAGATTGGAAAAATTGGGTATCCTTATATCTCTATAGATCTATAGCTGAGGATGTTAAGGTAGAGGATTGCTAAAATATTGGAATGTGTTCTTTTACATGTCCAAAGGGACTTGATCCATAAAGATCTATGAATCACTTAATGAAATTGATAGAAGAATATAAGGAAAGAAAGATTGCATCTGCAACATTATGACATTATCATAACATAAATAAAATATCATAAAATGCTTGTTTATTAAGTGGTTCTGTAATCACTAATCTTTGATCTGCATTTTGGGCAACTAAAATTTAAAATTAGCCAAGCCTTTATGCAATGCAGATGAAAATGATGTTATTAGTTGCAAGGAAGGACCAACAATTCTTCATTTCTACAGTAAACTTATAGGCAAATTCCACATTCCTGATCACCTTATACATTTTCACATTGATAAATCACTTTTGCATTTAATATAAGTTCTTTTAAAATTTACTGATTTTCGTAACTCTATTTTTATTATTTCAACTTCTTCCATAATAACATTAAGAGAATGAATGGTAATGATATCAAAATTATTAAGCATAACACGTACAGTTCCCAATACTGATACACTGATATCACTAGGAATATCACCTAAAAAGTGACCAAATTTCTATAGCAATTATCAATGGGTTCCATTTTGGCTTAGATGCATATTGCCCAAATTATGAGTATTTGATTTGTCAAGGCATTGAAGATTCGCACATAATAAATGGTTCTGTTTCTCATTGAAACTTCAGATTTGATTTGCTCTGTAAGTATGATTTATCTTCTCTCTCTCTCGTCTTGACTCAGATAGAAATACGAGTCTTGATTCGAGGGCACTACAAATTCAAATAGTTGATCTCCTTGAGATTAGGGTAGAGAATGTCCTTCTTCGAATATTATTGCATGATTTAAACTTTCTGCTATTTCTATTACAACTCCCTAGAATGCTTATTTACATTACTATGTCATTCAAAAATTGATATAATTTGGTGTAATAGAAATATGCTACAATTGAATGCAGTGTCAATATCACCAACCATTACATAATATTAGCTGATTAACAATTCAAACTAAAGCTTAAAATCAAAGCTATTACGAATTTCAAAGTACTATAAAACCTATTCAAGAATATGAACTTTTTTGCATTTTACAAACACTTATAAAATGTAAATGTAAATCTCTTATTTATTAACATAATTAATATAATAAATTAAGCTGATTTTGTTTTTCATTTTAATAAATAGTATCTTAGATATCTACAAAGAAGCCCTGATAATGATCATCTATACAATATTTATATCGAATGGTCAAGACTTATTGATGATCATATTAATTATTTTATTGAATATAAATCACTATTATAATTATTGTTATTATTATTATTGTTATTATTATTATTCTGGCTCTTCTTCAGGTGGTATTTACTCAATAAACGGGCAAATCTCTTACCAAATTCTTATCATTCCATTGGAACCTAAAACTTTGATATTAAATTTACTTGCAGTAATCAGCAGTCTACCAACAATAAAGACTCCTCTAATTTCTTCTTTAGTCAATTCATATGTCTTGATTAGCAATCCTTTATCGAAATTCCAAATGCTCAATCTACCATCTGAACCTCCAGTTATAAGATGCTTGCAATAGAGCATGCTGCATAAAATGGATCCTGTATGACCATCCTTTAATGTTCTAAATGATAAAATAATTAATTATTTTTACTTCAATTTGGTTCCTTGATCCACATTCATCAAGTCACTCACTTTATCCATGCCTCCCACAAATAATTGATTATTGCTAACCATGTACAAATGTTGCACTTTTACTGTAGTAACTGTTCTTAAGGTCTTCAATATAATCTTTGGACCTGTTTTTTCCTACATATAGCAAACATCAAACTTACTCTTTTGTATGTTTTGACTCTGCCATCTGGGAATCCTGCAGCAAATACATCCTTATTATAGGCAACCAATGATATCACAAATGTTCTGTCTACTGGTTCCACATGTTCCAAAGCACATGATACAAAATTGACCAGTTGAATCTTTCTGTCTTCGGATGCTGTCACAATGCTACCGTCAACATAGACAATGGAATAGACTCCTTTTTCATGATGTTTGAATTTGATATCCATTTACCAAATACCATCGTGTTATTTCCATCCAATTACTGTTCCCTCCTTGTTACCTGCCAACAACATTCCATTATGTACATAAACACTTAAGACTTCAGCCTCATGTTACAACACCTTGTTGATTCCAAACGTCGATGCATTCCAAATGATAACTTATTTGTCTTCCCCTGCAGTAATGAACTCATCTTTATTAAGGAAGACGATTTGATTGATTTTACCCTCATGTTTACTCATTTCCAAACTTGGGAATTTGCCAACAATTTAAGAATCCGTATAAAGCGAAGTAGATTTCAATGTTTCTACATTGGGAATTAAGGTTCCAATGAGCCAATGATAAGCCTATTTCTTACTAATAGGAATTTATTAAGGAAAATTTAATACTTAAAATCCGTGTGAGGATATAAAGTATATTTTAGGTTATTTTGATCTGATTAGTTCTGTATTCTAAAGATATGCTCCCAATCTCCATAAGCCTTATTGTTATGTTTAATCAATTTCCATATAAAAATAGGTGTCTTCTCTTTCGAATTTAATCAGTTTAGTTGAATCTTTAATGATTTCTCCGTTCTCTTTAATTAAATAAATGCTGAAGTTCTCCTTAGAGATTTTGGCATCTACCAATAGATATTGTCTATCGATAGGTTTTAACTTATGTGGAAATTCAGTATCCATCAAAAAGTTACTAATATCAGGGAACAGTTTGTCTTGTAAAGACCAAACGACCATCTTGCCTTACTTAGTAAAGGTAAGCAATCTCTTTTCATAACAGACACACTCTCCTTGATACAGCACAACTGGAGATTGAAAGTACTTTTAATTAGTAACCTTGAGTTCATTGACAGTCTCTGGAGAGTACACAAAACTAATATGACTGCCTTGAGCGATGAGGACTCCATCTTCATTCTACAGAACACAATTGACTTGTTGATTAGAATGAAGACTGATGTTTGGGCCTCTCTCTAGGGAATCAATACTCAAAGTGTGTAATACACCATCCAGACCTCCAAAAATTAAGTAGCGTTGATCCAACGAAATGATCTAGAGTATCGGTTATCCTCCACTCAGATAGCCTTTGATTATTGCTTGTTTAATGAGTGTTCCACTCAAAGGCTTATCCAATGACTTCTCAATCTTATAGATGAAAATGGATTTGCTATTATCACACAAGAAGGCTATTTGGTCATTTGTAATGGAAACCATCTTATTGATTGGATCAACAGTTTGTGTGGAAGATTCCACTTAGACAGTAGCATCAATATACAGTTGCAATTGTCTTAAATCTACTTTGACTAGCACCAAGTCTCCATCTACAGTTCCCAAAGCCAATCCTTCAGCTCCTACTTTGCACATGGAATTAGTCTTTTTGTTGATTGCCAATGTATATATGAGGGTGAACTATTGGGTTTCGTCATCCTTCTTCAACCAGACTACTGAACCAGCATTATCAGAGATCATAACATTGTCATCATCCCAAATGATTATGGTATTGACATGATCAGAGAATTTGCAATTAATTGTAATATCGATTAAGTAACTGTCCAAATTCCATATGCTAACACTACCATTTTGATTGGCAGCAACAATCAGATTTGGTGATTAGAATGCGCATTATGCTACTTCTAGTGGATTTTTGTGTGATTTGGTAAGATTAGGATATGTTTTCAACTGAGTTGTGTTGATGATTTGATTAACCACATCAAATGCTTCATATGGTTCTTTTAATGACCCTAGGATCCAGAAGTAGGGATATAATGAGCCTTGTTCTTAAGGTAATTGAGGTAATTCATGTCGTTCAATTTGGTTTGGAGTCAGGACATACATTTTTTCAATAGAATCCATCTTTAATTTGGGTAGACAGGCGACCAATTATAGAATATCTCTTTTGTTCTAGAGATTCAAGAAACTGATCAACTGAATTCCATCTTTCGGATTTTGATATTGTTGAATGTCGGAATCATTTTGAATCACTTGTTTATCTATAATATATTGGATGTGTATTATTACTTTCCAAAATTATATAGAAATTCAGGAATCCTTCATTTGGTTTGTTGACTATCAAGACAATCAGTTGGGATTGCTGAGGCTTGTGTATAATGTAGTAGTGGTTTATGGAAGTTGCAGACAAAGGGTGCAATTCGTTGATATCTTGTATTTCATCATAGTATTCCACATGTTGAATGAATATTTTGCCTTTAGTAACTAATTTAATATTGCATATGGAAAATACTTTTGTTCTGCAATAAAGCTTTGCAAATACCATTCTCATTGGAACGATAGCTGTACAATTTATTATTAGTATCGTCTTGAACCTTAATGTAAACATTGGGAACTGGACATTTGCTCACCAAATCTATAAACTGAAATTAAATAAGATTAATTTGATTTTAATGAGTTGAGGGAGGTTATAAATATTTAGGTTTCTTTATCATCAAATCACTTGATGGTTTTATGGAATGCTTCTTATCCAATGCATCCTACACAGGGTCATACCCATCTTCTTGATTTCTAGCCTTCTCTAATTCAAATTTGAATTCACAAACTCCAGCCTTGGGAGATATTTGCTCTTTCAAAACGAGATATCCCATTTTCTTAACATATATTTTGAAATCATCAGGTTCAACCACAATCTCGTACTTCCCAGTTCCTGGAGGAGATTCCTTCAAAATGGCATCCTTCCCACCTCTCATTGGGACTATCTCCACTTTACATTCGGTTACTGGCGCCAATTGACACAGCACAGATACGACGATGCAAGAATGTGTTTGTTTCTGCAACTCAATTTCTTAATCAAGGGGCAAATCATCAGCATTCAATTAAAATAGGTTAATTTGCTATTGACTATAATTGTGGTTGTTACTTGAGTCTTGCTTAGAAAATCGTTGGTTTCCTCTATAATGACTTCGTAGACGTCTAAAGGCACATTTTTTAAGGAGATTCTACCATCCTAATTGGTTCTTTCGATCTTGTAGGTGGGATTCTCAGTTGGTTCTTTCAAACTTCTTTAGGATTGTCCTGAAATATTGGAATAGGCTGACTTGGGCCTTGTCTGTGCACTTTGGGGTCGCAACATTCTGTTGGACCTGGATGTCACTAGATTGAATTATAAAAGTTGAATTTACGCATAATGCTTTGGGATCTAGTTTGGACAGGTCGATAGGGTTGTATTTTGACATCAATGTTTTTTAATTTCTGATCAGAACCAGCGAATTTCAAATCGATATTGAATGAAACCTTCTTAAAATATTAAGGCAACTTATTTATAATCACTGAAGTCTATGGCCATGCCTTAGTATTAAGTTTGGATCCAATCACAGCTTGTTTGACTTGTCCTTTTTGTTTGGACATCACCTAGACTTCAAAACAACCTAGAAGGAGTGGGTATCATATAGAGAATATACCTAGTCGACGCTACAAGAACATGGTGTCTATACTATGATCGAGATGGTCGTAAATCAAGGGCTTGAGAATCACTTTAACGATTGGGAATCGCTAGATGATCTCATTCTTGAGGGCTTAGGCGTATGACAGATAACGTGCTTCGTCATGCTTAGTTGAATTCATGTGTTCATGACAATTCGTACTGCAATTAATTTAGTCTGTTACCAATATTCAATTGTAACAATCACATCCTCCTCAGAAATATCCTTGAACTCCCTAAATTCCCTAAAGCCTTGATGCTGCTCACTCTTATTGTGAATCTCCTCATTCTTCTCCCATAACTCTTAAAATGTTCGTAACTTCTTTATCTTCACATTCGTGTACGACAGTCCAGCATCCGAGTGTTCGTACTTGATCATCCGACTACGCTCAATAACATTCGTATAAGTACTCATAACGGAATATTCCCAAGGAAATCCACGGTTTCTCATGTATGTCCCTATCGAAATGATTGTCACACAGTCTACTCTCAAAATCGTAATTACCTTGACATCACCATTAATGATTGATTCTACGTGTACTTCTTTGATCTCTTGGTTGGTTATGAAAGTTGGGATAATCTGTCTGATTCATAGTATCTCTACATTAATTTATATATATATTAATAGATAATAATAAGTTTCAAAATGAATGGCGTTTATAATGAGGATTTTACATTTCCTCCTAATCCTCTTGCTCCTCATCATCCTCATCCTCGTATTCCATCCCCTAGACAGCTTCGAATCCTCCCATCTATTCTATATGCTCCATCTATTCCTCAGTCAATCCATATTGTTTAGCTACACCATAAATGTACACAAATACCTATTGCATCCTTCTGCAATTTCTCCAACAACTTAGGATCCAAATTATCAATGTCAATCTAATCATCGTATTCTCCATCAATCTCCTACCCATCGTACTCTCTCAAAGATTGCTCAGCTTGTTCCCCAACCTAATCCACACCTTCTGGATCCTGCTAAGAAATTCTCTCCGACTCCTCCACATCCTACTCGCCGATTGGGTTCATGTAATCAAACTACTCCTATTGCTCTTGCTCTTCTTGAGGCTGCTATTGACTCTTGGCTGCTTCCACTTCCATCAGCAAGGGTCTCTAATAAACTCTCACGAAGATCTCCTTCATCATATTATTGAAATCCTCCTCCTCTTATCTCCTCTTCTGATACTGTTCAATGAACTTTTGTTGCTATCTTTCATACTGAACCTAATTATGATCTTAAATGGCCCAAGATTGATGCACTCTTGGTCTAAACAGTTACTTTTTGTCTTCCCTCTACTTTTATTCCTCCTCATTTTATTAATCTATAGCAAGTTGATTCTATTTCATTGTGAATATGTAATCAACATAAGCATTAAACTTATCAGTAGATCTCGGCTAGATCTTAGGTTTCGTTGAAACTGCCTTCTTGGCTTTTCTCAAGGGATCCTCCTTCTACACTGATTTCTCATTCAGATAATCTCTCTGAGCCTTCTTTTTGCTTTCATGAAAGGTGGGTCCAACAGGAACAGTTGTTTTCAATTTCTTCTTCTTTTTATCCAATTGCTTCTAGAATTCATCATGCAATTTATTGAAATTGGGTATGGATTTTGCTCTGACCTTCCTAGGTGATTCATGATGAGAACTTATCAATAACTCTTACTATTTCTCTTGTTCCTTCAATTTCATCTTGTCTATCCACTCCTACATACGAGGTGGCAATTTCGAATTCTCCTGTAACCAAAACTTTCTAATCTTCTTTCTATTTTCACTTTTGATCTTCTACTCTTGCATATTACGTTCATACAATTTCAATGAACAATACCAAGGAATAGGATTGGCTCTAAACTTATGTGGTTCCTCCTCTTCTTCTGGCAACTTGATCGTTTTATCTCTTTTTCTGTCCTCAAAATTAAAGGGCTTCTGCATCTATTAAGTCTTCTCCTTGCACCTCTCCTTCAACTCTCTTCTTCTTATCTCCTCCCTCTCCAACAGCTCATTGTAATAATTCTTATCCTTCACCTTGTAAGGGATGGCCTTCGCCTTAAATGGCCTAAACTTATATGCCTCCTCAATCTCCTCCTACTTCTACCGAACCTACTCCATCACCCACTTCTCCCTTATACTTGGCTGTTTATTCACATCCCTCTTCTCCTACCCCGTTTTCTTGGGTACTGTAAACTGCATCTTTTCCACATTGATCTCCTAAAAGGGCTTTCTCGGGACTGATCGTTTCCTTACCTTCTTTTTCTCAGGTTCGGGTGGAGGAGGGATCTCCTACTTAGCAGTCATCCTATAGAAATAATCATCAGATGACTCCGATGAAACCGATTCCTCCTACTATTGTGCTTACGGCTCTTCCTCCTCATCATTTGGAAGGTTATCGAAGAAATACATAAACTAATTCCACGATATTTATTCGTCAGGATTATTGAGATATCCAATCTCTATCTGTTGCAATGCACTTTCCAAGAGCAAGTTCAATCCAAAAGCAACTACATGAACAGCATACACAAACAACTCACAATTTTAACGAATTGACTTAATGGCTTCATCAACTGTTGCCAACCCATTTTCACTTACTGAATCGAATACCTCCTTCATTCTTGAGATGTCTTCCAACAGGAGGATTCGAGGAGTATTCTCAAATAGATTGACTTATTTATGAATGGGATCGAATAAATGCACATAATCTCGAAACCCCTTCTCTGGCTTCACCTTCTAGTACTTCTACAAAAACTAAATGAACTCGTCTTGCTTTAGATGGAATCTCTCCTTCACAGGAAATGAGTCTAATGCCAATGAGAGGGATTCTCTGTCAAACTAAAAGAGGGTCATTATCAGTGGGTTCTCATACATGAAGTTCTTAACCTGGATATGATGCACCTGTCCTTTGCGATGTGGATCTATTTGAGTGTAGAAGAAATCAAGCATGTCGACATCGTTCGAGTCCTTGGTGACCCACTTCTATAGAGCCTCCGTCTGTTGGTCCAATAACCTCAGGAGTTTGAACTCTTGTTCTCTCTGCAGTCGTTCTCTTTCGCAAAATGAAATTAATTATACCTTTTTCTACGCAAATACATTTTGAATTAGAATATGTAATGTCTCCTCTACAAGACTTCCTCGTTGTATTTGCTTTTGTAGGGTTTCTTCTCCTCAGGGATGTTACAATCCAATGACTCTTCGCTCTCCTCAGTCTACTACTTGGGTCTTTTTCCTTGAACTCTCCTGAGGATTTCGCATATCTTATCTCTGGAACGTTGCTAATTAGATCGACCTACTGTATACTATTTTGGCATTGATGGTGTTATCTTTGATGCTGCGTTGTAGATCATACTCGGTTTTCAATTCTCCCACTTTCTGCTACAATTAACCGACAAATAGTTAATCTGTCATTTTATTTTTATTTATGCAAAAACTCAACACCTACGAGGCAACTCCTTGGGTAGCGGGATACCAATGCTGCATCGTAATCTATACTTTCATAAGCTTTGGACTGATTTTGGTTTCGGTGTTCAATCAATCAATACTTATGGACTCTGTAAGTTAAATTGATATATCATCAAGGCACCATAATTTTACTCAGATTGGGATAACAAGTTTATAGAAGACTTAAAGATCCAAACCTCCTGTGCTGAAGGCTACGTGAATCTGTTAAATTTCACATGGCCTGGTACTGAACTTGGATGTGATTGTACATAATCAAATGGAACAGGAAATTACAAATATACAAAGTAAAAAAAAAATAAAAATAAAGTTATTATTATATGGAATGCAGCGAGTTTATGCTAGCTGAAAATTGCCAACCTGTAGAACCTATATATGAAAAGTAATTTTAGCATTGGCCTCTTATTGATCAAACTTCAGTTAAATGTGATTTATTTTGATTTATCTTAAGCTTTCAAACTGTGTGCGAAGGAGAGCTCTATTTCTGCAATTGATGGCTTTTAAATTGGTGAGGCTAGCGATGGATACAAAAAATGTGGTAATGTTTTCCAAGTTCCATCAAATGAATCATGCCCAATTAGTGATTTCACTATTTCGACAGGTTCAGATGGAGAAGCTATCGGAACTACAGGACTCTATTTGAAAATTTAAAGAGTTCAATAAGACTAATTGCCATTAACAGGATTTACGATAGGATTTAGTAATTAAATTTATTCAACTCATACTAGATTCTATATGCTACTCAATATCAGACATATATTAGTTTTAGTACTTGGACAAGATGATCAACTACCATTGCTATGACAACGATGAGAGATACGTACGAGTGACTAATGACATGCCTTACGATGACTTATTAATGGTGAACGAAGCATAGGATGAGTACAAACAATTATATAAAAATGGTGTTGTCGAAAGCAGAAGTATAGTATACATTTAGAGTAGATGTAAACCTGTTTTACAAGTACCTTACTTAATTTTATTACAACTCATCGGAATTGTGTTAGGCTGAGGATCTAGAATTTATTCACGATTTGAACAATTACATAAAGGACAATGTAATGGATGTTTAGTTGGCTGCATAAGTGATTGTAGGAATTCAAGCAGGAGTGTTTGGATTCTTAATACCATTGGTATCAGCGATATCTTTAGTGGGATGCAACTTTAAATATGCAGGTTTGAACAGAAAAAGTTCGCTTTATAAGGACTTGTTTGGATTTTGGTTGGGAGTCAAGATGATAGGTGAGATCCTGTGCACGATCATCTTGGCAGCTGATATGGGATACTAATAATCAATGATGAACCACTTCTACGATTTCATTAATGCTGACTGTTCTGATAAGTTCTCTTTACAGGAGATGAGTGATTTCTACAACGAGTACGAGATCAAGGTTTATAACTATGTGCTATTAAACTTCATTCTCTGCATCATTACGAATGTCATTGACTTTTATGCCACTTATCTTATGTGCAGAGACAAGCACAAGGAAGGCAATTTCCTTAAGACCACGAGTGACAATTCTCACCTGAAGAATTTCACTTCTACTCATCCTGATGAATTGCTCAACAGAACAAAGGTGCAACCGCAATCTGAAATCAAGCAATAGCATTCGTATCAATAGAAAAGACAGTTCGATGATGTTGAAATACCAGGAGATGACATGCCTAAACCACATAAGCCTGAAAATTGAACATAATCATATAATTTTATTCAAGTATCATATTTTTCTAGACACATGTCACTTGTGATATTACTAGGTAGTTACTTACGCAACCTATTAAGTCTGTCAGTCACTCTGTCTTAAATGGTATCGCCCTATTATTACAAAGATTGTCGAATAAGACTATCTATAAGGTCACATTCACATCTTACCATTTTTTTCTACTTCGTAATCCCAATTCTTAATTAAATCAACTGGAACTTTCTGCTCATTTTGAGATTGGTATATTTTTTCCGTCATTGTCAATTTCTTTGACCGAACCTCCCTCAACATTTTGTGAGATATTTTCTTGTTCTCTCTGTTATTCTCCAACACATGTTGTTCCTCTTACTTAACAGGAGTCTCTTACTTTGCTTTTGAGGGTTTCTCAGGTCGCTTGAGAGGATCATAATTCACTTATCCTTCTTTAATGATTGGTTTGATTTACATTTGTTTCTCTCTTTTCTCTCTTGCTATAATCTCATCCTTCAACATTAATTCAAAGGCCTCCTTCTCAGCAATAGTATTGGAGATCTTTTCCATAAAATAATACTTAGCAGGGTTACCTACCGTATCAAAGAATTCCACACACATTGCATACATATTGAGCAACTCCAAAATCTATTACATAGATTCTATTTTAGTGCTAAACTGGATTAAAGAATGCGCTTTACTTTTCTCTCCATCTCCAATAATTAAATGAAAAACTTCTTCCCAATGCCAAATTTATTATCATCCTCATCAGATGAATCGCAATGCATTCAAAATTTAAATAATAATAAATATATATTTTTAAACCAACTGCATTCTGAATTATGCAATCACTCAATATATAATCACAAAATAGCGAATATATATACCCATTTCAAGAAAAAGTTTGAACAAACCAAATATTCAAAGGAGCACTTTGTAGAGTTCCATAGAAATGATTCTATTGATTGTGTTCTCACTTCTTTAAGAATTCTAGTAATTGTAGTAATTGTTAGTTCTCAAAGTTTTTTCTATTTGTATTTATTAAGGGAATAAATTTGATTGAGCCTTTTGTGACTAATATTAGTTGTATAAGTTGTTATTCCTGGGTAATTGATGATTAAACACTCATCTCACCATTCTACTTAGTATTCATCCAGCACGAATCAAGTATGAACAAGGATCTGATTGCAATGGAAATGATTTCAAAAATAGAGTAGTTTGTTGGGTAGAAATACGATTGGTGTGAAGTATGATAATCGTGGAGGATACCACGTTGTGATTCATAGATGGGTGATTGTGGATTGGGACTTCGGAGAGAATATAGTATGATTTGTCTGGATTAGACGATGATTTTGGGAATTATGGTAGGCAGACTGATAGGAGGGGGTAAGGAGGAGGTGTGTTTGGAGTCGGATTGGGAGAGAGAGGAGGAGAGGGAAATTTAGACGATTTGATGGGATTGCACATTGATTTAAGAGAATGTGTTATTGATTGTAATTATAATTAATAGGAAATTGGGTTGTTTTTATGGCTGAAGAACAATGAAATGCAATCAATGGAAATGATTAAGAAGAATAGGGATAATTAAATATATATAAATGGAATGAAAATAAAGATATTTATTTTTTTAATTTAAAATGTCTGTGGACAACAGCTTCGACAATTTTGAGTAGCTGATGTTTCCCTCCTATGGTGATATGGAAAACAGAGAGTAGATTGAGGAGCAATACGTTCTGGATCCTATTCCATAAGAATAGGAAGACAAGCCAATCCCCTAAAATCCAGCTAATAATGGGAAAACTTACGAATAATTGTTTGAAATAGTTTAACGATTAAATGACATCAACTGGGTGGAACCATCATCAAAAATCACTCCTATCAAGTACTTGACTCCAATTACTTACTGGTTTATTATATGTTCCCAATACTTCCAAACCGATGCTGATCCTAAAATCATCAAGTATTCAACAATCCTACCCCATTAGAATCAATCAGGAATGCCAACAAATTCAAGAAGAAACCGCTCGCCCATACACTTACTTTGACGATTGGTTCATCATGGAGATGAGAAACATAGTAAACTATAATCTAAGATAGATGGTTAAAAGAATAATCACCCAAAAGTGACTTGGAATTATTATAGACTCAACTCGAACAACAATTACTTGACACCCAACTCCAAGTAAATACTCAAATCGATGCAATACAAATAGAAAAGCCCACTTTGAACATCTAAAACCCTCCAGAGTACATTCTCAAAGATCTTGTTGGTCTCACTGACATCGAAAACCAATATCTGACCTACCTTGAAAGCCAACAAAAGTAATCTATTTTATCCCAATTCATTAGATACTTCGATGAGTAAATTATAAATTAGACCAAATCATCTAATTTGGCAGGAACAGCTAGAAAACTCTAAAATGTTTATAATAATTGCCAAATTTGTAATCAAGGGGTTAGATCTGAAGATCCTTTAATTTCATGTCAGAAATGCTAAATTATTGTTCATCAAAAGTGTTATGGCCTAGAGAATGCAATTAACAACTGGATTTGTGATGTTTGTTTGAATTTTGGCAATAAAGGGAGATTTTTGAAGTGTCCTTTCTGTCCGAAATTGGGAGGAGCTATGAGACCAACTTCAATGGCAATGAAAGATTCTATATTTGAATTAATCAACCCTACTTTTCATACATATGCTATCAATTATAAAGTCGATAGATAAAGTAATAGATAATTGTATTTTAGAACCTCCTCCTGACGGTGAAGAAAATTACAATTTTATGATACTTTAATATCAACTTGAAAGTGTGTCTGATGAACCACCCAAAGCTGAAAAGATTTGGACTCATGTTTCTTGCTCTCTATGGTTAGATTTTGATTTAGCGAAGGTGGACAAAAGGAAATTTAATAGTTTATGTAGCATATGCAAATAGAAGAAAAATGGAGCATGTGTGTCCTGTTCAAAATCTAAGTGTACTATCTCATTTCATCCTGAATGTGCGAGAAGATCATAAATTTATATGGAATCAGATAACATTTATTGTTTCAAGCATCAACCACTAAAAATCAAGAGGATATTTGAAGATTAACACAATCAGTGGAAGGAAGAGATCTATTCCTTCTTTAAGCAATATGAAAAATTAGAATAACAATTAGCCCATAGACCTAAAAACAACGATGTGGAGTTTTAAAAATTTGAACTCAAAGCTCAGTAAGAAGAAATTGAGGCAGACATCAAATAGGAAAACGAAATGCTATTTCAAAGGATTGCAGAGATCCTCGAAAAAGATGAAAAATTCATAATCACATTCCAATAAAATCAAGTAGTTGACATTTAGTTACCCTACAAGAGACAATCTATCTATGACATTGAAGAAAATGATAGAATTTGGTAATAGTTAGCCAATGAAAAGTGCTCCTCTGAATAGGTGTATATCCTATATCAGAGAGCAATCAGAATGAGAAGAAAGAAGAAGCAAGGGAATGCAATCATATAATTGCAAATGCCTTCGATATAGGAACTGCCAAATAGGAATAGACACTCAATTTATTCTAGACCCAAGTTCTTTAAGCATCACAAAAAACAAAAATAACAAAATGGATCATCCAATAACATTTCTCTAAAAATCAAAATACCAAAGGAGGCCATCAATATGCAACAACAATATTGCATATGCAAACAACAGAATGATGAAGAGATGATGTGTAATATATCTTTTGTTATTTTTAGAGTGCGAGATCTGTTCAGAGTGGTACCATCTCAAATGCTTGGGATTTTTGAGTTCTCTTGAAGATGCACAGAATCTGTATTTCTATTGTTTTAGATGCGAATAGAAATTGAACAGAGAACAGACCAAATATATCAAAAGATATAAATAATATTTTGCAGATGCTACCTTTCGAGATTTAAAATTGAAGATAGGAATGTCCCCTCATGAGTTAAGAACCCATGAAAAAAAGAATTATAAATAGTTGTCTAAATGATCAATATTCATAAATCATCACATAAATATTATAAATTATCTTTTTTTTTTAAATTCTTATTTAGAATTTATAAATAATAAATCAGTTTAATATATTCATTAAATATTTCAATCTCTTGACTTGTGTCTAATAAATTCAAGTAATGATTTTGAATAGCATTGAAATGATAGAAACTCCTCATAGTTTGACTACAATTATTATGTATGAAATACTTCTAAGGGTGTGTTTGATAAATGTACTACTCCAGGAGGAGTCTCATAATTAATCTTGAGGTCATAGAAGCCAACCACATATTGAATGGCTGGCAGGATGTCTTGTAAGGCAAATCCAAAGGTGGTTTGTACAAATTGTCCGAAAATTACATTAAATTAATTATCTCCTAATTGATAGATGCACATTTATACTATTTAAAAGGAACATTGAAGTTTGTGACATTATCTCAAGCATGTCTTAATCATATACATTAAGTTAAAAGGAAATGATTAAGTACATAAATGAGGCCACTATAGTTCTTGGCATGTATTACAAAGTCTAGATATCCATCAGTGTGCAATCAACCAATTGACATAGCTTTCTAAACACTTTTAATTAAAATTGAATTACATTGATACGATTCTTCATTTGGTTTCCTAAACTAGATATTTAAACCGTAATCTTCTGCATAAATGTCCCATTGATCTGTAAACCAATTTATCCAGTAAGTGTAGGAAGGAGGATTCACATGCCATTTCAAAGTCTACAAAATTGATAAGTTAAAATACAAATAGAATTTTCAATTCCATATTAAGTATTTCATCCTTGGTATAACCATAATTAGCTGCCTTCTCGAATTATTTGACTCCAATAGGAATGACTTCTTCGACCTTGTTTGCTATCAATAAACTAGTCAAACCAATCAGTTATAAATTTTATTTATTGGCCTATTATTTAGATAAAAATGAGTCAAGGTAGAAAATGGCCAAATGAAAAGTTTGTCTCTTTAATCTAAACTCCATTGCTACTTCCATCATCCAATCGAGAAGAATAGCTCTCATAAGCTAATTGATTTCACATTATTCAGTTAGGTAGTATGGATCTGTTAGATATTCCCTCTCCTATTGGATTAAAGGGTCAGGTTCAGTTTTGATTCTGTCTTCAATATTGATATTGTTGATAACTATCTCATTCTCATCACAAGTCAAATCCAATTCTTTCGGATTCGAATTTGCTTATGTAGAACCAAAATATCTAGATTCCTTGTGATCTATTGAGGAGGATCTGGATTTTGAAAATGGACTTTTGGAAATCAATTACATATCTGCAGATACGCATCTTTGAGAACTTTTTCTAAAATGAGAATCTTGATTTTTCAAATTGTCCTTCATTTCATTCAATAAGTTTTTGGATTCCTAAGAACAACGATACATATCTTCTATGACTCCATTGAATTCTAATTTATAATTATTTTAAATTTATGTTGTTTGAGCAATCGAAAGTATTTTCTAAGTCAATTTGTCATTTTAATCACCTTAATTCAAATACATACTATCCTTGATACGCGTTCTACTGTTTGTATTGCTAAGAAGAACCGTATTTGGAAAACTGATTTATCTCACCTTTTGAGATGGCTTATTAATATTATTAAATGAATTCTCCTTATTCTGTTTATTGAGGTTTCTAAACTCTTGCAACAATTGATGAAAGGTTTTTGAGGTATCTCTACTTTCTGTCTGTCTCGATGTAACTTAGGGTTGAACAATTTAATTGGGCTTGGACTTTTCCAAGGGTTTGTATTGTCTTTCGGTGTGCCTATCTTTCGAGTTTTTAATCAATTGAGTAATTTATTTAATCATCTATGGTTCAATAGGTTTTGATTGGTATTTTGGAGATCTACTTTGAGTAAGACATTTTGGATGACTAACTTGCTCATGATATTATACATACTTAAATCCATTGATCTAAAGCTGCTTCTTTTGCATATATTGTTATAATAATTCAAATTTAATTTATGAAATGCTATTAATAAATGAAACCAATTTTAGGGTTTAAACTTATTCCAATTTATCTCAAATATATTAAAAATAAATGAAAAATAATATTAAATAATCAAAAGTGAGTGAGTTAGTATATTTATTGTAAATGCCTTTTTGATAATCAAAATAAATTACCATGAATGTAATAAATATAATCTACAATTTAATATATATAATGAAATTTATACTTATTTGTGGCATTGTAATAAATACTTAAAAAAGAGAAAGAGACTTAATTATAAATGCTCAATATTAAATAGATAAAATTCTACTGTGATTGATAATAATATACATTATTAGATATAAACATTCACAATGGTAAAAAGGTTTTCTTTAAGAATATTCCTTTGAGTTGATTCTTTAATAAATGGAAGGCAGCATGCATACCTGTTTTTCCTCCTGGAAATAGGGATACTGTCAAATATATTAAGGATGCGATCTTGATTTATCGAATATTTTACTTGAAGTGATAACAATCCTAGAGTGTAAAAGTATCCCATATAGAACATTCCTGTGTATAAACAAGCAATTAGAGATACAAGATAAAGCAATGTGGCAGCAGATGAGGAAATTTTATTAAAAAGCGTTTTCAGTTCGATAATTTAAAGCATGGATAACAAAATAACAAAGGAGCCAGCCGAAAAGAGCAGGCAAAATGGTTTAGGATTGAGTATCAGAAAGGAGGCAAATGGGATAGATATGATAATGAGAATTAGGCCAGCCATAAATAGAATTGCAAATACTCCCCAATTCTTTTATGTTTCAGTTTTTCTATGCTTAAACGTAAATGCTACTTTGGTTGTAAGCTGGATACAAGTGATCCTAACAAAGTGTCCTCCTCTGCAAAAAACTGCATGATTAATTATCCTAATCTAATTTAATTTTAAATAATAGATGAGTGAAAAATAAAGTGTAAGACAATACATCTAAGGGAAATTAGATCTTCTTGAATTCATGATTGCTGAAAAATAAGCAAATGTAAAGAGACAAGAGGCTTAGAGAAATGAGTTAAATAGCTTGGGTAATTTTGAATTTGTTATTAGAGTGAGGTAAGTAAAGGAGGAATTGTCAGCCATGTAGGAGCCGCATTCTTATGTTGGTGATGTTGTTAAATAGATGGGGAAAGATAAAGTATTAGTTAAAGTGAATCCAGAAGGGAAATATGTTGTTACATTAGACAAGTCCATTAAGATTGAAGATTGCAAGCCTAATACTAGAGTTGCCTTGAAGAGTGATTCATATGTTTTGCATAAGATTCTGCCAACAAAGGTGGATCCTTTAGTTTCATTGATGAAAGTGGAAAAGGTACCAGACTCAACCTATGACATGATTGGTGGTTTAGACCAATAAGTGAAGGAAGTTAAGGAAGTCATTGAATTGCCTATTAAACATCCAGAAATATTTGAAAGTCTGGGTATTGCTTAACCCAAAGGTGTATTATTATATGGACCACCAGGGACTGGAAAGACCTTGTTGGCTAGAGCCATTGCACATCATACTGTATTCAATTATATTAATGCTTAGGATTGCACATTTATTAGGGTGAGTGGATCAGAATTGGTACAAAAGTATATTGGAGAAGGAGCTAGAATGGTCAGAGAGTTATTTGTTATGGCTCGTCAGCATTCACCATGCTTAATCTTTTATTGATGAAGTAGATTCAATTGGAGGGGCTAGAATGGAAGGAGAAAGAGGCGGAGATTCAGAAGTATAAAGAACTATGTTGGAATTATTAAATTAAGTAAATTTACATATGTATTTAGCTTGATGGCTTTGAATCAACACAGACAATCAAAATTATTATGGCTACAAATAGAATTGACATATTGGACTCAGCTCTATTGAGACCTGGAAGAATTGATAGAAAGGTTGAGTTTCCCAATCCTGGAGTTGATGCCAGATTGGAGATCTTAAAAATTCATTCAAAAAAAATGAATTTGATGAGGGGAATAGATTTAAGAAAGATTGCAGAAGTGATGCCAGGTGCTTCTGGTGCTGAATCTAAGGCAGTTTGCACTGAGGCTGGAATGTTTGCATTAAGGGAACGAAGGATTCATGTCACATAAGAGGATTTCGAGATGTCAGTGGCTAAGGTTATGAAAAAGGATATTGAGAAGAATATGGCTATCAATAAAATGCTCAAGTGACTTACGTATACAAATTATAATTATATATTTAATGATTCAACCTAAAGTCTTGACATAGTTATTGACTCAATGCCAAAATGAATTCAAGGTCTAATCCATTTTTGTTGCAGCCACAATTGATGGATAAATGATAGCTTAAGTAGGTTAAACTTAACATCAATTACCTCAATTTTCTACATTGAGCATATTTTTCGATGATTGTAAAGAAATTGGCAGCATTTAATTATGTACTCTTTTATGTATACTCAATAGCATAAAACATTAAGTTGAATTATGTATTTGTAGAAATAGAAGATCAAAGCATCGTATTGTCCAACTTTAAGAATTTATTTACATTAGGAATAGCATCATCCCAAAATGTTGGCTTGCTAGTTTTGTATATGAATAAATTGCATTAACAATTAGAAAAGATTATTAAATGATTGTCTTTTATATGTTATTATCGAGAAATTTGATGATTATTCATTTTATATTTTCAAATAGTTTTTATGCATCTCAGCTTAATTTTATTAATAATAATTATTATCTTAATTATCCTCTCTATGTTTATACATATCATCCAATTCATTCGGATAACGTATATTGGATTAATGCTTCTTTCTATAACGAATTTCTAATATTAAATAATTCAAATTATGAATGATATTTTATCCTTTAAATGAACTATTAACAGGTTATATTAACCATCTTCAAATAAATATTAGTACCTATAATGTTCCTCTTTAATTCTTAGATATTCCTTAAAACATTAGGATTTATAAAATCAATTTTGAATAACCTATTAAAATTAAGAGAAGTTCATGAATATGTGGATATAGAATAAGTTAACTATGTAGAGGGTTTCTATTTGATAAAATGATTTTCTTTGAGTTTGTTGAATTGTAATAAAATATTTATTTAAAAAATTATAAAAAGTTTTTAATGAAAGAAACCTCGCATCTTTTCTCGAAATATTAATTAGAATACATACAAAAAATAGGTGAAGGAGCTTTTGGGAAGGTATATAAAGCATTCGACTAAACCACCAAAAAAGTAGTAGCTGTTAAAGTAATCTTTGCCATTTAATAAAGGTTTTGAACACAGATGAAGAATAAGAATTGCTCTCATCTTTGAATCATAATCACATTGTCAAACACATTAGAGGGTAATTATCTAAGTTCTGATGGCATAGATCAACTCAGTTATTAGTGATGGAATACATGGAAGGTGGATCATTGAAGAATTATATGAGTGAGAATCCAAATTTGAATGAGGAACAATGTATATAGATTATGAAATCGATACTCTCAGGTTTAACTTATTTGCATCAGCATAATGTCATTCATAGAGACATCAAACCTGGTTAATATTTCGTATATATCTCTTTTAGATAATATCTTACTAACCAAAGACATCGTACCAAAAATAGCTGATTTTGGTCTCAGTATCTAATTCGAGAATTTTGATTACTCTACTTGTAAGTGTGGGACTTTTCTCTACATGGCTCCTGAAATCCTGTAAAACAAGCTCTATTCTAAGGTATCATATGTGTCTAATTAGCCTGTTGATGTTTGGGCTACTGGAATCATTATGTATTAACTACTGCAAGGGGTTCATCCCTTCTACAAACAGGATTCAACAAAGCAATAATACCTATAAACCATCCTAGAAAAGCCTTTACAATTTAAAAAGCCCATCTCATCATAGGCTAAGGATTTACTGATTCGTCTATTGAAAATCGATATTTCTGATCGTTATACTGCTGGTCAAGCCTTACAACATCCTTGGCTGACTAAGTAAGACAATTTGCCCTTAAGTCTTTTTGAATAATTTAAATTGTTTGATTGCAAAAACAAATTCATCAATGTAATGATATCAACGAGAGTATTTAGATCATAAAATTATTGATCTTCATTCAACAATTAAAGATACCCAAGTTCTCTTACGGATACATTTTAGGTCAATAAGGGTTTCATATTAAATAAGTCCAATATATTGTTGGATAAATTGGGTAGATACAGTCTCCCCTCAAAATCGAATCTCCAACCATTTCAAGTTCCACTACTTTAAAAAAGATAGGCAAAATCGACTATTCTGAAGACAACACGCCAATAAGTCTTCAAAATGCTACTTTCTATTAAAAAAATAAAAAATTGCAAGTAATTACTTTCCATATCATTTAGAAATTATCCAATTTTTATGAATAAGCGTACAAATCTAATGAAAATTCTCTTGCTTAATTAAGTCCTCAGAAACCTAAAAGAAGTACAATGAACTTTTCCCAAGCTTCTCGAGAGTATGCAGAAATAATGCTAGGATATTCTGCAATAAAGGAAAAAAGAAAACCCTCTCAAATAAAGTTGGAACCTTTGGATAGAAGAGCGAAAAGAACATCTTCTGTTGTGGTAATTTCCTATAAACAATGAAATTTCAAATTCATATTAGTTAATCAGATAAGAATAATTTCATTCTGTATTTATTTAACTATAAAATAAAATCACATTTTTCTTTTTCCGCATCCTGATCTTTAACCAGATCTCTAACCGGATCGGCATCCAGATCTACTCGACCTAGATTTGTATTATTTTTTATTTGTTTTATGTTCTCCTTCCTCATTAACCTAATCCTACTTTTCTCCGTCCTCATCTTCATCCTCTTTCTCTGACATTTTTTATTTCTCTTACTTAGAGTTCCAGCCTTTGTTTTTATGATGATCTTCTTTTTCCTCATCTTCACCTTCTTCCTTATCTTCATGATTATCATGCTTCATATCATTTGTCTTTTTTTTATGATGCTACTTCTCTTCATTAATCTTCATTTTTTAAACACTTTTTTGAACTTGTTCCATGTCATCATCATCGTGATCCTTCTATTTATTTTGATGACTCTTATGTGATTTCTTTGATTTTTCTTTCTCTTTTTCTTTCTTTTCCTTTTATACTTGTTCTCTAATCTCTTCTTCTTTATCCTAAAATTCTTTCTTCTCTTCTGAGGATAATTTATTCCATTATTGAATTATTTTTTCTTATTATTCCAGACTCTTTTTTTTATGTGCTGATTGGAACAGTTATTCGTTTAAATATGCATTAAAACCACTGCATTTCTGTTCATCACTCATTACATTTATCTAATACTTTAAGAGTTCAGAGGGTTCCATAGAAAAGGATGTTTATAATAGTATTTTGAATTTAATAATTACAAATCTGTTAAATTGCAAAACTTAAAAATAGCAAAATTAATCAGAAATAATAAAGTAATCATTATTTGAACTAGAATGATCTTCTACATTGCATCAATTTCTCTAAAGTAGACTCTTTATAATCCGAGTCCTAATCTGTAGTTAACGAATTCTCTGATCGATCTGTGCTCTTCTTATAGCCTTTCTGCCAATTCTAAACATTCTCTTTATTTCTCTATGTGTCCAATTCTTTCAGTCTTTACTCGTATTCAATCAAGTACTACTACTTCTTTTTCAAGTCTTCCTCTCTTTGTTAAAGCAGCAGGGAATTCTCCTTTAGTCTTTTCTCTCTCAAACGAATTGAAATTCTTGGCAAATTTAACAAGTCGTCAACACTTGGTCTCTAATCCTGATTCACACTCAAACACCAACTGATTACACGCTTCATTTCAGATGTATATTGTTATGGGATGTTATCATATTAGGCCGATTTGATTTTCATTGCCAACGATAAATAGTTTTATGCTTGGAATGGCGGTTAAAGAGAGCACATCTCGTACAACAAACAACCACAGGCCCAGATATCAGACTTTTCATTGTATTTATGTTCTTCTATCAATTCTGGACTCATGTAATATGGAGTACCAACTTAGGTATGAGCAAATTCACTGTTTATGTTTAACATTCTTGCCAAACCAAAGTCTCCTAATTTCACTGTTTTATCTAAAAATATATTTGCTGGTTTGATGTCTCGATGTAATATTTTGTTTTGTCTTCTATGTATTTCACATAAGGCCTAGACTATCTGAGAGAATATCTTCCAAACTGATTCTTCTGGTAAATATTCCTTATCCTTCTTTAGTTTTTTCAGAAATTAAGCCAAATCTCCACCCTCACAATATTCCATTATTATGTATAACTTCTATGTCTATTTATCGACGATGCGATCATAATATTTGATTATGTTGGGATGTTTGAGCTCTCTCAAAATATTAACCTCGTTTACCTATTTTGAAATTTAAATTTAAAATACTAATTGTTATTTTTCTTTCTCACTCATCCTCCCATATTCCATCTCTTTGGCGACAAATACCTTTTGATCAGCCTTCCTAAGAACTTTGTAAACTTTTGCAAATGATCCTTTCCCAATGTTGTCCAAAAATTAAAATGCTTCCATTTGATAATTTATGATATATTTTATACGAAAGAATAATAAAAGAAATAAAAGTGAATGAAATAATAATATTAGATAGATAGATAATTCATTATATAAGGAATTAACTCCTCTTTTGACTATTTTGTTAAGATTGACTCATTGAAAATCAATAATAGAATTAGTGTTCCATTTTTTATTCTAACTATTGATTATGAGAGTATGTATTATTTTAATCACTTCTCATTTCAGTTAGTTACACAACTAGAATTGATTAAGAATATATTAATAATTCCTATTGTCTAATTTTTCTGCATTATTGAAACAAAATTAATATGTCACCACCTCATTTTTCTTATAAGTCCATTCCTCAAAAACATTAGCATCTTAAAATTATATTTGCAATCTTTAGTATTTTAATATTTAAAGTTCTTCAATTATTGATATGTAAGATTTTATGATAGATGCATATCCTAAACTTGTTTGATATTTGAGACAATACTCGTAATGAATAACCCATTGATTTAGTATCCCTTTTCATACGCTTACTTTTTAATGTGGGAATTGCTGCTGTTGATTTACAACATCTATCTAACAATATTTTATCTGGCTCTATATGGGATAAATCAATTTCAAACTCGATATGCGAAGATCGTTATCTATCCTTTATCTATCAGCTTCCTTATTCGGTTCCTCGTTATATTTGATAGTAGATGTGTTTTATTCCTCATCACTCCATAATTTTGTCCGATTATTATATTTTAATTATTGAATAAATGTTTCAAACCCTACAAAAATTAAGGGTGATATGCTTTATGTTCGCCACAACTGCTGAACGAAAAGTTCCACCTACTCCTTCCAATATACCTTTCACCCTCAATAACCTCTGGGATAATCCAGGGGCCAGGAAAATATAAAAGCGATGGGGAAGAAGTGGTACAAGAGGAAATGCTTGTGGAAGAGGATAAAGAGGACAAGGAGCCCGTTCAGGAGCTGGAGTTCCTCCTAAATTTGAAGGAGGCTAAACACCCTTAACAAGAAGACTTCCCAAATGGGGAGCCAAACCCAGGTATTTCTGATATTTGAGCAATAATAGTTTGGAAATTTATCGAGAAGTCAATATATGTCAGATCGTAGATAGGATCAAGTAAGGAAGAATCGATGCTACTTAGCCAATCTAAATTAAGGACATGTTAGAGTCAAGAATTTTTAGTAAATGCAAATATGGAGTCAAACTATTGGCAAGAGGAGCTGAAAGATTGAGTGAATTAAATACTCCTATAACTATTGAAGTATCAGATGCTTCTAAAACTGCTATTGATGCAATAAAGAAGGCTGGAGGTGAAGTCAAAGTTGTTTACTTTACACCACTGTTATTGAGATAACATTTGTTCCCTGATAAATACCCATTAGAATTAAGACCAGCTCTTCCTCCTTCAAGAGCAGTGGAGGCTATCCAAAGAACAGAAGAGAGAGGAGCTGTGGCTGATTACATCAAACCTAAGTGGGTTATAGAGGATGAAATTGAGAAGAAGAAATTAGAGGAGATGGCCAAACTTGAGGTAGATACTCTCAAAGTTCAATTGCAAGTGGCTGAGACTGTTGAGACTGTGAAGAAAGAGAAGAAGAAGAAGGTAGCATATCATAATTATTATTACAGAAATAAAAGCAATAAGAGGAAAAATAAGTTAGCACTTTGGATTTAACAAACTTCAAATACCCGGTCAGTAGGGAACCTGGATGTGGCAAGGACAAAATCAAATAGCGTAAACCAGTAGTGTATAAAAAGATATCGATAAGCTTGGATTGAGTTATTCATATAATTTCATAGTAAATAAAATGCATATTATTATTAACAAGTGTGTGCATGCTTTATAGGTTGAAGTGTGTTTTATAGTATATGAAGAGTCTCCTGATGTTTCTTATCAGTGAAATATTTATCTTCCTGTCTATTTCGAAAAAAGTTAATATTCCTCATAATTTGATCTCCAACTATGAAATACATTCCCGTTATTTTGTTTGTCGACCGACTCTTAATATATTCAATAACACAATCTCTCAGACTAATTCTTAAGAATGATATACTTTTCAGCTCTGTCTTCTGGGGACTCGATGGAAATTTGTTCCTTTTGAAATTGGTGTTTCAACTTCTTCTTTATGTCACCTACTTTTTGAAGGTAATTTAATTTAGATTAAATTTACAGACAATTTTCGGAACATTCTTGTAGTGTCTATTTTAGATTCAATGATATCAAATCCTATTGCTCGTACTTCAATAGATGACATAGGGCATAATATAATTTTTAGAGATTTGGCTTGTCCTTTTAGAGAAATAGATGAATCATCTTACAATTTCCAGAATACAATATTTTATTTTTTAATTCTTCAATACCTAAAATGTTATTATCGTTAAAAATTTCATCTATCATAATAATTTGCTATGGTTATTTGTATGTTTGTATTAAGTGATTCACATTTATCCAAATCTAATTCGTATTTCTTTAAAAACTCAATGCTTCCTTGGGAGATATGTGAGGTGGTTAAATTATGCAATCATATTATTCATCTAATTACGATAAATTGTTAGTTAATAAGACTAGAATGCATTCAGATTTAATTTTTTGAATTAACTATTTGTTAAGAGATAGAGATTAGCCAATAATGGCGATCTTTTAAAGATGAGACGTTTCTCTGTGACCTCTGTACAGTATTTTTGGTTCAGGTATTTGTAATGAGTAGATGTCAATCAATTCATATTTAATGTCTGCAAACTTTGGTTTCCTGATTAATATGTTATGCGTACATGATCAAACTGGGTTGAGTTTATAAACCGATTAATCTTCTCGAAGACTTTTTCTTATTCTGCATTTTGTTGACTGAGAGCTGCTTCTCCTACAAGGGTTCACCATGTAAATGCGTATCATGAACTGAGATCGTTCTACTAGTTAATTGTTGTGATTGTTAATTTTAATTAGTTGGCAATCTTCTAACAAATTAAGAGTGTTTCGATGAGCGAGTTGCTATTTAACATTCTTCAACATAATACATATGGAAAGCTAACGAATTGGAGTATTCTTTGCAATGAGCAAAGTGCTGAAATCATTTTCCGAGGGAGGTTTCATATTCATTCTCTTAGTCAATCTCGTTATATTTAATCTCATCATTTATTGATTATTAAATTAAAGAACAAAATAATATTATTTTGATATAATTTTGTATGAATGAACTTGTACATTCACAAAACTAAATAATTACACTACCAAACACATCGTAATATTAACACAAGACTGTACAAACATACATTAATATTTAATCATATAACTCCAAATTTCTTCATAACTTTTTTAAGATCATCCATATTCAATGGCTTATCCAAGTGGTCATCTGCTCCACATTTTTGCGATCTAAGTTTATCATCCGATCCCGAAAAGGCTGTCACTATTACGATAATCGATTACGATAGTTGTTCGATTTGCTCAAACTTTCTTATCTCTGACGTACATTGATACCCATCCATCTCTGGCATATTGACATCCATGAAGATGATATTCATTTACTCTTTGGAATATAAATCGTAGGCTTATTTACCATTGAAGGCCTTAAACAATTTACAATTGTCCATAACTTAATTGAGCATTGCACTCAAGGCAATTATATTAAAGGGAGTGTCATCCACTATAAGAATTTTATAGGAATCATCTGGAGTGGTTTCCAATTTATAATACGTTTGGGCCTTTTTTAATTGTCCCCTTTTCTTTTTTACACAATTAAGATTCTTATATGAAGGAAACCGAGGAACCATTTACTTTTGATGTAAATCCTATTCTTGTAAAGAGTTCTCAAGTGATTGCTACAAAATTCTATAAATCTTAAATTTAAAAGTAGACCCCTTGCCTACCTGAGATTTGAGCTCTATTTTATCAGATGGACCCAAAAGTGAAACCAACTACTAACTAATTGTCAATCCTAAACCAACTCCGTGTCTATTATTTTTACCTATGTCGTAAGTACTGTATAATTTAAAGAGGTTCCTCTAGATTTCGTCTGGAATTCCATAACCAGTATCTGAAACTGATATCTCTATTAAATCACACTCTAGATGATGACTAGCCACAATTTAGATTTGACCCTGCATTGTGAATTTGATAGCATTGGCTACCAAATTGATTAACACCTACTTGAGCCTTGTTTCATCGGTTAACAAGAGACTGGTTTTGTCGTCAATTGTATTTTTCCAGATCAATTTGACTCCTTTTTCTAATGATTGTCTATTCAACAATTAGTTTATAAATTTAAACGTATCGTTTATATTGAAGGTTTTTGGTATTAATCTCAATTAACCCTTATTGATTTGACTATAATCCAATAAGTCATTGATCATTGACAGTAACAATTAGCCAGATTATTGAAATTCATCCAAATGCACACACAACTACTCAATGTTACTTGGAGTAATGGCTGATTTTTATTACAAAATGTGGCTCATGATATCAATATCAATCATCATTCCATTTAAGGGAGTCTTTAGATCATGAGATACTGTAGCCAATAATCGATCCTTGTATTGATCCATTTCTTTTAGATGCTTCAATCTGATCCTCTCAGAGATGTCATTCATAATAACTAAAATTGAAATTTTGTTTTCCCATATACATTGTAAAATACGAATTTCAAAATGAGATTTGATTTTTAATTGGGACTTGGAAGTTAGAGCCACCTTACATTACGAATCTAATTTGAAGCATAAAAAGTAATCGCTTACGTCTGATATATCATATTCGTTTTTAATTACAGATGATCTATTACTCTAGGTTTATTGAAATTACTCTTCAGCCTAAATTAGCTTTTATTGAAGGACATCATAAATACTGACACAACTATTGTATGTCTCTTGTTCCGATTCCTATTCAGTTTATATAAAGATGCACTTTAATTTTCGAATTATTTCGTTTTCATCAGAAACCTAAAGGTATTTAATTGCAAAATCATTTGTGTAAATCAATTTCATTTCTTTACCTGAAATTGTAGAATCCTATAAATCATCACTTTATCCTGTTAAAATCAGAATTGAATTCGGCACTGTTTTATCAAATATATTTTTGCATGCCTTCAAATTCGAGGTCTGCTAGCATATCGTATAGTAGTCGAGTCTTTTGTAGTACTCTATGGAACGGAAGAAGATTATTAGCATTATCAATAGCACATAAAAGGTCCAATATATTGAGTCAATCATCCCAACCAGACCCACTATTAAGATCGTCGCGGCTACAAGGATTAAGCCTTAGCAAAACCATAGAGGACAGACCATCAAGTAGCTGATTATTATGATTCCAGCCTATATTCCGATATTCAAAGATTAGGCTGTAGATTATTAAGTACATTATTTGTTGAATAATTAAGTCTAGATAACAACATCTGTAATTAATATTGTCGAAAAGGCACTTACTATCTCCGATATAGATATAATGTATTTGTATTGGATCTTCTGTATGTTCGCCTAAGAGATTAAGCAAAGTACATGCCAGAAACTAAATCCGATTCTTAAATATGCCACAGTTTAATTTTTCACTACAAACTGATTATTTAGAAAGTAGATAAAATTGATGAAGAAATGTATCAAGAATGACAGCCTAAAAAGAACAATAATTCTGTTTTTCTCCTTGCTTGTATATTTTTCCTCTATCTCTGAATTTCTAAATTATAACGTCCATAGATTCATTATCTTTTTTGGCTCCAATTCATTCGAGACTTCCCCTGGATGTAAAAAGAACTTTACGATGAATTAATAAATTTTTAACATAAATATTAAATACCTTGGAGCTAAGTTCCAATTAATTCGAATTAAAGAAAATAAGAAATTGCATATCTAAGATTTAAACATTTAATAATTGGGTTTAATTTCCAATTAGGAACCTTAGAGGAAAATACAAGTTATTTTAATGTTAATTAAAATGTTATGGTAATAAAACCTATTTTGAAAATATTATCATTTTTATAAACATAAATGAAATAATGTAATAAGTAATTAAATTTTTATTCATCCCTCTTAATTAATAAGTAAGGATATTATTACTCACTTAGAACTAATCATAATTGGTTACTTAAATGTAATATAGCTTCCATTCTATTTTCCCTTTCAAACAATCCAAATTCTTCACAAAACCCTTGTCAGGATATTTTTCATCTATTTCCTTTAATATACCAAATACATAAATCTCAATCTAACCCATTTTTATAAGAATCATATCATGTTTCATTTTCCTAACATTTCACTCTATATACTAAGAATTACGTTTTCTTATCAATTTAAATGACTCAAATTCTGGCATCATAAAAATGACGAAAATTGATTTCGTTAAAAATATAATAATTATTTCATAATTTTTCAAGCTAAATATAAATAAATTTTGTCATTAATATATTTGATAGAATTATTTACTAATAAAAAGCAGATTTGTTTTAATTAGTAGATTATCTAAAAAATGTAGTTAATAAGATATTCGATTTGTCAATAACTATTCAAAATATTTATTCTTAAATATTGTAGATTTCAGCAGTCTAAATTATCAACTCAATAGATTGTTGAAGATTATCAATGTTTCTAAATCTTGAATTCCAATTTGCATATAAAATTTGAATTATCCCTTAGGAATTTATAAGATTTTAAGAAGATTACTTAAGAAATATGGGAATAGAGAGGTAAGTTAAGTCAAATACTTAAGCATTGCTGGATTGTAATAGGAATTGTTGTTGATCTGATGTTAGATTTAGGGTAATAGAGTTGAATTTGGTTAAGAGGATATCTTTGAGAATTAAATTTTAAATTGAGGTAGCTAACGTGGGGGGAGGTGTGGAGGGGTTTTGTAATAGGAGGGAGTGGATTGTTGTCAAGAGAGGGAATGGAATGAGAGGTAGGCGTATATTGAGTAGAGAAAAATATCAAATAAATTAATATAAATAATGTCCAAATTTTAATAAGATGGTATAACCATCTGTTCACTGAGAGGGTTCCAGAAATGGCCTTCCAGTGCCCAACACTCCTTCACTCCTCATAAATGTGGATTAAGGGTATAAAATTTGTCATGACTATTTTCAAGATGGTTAAATAATTTACGTCGCATTATAAGGATTATTTATAGAGATTCAATGGCAAACCTATTTAAATGCCTGTGAGGATTCTTACTTCTCCAAAAGAAGGTAATTATTGGTATAAATTCGATAGGAAAATATAATGATGGTTATGACAATGAAAATCATGATCTCATAATCAGATAATATGACAAATTATACAACAGCAAAAAGAATATGTAAGTTATTTGAGGTCTATTGTTAAGAACATACATTTGCGAGGCTCTCCTAGGTGCAGGGACATTTGGCCAAGTGATCAAATGTAGCATAGAAGGAACGAAACAATAAGTTGCAATAAAGGTACGATATTCTGAGGATAATTAGATCATAAAAAATTAATGTGCATTTCATCAATAACAAAAGATAGAAATTCGTGTATTAAGAACTCTCTAAACATTCTCAAAAGAATAAAATATTTAAAACAATTGTATAATCCAACTAAATGATTAATTTTTACACAAGAAACATGCTTGCTTAGTTTTCCCTTTGATGGCACAGAATTTGCTTGAAGTGATGAAAACAAATAAATATGAAGGATTTAGCGTGTCGCTAGTCCGAAAATTTCTCAATCAAATAGTGACAGGACTCACAGTGGCTGAACAATGTGGAGTTGTTCATGCTGATCTGAAGCCAGAGAATATAATGATTGAACAAAAGCAGCCCATATTGGATGATTGTAATCTGTAAATCATTGACTTTGGATCCAGTTGCTTTTTGAATGAGAAACATCCTTACATCTACATTCAAAGTAGATTCTACAGGGCTCCCGAAATAATTTTAGAGAATCGCAATTACACAAGTAAACAATGTGGACATATGAATTCCTAGCTAAAATCGATATCTGGAGTTTGGGATGCATCGCAGTAGAATTGTTATTGGGCAGTCCCCTTTTTCCATGTTGGGACCAATACTCTTGTTTGGAACGAATCATTCAAGTGACGAGTCCCATCATAAGTAATATATCTCATGTTGAACCTTTTAGCTATGCAGGGATATTTGAAAAATGCCTCTGCAACATCAAAATACTTCAACGAACTCTAAAATGAGACTTTGCAATTCAAATCCAGGGAGCAATTCACGGCTGAATTTCCTTAAATCTAAACCAAGGAGGGGTACAACTCAACTCATCCGATCAAGAAACTCACAGATCTAGCGTAATATTATAACTAATAATCTACCAAAGGTACTTTTGACTTGCTTATTCGAATTAGACTAACCCACATTCAATCAATTTCTGGACTTCGTGTAGAAATGTCTTGAATGGGAACCAAGTGCTAGGATGTCTGCCTAGGATGCTAGTTAACACCCATTTTTGACGGGACAAAACTAAGGATTTGACATCAATATTGATTTAGAGGACTTGTTTGCGAAATTGGATACTTAATCTAATTAAAGTAGTACTTCCTCTTTTTATGAAGACCAACCAGAGTTCTGAGATATTTCCATTCCTCAGATTAAAATGCTCATTCAAATAAACAATAAGTAAAAAAAAAATAAAATTTCCATTTGAATGATGTTTTAATCATTAAGAGGCAATTAATTAATACAAATAATAATTTTCCACAATATATAACTTAATTAAGACTAATCGATTCAGTAATTTAATCCCTGCTATATAATTGAAGTAATTGTTGGATTTCCATTCATTATTAAATTATAATAAACTCAAATGGGTCTTTGCCAATCTACCTAATCTACTCTTAAACTCACTCGTACACCTGCCTAAAAGCACATCCAGATCAACTTTGAAAAGATAAAGGAATACGAAACCCAATACACCAAATAAGAACGATTTCAAAAAAAACAATCTACTGAAGGATTCTCACATCTAAGCAATGTGGACTAATGAATCTGAGCATGATTTCTCTTATTTTCATCATCTTCAATCTAACATATGCAATATTTCCTAACCTCCCCTCTGATCTTCCCCCATTCTAACTAATATTCTCAACACTTTATCCGAAGGCACCACATCGCTAACCTCAAGTGCCTTTCTACAGAATCGACACTATCGCTCGAAATCATGAAATTTCTAGAATTATGATTGATTGCCACTCTATAAATTTGAATGGAGAAAATCGACAAGATTCATAAATAACATCAGCATAACAGTCATTTAATATGTAGAAGTACTGGTTTGTTATTTAATTAACACATATTATATTAATCATATAATAATTCAATTTAAAAAACCTGTTGGTGGTCTACATCAAAATTGAGGTTATTTTAGAGCAAATTAAGCATTTTCTATTTCTCACCATTTACCATCAATTTATTTTATATAAATAATTTTTATATAATTATTTATTAGACAAAATGGATTAGTCTAAATAATTGATAAAGAATGAATTGTTGAATTTGAGTTTTTCAGAAGAATAGATAGCTCAAGTATTACCAAGTGCTGATAGTCTAGAATAAGCAGTAGAATTGCTATTAGCATTGCAAGAAGGGTAACAAATAAAAAAATAAAATGTTGGATTATTTACAGACATTGATGCAATTCCATTTGATATTAATTTTGATAACATAAAACCACCTGGAGAGCAATTTGATAAGAGATATAAAATGGTGTGTGTGGTGAGAATGGATTTAAAGATGGGAATTGGTAAAATAGCAGCATAAACAGGACATGCAGGTATATGTTATTATACTAACGTGTAGTATTGGGAGCATATAAATAATTATTAAATGACAAACATGATTTATTATAAAAATGGGAAGGAAGTGGTTAGGCGAAAGTAGTGGTGAAATGCGAGAGTCAATAAGAATTGCATAATATCGAAGCCGCTGCAAGACAGAATGGACTCATCACTTATATAGTAACAGATGCAGGTAGAACATAAGTAAGAATGAATTCGCGAGTCTTAGGTTGAGCCTGGAAGCCAAACTGTTTGTGCAATTGGTCCTGCTGATTGTGATCTAATTGATTAAGTGACTGGTCATTTGAAATTATTATGATACCATTAATAATTTAATCATTAATAATTTAAATAGTAAAACAAACAATGAAATCAATTAGTTGGTCGAGGATTTCTACCTATTTTTTTTAGATCCAATTAGTTGACAAGAGGAGAAGTCTATTCTTGTTGCTTTTCTTCATTCCTTTAGGCTGATTCAGCATTGAAATCTTTCATAAGATGTTAGGTTTCCTCTATCATCTTCTATTGCAACATCTATTACTTTTTGGATTGAACAGTCTTCCACAAACTAGACTTCGATCTTTGTTTAATGAGTGGCATTGGAGCAAATGACTTTATGCCTTTGAATGACAGTAACTCAATCTGTTCTCTAAGTTTAAGAAGTCTTTCCTATTCATCTTGAACCTTCTATTTCTCCTTCATTTTTTCATGTTTTGTAGTATCCATATTTGACAATTTCTCTCTTTGTGTCTTTATTTGAACACTCTAATCCAGTTCTAACCACACTATGTCAGCTTTAACAAAACCATTTTCATTATAGCCTCCAAAGATCAACAATCTATTTTCATCTTATGCAGCACAATGACCTGCTCGACCATCTCGATATTCCATTTAAATAGTACACCAAGTCTAAGAATCTACTTTGAAAATGTGGCAATCATTTAAGAATATCGAATCAATGTTGATACCCCCAAAAATGACAATCAATTATTACTTATCAAAATAATTACAAGTATGCTTATATCTAGCACTAGGAGGAACTCCTTTGGCTTTGACCTCAGTCCAATACATGGGTCTTTGGTATGTATTTAACAAATATAAACCAGAATACAATTAACCTTATTTGTTTTCACCACCAAACAAATAAACTCCTTCAACCTTCTACTTCATTTCCTTCAAATCTTCAGCATCTAAATTAGATTTATAAAGTTGAATTAATCGGTTGGTATTATATACAGACACTATAGTATGGAAAGCTATTCCATTCTAAAAATAATTGCATGTATCAATATTAGCAGGAGCTTATTTGGCTGTTGTGACATCAAAATGAAAAGCATCAGATAAATACTTCCCTTTAGTATTTATGCCTCCCATAATCAACAAATGCCTCCCCACAAATGCACTAGCCTAACCTCTTCTTACTTCGACTCCTTCTCCACTGGTTCTAACAATTTTGAACTCGTTAGTTTCAGTATTGAATACTCTGAAGTCATTCAAGCTTTCCCTAATTTTCTATGCATTATCGTATGGTTTTTCTCCACCAAAATAAAATATAGACCTCCTAAAAACTCCAGCTACGTGGTTAGTCCTTCCAAAAGGAGGCTTATCTATTATGTCAATTTAAGACCATTCATTCCCATTCCAAACATTCATATCATTGAATGGAGTTGCACTTATCCCTCCATACAAATAGAACTTATTTTAAATTACACTCAATGTGGCTCCTTCCCTCATAGCAGGTCTCCATTTCCCATAGAATTTCTCAACCCAATTCAAATAGTAGTTGGGTATCTAGGCATCTTAAATGACTTCTATCACTTTTGGCTAATGCTTATTTTATATCTAACCATCATCATTTAATCTAGATGGATAACACTTAATTTTTGGTAATTTTCCTACTGATTGACTCTTACTTATCATATATTTCTCAATTTGTTAGGACAGTTACTCATTCTAATGTTTTATTTACGCTTTATTGTGTCCCAATTGGAATGCAATTTCATCCAAAGGACCATAGCCTGTATATATTTTGCTAGAACTTTTATCATTCAGATTCCTTAAACTATGTTGAGAATTGTTTTTAAAGAGCCTGGCTCTATAAGGTTGCCATTTTTGTTCCTTCTCTAATTTATCCACCAATGTCTTATCCACTTAGAGTAATTCTTACGAACTCACAAATTTACTCAGTCTACTTTTGTTATTCTAAAGCGGCAATGGTGGATGGATCTACATTATTGCATTTTCCTTACCACTTATAATCCTCTTTACACTAAGTATTTATATTTAGTCATAGAAAGATCACTGATTCCTTGATTCTAGTATTCCTTTACTAAATGATCCATGGCTTCATCTTCGTCATCAAAATTCAAGATAGGTTAAAGTGGAGAAGGCGAATCTTAATAACTCATTTTATTAAATGTAAATATATAATTCTGAGATAAATATTTATCATATTTATTCTAAAACTTAGTAAATAATTAGATCATAACTTAGATAGCAAATATTTTATCTTTAGCTCGACATTAAATCTGTCAAAATTATATCATAGTCACGAACAGTAGGCAATATTTGATCTTTTGGAACGATTACTTGCAAAATGAATCGTCGATCTCTCATTTTTACACTGAAAATTCTAGTAAATTTAAAATACATCTAATGAAGTTTTAACTACAATAGCCACTTAAAAGTATTGAGGACTGAGGGCTAAGGGAATCTCTAATTGGAAATGATGATTGTGGAGTCAAGTTGAAGAATATGATGAGTGTGACTTTTTATATTAAAATTTTATATTTTTAAGCAAAACAGACTTATTTTACAGTGAATGTTAAATTATATTGGAAATGGAGCCAAATTGATTAATATTTGTTATGACAACGGAGAATTGCAAATCATTTCTTGACTAGGTTCTGGATCTTATAAGAGCTGAAGATTGCGAAACTACAACACCGCCAATGAAGGAATTGATAAAACCTAAATTGAGACTCTTTGATATAGATGACAATCCCAAATTCTTTTCTCCAATCAGACCATTTCCTATCTAATAAAAAATAACAAAAATAAAATAAATTGAAAAGCCCATTCTCAATACTATTACAAAATGTAAATGTATGAAATCGAAATGTCAGAAATCCTATTGTGAATGTTTTGCAGCAGGAAAGGCTTGCAATATGGATTGCAATTGTCAAGGATGTAATAATACAATCTGTTCCTAATCAATCAAGAAAGTATAGACTGGAGGATGTAATTGTAAAAAAACAGGTTGCCTAAAAAAATATTGTGAATGTTATCTGAAAAAACAAAGGTGCACATTTTTGTGTAATTGCATCGATTGCTGTAATCAAGAAGATTCGGAATCAGAAAAAGAAAATGAACAATTATAATAATAAAGTATTGATTGTGGATAAACGATTACTAATTAAATTATCAAACAATGAATGACATTTTATAAAATAATTTTAAACTCATTTAAATGTTCTTTTTTTACGTAGAATGCTGCAAATCATCTTATCAAAAAGAAGAGAAATTAAATAACATGAATCTACCCTTAACTAGCTTCTTGAGCTTTTAATTAAAATTATGAAATAGACCCATTAATAATGGTAATAATTAAACAGAAATAATTCTATTTTCTTGTGAGAATTAAGATATAAATTTTCTTGAGAATTTATTTGATTAAAGATAAATGAATAAGCTAGCTATTTAGAGAGCAGTAAAACTTGTTATGGATTATCTAATCTAAGTCATCCTTTAAAAAAATTTATAAACTCTAAACTCACTATAAATAAGGATCTATTAAAAAAAATAATCTTTAATCTCCTAATTTCTATTCAAATTTAAAGGCAGTTAAATTTCAGAATCAAAAAGCGTATTAAAGATATTGATAGATTAGTGTCATTTTATTTGAATATATAAAATTTCCCTAAAGAAAGAACTCATTATTGTCTTACTTTTTGAAATATAAATTTACACTAGAAATACTACATGATCTTTAGAAAAGATTGGATTATTTAATCCTCATTCAGATATTCTAGCTATATATACATGATTCATTATCTATTAGAATATATTTTACATTTAAAATGATTTTGTCACATCGAACAGACTTTTTAAATTCTGAAAAATTTTAACAGACAATCATTTCCAAAAATAATTTAGAACTTTCTAATATTGCTCTTTATTTAAAGATAATCCAATCAAATTAGTGGTAGCGATTGAAAAAGAGATGAAATCCTATTATTTAATTCAGTATAAATGGAATAAATTAAATGTAAATGGAAAGTGTAATACTTTAATTATTCTATTTTGAATTTATTTCCTTCTTGAGTTTAAAAGATATATATATTGAGCAGATTAATGCTTGAGTACTTGGATTAAGACATAATTATAAAAAATTATAATTTTTAATTTTACATCCATTCCTATATTCTTTATTCTAGTAATAAATTAAGCAATAATAAATTGGGGTTTTATTTAAGATTTTTCGATTCGAAAATACCATTAGTCATTTACTAGATATAATAGTAATTTAATTCGTAATTACTATGCAATTTGCGTCTTCATGATTAATTCTTAAAACGTGCATACTTGCCACTTTTATCAAACAATAATAAAAGGATCTTGTAATTTTTGCAAGAACTCATATGGAGATAATTAGTAAAGGCGTTGTTGGTATATTAAAAATTGATTGTATAATTTTATATTTTATATTGATAAAATATTATGAAAAATAGATTTGAGAATTCCTAGGATCTCGATTTGGATATGTGTGGCATATCAAGATCATACTCATAAACGAAATTATCTGGTCTTAACAATCATAATAAAGATAAATTAAAAAATGAGTTTGTATAATATTTTTTAAAGATAAGGTCGATAAACACCTATTATAGCGAAAGGATTAAGAAGATCTAGGAGGTTCAATTTAACTCAATGATTTAAATATTTTGGGATTGAAAGATTATTACTCAGGAGTATTCGATAACAATTTGGATGTTTAACCAAAGAAGAAGGAAGAAACCAACGATCGTGTTTAAATTGAGACTCAATAGAATGAGCCATTCAATAATACTCTGGATTAATTTGGTCAGAAGCTGAATGAGGTGATTGGACAGTATCTCTGTGAACTTACTTCTCAATCTAGATTATCCTTAGACTCATTTTCCCTTCAGAACAGCGAAAATCTGGACGAAGAACAACAGCAACAAATTTTGGATCTTGAATTAAATGTCATCAGATAGCGTATTTATAAGGTAAGATTTTTGTTAATTTAGCAAATCGTGGACAAGATTAACCTTTCTGTAATTCAATCAGTTCAATCTATTGGAACTTCTAGTTAACTCACATCTTAATCTAATTATATCTCTACATGCGTTTCGAAAGAACTCTTGAATAACAGTGTGACTCAATTTTCTTAAATTTCATAAAAGTCACCCCCTAAATCACTCACTCATTCTCTATTAGATTTATAATCACAACTTCAACAAAGTGCTCATTAAGCCTAAGCTAGACTGAATAAAAAAAATGATGAATTGCCATTCAATATCGTAGATTGTGAAGGAACAAAGGAAGAATTATAAAATAAGCTCAAGATTTCCATCCAATTAAATTATTAATAGTCTCAAATAAATAGCCAATTAAGAGAGGAATTATAAAAATATGAAGTATGGTAATTAGATTATGAATTTAGAAAATGAATTAATCCTTTGACTCAATATAAGAGGACGAAATACATATATTATAATAAGAGATTAACAGTTTAAGACTTGAAAATGCCAAACTAAACGAGTCTTAATCAAATAAACAGTGTGAAAAATGTAAAGGTAGTATTAACTGATTTTCTATAATCAAACTAAATATATATTTTGAAAATCTATTTTAATTTTTTACATGTGTTTTCTATTAAAATTAGAATTTTTTTATGACTAATTTATTATAAAACATAATAGATTAGTTAACTTTTTCAAAATGGAGCAACAATTTGCGTGACTTTAATGTTATTATAAATTAATAAATCACAAATTAAATACATAATATATGACATATTGAATTAATTATCAAAACTATAATTGTCATTTATTTATTTTATTTTACCGTATTAGCGGAAGTATTTAATCCAATACTGATTGATATTATGAAATGATGTTTTAGATTTTTGATTCTTCTTTCTGAGGTTGCTGCAAACTCTTATGCCTTTAATACCCCTAATTTTAGAATTTATAATTTTTAATTGGTTTAACATTTAAACTCTTCTCTTAATTATTCGTTTATTTTGCCATAGGTTTTGCAACCCTGGGACTAGTTTTGCAATTGGATTTATCAAATGTAGACGTACTTGATTATTGTGCTATGAATACATCTATTGTAGTTTAACTTGCATTCTAGTGTTTTCTTTCTTTCGCGTTTCTTTTATTTCAATTGATCTTTTCGAGTTACAAGAACTTGCACTACGAATGGATTGCCTTGAATACAAATATATTTTTAGTTAAGATTACAGATTTTTGAAATGTGGACTCGACATTGTTTAATTTGTGTAGTAGTTTTTTGTTTTATTTCATAATCCCTTCCCATCTGTTGATTTCTTATTTCCTGGCAGCTATGTATCTGTTTTATTTGTAAGAATCAAACGTTTTATCTAATTTTGGAAGGGAACTCTTCCTTTATTTAATGTCACTTAGTCTTCTCTAATGCATTTAGTAAGCCCTAAAGAAATCTTCATTATTTATACTGCTAATTCTATTGTTAGATGTATCTTTGCATATACCTTCTAACCAATATATATATATATAAATTATATTAAAAACAATCAAACTATTTTGGAAGTAACTTAGACAAACTTTTTGAGATTTATTTATTTTTTACTCAAAAATAAGATTGCAGCAGCCACACACAACCCAGTTGTAATGCTCAACTTCCAATACTACTCCTTTTTCTTTTTGCTCTGATTCTTATGAAATTATCATGTATAGTTACCACTTAGGCTTATTTCTTGATTACTTCAATTTCTTTAAGCACTTTTTATCTCCTCTGTCTCACTCTATTCATGTCATAGAATGTAACAACCTTAATCTGTATCACTATTTACCTTGTCTGTAATGCATTCAGTCTTCGATTGGTTGTTAACCTCTCTAAAATGACTGAACAACGAGAGTTTACTGATGAAGTACACTTTAACTTTTAAGGCAAATTGCTTCCTATTGATGGTTATTTGATTCATTTGGAGAAGTTTAGAGAAATCTAGATTCACGTCTCCGTTGTATATTATTATCAACACAATGGTTGGATATTTGTACTCTTCCAAATATGGTATATATTCTGATCTAATAATCTGATGTTACCTAGTCTTCAAATTAATGTTTAGTTTACAGTTGATCTGAAAAGGTTGTCAATTTTCTGTTTGATCTCGTAACACAGTTGTTTGGCCTTGTTGGCTGGATATTTAATTCTGGTCTCAAATATCACTATTTCTCCTTAAAGTATGTCTCCTTGATCCTTAGCTAATTTATTAGAATATAACTCATAGAAGTTGTGCTAATGCTATTCCTGCTTGTCCTAATTAAAAGAGTTAGACGGATTATGCACAAATTGATGTCTTCGATTGGCTTGGTCTTGTCTACTCTATTATTGAATTATACGTGGTTCTAATTGATCGAAAGTATTCTTCCTTATTATAAACGTTTGTATTTTCTAATTTCTGATCAAACATCAAGGAGAATGAATTAAAAGTGAAATTTCTCAATGCAAAAAATACTTGACTCTCCGTGTTTTGATTCTACCTTAAAACTAAAGCAAATTACATTAATTTGTTGTGTCTTATAATTTATCAACTGTTCACAACTCACTTTTTTTGAATCCAGAATGTGTAGCATATGGACAAATGATGGAGTAAGAAATTAATCAAACTCATCCCCAATTAAATAATGTGCATATCGTTATAAGAATTGACTTTCTATTTTTGAATGAATATCTTAAGCAGAGGCTTATGATTTTCCAGTTTGAGCAATATCATTCATTTTAACAAAATAACAATATTAATAATATTAATATTTATTTAGATTAAAAAATTAGTAGAAAATCAAACTACTAGCTATATTAAAGGTATCTTATTAGATTTCATAAGTACTTAACATAATCGAAAGATATTCTGTTATTTTTTTAAGATTTGCTTCTAATATTTCTTTTAACCATAATGTCTTCTAACGCTATTCCTTGAATGAGTGTTTTATCATGAAATTTAAGATAAAATCCTTCATAAAAGTCCTAAATTTACTAGCACTTTAAAAATTTACTAATTAATTTAAGATCTAATTAAATATATTATTATATATCCAGATATTTGAGGCTCTATATCTATAGTTATAGATATTAATAATTATTTCTTTAAGTTTAATTAGATAGATGCAATTTATGTAAAACAAAAATACTTAATGCTAAAAATTCGTATTGTGAAGAATATCCAAAAATGAAAATAAATTTATCGAAAAAATCATATATACAGAAATTTTGAAATACTTTATTTTGTATTATTCTATTATTCATTAATTAATATATCTAAATATCTAAGTTAAATAATTTATAAATGAAAACAATTATTTCAAACTTTTTTTGTTTATGTATTTGCCATGGCTATATTAATAAAAGGATGATAAAGAGCTTCTTCAGGTGTAATCCTATTTTTTGGATCTAATTACAAGCATTTTTATAATAAATCTTTGAATTACAAAAGCATTTTCTAATCTTCAGCATTTAAATTTTATTCTTTCACCTTCAAAAGAGTTCCAATAGTTCGAGTTGGTTTTTCCCCTAATAACACCGGCTTCAAAATGACTTATTTAGTTATAGGATCAATTTCTCTGCTCTTAAAATTAAGATGCTAATCAAAGTATTTTGAGGTTAAAGCAGATCGTCTCAACATTTTCATTGAAAATTTACCCATGGTTTATAGATGCAATTTCAACATGTCATTGTTATTATCTCCTGAAAACAAGAATTATCCCGTGAACAACTCAAACAATGTGCATGCTGTGGCCCATACATCAATATTAGTATCATAAGGATAGCCAATGATAATTTCAGGAGCGCGATAATATCTACTCACAAGATACTCTACTACTGTTACTTCATCTACAGTAAAGGCAGTACCAAAATCACAGAGTTTCAATAATTTTGTATCAGATGATATTAAAATGTTATCTGGTTTAATATCAGCATGTATGATTTTGTGTCTTCTTAAATGAGCCAAGGCAACAAATAACTGCATAGCATAAGATCGAATTGCTGATAAATCTAACCCTTATCCCTTAGTGTATACTTTTAAGGCATCTCTAAGATTTAAGTCTAATGATTCAAATACTAAACAGAGATGTTTTCTATGTTCAAAACTTTCAATCAATCTGAGAATATGCTTTTTATTATTTGGATCAGCCTCATTTAGTTACTTTAAGATTTGTCTTTCTCTTTCCCCAGATCGAATATATATATCTTCAGCCCTAATAAATTTGATTGCATATTCCTATCCATCTTTAATTGCTTTGCACACATTTCCAAATACACCTTTACCACACTTATTGATTATCTTGTAATCCTTAATCATTTCTCCAATTGTAATTCTATAATATTTATCATCATCAGCTTCATATGATGCATTTGCATTGTGTCTCACCATCATATTTAAATCATCATTTTCTAATTCGTCATCTAATTCGTCAAACATATCTAAAACGATTTTTTTCTATACCTATTCTGTTGTTTCCTATTATTGCTCTTATTGATTGTTTACTAGATAATCAAATTAAATATTACAATTCCTCTATTAATCAAGCATGCGAAAGTAACTCTATTTATTTTCATCGATTTGTTATTATGGCTAATCAAAAGTAAATCCTTCGTCATTATCCTTCTCAGGGGAAGCCTATATATTTTGTTCCAAATTTTTAAATAGTTCTTCCCTTATCTGTCTTCTTCTTAAAAACACAGCCTCTTCGTCTTCAATATCCAAATCCTAAATATTTTCTTCTTCATCCTCCTATATTAATGCAGCTGCTTATTATTGCATTTCAACTCGGATGCTCTGTTCTTGCTTCTATTCTTCCTAATGTTGCTTTGACTTATATTGCTAATCTGTAGTCCTTCTATCTTCCTTCTTTTCTTTTCTGTTTGATTCTTTCTTGTGCTTTTTTTTATTTTTCTTATCCCTCTCTTTTTCCTTGCTTCTACTTCTCTTCTTTTACTTTTTGATCTTTGCTTTCTTATGTTTGGAGACCGATCTCTCCTAATCCCATTCTGGAGTCCTTTCACCTTCCTCTACAATTCCGTTTTTTTAACCTTCCTCATTTGGAATTTCTCCATCTTCCATCTTTTATGATATTTTATAAATTATATAACTAAATAATTAATTTTATTTATGTCTAAAACAAAAGAAGATAATCTAAATCAATTTAAAGGATTGCAATAAGTCTAAGCCATAAAATAAGAATTAAAACATAAATATTTGCAAATTTGTAGTAAAAATTATAATGATAGAGAATTAATCATTGATTGTAATATTAGTTATTTAATAAAGGCATGTACAATAATTTGAAAAATGAAGAAAGATAATTGAATGATTTGATCTTAAAAATAGATGCTCACGCTAAGTTTTATGAGGCTACAAAGGAATCCTTGAACAAGGAGGAATAACAAACATAATTATTAATCACAAAAAAATTGGTGAATGAATGGATGGAGTGGGAGAGATCCGGACAAAAATACAATTGAATCTAGACCAAGTGGTTTTCTCATCTAAATATATAAAGCATTATTAAACTTCATTATGTTTTTATTTATTGTTTAATTCAAAATAATATGAATTATTTGTAAAATTATTTAGAATTTTTAAAGTTTTCCCTCATGGCTTTATTCTCATAAATCCACCTGAGATTACTTTAATAAATACCTGAAGTCCCTCTAATAGTCATAATTTAAGGGAAAATAAGTCTTTATAAACCCCCATTCACTTCAACTCAGCTTAGTTTCCATAAACAACAGCCTTATAATTTTAAACTCCACAATTACCATATAGACTACCCTTTTGACCTTTTGATGATTTTCAAATGTAAGAACTATTGCTATTAGGGCATTCATAGAAAAAATGGAAAAATTATTATAAAAAAGATACTTCTGGAACCTAATTAAAAAATAAATTTTATAAAAAAAAATTCATTTATAATAAAGTTCAGGAATATAAAAACATATTAATTGAATCTTTAAGATATGAATTAAATCTTTGCGATTCAAATCAGAAATTGATTTAATTCCAAATGTATTAGTGTGATATTAATTAATTGAAAACCTTAATTCAAAAAATTTATATTAAGGAAAAGTAATCTTGAGTTTAATATTGGGATTATAACACACACTTTAAAGATCTTTTTAAATCAATAATATCATTTATATGGTTAACTTCAACATACGATCTCAAACTTACCCTAAAGACAACAAGAGCAATCCATGTATATAATATTTTGAGTTTAGAATCTCGAGACACCATAGAAAGCCTTGACTAATGTGCTCTTACAATCGACAACGGAGGTCCTCATCAAGAAAACTGTACCATTTGCTATAAAAAACTTTGCTCTAAATGCTTTAAACAATTAGAACTCTTCTCCTCGAAAAGAACTTAGGCTTTTTAATGTCCACATTGTGAAGAAATAAGGGAATTGAAAAATACTATCAAATGCTTTATCTTGAACACTCTCTAATTGATTCTACTCCTATCTACCTTACCAATTGTGGCATTTGCACTTGCTCTCATTAGAACTGAAAAGCTTATACAAGTAATAGAAACGAAAATAGAGAGCATTTGCATAATTTTGATTGTTAACTTGCTTTTGAGCATACCTATATACATTGGAGAACTTATAATTTGTATTTTCATTGCTCCTTTCTAAATTATCCTTGGATTTCAAGAAGCCATAAGGCAAAGGGACTTAATAATTCTGAAAAGAGTCTTCTCATAATAATGAAATTTTGTTTTATATGTGCTAATTGATTAATACGTAATATATGTCATAATCATTTCTTTCAAATTGAGTAATTAAAAGCAAAGATGATGCTAAATAAATATGCATCATTTGAAAACAATTGTCTAAATGGCCTTATTCCTAAAATTTTATTATAGATTAAAAATTTTGGATTCCTTTAATTTTCATTATAAATTTGATGTGCACTAGAGGAACACTCAAAAAACCATTATTTACACCTTCCCTCAAACATATAATTCTGAATTGAATTTACTCAAATATAACATTAAAATAAGTTCAAATGATGCACATTCTTTAAGAATTAGTTTTAAAAAAGGTACTGTGGAATATTCTAACACACTTAGAGTCCATTTTGATACAATAATATAGATAAACTCTTTAATATAATTTTGAATCAAAATTATTATTTTAAGAGTTTTTTAGTTTGTTTTTTGAGTATAAATATTAATATTTTTATACTTTTTATAAGAATCAAATTTAATCATCACATATAATTAATTTTATCTAGAGATTTTTATGATCATCATTTTGAGGCATTCTTATTTTATGATACAAATTTCATATGAATAATCTTTGTATTTTTATCAATTAAAGCAACTAATTTATTATAATATATTTCAGATTTAAATCTAAATAACATTATTGTGAGGTCAATATTTTACTTAGTCACTTTTTAATCTAAGAAAGATAAATATGGGTAAAGTTATATATAATATTAGTTTATAATAATAATTTATAATAATAATGAAAGATTTTTCAAATATTTATATTATAATTATTACTTTTGTAGTTAAATTAATAAAGTTGAATTCACTAATATTAATTAAATGAAGACTAAGGAGGAAGTATATTCATTGATTCTATTTATAACAGTGTTCTCTTAAAATGACTAAAATTATAGAAATTATAATTACACATTAATCGATGATTTTTTGAGTTTTAAATATTTGACTTCTAAAGGTGAAGGACTAAAATCTCCATTGTTTTCTTCATGTTCTTCTTAGTTTAGTTGTTCTTTTGTGACTTTACTCATGCTTTCGAATGCCAAAGCCAAAAGATTGTGATCATCAAAAGAGAGTTGCGATAAATTGTTCTAATAACTGGGCATGCCAATAACACTTTAATTTCCACTTTGATTACAACTGCTAAAAGAATCATTAAAACTAGAGTTGCTCTTTTGTTTGGCAGGTGTCAATGAGATCTTCCGACAGTGCTATTCAGGAGTCTTCAAAAAACTATTTCCAGACAACCCATCTAGACCATTGAATGTACTGGATGATGCTTATTTTTTACGCATTTATAATTGTTCTTATTGGTCTTATTCAACAGTTCTTTTTGATCGTTTCAAAACTGCAATTTCTGAACTAGGCACTTACAATGATGATGGAGTAAAATCCCAATCATATCTTAATTAATCTTAAATATTTTGTGAATGAGCTAAGTGCTAAAACATCTTTTTTAAGAATTTGTAATCTGGAGCTGCTTTAAAGTCCAACTTACGTGCATAATCAATCATTCTCTCGAATTCGTTAGGCAATCCATTGCACAATTCGTGAAGTGTCATTGTATCTTTCATATCACCCACAGCCTTAATTTTTTATTCATCCTATAATTTTAAAACTTGCCAAGGTAGACTTCCTAAATAAAAATTAAAAGACTAAACCTTTTAAAAGATAGACTAAAACATATCCCAAAGATTCTAAATCATCTCTTCTACTCTGTTCTTATCCTTTATGTGCTCCCAAACTCGCGTATCGAGATGTCCCTAGGAATGGCTTGTTTTCAGAGAAGTTGCTTGGAATACACAAATATTATCATACATGTGCCTGCCTCTCTTATCCCTATAGAATTTGCTGATTCCAAAATCCACCAAGTATAAATTTGAATCATTATCCCTTCCTGCTAGTATGTTCTCAGGTTTGATATCTCGATGCAACACGGATCTCAAATTCATACACAAAATTACTTCAGATGTATATTTTCAAGAATACTCAGCATCTATTCTGCAATCAAGAGGACGCATTTCAAGGAAAACTTTTTATATTGTCTTATATAATAAGTGAGATCTTTTCCCAAGAAACTTATTACCATTAGCATTTATTTCTTGTGCTCTCCAAAATAAAACAGCCTAGGTATATTGAGAGTCCCATTCAAATGCTATAGAATTTTTGCCTATTGATGTTTAACAGTAGTACTTCTTTCTCCAAACTTGAACCCTAATCGTTCTTTTCAATCTTAATCGCCACATACTGATTGGTTTACACATCTTACCCCACGTAAACCACGCCAAATGACCCTTAAGAAATTTTCTTCTTAATCAAGAATTTATCATTAATCATTAAATTAATGTCCATATTACATTATTCCAACTATATTTAATTTCTTAGGCCAAAAAAACAATAATCTTAATTATTCACTACTTTAAGGTAAAATGAAGACTAAATTTACCGTTCCTCCTCAACACTTAGGAATCGGATCTCAATTTTATTGTAACCCATTACCAATATCCATGGGTTGAATTCTGATAATTTAATTAGTCCTCCACTTAATTGCATTAGATTGAGAATATAAACACAATCAACGAGTTAATTATGATTTTTAACAATTGTCGGAAATCAAAGTAGAAAATTAGTGTTCTTTTTCCAATTTAGAATTTAATATTTTTAATCCTAAAGCAGATAATAAAAATTATATTAAAAATGACAATGATGAATATATTGTGTATTATATAGAAGATCTAAACATATTTATATATGAACAATTAAGTCTTAATTTTTAAACTTGTTCTAAATTATTTATAAAAATGATCTTAAATGTGAATCAATGAAGGTAATAATATAAAATATATTCTTAATTTAGATTATCCTTCATTTGGAAGAAGAGTGTTAATGCAAATCTAAAGATTTTCATTTATTATTTGTTAGCCTTCAATATGTCAGAGAGGCTTTATTTTTTATACTGATTTTATTTAAAAATAATAATCTTATATTTACGTAAACTACTGCTGGATATAACCATTAATAACTAAGCCTGTGGTGTGTAAAACTGATAAATAATAATTTAGAAAGGATTCCCTATTTGAGATCGATCAATTCTAGCTGTATAAATTAGAGAATTAAAATTATAACGAATTTCCACCATAACGCCAATAAACACTAATTATTTAATTTAACTTAGATTTAAATCAAGATTTACCAAAATAAGAACATTGCCTCCAGGAGCTTGGCTGTACCTGTTGATTAAAACAAAATCCCATTGATAAAGAAAAAATTTATATAAAATTTTATAATTAAATAAATTTAAATTCAGTAATAAACCCAAACAAAATAAAATAATGCCATAAATTATTACTTAAAAAATAGATTAATTTTTAGAAAACTCTAAAAGCGATTGATAAATTGATTATCAAAGAATAGCCTATAGATGATAATTAATATTGAGAGTGAATTCAAATTTTTAGTATAATTAATTTAATAAATTTAGGCTAATTATTAAATATATGTAAAATAATTCATGATTAAAATGGTTTATTTGAAACAATCGGATCGCTTATAATACTATTATAAACTTTCTCTCTAAGTAATTTAATGAAAGTTTATGTCTAGTTTTCAATTAGTTCACCCAACAATCTAGGGATGTATGTGTAATATTTTCTATACAGATCCTTTTCAAAGCTAGTGAGTTTTTCTTGCTTTACGAAATAGCAATAACTAATTTGATTAAATTTTTCTATGTATTCAATGCTTGCGTTATTGATAAAGTTCTTAAATTAATTATTAAAAATCACGTACTTTTAATTGATGTTGAGGTAGTTGTTGCTTCATTACTTATAGGCAATTTACCATATGATTGGTTAGTTCATAATAGTTCTTGCCTGTGATCATAAACTAACTATTCACTTATTATTGTATTTTGCTTATATAGTTGTGGATGACTGGATTGATATCAATATGTACTTTCCTACATACTCATATTAAATACTTATTCACATTGATTCCACTAATATCAATATTGAGTTGATAATCATTGGTCAATGTATTATAACCCTAGAGAATCATAGTAATTATTTTTAGGATTTCTTCCAGCGATTATTCGTTTAAATTCTGGCCTTGCTATTCATTAATCATCTTTTAATCCAATTTTTAAGTCATTTATGACTTGTAATCATCTAAGATTAATTAATAATGAGCAATCAATTCATTTTTTTGATTGATTTCATTTAACTATAATGTTTGAGTTTATAGCTACTAATGAAAGTTCGCTTCCATCTCAGTTAGTAACTTTTCAAACTCTTTGATTGTTTCATCTTATTCCATTAGTTTATTTTTATAAAATTGAAGCTCCTCAATAATTTCTTATTTTTCATCCTATACATTTTGGCATATTTATTGATACTAATCTAATTAAAGGATTATATTCTAAACCTTATCAAAGGCAGTTTTCCCTTCCACTTAACATACTTGATCTATAAAGATTTCTAATTAAGATATCCTTTTATTGGAATAGTTTTAATTAGAACAGTATTTGATTTGATCTAATATTGGTTTGACTGAAAGGGAATTGCGTTCTAGATGTGCATTATCCAATAATTTAATCAGTGATTCAATTTATTAGGATTAGTCCAGATTAATGGTCCAACATCCTTTTAAAGCTTATCTCAATCCCTAGTTTTGTTTTTAATATAACTTAGTGATATCCATGTTACATTACAATAATTCATAGAAAACTCTACTTTTTTCTTTGTAAAACAACAATTCATCTTCTTTTTTGATGAGTAAGGAGAGTATTTCTTCCTGTTTTTCTAAAGTCAATTAAAGTATTTGTTAATTCTTTGAAATAATCTATTCATTCATTTGAGTGCACTGCTTAATAAAGTTGTCTAACACTTGCTTTTATTCTAGTTCTCTGTTAACAGATTCTTATAATTCTGATTTAAAATATGATGCTGTTTCAATGTATTTAAATTGTACATTATCCTCTCCTTGTTTCTCTTATTCTAGAAATAAATTCAGAATTTCTTTGGCTGTGGTTGTCTGGACAGATACTTTTTATTTTTGAACATCTTTTTGTTGTTAATTTTGATCATCTGTTAATGATTGATACTTTTCTTTGAATCCTTCATTATCTCTGAGTTAGTGTTCAAGGAAATGGATTTATTGAGATAATTCATCAATCAAATAATTCTATTATGATAACTCATCCCGCATTTATTCAATCTCTCTATCCTTCCTCATAAGTTGTGTAACCACAGGAGAGAATTGTTTATTCCTTGGAGGCAATGTTACTTAAGAATCATAGGAAGAGTTGAGTTAATAACTTCTATCGATCATTTGAAATTTATTTTACAATAATCCATAGTTAATTAAATTATCTTCACTAATGCAATTTTAAATTAACTATTCGGTAAATCGACTCATTATTTATCTATACTAGCAAGTTCAATACTGCTGATTATTTATCTATTTTTCATATTAATTTATAGTTCATTCTCGAAAGATTAACAAGATGTGAAAATTTAAATAAACTCTGACCAAACTATTTTCACAGTTGTAATTAAGTTCTGTATATTTTCACAAACACTCTCTCATGTCTATTTTAATATATAAGTTAATTGTAGATTATATTAATCTCAGCTAACACAAACTACAAAATAATAGATTTAAACTACTTTTGATATCTAAGTTCAACAATTTATTAATATGAACGCGAATATAAGAAATCAACTTTATTGTAAAAAATAAAATAAGAAATCTATATTATCTTTAATAAAAATAACATAATGATCCATCCAAAATGTTGAAATTAACTAAAGGAAGAATTTATTAATATCTCTAGTATTATATTAATAATTATATGGAGTAATTACTGTCAATTTAACCAGATGGAATCTTGAGGTTTGAGTTACAAAACAATTAATATGTTGCAAGAATAGTGTTATAGAATGTTTCAGCAATCTTTGTAGCTTTTAAAGTTAGATTAAGCAATCAAAATGATTATAGTGTTAAACCAAATATAGGAGTCTTGAGAGCTGGCAATAGTGTAACCTTGTAATTAACAACGAGTAATGCCATCACTATTAACATGGATCGTGTTTAGATACTGGCTGGACCCATAACTATCAATGAAGTATAATTTAATAAGTAAGCAGGATGTGGTTTAATTTTTCAAAAACCAGCAGAGATTGAATCAAAGAATCATTAAATGTTCCACTGATGACGCTTCCTCCTTGTAATCCACTGTCTTCAAATCTTCTATATCTCCTTAAGAAATTAATGATTTTAAAACAACTACCATTAAAACAGAATATGTAAAACCTCAAAAGAAACAACAACAATCAAAAGATATTTTGAGTTTGGAAGATCAAATTAAAAAAATTGTAAAAATTACGAATGTATATATTTAGAGCGAGGATCTCAAAGTCATTAAAGATAAACAGAATGACGGCAAGATAACTGTTGGCATTAAGTAATTCTTAATATCCATCTTAATCTCAATGATTGTTGGAGTATATATAACTTATAGATAATATAGATGATAATATTCAATTTAAAAATAATCTGCTCTTTTTATTGATAAGCACACTCGAAACATTAATTCTTTTCATACTTCTGATCTATTCTTTAGTGAACTCGAACGAAACCTTCTTATTTGAATTCTGATTATACTGTAAATTTAATAAATTTTTATTAAAGGGCCCTTCAAAAGAACTTTTCTTTAGTATTCCTTAAGGAGATAGACTTCTAACATTAGCAGTTGAATTTTTATTATTTCTGGTTTTTGTCTGATGTATATGATGATTATGATGAACAACATTCTTGTTTTTCAACATATTCATTTTAATTAATTACATGCTAACAATTTCAACGTGATAGTTGTCTTACTTACTTCGGATATCTAGATAAGCGTCAACACTTTTGAGGACATCTATAGTACATTAGGAAATGCATTGTTCTTGTAATTTACCAAGATCTAAATTGGTTTACATCGATTGCGATTACGTTGATTCGTCGTTACTATAGCTTGCTCCCATAAATTTGTATTTAGGAGAAGGTGCAGGTGAATTTGCTTTTTCGTTTTATGCATTTATTTAAGTATTATCCTGATGGTAGTATTAGAAGTAAGGATCAAAGGGATGGATTTTAATTTGCTTAATTTCTTCATCTGAATTGATAGAGACATTAGTATCAAAACTCTAATCTTTTATCATTATCAAAAATATTTTATAGACATAGAAAAATTTAGAATTGCATTTTAAAATATCATTTAATAATAAATCTAATGGGTTTTTGTAATTTTAACTATTCATATAGCTCTAAAGGGTTCTAATTCAAAAATAATAATAATAAATTATTACCTATTCAAGAGAATCATATATAAAACACATTTTAAATAATCAAATATCTTGAAATTATAAATAATAATTAAATAAGTTCAAACTAATTGAATTCCTAATCCAACTTTATTTACAGTTGTTATTTATTTTACTTAAAATAAAGCTCAAGCTCGGAAAAATGATACTTTCTCTAAGAAAACCAGAAAAAACTCGGAAATGGACTAAATCTAAATTATATACTTCCGATTTGTTTAATTTTATAAATATTTAAAAAACAAACCAATATTCATTTAACCATTTAAAGAGTATCGAAGATTAAGACATTTACCAAAAATTGTCTAAACATCAATTAATTTGATCTGAATTCTAAATTTCTTTAAAAATTGAGTGAAGGAGAATAAAATTTAATCAATCAACAACTCATAATTTATTTGGGGTATTTCGAAAAATTTACAAAAATTTAATAATTATTTTTATTAATATAAGTATTATAATAGGATGGTTTTTGTCATAATCTGATCTGTAAAATGATTATAATTCATTTATTGGAGATAATTAGGAATCAACATGGATATCACATCTCATATCTTGAATATAATTCTAAATTTGCAGTGTCAAGACTCAGTAGAAAACTAATACTTTTGAAAAAGATTCTAATGAATTTCTTTTGGGTTTTAATTATAAAATTAGGATAAGAAAGATACCTCAATATTAATTCCAACTAAATGCATGAAATGAAATCAGAATTTTTTTGGGATATATTTATTAATAATTAATAATAAAATTAACTAAAATAATATACCTATATCATATCGCATAACTTATGAATGGGAATTTCTATATAAGATCGGCCTCTTCTGATTTTCCATCTGCTCTTAAACTCTCAATATATGCTTCTCTTTTTGAGTTATTTTCGAATTTACATCTTCTATATCTTAATGGAGCAACAATGACATCTTTATAATTTAACTAATTGTCTCCAATGTAAGGTTTGAAAATCTCCTTGAATTTGTCAAAAAGCTCAAGAGAATGTTTAAATTTTTTGGATTCGTATTTGACAAAGAGCTAAAACTTTGAATCATAATCTCTGGTATGGCTTGCTAGAACTTCATCCAAGAAATCCTCTTCTAGTTCAGTTGAGTAAAATTATTCAAACAAGATTGTCCCATAAATTTTGTATGTGTTTTTGTAACTCCAACTGGCAGTTTCAGGTGGCCACATGTAGCTTGGCTTATCCAATAAATGCTGGATGAAATAAGAACGACTACTCTAGGCCTTGGATTATTAAAATGGATAGGCTTTGTCACCTGCTTTATCAAAAGAGGAAATGGCTGGATATGATAGAGTTCCTCTTCTGTCTTATGAGAGTGAAGCTTAAGGTGCTGCCACAGTCTATTTGAACCATCCTATCAATTATCCCCAAACAAATTAAGAAGAATAGGCTCTTCCTTCGCTTTTGCACTTCTTTTTAAAGGCCCCAACCTTCCTCCATTCTAAATCCTCAATTGGAGGTGATGAAAACCCAGTGTACTCATAGGGTTTGAAGTATGTGTACGTATAGGCCATCATGTAAAGAATCAAAGACAAGGCTTCATGATGGAAAGTGTACTATTGTTACATGAGCATATGTGACAGAGTCAAAAATAGCATTCTAGTTATCAGGAGTTCCTATCTATGGATATTGTGAATGTTTTCTTTGTAATCATGCAGCTATTGTTTTTTTTTGTAGATCACATGAATTAATTCAATCATTTTTTTTTGATTGTGCTTTTGAAATAGTTGATACAATTCATTAAAGAATGAGCATTCACTTGATGTTCCTGAGGAATAGTCTTTCCAAAAACTATCCAATAAATCACTATCTCCAATTATTGAGATTGGTGGTTCGCTGCTGTCACTGTTATTTAAAAAGAACTTAATTTTGTCTAGAGTGAAAATAAGATTCTAAATCCTATCTTCTGAATGTTGAGTCGCAGTGAAATGGTTCCACTATTCCACCTCTGCTGTTTATTCGTACTTCAAATTCAATTCGCTCTTATACGTTTGACGTCTAATTATATTGGCTATGAATAATACTCTTGATCAATGAATTTCAAAATATAGCCAACCCAATTCTTTAACCACAATGGACAATCATTCAAAACACTAGATCCAATTCTGTATTTACTATATAACTCTGAATCCTCATTCGATTTATCTACGTTGTCGCTGCAGGATTTCAATAAAATAGCATTCCTTGTTAAAAAGCAATGTTCTTTGTCCAATATACCATTGTACTCCTTACAATTCGATAATTGTAAGTAATAACTAATGTTTAAAAATCAAAGTTACATTTTGCATTTCTCACTTCCACACAAACATAAGGCTTACAATTATTCTTATTTACTCTCAGTGAATGAGCAATAATCAAAAGTAAGTTCCTCCCCATATTGAATCTCTCTCATCGCATACATTCCAATTACATATGTACCATTACTAACAGTAGTAACTGTGCCACAATTAGGATTACAAGAGTGACTTAATCTAGATGAATAATTGCCTTTATTAATAGGATCCACAAACAAGAAATCAATTCCTTTGATATCATCTCTATGAATGTCCAACATAATATTATAGAAATCAGGTAATATGTCCTTCTGATTATGTTCCTTCATTTATTTCTTAATAAAATCTTGCTTCTCATACCATCTCCAAGGTTGATATATTTCACCCAAATAGGGAATAATCAATGAATTGTTCTTGATTCCTTACTTGTTAACACAAACCAATCCAAATCCTTTAGTGTGTATCCTGAATCCCTCTGTATCATACTTAAGGACCTTTTATATCTATTTAGCCATTTTCCTATCCTCTTTATTGTAATGACTGGACATCAATTTAGATTCTTTGATGATGTAATCACAGGCTAAACTCATATCATAAGCATTTTCCTTATCAGATGGTCTATTGATAGCTAATAATAATTTCTCCAGAAATTTGTTCTTTTGGGCATCATCGTAATTTAAAGGCAGTATGTTGATGATTACTTTTCTAGTGTAAGCATCTATACCCCAACAGGGTGTTTCCTATTTAGATAATACAAATAATTACTTCCACATCAGCATTCTCCTCCTACTTCATCTTATTCACTTGATGCTATTTCATTTGAATTGACATGTTCATACATGGTTATTCTGTTCCTTCATGTTCCAGACACTCCACTCTATTTTTTCTATTCGGACATTCAGAATCCCAAGTGATATTGACATATGAAAATGCTCCCATTTTACTCAAATCAAAACAAACACAATCCTTATCACATTTTACAGGTCTCTTAGATGTCGATAGCTTCTCCCTTATCTACTCTATATACGGTTCTTGATTTGGATTAGGTTCATAATTGTAAATCTCCTAATATGACCGAATATCCTTCTTGTCTGGAATCACTGGCCATTTAGTGGTTTAGACCTTGAATTCTTTATCTATTTCCATTAAGTTCTTCACATCGGCTTCGATTTGACTGTTGAATACATCCATTATTGGCTTGATCTTCACTTTACCATCCAACCAGACTTTACACAGATAGTTGTAATCCTATGCACTTCGACATCTAATGTATGTGTTTCCAAACAATTTACGCAGATCCTTCCAAACTTACTCATTATCCCAGTAGTATCTATTTTGGATGCGCTTCTCAAATTGATGCAAATAATGCAAATTACTTTAAAACTCCAATGGCTATCATCTAAATACAATTCATACCTTAGTTAAGTTAGATTTCTCATCCAATTCGTATATATAGTCTCTCTCAAACCATTCCTTATAAATATTCACTTATCCAACATCATTCGATTAAATTGTTGGATCAATCTCGTCGTTGTTCAAAATACCTGCAGTGTCTATCTATCCTAGCAATTTTCCAACATTCATTAATCTGGACCAAGCAATTGGACTAAAACGAAGCTATGGTTAAGTTTTCACTTTCTTCTTGCATTCTGTGATTGTCACCTTGGTGGTTTTCTTTAATTTCTTCTTATTCTACTTGGAGGAAGAATCTGATTCATTTTCTTCCTCCACACTATACGTTATTTTTGTAGCATTTCTTTTTGCGCGCTATAAGCTCATTTTTGGAATTAATATTTTTTAATATGAACATTATATTCAATTTATTCAATACATTTATGATAGTCATATACATATATTGATTATAATTCTTTCTAATCAACTATCATCAAAAATTTCTCATCACTACTGTACAACTTCAATTATCTTGATTTCTGACATCATCCCAGGATTCACTATGTTAGTTTAATTACTTAAGATACTTCCAACGTTCCATGCATTCTTAAATAGCTCCAATAGAAGGATTTTTCTTAAAAACAAAAGTGTTTGTTGATTTTATATTTTATTATGGATGCTAATAATTATTGATAAAAATTATAAATTCAAGTTGGTATATAAAATCCAATAATAATGAGAAATGACATCATAATTAGATGCAATTGAATAGATAATAGCAGGAGTTATAATTATTACTATGTAGTCATATGTGTAAAAGACTGAAACAAAAAGATTACAAACTAGATCAATTTTTGTAATATTACAAGAATTAATTAAAAATTGAAATTAATTATTTTTGAGTTCAATCAGAACATTGATTTAACTAAATAAGGTATATAATAATAACTAGAGAAATGTATTATACATTTTAAATAAAGTAGTAACAATACCTTGAAAACTTAACCATTCCATATTTTAATTCTCCTTTCTTTTAATAGTTATTGAGGAAGATATAAACATTTTCCTTATAATTAAATTATTTCAATTGAAAAATGCAATAAAATTTTATTTAATTTTACATATCACATGTTAAATCAAGGGAGAGCTCTTTGGTATGCTCTGAAAGTTGAAGACTACGATTTGGTTGAGTTTCTCATCAATTAAAAGACAGATATCCGATAAACATATGAATTTGAGCCAAAACGATACTTATCTACTGCAAGTGTAAAAGTGCTTAATAAATTCTATAGTTGTTGACTCTTCGAGTTTGTTAGGCACGTTCAAAGGGATTGAGTAATCTTCACTACAAAAGAATGTATTAAATACTTGATAATTTTCTGTAATATGCAGAAGAGTGCGACATTCGATGTCATTGTTCAAAGAACTACGAACACAGATGCCCTCTCTATATAGCATTGAAGGCATTGGGAGTGAAGAAGGAGGAGGATATGTTTAATAAGAAGAATGACATTTTGAAGGCTTTGCTAATCAAAGGAGCTAATTTAAGGATATTCTAAGGATAGACTTAGATAATTGATGTGGAAGGATATCGACAATATCTGATACAAAGAATTTAATTCTAAAAAACCAGTGGATTCAAGTAAACATAAGATGGATATGCTACTTTTAGTCAATGACATAATATTATAATATCAATCTTAGATTTGCTATTCTTCTAATGAATCACAATATTCACGATGATAATGAACAAATGAAAAAGTTTAGCTTTATTCTTTAGTCATCGAATTTTATAATTGCTATTTCAAGAGTTTGTCAGTAGCACTTTAGAATTGATTTCGTAAGTCAATATTCTATTCTCTTAAATACTGATTCTCTTATTCCAACTGTTATAACTTATCTTTCATATCATTCAATTCCTCATTATCATAGTTCTCAACTATGTTAAATTCCTGTTAATGATTCTAAATTTCATCATTTGGTTGTTCGATCAATTGTTGATTAGGCTATTCAATAGAATTGTCTTTGAATTGTTTTAGCAAATCATGGTATCTAGTTTTCCATTTGTTTTTCTTTTCATCCACACTTTACACTTAATTAAGTCTCTCTGTTAATTACAAACAATCTTGTTTGACTAGTTTGAGATCTGATTAAAATTTAGTTCTCTCAATTTCTAATTGAGTATTATTTATTTCCAATTTCTGGATTTATGAAGAGGCCTCTATAAATTTTAGATAATATTAATTTCTTTCTTCTTTTAGTTCTAAGTAATTCTTGGATAAAATGATTTACTGCTACTTTAATTCAGTTAATTGTTGTTTAATTATGTCATTTAAATATTATTATTGCTTTACTTGTTGTTACAATTTGTTCTCATTTTCTAATCTCTTCTCAATATTTTCGAACTTCTTTGTCCATTCTAAAATGATTTGGTTTTTCTATCTGCTTTTAATAAATATTTACTATAACAAAACATGCAATTTTTAAATGTCTTCCGATTGACTTTGAGTATGAATTTATCTCTTTAAAAGAGCATTTTCTAATTCGCATTCTTAAAGAGCCTGTGACTTTTAGACATATTGATAGCTCCAATCATCCAATTCCATAGACAGTAGTTTCCTCTATTGATTGACTCGATGCAATTCTTATTCTAATTGATTACTCTTAATTATTTGTTCAGTGTGAGTTGTGACAACCTCTTATAATGAAGATCTGGTATCTCTTGAAGTATTTAGTGATTTGTTCATCTTTTTGTTTAACGGACTTATTTACTTTTTATATATATATTTGAATTATACACTATATAAAATATCAAATTAAGGGAAATTAAATTATATAATATTCTAAATATTTGAGAACTATTAATTAATTATACAATCTTTAAAAAGGCTTATCTTATGGTTTGATCTAGGAATGCCTTAAATCCTCTCTGTAAATTTAATCATCAGATTCATCTTATTTTTAGGATCCAAAAATTGGTACTTTTTACTCCAAGCATGTTCTAAAATTGCTTAACTCTTGTCATTTTTAATCAAATATCATTTAATATTAACCCTCATTTTAGATTGCATTCTTTAATAGGAGTACTCGCTGCTTATTCGATATACCCAATTTCATTTCAAATGGTTATCTCATCCAATTTAAATTATTATCGATGTTTCTCCAATGCTGTAATTCAAATCTCTTCATTCTTATTCCATTCATCCTTGACTATTTCAAAATAGATATCAAAAGCGTTTGGAATAAACTTAACATTTTTATCTCTCCTTTTTTGAGAAAATTCTCAATTATTCTGAATCTGAAAATACCCTTAAACAAATTATCATTATTGATTCGTCTTAAATTACTTATTAATTCGACACTACAAGTATCTCATAATAGTTACATATTTACAGGGTTATTCATTTTTTATTATTTAAATTACAAAATTTATACATTTTTAAAATCAAGAGTTGTAAATTCACTAAAATGGCCACTATTTTGGAGAATAAAAATCTTCTTGTTACAATAGATCATCCTTTAATATTTCATAAAGTGGTGCTGAAGTTTCTGCTCCATAGACTGGTTTGCATCCAACTATTAGCCTTAATATGATTCTCATTTATTGCTTCCAAGATTCTGGATATTGATTTTCGAATTACTACAATGTCGTTATAACATTTTTACAGAAAGAAGCCATTTTATTTTGTTGGATAGAATTTTATGGATTTCATATTGCACTTTCAATTAATATAAGAAAGAATATTATTGCTCTTTTAGCTTTTGAAATTACTCCTTTAAACTATTACTCACTTTAATCAAGTCATCAGATATGGCCTAAGTCTTCCTCTTTCTTTAAACTAGACCTAACTCTTTGCTAACTGCTTAAACTATTTTAAGTACAATCTTCCTGAAATAAAATTGGGATGCGAGTATTCCTTCAACCCTTTCTTCTTCCTCAATCGAAACCCGTACAAGCACATCTGCCTATAAAATGATTCAATGCTTATAGAGTTAAAGCAATCCTTCATTACGACTTTTTTAAATTCATCTAACCTATGAATCGTGAAAGATGACCCGTTATTGGTCCAAGAAACATAATTGAAATACTCATTGCTCTAAATTTATGCTATTAATTACTTCCAGAACCTAATATAATGTGGTAATAAATTTGTTTGCCTTGCTCATATGTTATTATTAATATTGCTAAATTTACTTAGCAAAAACTAAGGTTTTCATCCCTTCAAATCAAAAGCAATTTTATATCTACAATTTACATTCCTAATTGTTTTAATTTCCTGAAACCTTTAGCTTCTCCAAGAAATAACATTCAATATTCATTCATTAAAATTTATAACAACACAAACACTACGATTGAGAACTCTGTTAAACTGTATTATCATAAAATATAAGCCAATATTATATTAATTTCAATTCTTTTCTCACACTCCCTCTGCATATCTCCCTCTTCTCAGATTAATATTATTGATGCAGTTTGATCGCTAACTTGAAGGGAGAGCATTCCCTTTTCACTTAGATGTTGACCTTAATACCTCAAAGAAAATTTTGTTAATTTTTTTTATTCGATTAATATGGAATTGTTACAGAGAAGCAAACTTAATTTCAAATAATCTTTATCCATCTGAATGACAATAATAAATAACCCAAAAATACTTAAAATTGTTTTTGGATCCCAAACATTAGAAAAGAATTGTGAAAAGAATTTAAAAGCGTATATATAATTATTTATTCCTTTCAACCATGCTTATATTTTATTATAATATTTATTATCAATTATTACAAAAGTGTCATTTTTATAAATAGGTTTAAACATAATAATTTAATACATACGATTAAGAAAATGCGTATTAATATTGCATTATTTAATAGAAAATACGCAATATGGGATTTTCTTTTAGAAATTTTAAATTAAAACGGAATTTTTTGGTTAACAAACAATTTGAGTTCAATAGATAGTTTATAATGTAAGAAAAATACATAAACAAAATTCACTAAATTTCTGCAGTGCACAGGATCATGCCTATTCTTCATCTGTCTATTCATCTATGATTAAAAGATCGCCATTTTTGAGTTCTAACTATTTCCTTTGTTTTTTTATGTGGAATAAAAATAAAAGAGAGAGGTAGTTAATATCTAAATTTTCTGGTATTTAAAATTATTGATGAACTACTATCTTCTTGAGATAGAGCTTTTCTTGCCCTGTTATTAGTTTCAATTCGCATAGCGTTCTTAAGGTCTAAAAGCAAATTCTATAGAAGGATTCATTCATCATTATTTAAAAATAAAAAATAATCCTTTTTTAGCTTTATTTAAATTAATTAAACAAATTTTATTTGCTTGAATAATAATATATCATTCCTTTTTGGCTTCCTTTTTGGTATTATCCTTTTTCTATTAAGGCACATCCTTTTTTTATACTTATTTGCCATCAACCTATGCAATAGCCTTAATCTTATCCTTCTCTTACAGAGTGACAGTTCTATTCCAAATGAATTTTCCGTCCTTGGAATCAAAGTCCAAGTTGAAATAGCCCAACCTTTCGAATTGGAGTTTGTCTTCTGGTTTTGAATTCAAGAGATCCCTAAAATAATAGAAAATGGGTTAATACTTGTGCATTAAGGCATTAGCACAAACGATCTTGGAGTTAGGATTGATTCCCTTGATGTAATCTTCAAGTTCATTGGGATCATAGGCTTCAAACAAGTAGTCATACAATCTGACAACACAAGGAGTGGCTTCTTTAACAGATAACCAATGTAAGAATCCTTTAGGCTTAACATCCTTTCCTAGTCGTTCTAGATGGACTTCATTGGCAGTGACACTGAGAACTTTGAAAGGTCCACATTATTTGAGTCCAATAATTTTACCAGGTGCAACACCCCAGAAATCAGGATGATCTTCAGTTCTTTTTGATATTTAAATTTAGATACCTGACATCATTCCTATCCAAATAGACTTATTTGGTCAAAAGGATCTTTCTATTTCCCTTTTATGGATTTCTTGGAATGATGGCAACTTCCAATTCTTCAGAGAAGTCCTCAGCAACATTGTCAATAATGGCTACGATTGGTTCCAAGATAGCCATAGTTCTGGGAGCCTTGATATCCAAGTCTTTTCTGATGCAACTTTCAAGTACATGCATGCCTATGAAATTCTCATTACCTTTTCTGGTCACACTGATGAGATCGCAGAATTTGTTGATGGAATCAGCAGTGTATCCTCTTCTTCTGAGACCGTTGAGAGTCAAGATTCTAGGATCATCCCAACCGTCCACAATGTTGTTGAAGACCAAATGGTGAAGTTTTCTCTTGCTTAATACAGTGTTAGAGACATTCAATCTGGAGAATTCCCAGACGAAAGGTCTGTAGAGATCTAATTCCTTTAAGAACCAATAATAGAGATCTCTTCTGACTTCGAATTCAAGAGTGCAACAAGAATGGGTGATGCCTTCGATGGAATCACAGATGCAATGAGTGAAATCATAGAGAGGATAGATGCACCATTTGTCTCCTTAATGAGGATGAGGAGTGAATCTGATTCTGAAAATGGCTGGGTCTCTCAGAGTGGGATTAGGATGAGTTGGATCAATCTTGGCTCTCAAACAGACCTCGTTTTCCTTGTAGTAACCCATTTTCATTTTTCTGAATATTTCAAGGTTTTCAGCTGGTTGAGTGTCTCTGTATGGGGAAGGTTTAAGATCGGTTCTTAATTTGGAGGACTAAAAGTTTAAAATTTAGAGTATACCTCCTCTTTGCTCAAGAAACAGCAATAGGCTTTGCCTTTTTAGATCAATTAGACAGCATAGTCATAGAGTTTGCCAAAGTTGTCTGATGCATGAGTAGTTTTGAATGGAGTGTAACCGAGGAATCTTAAGTTTTCCTTGATGTTATCAATGAATTCTTAGCATTCCTTCTCTGGGTTAGTATCATCGAATCTTAGATAGGTGACACCTTTGTAGTGTTGAGCTAATCTAAAATTGAAATTGATGGATTTGGCATGACCAATGTGTAAGTAACCATTTGGTTCAGGTGGGAATCTGGTTAAAACTTCATAGGGGAAATTCTATTTTCTCCAATTAAGTAATTATTCACTATTGACAGTGGTAGCAAGATCTCTGGCAACTAATTTTGAGATATCAAATTTGCAATCATCCTCTTCCTCACCTTATTATTCTAATTATTATTATTATTGTTATTATTATTATTATGGTTTTTTTGTTTAGGTTTTTGCAGCCTTTAAATCTTCCTCAGTCTTGGGTCCAAGTATAGCCTCAATTTATTGGTTTAATTCTTAAGTCAATAACTTTCCCTCTGCAAATGGAAGGAGAGTTCTTACTTATTTTGTGTACTCAGAAAAATTATAGGTATATCGGATAGTCTTCAAATCCTACTTACTCTAAAGAAATTCAGCGACTGTGTTTTTAATTTACTCTGGAGTCACGACTATTCCTACACCAGCAGCCTTCTCAAAGTCTTGGGCAGGTACTTATTCCAAATGAGTATGTGTTCTTAAATATTCAAGAGCACCTTCCAATTGCAATTTGTTGGAAATCTTTCCTTCCACAATGTACTTAGCCAAGAGAGCTCTTCTATTGTCAAGGGCTTCTGTTAGATTTTAGGACATTTCATATAATAAATTTCCAATCTATGTGAAAGAATTATAAATACTTTCTTATCGCATTCATTAATCCCAACCAAATCAAGAGTCTAAAGAATTGATTTGAGTGCATTTTTACCCTTGAGAGTGTTCTTGATCGTTGTTTCATCAAGTCCAATCTTTTAAAGACGTGTTTAAACTTCTTCCATTTTGAGAGGATTCACAAAAATATTTAATTAAATTTTTTAAATAAATCTGAAAATCATGAACAGGCTATATAAAATGCCTTTCCCGCAGGAGTCTATGCATCAATAACTGTGCTGGGAATGTCACATCTTCTCGTTGTCCCACTAATACTACAATAAGTGTGGATATCCACAGTGGGTGTCGATTCAACGAGAGTATTTCTATCAATAACGTGCAAAAATGACGTAGTTTCTGCTGCACATGTAATCTTCGTATTGTCAGTGATCAACCAAGTTAAAGTGTATGTAAGAACGTAAGCAGTCCCAGTTGTGTCGATAATATTGAACATTATTGCGTCGCTAAGTGCTGCACTAAACCCGGAGAATTAGTTAGGAACAAATGTTATCAATTACACATATCCATTACTGCTGTATTGTTTCCATTTCAATGAGAATACACTGTACTATGCCTTTACTGATAAGTATGTTCTGCTGAATTGAGTGTGAGCGAAGTTCACAAAAAAGTAACTAGTTGAATAAAATTTACGAAAAGTTCTCAGTCTCAACAACAACGTATCACTCAAAGTCCAAACATTTGTTAATGTAGTTGTTAGAACCTTAGCTGCATCAGTGTCATCCTGTGTTATATAACATAAAACAATACTCTAAAATTCTGGAGAGCAGCATAGATGGCTTTCTCCATATAGTAAGGGTGGGACATTGTGAAGCCAGTCACTCCTGTCATGTCATCTTTATAGGCAATATAAAGAGATAAAATTGAATTCAACTCCGTATTGCTTGCTGCATACAAATTTAGACTAAATAACTATGTTAATAAATTATTTCTTGTGGCTGCTACTGTTTCTGCCAATATTTAACTCACCGTCATCCCAGTTGTTGAATACGTTGCTGATCCTGTTTTCTGAATTGGTAATCTTACATAAGCATAGTCCAACTATCCCAAAGGACCGCAAACATTATCATATCGTAAATCCAATTAACTCAATCCAGAACACAATGCTGCATCGTAAGCTACGGCTGTTGCATCTCGGCAAGCTCCAACTTCATTTATTTTATAGCAAGGTAAACTAAGGCAACTTAAGGAGTCAGCACTTAGTGTGCAATATCCAGATGCATTACAATCTGCCAAAGCAACAGATGCACATGGCGTTGTTATTATTATTGATACACTTAGCCCCATCAATAGATATAGATTAGCAAAACCCAAAGGTGACATCATCATTATATTTTTATCTATATTATTATTATTATTATTATAAATGATTTAAGATTTCATAATATTATCATTTTGAACATCAGATGATTTCAACCATCACAGTCTCAGAAATCATCACTCACAAATAAATTTGTAATCCATAATTCATATAAACCTTTTTTTTCATCATTTGCTTTCTTACATAGCCAATCCAATTAACCTTAGAATTCATTTTCATGTAATATTGGAATATTAGATATGTTTGTAGTTTGAAAAATAAAATTAGGTATCCACTATATTAGATTTCTTTATTTCTATTATTAAATTTGATTCCTATAATTGTAATATTTAATATGATATTTTCTGCTTATGAAGATTGTAACATTATTCTAACTTAAAAGTAATTATCTCTCTAAATTAATTTTGTGTCAAGAAATAATCTTTTATTTTCATTTCAAAACTTAAATATTGTGATAGATAAATTAATTTAATCTATTTATGAATTATAAATTATTGTAAAATATTTTTCTCAAACGATATGATGACAATTCTCTCACTAATAATTGCATTCTAATGGAATGAAACAAGTATTGCAATACCTCTACTAAATTACTGAATATCATTATCTTAAAGAGATTTGTTTTAAATATATTCATCTAGAATATCCATATGAATATTCGTCGAAATGTTTTTATCATTCTCTTTAAAAGAATGATATCTAGTATTGAGGGGCAATTTTAAAAGACATTTTATGAAAGTTAAGGTTTGATCTAAAAAAACTTTCCTATCTAAATTAAAGAGATCTTTAACAGTTGCTATCTAATTTATTCATCAAATTTAGAATCTTTCAAAATGTGACCTAACTTATATTCAACAAATTTTCAATTATATATTTTAATTTTGATCGAAATCGAACTTGAGTTTTTCTGTTTGTATCATGTATTCAATCATACATCAAGAAGAACAAGAAGCTTAAAATTGTATTGTTTATATAGAACTACAATAAAAGTGTCATTCCAGTAATTCTTAAAGTAATTAATACAGCAAGCAAGAATGATTTTAGTTTCTTCCCATAAAGTATTATTTGATTGAAAAGAAATGGATTGGCATTTAAGTGAATTTTAATTTATAATAAACAACATTAAATTCCGTATCTAGCATATCCGAACCAAGGTCAATTCACTTCAATTTGAATTTCTAAAAATTGCATTTAAAGGGATAATATGAGACCTTTTCTCCCCTTTGATATAACCCTCCTATTCTAAGACTAAGTACTTTAGGATATAAACTAAACAAATAGGTTTTATCTTATTCAATTTAATGTTCAGTTTCATAATAATTTAGGTTAGGCATCAAAATTTAACATTCAAGCCCTCCTCCTTCATTTATATACCAGATTTTTAAATACTCTCATTTGAGTTTACTTGTTTTTAGATTTACTTATTTTTATGTGATTCGTAGAACTTATTACTTGTTTTCTTGATTTATATCTTCATCATATTTCAATAATAAAAGTGAGACTGGAAGAAGCGATCTTAAATACATTAAGTCCATTTTCATAATATCTTTTCATTTAATATTAATTGAAACCAGTTTTTCAATTGATTTTCAGTAGAAATTTGATAAAGGGCTTGAAAAACTTGAAAATGTTCTTTAAATTAAATGCATTTTTGATAATAATATTGTTACTAATGTGAGGGAATTTTGAAATAAAATATTAATTAAAATATATACAATGTCTTGGTCAGAAAATTTTATGAAGAGTTTTAATCTAACACACGATGCTGTTACTCGGAAGTACAACATTGGGTAGGTTCATTTGGATATAGAGAAATAGGCAAAGCCAAGAGGAAAAAAGTACCTGAGATAAGTCACCTTATAAGAGAATTAGATGGCTTAAGTCAATAATAAAACTATACCTTATCCTACTTGTTTTACAGTTGTCACTAGAGTATTTCCATTTAACTAATAAAGGAACAATATGAATAACTGCCAAATGAGGAAAGACTCGCATTTCCTTGGATCGAGTAACTGAATAAACCTATTCGAATTCTCTACGATCGTCACTAAGGAGGGGAACAAAGGACACAGCTGAGTCAGTTCTAGAAAGCAACAGCAATATATTTTGATACTCAGAATTAAGCATTTAGATTTATTGAGTTTTTGAAATTTCGAAATGCTGGTGTTTTGGAAAAAAGCAAGAAGAGCATGGAAAAAGTGTTTAAGCGTTTTCAATATCAGACACTATTGCGATACACGGAAGCTTAGAACAAGAAGTTGGAGTTGTAATCTGCTAAGATTTCAAATGATTTAAAATCGAAGCAAACGACATTTTTGCACAATTCAAATGAGATAAGAACCTATGATTCCTAAAAGTACAGGGATTTGTTTAAGTTTCTGACTGTGTAGGCGAAATAAAAATAATAGCTTGAATAAGAATCAATTAGATAGGGTAAACTCAGTCATTTGAGATAAAATGAGAGGTTCTTTCAGAATTTAGAGAAGCAAAATTTGAAATCTATCTTGGGACAATGGAAGAATATATCAGTGTAGATGATGGAAGAAAGATAGGAGAGAGAAAAACAAGAATAAGAAGCCTTAAGATTATTGGAGCAATAGTAGGAATTGTTAGAATAGTAAAAGAAGGAGGAGGAAAATAGGAGATTAATTGAGTTACTTAAACTTTAGCATAAAGACTTACATTTTTCGAATTTTAAGCTGATTGTAGGTGATCATATTAGATTATTAAATCCAATTTTGTTTGTTCAATTCAAGCCTTTGGAGTCAGAGCAAGAAGGGAAGATAGAATTTGTAAAAGGAACGGAACTGTCATATATGGAATTAGATGGAAGGGGTTGGAGAGCCAATGTTGAGATAACTTTGTCTCACTTTAAAACTCAGGACATTTTAGAGTTTATAATATTTGATGATTACGAAGATTTCAATGAGAGAATATTGGCAAAGGCCTAGGAAGAACCAACTGAGGATTAGGCATTCATTGCAACAGCAAGGAAGGTTATGCAAGGGAGAATATCAATTTTGGAGTTCGAGAAGAATTTGAATAGCAATAGAAGACATTTCGCAAGATTGGATGTTTCAGCTGATTTACAATAGAATTTGTAGTAGGATCAATAGTTCAATTAGCCAATGATTTAAATTGATCTTCATGAGGATGTTAGATTCAAAATTACTAATTCCACGATTAATCCTTTTTATTTAGATATTGTCGAATTGCCAATAACAGCCAACGAGTTAAAATATTACATTAGGTAATTGAAGGATCCTCGAAAGAGTATGCAATAGCAATGGGAGGAATTCAAGGTAAAATCTTTAGAGGATGCCTTGTAATCCAGAGGGTAGATTTGGGCTAATAGCAAATAGTCAGAAGATGATTTGATAGAAATCTAGGAGTTTTTATCTGAAGAGGGATATGACAACAAGGATGGGAGATTCAAATAATTATATTATTATTTATATCACAATAGAATTTAGAATTCGGAAGGTTTTGTAAGGGATAAATTAATGGTTGCTTGTAAAAAAGGATTTACGAAATAATCAAGAGTTGAATTGATACCGATTTTGTTATAGTTCAATGAGAAGATCAAGAATTTTGCAGATGATCATGGTTTGGAATGGCATGAAAATCTGAACATTTTGGATATAGTATCTAATGAAATTGACAAATACATGGATGTGGAAACACAACAGATTAATCGTGAAAGAGTAGAATAATACATAAGCAGTATCAAATTCAAATATAATAATGTTTGGACGAATATCTTCATGGAACGATTGAATTAATGGAAGGATCAAATATACAGAATAGTGAATGGATGTGGTGTTATAGATAATACTCAAGATAAGCTGCTTTTGATTGTGAGATTGTTTTAATTGTTTGATGGAAAGGAAAACTGCGATGAGTTAATTTACAAGATCATAAGATGTTTAAGATATTAAATGTTAGTGCCAAAATTGAATAACCCAAAAATAAACATGGGCTGGTTTAAGGATCATCTGAGTAATCTATTCAGTGGTTTCTTTTATTTTGATGTTTGGCTAAGAGTATTCGATTACATAATTGGAATAGGATTCATAGAGGGTAGTTTCGATAAAGTTATCGCAAGTGTTGTAGGAGGAATTTTAAATGAGATTAATTACTCAACCTTCACAACTCAGGAGGAATTTATCGTTGGATTAAATGTCTATGGGAGACTGCTTTGTAATCCAGAGAAATTGATCATAGCAAGTTACAATTGTTATTTATTAAATTAATTCGAACCTCTTGAGAAATATGATGATCTCATTAAGTAGATGATTCAAAAGGTTAATCCTTTGGATAACATCCATGTCGATTAACTTAAACTCTTGAATACTCAATAATAAAGTTAGATTATAGATATTCCTGAAGAGCACGAAGGATCGGTGTATGACATCTAAGAGTCTCAAATATTCCTACCCAAGGCTGGTACCAAATTTGTGTTTAAGTAAAGAATCAACGCAGTTTACATTTTGATTCACTCTTTACACTTGCATCAAATTGATTATTATGGAACTAATGTAGTTACTATTCAGGGTTAGTAGAGAAGGGAATCTGAAGAATTATATTTTGAATTGCCTTATTCATCTCAAATTTTGGATATCTCTGTAAATGAAAAGTTCAGAGGGAGAATCGATTTGAGATACTTATAAGTGAACACAATATACAAGAACACTCTTATTTTTTAGGATGATTATGATCTACAAAGACATTATCAAATCTCTGAAATGGAGTACTCTATATTGTTGTAAGGGGATGGTTGCAATTCTGAAAATATAATCTCAAAGGATTAAGCGATTTCATACTTTATGGATTAATGCATCCTATTCAATGTCAAACACAGTGCATTTTCACATCCTGATGCTTTCAAATCTGGCAACAGTCTCAATTATGTGGAATTCAAATAATTAGTGACTTAATATTTCCAATTGGATCCAGCACAATGCAATTTCCAAGAATTGTATTCCTAATTCTTGCGTGAAGACAATGCCTCAATATATTTAGTAGATGTTTTGTTCAAGTTGACTCATAGCAAATAGAAAAGAAAGGAGATTCTGAGCTTATTTATTCCAAATGATTTGATTAATCATCAATAATACAGGAGGTAGCAGATGTAATATGGAGATGTAAGGTTTGTTAAAGTCACACTCTCAGATGATAGTTATGAAAAAAGTACAGATTTGACTGATTATTTCAATTCAATTTTGCAGAGTCATTTTCAGAAGTATAATTCATATGATCTACTTTTGATTGATGAAAACAATCGATTCTATCTATTAGACAACATCAGTCAAATTAGTAATTAATTTACATCATGTATTTAATATGTTCTATTATTTATTTAGAAATGTTGATTCTCCAATTAAAATACAATTCTTATGGGAATGTGAGGAAAGTAGAATTTTAAATGAGCAAATAATTCCAATTAGCCAGAGAACTCCAAACTCAAGCCAGTTCTATTAAGGAATTGCTTGAAAACAACCAAAGATTACTCTGTTTGGATTGCAAATTCGAGATCAACGAGAATTCTATTGTGGATTTCCATTAGCATCTCGTATATATCAGATGCAGAGAGGGAGCCAAACAATTAGAGAAATGCACTATTGTCGGGTAGATCAAGAATAAAAATAATTAACTTAAATATTATGTTGTTTAGTTGGATAACAATAAGAAGGTTGTTGTCTATAAGGAGGATGTGTTGTTGTTTGATACGATCTAGCTGGATGAATTGGATGTGTTCGAGAAGACTTGGAAATCAATATGATATATCCATATATTAATAAATAATTATTTTATGATCAAAATATCACAGGATCCAATTCTCTATAATACCATAAAGCAAGATAACGAATAATAAACAAAGCAGCACCCAATGTCAAAACTGCAGGACTGTTGAAATTCAGCAAACTAACATACACTAGACTCAAAAATGAAATGACTGTTGCAGTTGATAAATCATACCTACAAGCATCTACCCATCCATAATATACAGCAGTTGCCAAAAATCCAATCGCCACACTAATCACACCTTCCTTGAACTTCTACAAATAAACATTCTTCCTGAGATTGCTCCAATTAGGCAACAAACCCCAAATCTACAAAATCGAAGGCACAAATATTGCAACCCAACAACATATGCCTCCATATATTCCCATACTATGAGTGCCCAAAAATATGGCAAAATTCAAATAAGGGCCAGGAAGTGCAGCTGCAAGACCAAACCCTAACCAAAATGCATCTGCATTTATATATAAAGGATTTAGAACCGTTTCAGCATACATAAAAGGCAAAGTTATAGGAGTGCCTCCAATCATAAATGTTCCAATGTTGTAAAAAGAGAGAGTGATGTCCAAGATAAGCGATTAATATTTAGAATTGAGATACAACAATAATAATAGTATAACGGAATATAAGTGTAAGGATTTATTTCCTAATAATTAACTGATTTTGTGACTGTTTTTTTTATTAATTAATTTTGGGTCATTAACAATTGCGGGAGTAGCAGTTTACTCCTTTACAAAGGTTCTTCTTCCAATTGTATTTTCTGCATCGTATTCAACCATAATTGTTATTATTCCTCCCATCATCATAGTTAATATTAACACATACGGTTATTGATATGCTACAAACAATGCTGCGCTTAACACCGATAATGCAATGTGCATCTTATTGCTAATAGATTTCGCAGCCATTGATATCAGCAATTGTAGGATCAAGGCAACAGTACTCGATTTGATGCCCTGAATAGCCAGAAACACAAGAATGTTGAGATCTCTGGGATCAGGGTACTTACTGTAAATGTAACCTAAAATTGTTAATATCATAGCTCCAGGCACTGTATATGCCACCAAAGCAACGATTCCCCCCAGCGCATTTTTTTTTGAGATTGTTCCTAAAGCCACCATCATCTATGAAGTAGTTGCTCCTGGTATGAAATCAACCAATGATGCTATCTCCTCGAATTATAGTTCCTATAATGATAGTATTCCTTACTGAAACAGCCCTCGTTTAAGTCACAAAGACATTCTTGAATTATTAATAATGACTGGCACTTAGAGTCTAGACATCGATCAGAGCCAAGGGAGCCGTGCATTTCAACAATTCTCGATAACTCAGAGTTTGGGAATCATCAATCAGCAAAGAAAATTTTGGTTGTGCAGTTCGCACTCCCAAAGTTTACATCTCAATCATCTCAATAAATTAATTAATCAATTATTAAACATTTTGTGCATCATACCATATTTTATTAATTCCCTTTCAGCCCTCGTGTATCCGAACAATGCAGCCAACACTTACAATGCTTCAACATTAAATCTATAATATTTCATACTCATATACCTCGCCAAGTAGTTCTTGTAATCAATCTCCTTAACTAACCTTTGCAACTCAGCTTCCTCAAACTTCCTAAACTGTCCCTCCTTCACCTCTATATCTTTTTGTATCTATTGGTACTCCTTTATCAATTTGTCCTTCTCAAAGTTATTGATCTCAGTAAACACAATCGATTATTCCTAATTCGCTTCAGTTTTAAACATCTTTGCTATCCTCCTCTAAGCTTCATTGTAAATAATATCATTTAAGGTCTCTTTGCTCTAAAATATATGGATAAGAGTGGATTGAATCAGCTTATGTTCTGTCTCACTTAATCCTTGTACAAGTAGGGTTACTTAAGACTCTTACTTCTATTTAATCTATTCTATATGCTATTTCTTTATGTCCAATGAATCAATCTAAGAAAAGTGATTTTTGGATAATAGAGACACTATCGAATTGTTTCCTGTATCAATTGAAGCTTCTCTGTAATTGCTGAACAATTAATGAGCCTTTTTAAATAAATCATTCAGTTCAATTGTCTTCCTGGTTTTAATAATTAAGAAGTCCCTAGCCTTGCTATCCAAATATGGAGGGAAACTTGCTTCTGCAATCTTCTCTCCTGAATCCCAAACCGCTTTAATTATCCAAGACAGTCCTTAGGATCTACAATCCAAACCAATTTTAAGTAATTCTAACAAGAATCCTTAAATTGATTTCAACAATGCTTTATTGTTCTTATTCAATTTTGAGTTCTCCTATTCTAGTTTTTCAATCTAAATTGAATTCAACTTCATCTATTATTAGAACTTGCTGTAATTATCTTTCATTTAATCAATCTAACTTTCCAATTCATTCTACTTCACTGCAATTACCATATAATTGTCAACCTAACTAGCATTATTTTTAATATTGGGTGAATTAGAAGCCTATTATGGTTTCTTATTGATTCCTCTCAATTCCTCCTATCTTTCTTTCATCTACAATTAAATTACATATTTACGAAATCTTATATGGCTCTTAACTTTTTATGAATGTCATGATTCTCCATTCTCAAGGTTTCAAGGTCTTTCTCATTCTTTTTTACAGTATTTTTTTGTCTCTCCAGTCTGGAATTGATTGATAATAAAATCTGATTTGTTTATTTCTCATAAAATAATGCTCGGTCACTCGCATTTTAAAATTGAACCAATTGCATCTTAATTAATGTATGTAAACTATTTTTCAAACCTTCAACAGTATAATCGAATATCAGAGTCCCATCTTGCTTTTCGTCTCCCTATTGTTTTGCTCTTGCTAATTCAATCTATGCTAATTCCTGTTGTGTCAAAGTAGAACCCTACTGCATATACTTATCCAACTATTTGATTAGAGTCTGATCTTGATGAAGCATCTCAATTTTTTTGATGGCTGAGATCTTTTGCAAGGATCCCATCAATTTCTATCTAAAAGCACTCGGTTCTCCTTCAGACTTGGCAGACTCAACAATTAATTTTGGAAAGGCTGGCATTCCTTACATAGCTTTTGACCTGTCATTCAAGCCGCCTCTCCTCATTGCTTGCAATGATTGCGACTTCTCCTACAATTGTATTTTAGCAAGTCCTAACAATTAAACTCATTGTGATACTTTCTTTCTCCTATTCCTATTTCAATTTATCTTGCTCTTCTTTCTATCTCTTTTTAACGCCTTTATACCAAGTATCCAAATTGGCTACCAATTAATCATCACTTTCTGCTTTATATTATTGATTTGCTTTAAATTGCTCCTCCTGGTGCAACTTTTTACGGACAGTCGTCGAGTGATTCTCAGGGTCTTCTTCAAGTTTCTCATAACTCGAATATCATAGTCATTTACATTTCTTGTAACAATAATTTGGCACCAGCCTCATTTGACAATCGCGCTCTCAACTTTTTTTCTAAATCAGTTCTATGAACTTTCTAGTGAAGCTTAATCGGTTTCTTTGTTGTATCTTTAAGCGAAGTAATCATCTCATCCTAATCAGGTATAACTATATCATAAAACTGTAGAGTATTCATTTCATCATTCAATATTTTCTTACGCATATCTTGCATTACTAGATTTTCTATTTCCAGATGATTTGTAGGTCTGTGTCTAGTCTTAATAATGTCAGGAGCCGATTAAAGATCGGTTCTTTTTATTTTTTTTTTATGCATTTATTTATAAAAATAATATCAACATCTAATTGAAAATCACTAAAAAGTTGTTGTTTTGGATTTTTGATATAATTTAGATAATAAGGGAATCTCAAGAAATGGAAAACTATTAATAATTACTTGATGTTATTGTATTTTATTGTATTTTTTTTAGTAGTATTTTATGAAACTAACTAATAAAATAGTTTGAATCCATTCCACAGTTCATTTTAATTCCAGAATACTTAATATCTATTACACAATCTAAAAAATTGAATTACAAATTAATAACATATGTTTTTATAGATATATAGAATGTATTATTCATTGTTATGATCCACTAAATCGCACTAGCTCTTACTCCTCAACAGCCTCCTTTTATTTGTAAATTCCAGCCCAAAATGAATCTTGTCTTGCAATTTTCTCCTAGTTTTCTACCCACTTATTGAGATTATGTTCAAAGACTTTAATTTTGTTTAACATCTCTGTAGCTGGATCAGTAAAGAATTCCCTTATGAATTCAGCCTATATGGCTTCCAGTCCTCCTATTATAGCCCCTATTAGCAATAAACTCAACCAGAAGTGAGGAGTGCCAACCATTGTGAATGGAGTATATTCCATCAGAGTTCCAGGCCAGAAATTCGAAATGATCACGTATAGGATGTAAAGTAGAAGAGACAGAAAGGTGATACAAATAAAATTAAACCAAGTCCAGAATTTAGTGTGAATAGCTATTTTAAGATCGGCAATCTAAAATAATATAAATAAGTTTACTAAAATGATGCAGGAATAGACAGTCAATGAGAAGGGAGCCAAACCACTTGATTCTCCTGAATTTTAGACGATCTCAAAGTCCATGATCCAAAGTACAAAGAAAAATATGATCATTCCATGAACCAAGCCATTGAAAGCCCAAAGTAAATAATTAGGGATGGTGAAAATAGTTTTATTTTGTCCAACGTAATAGAGACTTGGAAACTTGAGTCTTAAGTATTATTCCTGTTTCTTTTGCACATTAGCTACCTCTTCCTTTGAGTCATATTGGCAATATTATCTATAATTGATATCCTAATCAAATGTGCCTCTCATAATCAGTGGCAGTGCTGTAAAGATAAGATTATAGAAAGTGATGTACCAATCATCAAAGAAAGACTACCCTGAGAAGGCACAGAAATAGGAAAAGAAGAATTGGGGTACGGTGAATATCATGTTTTTGTAAAAGAAATACAGTACCATCTCTGCAATTCTAATGTAATTCCAATGTCCATGCACCAATAATAACCTCCATAAACATCTGAATTCTCCCAAAGCAAAATCACTACTTTAAACTGCCCTCATTCCTTCATTTCCATAAAGACCAACTCCAATATGTGCAGCCTGAATCATATTGACATCGTTGGCTCCATCTCCAATGGCCAAAGTGATCTTGTTCAATCTGTCTTTAATCAATCTGACCACATCAGCCTTCTACTTAGGGGTTACTCTGCAACACACAATACTTTCACAATCCTTTGCCATACTAACAAAGGCCTAGGCTAAATCTTCGTTATCTATTACAAACTATAGGGAGGCTCCTTCAACTACTATTGACTACAATAAGATGTTTGAATACTTTTTTTCTATTCTCTTTTATACATAGATCATAAGTATCTTGGATATCTCCTAATTTCTTTTTACATTCCTCCACAGTGGGCACTGACAATCGCATCACTGTGAAATCTCCTTAGATCAATCTGCAACTCTTGGCAATATTCTCTGCTGTCTCTAGTTTATCCCCTGTTAACATCCACACCTTTATGTTAGCTTTTAATAAGTCAGCAATCGTCTCTGGGACTAAAGGCTATAGTTTATCTTCAACTGCAGAAGCTCCCAATAAAGTGAGTTATTTTTCCAAGTTACTTGTTAGTTTTTCTATTTTGTAATGCAAAATTACCTAATTCATTAGCTCTAGTTTCATTATCTGGTAAATTATTATAGGCATGATCGAAATCTTGGTATTCTTAATGAGACAGCACTCTTGAAGCCATGAGTAGACATCTCAACCCAATTTTACTAAAGTCATCTAAATAATTGATAATCTCATTCAGAAATGGTTGATTAGGCAATAGTCTATCTTTGATGATATTGTCTGCTCCTTTGATATATAATTTGATGATTCCATTGTCATCGATTATAACACTCATTCGCTTTCGAGTGGAATCAAATTCAAAGGATTTGAGCAATTTGACTTTTTTTTCTTTGCCCAAAATCTTGAAACATTACTCACTAGCTGAGGATCCAGTGAATTGAAATCCTAATCTAGCTGCTGCATCTACAAGAGTGATCTCATCTGGAGACGGTCCTTGATAGGAAGCATTTTAATTCTTGTCGTATTGGATAATGCACTCATGAGCTGAGGAGAGCAAGAACAAGTATTCTTGTATTAAATCTCGCTGATTAGAAAGAGTCACCTATTATTTACCGTCTTGGGATGCAATTCTAAGATGTACTGGCATGTCACCTGTGGATCCCTCGCCTTTTAGAATATCACTCAATTCAGCATCTTGGAAATTGAAGACTGAATGCTGGAACACCTCACTTTCAGGATGTACTTTAGCGGTTTGCTGTCTTTTTAGATCTACATTATATACTGGATTGTTTGTGTTGGATTGATCCTTGCCGTAGAGTACGTTGCCAATAATACAATATTTGAATTCCATTTGATTGCAGGTCAAAGTTCCAGTTTTGTCAGAGAAGATATATTCCACTTGTCCTAACTCTTCATTAATGGTTGTAGTTTACACTTTAGCGAATTTGTTCCTCTGAGCTACATACATCTCCTCGTCTTATTCAATAAAGTAAGCTTGGAACACTTTAACGAATTCCAAACTAACTATCAATGATATAGGAATCATTGTATTATATAATAAAATATAACTGAAAAACGCATAAAAACTGAGCAAGTTCGGTTAAAAGTCAGTATATTCCAAATACCAACTGTCGCTTCCATAATTATGGAGCCAAGCTGATGAAAAGGAAGCTGTGATGATTGACAAAGTGATTTGCACCACTAGAATCCCCAAAATGAGAATGTTCATAATTCTTTCTATTTCACTTGACTTTATTCTTGAGGCATCAGCATTCCTCATGATCTTAGTGTCCTATCCTGTATAAACAACTAACCCTATAATCCATTCAGTATTTCTGAGGAATGCACCTCTTAACAATAACTACTTAGCTGTTAACTAAAACTTTTTCTACTAACCATTACCAATTGGCAAAAACAAGGAAGCATCCAATTCATAAAGATTTTAAGTAGGAACCTATGCTTCCACACGTATAGCATCTTCATTATAATTTGCCATTTCCTGATACAGTTATTGACTCTCCAAAATGGCACTCTTTGGTTTCAAATTTTTCTCTCCATCCAAAGAGGATGTCTCGATGTAACAAGCCCCGCTTGGAATTGCACTTGAAAGCACTATGAGATCAGCAGGAAAACTCTCGTCCTACTTCACCAACACATAATCCCCCACAGATAATTCCGCCCAAGTTGAACTATCTATTGTGTTATTTCATTACTTTGTCGGCACTCTCGATTTCAAGATTATACATTCCGTCGAGTTTACTTCATTGTCCGATACGTGACGTCCGTAGTCTTCCCACCCTAAAATTTGATCTCATTTTTAATACCTTCTCGAGCCATAGATAAACCTAACACAAAAACCAAAGGGGCTATTGCACTGAAAGGGTTTAGGGTTGAAAGCACTGGAATACATTAAATAATTGCTATGCACAAAAAGTAGATGTTCGCATATCGAGTAAATTGAAGGAGTAACGATTTCGGTAGAAAAGTTACCACATTATATCTACACTTCACATGATTGCTTACCTTGATGTTTTGATGAAATTCGATGGAAATTCCTCTAATTCTTATAAATTCCTTTCGCATTTAAAATTCCCTACAAATTGACGAGGAGCATTGAAAGTTTCGGGTCGCTTAGACCAAAACATTTAATTATATTGTTTATAATAATAATTCAACAAAAATCCTTACTTTTCTAAATTTTCAATCGCCTCTCTTCAACATCATACCTAATCTAAATTTAACCTCTGTTATTTTCTCATTTTATTATTCAAACATTTCATTAATCGTTAATTATTTTATTTCTTAAACTAAACCATCCTCCTACTCCCCGCTAAAACAAAGTGGGTTCCCTACTCAATGGACATACACCTCTTTGTTTTAAGTTCAAGTTAAAAAATTGGCGAAGAATTTCCTTAGTTTATTTTCTTATTTTTATTTGTATTTGAATCAATAAATATAATTTCATTTAGTTTTAGGTGAGTATCCAGCAGGACTTCTAACTCCTGTTAAATTTGGCTCATAATAACTATTTGATTCTTGTTTATCAAAAGAGATATCTTTTAATTGACAATTGTCTTATTCAATCGTTTCCAATTTTCGTAAGATCTTATCCTTTAACATAGCCATCTTGCTAATTTGGGCATCCTGAGGCAACTTCTATATGATAAGCACGAGTTTATTAAGCTTTGCCACTGAATAGTTTTTCATTTGGTTTATTTTCTACATCAATTTATAGTAACTTACATCGATGATATCCTGGGTCTCTCTTTACAATTTACGATTGCGATCCATTTAGAATCTGATTTCATACAATATTCTCTGTTGCTCCTACTGCATCTGCATTAACTGCCTTCTCATTTTCTCATGCTCAATTAAATATGATTCCGATTAGAATTCCTTGGTCAGAGTTTCCAAACTCTGCTTTATATCCTCCTGATTTCGACGCTTAATCTTTAGTAAGTTATTTCTTAGATTAATAAGGTCACTCATACTTAACTCCTCTTCTGAATTGTTAATGTACGAACTCATTCTTCCCTTATTTATTTTTCAATTTCTTAAAGCCATACATATTAAGCTGCCTAAGCCGATTAACTCATTCCCTACCTCAAGAAACTCTGGTAATTGCGATGCTTGAAGTATTGTGGCAGAATTTGATCCGTCAATAACTCAGGGTCTTGGATCTGAAATGTTGTTCCCTCCTTGTTCCAACATATCGCCGCTTATTCAGACTCAAGAATAGCGGGTTATAATTACTTCAAGAATTTCGTACAATTTTATTAGAAAGGACGGAACCTATTTTATGTCTTCCATGAATTAATAATTTTTAGAATTATTATCATTTCAAACTTCAATTATACTTCATTCTAGAAACAAATTAATGCTTCTAGAATTGAACTGATCACACTCATAAATTATCTTGTCCATAATTCAGTTCTTTAGGCCTTTTTAATTACATGATTGATAATTGAAATTAAATTTTACATTACTCTTTAATGTGCTTTCAAAATGTAATTTAAATTGTAATATTAAAATAGTGATACTCATATTTTAATCCTTTTTATCTTGCTATAATAATCAATTCAGGAACCAAAATTTTACAGTTGCTCTCATCCTAATACTTTTTTGCAATCAACTTTTATTTTCTCATCAAGTTAATAAGAAGAAATCAGCAAATATTGAACATTAATTTAAAAAAAAATATGATTCTTGTATCAAATGATGGATATTTGTATTTATCCCTATGATTTAATATGCTCTATAAGAGTATGATATTTTTATTATATAATTTGCTAAAGAAATTTATTATAATGCCAATCATCTAATTCTATTTGAGCACCTAATTTCATGATAAACTTTAAACCTAAACTTAAAGTTTATCATTACTTCTCTACTTATAACTAATGCCTCAACATCTGATTATTAGACTCTAATTATTTTGATCTCTAATCTTTCATTTGCTTTAAGAAATTGATCTAAAGTTTGAATAGTTTCAGCTTAATCTCGTACACTTTCTTGCTCAAATTATTTAATACTAATAAACTAATCATGAAAGTTATATTATTGATTAAATATAATTATTAATGGCTGAGAAAAATCAGGATTGCTTCCAGATTTTCTAATTTAGCTTAATCACTATTTGCTTATATTTAGACATTCTATTTATATTAAATATTTTAAATAGAGTAAGAAAAATTATTTTACTTAATATAAAGAAAAATAGTATTAATACTTTTTATTTAAGGCCTACTAATAACTAAATCAATATTAAAATTTATTTTACGCGAGAAAATAAACAAAAATCAAAAATTTAATTCTTCATAAAAAAATATTCTATTATAAGATAAAAATGAAATGAAAAAAATAATAATAGAATTATTTCAAGCAATTATAATACATAATCTTAATTTTCAAATTATAGTAAAATAGCTATTTTTGCATTTGAATTTCCAAATTGTATTTTCTGAGCATCCTCTTAGAAATTTGAGGAGAAAGTATATAATACCAGAAGGCTTTAATATTATTTGTATTAAGAATTAATTATTTTATAATAAATGTTACCAGAGTTTTCCATTTAAGCAGTTAAATTATAAGCTAATACTAGGTAACCGAAACCAGTTAAGGTAATTAATTAAATTTATCGATTAGTATGTACCACCAAAGCCTAAAAGTCCAGCATAAAAAAGAAGCTGTATTTATCAAAACAAATAAGTCTAGCATCATAACAAAAACCTATTGCCAAAGCCAAAACATCAACAGAGCGAATTTCTCGAAAAGTTTCAGAGGATTTCTAGGAAGTCTAATAATAACAGGTTGTGGCAATAGAAGCTCCTTAATAAAAAATCATTATGAATATGGATGAAAGATATCAATATTATGAGAATGAAGCCAAAAAGCGATAAAATGTAATTGACGTTTGTGATGGAGTACAGTTTTATAAGCCAGTCAAACCAGAAGAGATGCCCAAGCCTCCTAAACCAAAAAAGTAAACATCTAAAATAGAAAATGCGAAGTAAGTGTCACGAACTGAGAAATCAGAAAAATAATCAGTTTCATCTGATTTACAACACTCTCTGCATTAATCAAAATCTCTGTACAATCAAACTACTTCAAGAGAGCAGCAATAATCAACAACCTCATTGGTGGAAGAATATCAATCTTAATAAGTTTCTGTGGATCCTAATTTCTTAGTTTAAGGAGAAGTAGATGGCTATTAAATGGATGAGAGCTAATCTTAAATGTTCGGGTTTGGTTTGACTGATTATATTAAAAATAATGTAAGCATGTTCTCTAAATAATAGAACCATAAAAAAGAACTTGGAGAGAAAAATGTAGCAGATGAGGTTAAACCTTAATCGGAATCTGTTTATACATATTACGATTACTACCCTCCCAATGCTAATGGTGAAATACCTAAGCCATTGCTGGAGAGTGTTAATTATATGAATTATTTAAAAGAGCAATAGGCCTTGTAAGCTCAATAAGCCTAGGAGGGACAATAGCAATAGTAATAAATATAAGGCAAAAATAAGTGAATATAATAATATAACTATTAAAATCAATATACTATGTTAGTTTTTGAAATTTATACAAACATAATAAACATTTAGAAATTAATTATTCATCAACATTCGTCAATTGGGTCTGAATCTGCAATTATTTTGGTTAAGGGCTCGAGAAATTAAGAAGCTATTTTTTCAACAGAAGGGTGTTTGAATACATCAAACAATAAGGAAGTCATGTATTGATTCTCAGTTTCTAGTTGTTTAACCTTAGATTATTCTTGACTCTTACTTTTTTTTGGAGTTTATCAAACTCATCCTATAAGGGACCTAATTTCTCTAAAGCTTCTCTCTTCTTTTTTTGGGATTCTTTTGCTGAATTTCTATTTCTTCTTATGCTAATTAAATTAATGTGATTTTATACCACTAACACTTTTTGCAATTGCATTCCTCTTCACCATTGTAAACGCATTTGCTTTTCAGCTTTTCAATCATTTTCAAATAGTAATTAGAACTATTCTTGACCTGCATTTCTGTAAATCCATTTTATATGATATGGTCTAAATAATGACTTTCCAATTAAAGGAGCATTGGCAAAATGAATAGAATCTAGCAATTCATTTGCTTATGGATTTTAATTGTGTTGGAACTAAATTTAAGCAAATCTAAATCGGCTGTCTCTTCAAAGAATACCTAGGTGGCCTTTTTTAAGAAATCCTGAGTCGTGGCCTTAAAGCTTCCCATTATAAGTAAATACTAGTGGTTAATTAAATAATGTACTTCCTAAAATATCTGATCGTTATGTAATTTGGCTGTTTGCTTAACACTCTATGCAACCAAATCCATTATTAAATTGCTTTTAGTGAAAAAGTTATTCAAAGATTGAGTATATCTATTGAATTACATTAAAAATTGATCCTTAGTCAACTTTTATTGTTATTGACTTAGCAATTTGAAGGTGAATGTGGTCCAGACATCGTCTTGTTATTTCTTGATGATCTAATGTATTTGAGTAAATCCAATCTGCTGACTTACTGTTTGACCCTGCGATATTTGATAGCAATAGAGGGCATTGAAAAAGATGTCACAAAAGTCATCTCTGAAAAGCAAAAAATTGGCAAGATATTTTGTACCTTTTATAATAATAATCTAGAACTTTGATCATAATTAATGAGTTCAGAACGGAAGAGAAGAGCTATCGTTTAGAACAGAGAACCACTCATTGATATCTTTAATGGGTTGGCTTTATACTGTGACAACAGATCTGTTACGATTTCTTTGTCTGCTGAGCAATTTTCCAATCCATATATTATGAGATTGCCCATAATAATCAGGAAATACGGTAATTGAACATCTAACACGTTTGTTAAATTGATAGTTTGTTTCTGAAGAATGATTTTCTATAAGTAAGAAGTAACCTAATTCTGAACCTCAATTAAAGTTGGAGGCTTGCTTTTTGAATATTTTAAAATCTTACGAAACTTGCTAAATTGGTTGGTACTAGGTTTAACATTGTTGAATTATCTGCAAAAGTTACTGTTTTTGTAAATACTAAACAGATATTGATATTTTCAAATACTTGCACATTTTATTTCTAACTATTCTCCTCCTACTTCACTTGTTGAGAAGATTCTTGTTGCGATTGATTAATCAAGGCTTACAAGTATATTTTGTGAAGAGGATTCATAATTAAAATTAATAATCAAAACAATGATAGGACTCTTCTTGATTTTGGAGAAGTGCGTAATATAATTATGGAAATTGAACATATTTGATTTAACATTAATACATTACTGCATTATTTTTACGCATTATTTAATATATATGTCATCTATCTGAGAATTCAATTTCAGAATAATCTTATTCTACTTTCCTTAAGAGAGTTATAAAAATCAATAAAAAATTCTATACAAATAATCCATTTTTAAGTAAGATAAATTCGAAAACATGATATTAATGGAAATACAACTAAACGATGTCTCTTTTGAAATCATACAATCGTAGGATAGATCAAATATTATAAATCGTGATAGTTTTTGCAAGAATGTTTATAATTCGTATTTGAAATAATAATAATCACAAGACAATTTGATCATTATACTACAATTATTTTCCATTAATTAATACAATATGATTGCTTAACAATCTCAAATTACCTTCCAATGATTCAACTATCAATGACAAAGAATCTCTATAAAAATAATTTTGGCATAATTCGTGAAGGCAACACACCTTGCCATTAAAATTGAATTTTATCATATCTTAAATTAAGTTCTCCTAATTTGGGTCTACTGTGATACTTATTCCAGATGTCAATGACAACACTTTTTATCGACATGCCTCTAAATATTTAGAGTATTCCTCCTTCAACACTATACCCAATGGTAATAGCTACTATTCAAATTATTTGGCTTCTGGCCACTATTTTAGATTTTAGTGAAACGATTTGATAGACTGAAGATCTGTTAGGTGGATATTAAGAACCCATGACTTCTCAAAAGCATCTATTAGTTATAGGATAAACTCTTAATCATTGTAAATGTCATTATTATTATTTCTCATAATAATTGTACATTGATTTAAGAATGAGCGAAACTCCTAGAATAATTGTCTCAAGTCTGGCTAATCTATAATGCTTTCAATCTTCACTTTCTCCTAAATACAATATTAATTTGAATTGATGTCTACTCTGTATATGGGATACAGCAAATCAGTTCTCAATTGCAATTTGTATGGGTCATAATTGTTGGTTCCACCTTAACTCTATATTACCTTCAATTAGAATAAATTTGAAAAGTCACTTTTCAGCTTTTATCTCATAAATGGCATCACTTGATCATAAAGTAAATTTCGTAATTCCTAATTGTTTTGATTTTGTTCATTGATGTGTCTTAATTAATTTAACTTCGTAATTCCTCCCAACTCATCTTCTAATTCTTAATATGTTATGGTCTAACAAAACTTTTTGTCTATCTCATCATCAAAATGTTGTATACAAACAGTGATAAATTGTTGAGCTATTTAAATTTAAGGCTTGATTATTTATGAAAATTCTTTGCTTTAAAGTTCTTTTGATAATTATATTAGTTATTGCTAGTTTTGCTAATTAAAATCAGAAAATATCTAATCCAATTTCGAAAGCAATTAGATTTCATTTAGTTATTAAATGGCTTTAACTCTATCATTTATTTATTATATTATATGGTTGCAAAACTGGCTAGACTCATTGACTAATTCTAATTCTAACTTTGGCCAACTAATTATATCAATCCTTTCAGTTCCTAATTTATCCTTCAACTCTAGATACTTTTCAATTACAGTTAAACTTTTTTCCAATTCATTGTCTAAAGTAAGCAATTATTTCATTATTTTTATCTCACTCGATAATTCTTTTATTTAACTTAATTCAATCACTGTTTCCCTAGCCCATATATACTATTCTTAGATGAGATATATCCGATCTTTTTCTAGATCTAATTGCTCGCTCCAATCAAAATAAGGAAATTAAAAAACTAATAAATTATTAATTTTAGTTAGAATCTCTTAATTACAAAATTTGAAACTCAGCAAATGCCCTTTCTTTAAAGATATCCGTTGCAATGCTTATATGTACTTATTATTGATTGCTTCATTTAGATATGATATATATCCTACAAATGTTATTGACTTTATTAATCTTGTAATTTCCAAACACATCTTATTAGCATTATAATAATCCTCTTCAAATCTTTAATATATATTAATAAACTTACTTAATAATCAATTGTGACAATTATTTAATTTTACTAAATGGGACCTGAAATTATTATCTTGTATAAGTGTCCTCGAATTCTTGGATTTGATGTTCTATAGTTTAAATTTGTTCATCAAAATGAAAAGACTCAAAATTTTTCATAATCGCTTTTACATTAATTTTTTCAATAAGCTAACCTTAAAAGAATAATTGTTTAATCTCTTCTTACAATTTTTCCATTCTTTATGAGCACTTTTTTCTTTAACTCAATTAATACTATTGCAGCAATGGTTACACTTAAGTGCAATTGATTTACTTAACCTTTTTAGACAAGGCAACAATCTCAGCATGAATAGTTTTTATTTTGTTATAAAACTCCTCAAACTCATGATAATTCACCTTTAGTTACACAATTTACTATTCATAGTTTAGAATTTAGACTTTAATTTATTCGATTGAATAAATTTAGCCATCTATAATAGAAAGGGTTTCGTAAAAGTAAACTACTCCTCCTTTTGAGTGAACAATAGGGTTGACTTCATCCTAAGTTATTTTAAACATTTCCTATTGATGAGTTTGAATTAAATTTAGAATGGATTGTGATAATTTATTAGTTAAATATTCTAAGATAGTATCCTTCTCCTTATCCCATAATTCTTATTATTGTTTTATTACTTTTTCATCTTTTAAAAAATCGAATTGAGCCTAATAATGTTTGATAGATGTCAACATGTTGGCTGCTAACTCCTCATATTAGGATAGCTCCTGTTGTAATAGGACAATTTAATCTTCAAATCTAATTTTTATTGCTTAATCTATATTGTTCTACTTCTTAAAACAAGGATTCTTGGGTTATTCCTACAAATTTAGTAAACCCTCTAAATTCTTTTGAAGTGATATGGAGTGATAGATCATTTATTAAGTCTTGGGCTTTATAATTGTTTCATATATTTATTTATCCTGTGTATGTTATGATGATAAGACATCTTATTTCAATTATTTTAGAGTAGTTAGTATTACTTGTATGTTGGGTATCTCCAATCTAAGAGAACAGAGTTTTTTGATATAATCTTAATGATTATTAATGATTTTTAGCTGTTCTTCAAAGATCATCGCATAATCAAGTTATAAGTAATTAGTAAAAATCATGGTTCTATTGTTGATGATGTTTGCTTTGATGAGGGTGGCAGGACTGCTAAACTATTCATTTTTCATATTTAGGGTGTCTTATTGCTCCTCTGCATTACTTCTTGAATTATGATTTAGGGGTTGATTGTTTTGAGTTTCTAAGTGGAATAAGGAAAAGTATTACAAAATGCATATGTTGCATATTGATCATAGTAATAAGGAGATTAATTCAAATTGTATGGAGTTTGATATTAATATTTGGATTAAGAGGGTTTAGTGGGTGTGATGGGTGTATTATAATACATTATTGTTAGATTTAAAAATTAATAAATAAAATATTATATAATAAATTAATATTAAAAGGCGTAAGAATGATAATCTATTGCCATAAGAACCCATTTTGGTGTGGTGATTATTGATATCCAAGCATGCCTCCCATAGGTATATTATGAAAATTAGAGACACTTATAAGAATATTTGGGACCAATATTGGTTAAAAAATTATCAATCCGGAGATTTATATAATATAAAATAGGTTTTGACTCCATTTATGATTGAGGATTTACCTTAAAAACATTGCTGCATTTTTCATTTCCACTTAGATTTCTCAGATTCCTGCCTTCCTATCTCTTCATTTATAATAAATTTTAATTCAATAATTTCTAACCATAATTTCAAATATGTATAGGAGTAATAGAAAGACCAAAAAAATTATTATCAATTTCAGTAATACAATCAACAAACTATAAACTAAACTCTAAGATTGATTTATATAAAACATCTGGATTTTCAAGTAAAATCCAAAGTAAGTCGGAAAATATTATTAGATTAAAATTGTTCTATTTCTATTCTAATTTTAATATTTTTTGACAACCAATTAATCCAAAGGAAGTTATTTGCTCAAAGTTATATATCTATCTTCTCTAGTTTAGATATTTAAACAATTGAAAATAATCTTCCAGAGAATATATTAATTTACATAATTGTATTTTCTAAAAATCTATAAAAATAAATTTTGTTTTTTAATAGGTTTTTGTTTATAAACCCTTTCTTAATTGTAAACCAAGTTTAAAAAAATTCTTAATAAAAGACATTATGTACTAAAAAATTGTTATAAGAAATCTTTTTCTAAAAATAAACAGCATATTTTGTTACGATTGTTTCTTCATCTAAATACAAGAAAAGTAACAATAATTTAACTAAATTAATCTTTTTTGGTAATTCATCTGATATATTATTAAGAAATTTAAAAAAAATGAAATAAAATAGGCATTTTGCTACAAAATGTATAGGCAAATTAAAATTAAGCACGCAATTTATTATTATAGTTTCGATACAGGTCTTAATTATTGTGTCCTATGTTCTTGCACTCAACTTAATTCATCATTCTCTACTAATAAATTATTTGTCAGAATTGTCAGATTATATGTTTCAAGATAACTCAAATCACCTTTTGTCAAATATGATGGAAGAATACTTCTAGCATTTTAATGAAGTATTTAATTTAAGTAAATATTTTTTTTACATTTCAGATGGCAACGCTTTGGTGTCATTTCATCGATTATATCATACTTCCAAAAACCAAGTACTATTACACCCTCTCGACACAAACCCATTGTTTCAAATGTAATATGGAGGAACAACAAAAATTCCAGACCCCTTGAGAATTATCAAGGGTTATGGCAATTATGACATTTCCTATTCCTTCATGTGTTACTCAAACCTTTCATCATTCAATAACCCTTTGACATTCGAAGAAAAGGTGGGCCTGAAAGTAGAGGAGTAGCTCCAAGCGGCTGCACAAATATTTTATTAGGGAAATTTAATCAACCAATCCTTCTTATACTCGTATATTATGAAAGAGAAATTAAATTCCATTTACCCTTGTTTAAATAGAGACAAAGCAATTTATCAATATGTGGCTGAAAAACGAGATTGGTACACTGAGCTGAAAAGAAACTATGAAAGCAAATCGCCATATGATAAGTATCATTACACATTTACCCAACCATATCTCTGTATCAATATCTGAATTAATTAAATAGTGTACACGGACAAAAAGATCGGACTTTCCATGGCACTTCCAATTGTTGATAGTAATTTAGCCTTAATTGGAGGAGTGGTCTCGAACTTCTTAGGTTCAGAAATAGTTGAAATGATGAAATCTAATTCTTTTGGATTCTAAATAATTTATCTTGTATCCGAAAAGGGAGTTATGATAATGCATCCCTATAAAGTAACAGTGGAACAACTGCCTCTTTTCATTTATAATGAAAGCATCACTGGCTTCAATGTGACTGATTGGGAATATATCTTAAATCTAAATTCAGATTCCTCTTGTCCTAAATTTGCCAAAATGTCCTCCCTTCTAAAATGTAGATACAACTCCTATTATAATCAAGAGATGATTATAGGTACTCGAGAAATTCCAGAATTCAAGATGAAACTCATTATGTAAGCAGTTATAAGTATCATTAGGTTGCTGAGTAGTTCAGAGTACTTAAAATTCTACGATGATTTCTAATCCAAAATAGAGATAAGTTTACATGAAACAACCAGCAATAACATTATATGGTTGTTTGTATCATGTGTGGTTCTTTGTTTAATGATTATTGTGGTTACATAAATATTATTTCATCCAATTGAAATCATAAAAAAATAGGCGATCAATTTAATTATTTAACAGAGAAGAAACTAATAGCAAATATCGGAATTTGCAGAGGTTTGGATGAGTGATGAAATAGTTTCTTTGGTTCAAACTTATAAGATTGTGATGAATAAATTGGAATCATTATCATTAATAAAAACAAGTGAATGCAAGTAGTTTGAAGACATTCAATATCCAACCAAACAGTACTCTGTAACTCAGGCTGCATTTATGAGAAATATTGATTAAATCAAACAACATCAAGAGTTAAGATTCAGATGTTTAAAAGATTTCAGCGGAGGTGAGGAATTTGAAAATGCAGCCATTTCTATAATTAAAAGAGTTCTCAAATAACAAAACACTAAGTTCCTTCTATATTGAATCTTTAAGTATTTTTATACACATTTATTCTAATTTCTAAAGAGCAAATTTGTGGTTACAACAATTAATTAAAACACAATAATTTAGTAATTATAATATATATAATTATAAATGATATCATTTAAATCATTTGTTTTAGAAGTAGTTTCTAATTATTATTTTTTGTGTTAATAAAATTTAAATAATTTGTTTTCATTGGTGAAATGGAGAAGAAACGAGGATTTTTTACTTCCTGTTTGAATAATTTGAAATTGAGGACCTAATTGATAATTTTGGTCTCAATAATTATCCTTGTGATAGTCTCTTATGTTCTCTCAGTAAATCTGATCCATTATTCTTTGCTGAAACAGTATTTTTCCTAGATTTCTAATAAAATTTTTGCTGATACCTCCGTTAAAATCTAAGAGAAAACAATTAAATTGTATGAAGGGTACTTCAACAGAGTCTTTTATTTAAGTAAATCCAATATCATATGCTAGATGGAAATAGTCTCGTTTCCTTTCATCGATTGTATCATATGACTAAAAAGTAAGTAAAACTGCACTCCTTACAACTTGATACGGATTACTAAATGCTGTATGGAGGCATAAATTAAATACCAGATCCGATAAGAATAGTTAAAGGCTATGGCAGCTCTGACATCTCCTATTCTTTTATGTGTTATTCCAACATCACAGCCTTTGAAGATCCTTTGAGTTTAGATGAGCTCATAGGCATGAAGATTCAGGAGCAGACTCAAACCTATGCATAAATTCTCTATCAGGGGAATATCTTGAGTTAGTCATTCTTGTATTCATACATAATCAGCGAAAAAACCAATGCTGTTTATCCATGTCTTAACAGAGGACAGGGGATCTACTCTTATGATCCGGAGAAGCGAGAATGGTTTATCGAGGTCAGAAATAACTATAATAAGAAGAAACCATATAACGAATATTCAAAATCTTTCACACAGCCTTATTTGCGTAATTCATGTTGATAATATGTAATTGTAGTGTTTACAGACAAAAAAATAGGATTATCTTTGGTGCTCCCTATTGTAGACGAAAATCTAGAGTTAATTGGAGGAGTGGGAACCAATTTTTTGGGAGCAGAAATTATTTAAATTCTTAATTCCCAAGAATTTGGATTTTAAGTCATTTATCTTGTATCAACCTCTGGGATCATGATTATGCACCCGTATCATGTAAGTGTTGACTAACTGCCCCTTTACATTTACAATTAATCCATCACAGGATTCAACCAGAGCGATTGGGAAAGAATGAACACGCAATCATAAAACGATACGTCCGCATGTCCATTCTTGAGTAAACATTCATCTTCTTTGTATTGCCTCTATAATAGTCTATATGAATAAGAAATGATAATAGGAATCTAAGAAATTCCTGAATATTCAATGAAATTAATTATGTAAAACATATCTTGCTATCTCTAGGTTGTTGAGCAGTAAGGAGTACTAATAGTTTTACTCACGCTTCTAAGAAGAACTTTAATAAAAACTATTAAATTAAGTGGGACTTCACGTTTTCATCTTGTTAGCATTATTTCTTATTATCTGTTTGGCTCTGTACATCTTTACTTATACATTATTTTATCCTATTCAATAGATTTAAGCCATAACCATTAATAGGATACTCTCCAAAATCAACAAGAAATCTACAATGCCCTCATTTGCTAATAAATTTATGAGCAAATAAATTAGTTTATTGTTTAACTCGCATTCTGTAGTGTATGACCAATTGGAACAATTGTCATTTAATAAAACTACAATATGCACAGATCTTGAAAACTTCAAATATCCAAAAAGAAAATTGTCTATAAGAAATTTGTCGAAAAGAAGATTATTGCCAAAAGAAAATAATTTGGTGAATTAAAGTGGATAGAAATAATAATAACAAAACGATGTAATTGAACCAGAAACAATTACTAAAGAAATGATAATTACATTTCTAAAAATCTCAAAATATTCTACCTGATTATTCTTTTTTACTATATATAATATTCACTTTATCTAATATATCCTTAAATGAGTGTAAAAAATTCTAAGAAAATAAAAAGAAGTAACTATTCTTAACAATTGCCAAATTTAAACAACGCTATTCAAATATGCAAAAACTTAATCAAATTTATCATTAACAAAATAATTAAAATTTATCTAATTACTCAAAATTATTTAATAAAAGGATTTTTTTTAATTAAAATTTCATGTAATTCTATGCTACTTCTAAGTACAAATTTAAGGTATGATTTAATTGTTTACTTCCGAAAATTCTGTTTATATAAATTTAACCTCTAATCACGTAATTTGTACATATTGATTATGCAACTAGAAATAATATTACTATTAAAAGGACTCTATGAAGTTTGGATAATAGATCTATCTATAATATAAATATCATTAAATGAAATCACAACTAAACTACTAATTGTGAAGAAGTATTGAAAAAATAACATAAGGATGGTCAGATATACCAATATATCCTTCATATCTATCAGTAAATTGATATCTAAAGGCAAGATTCTTAGAAATATTAATTAGTGACCCTTTTCTCTTCATCTCATACAACAAGAATTTCAGTAGGGTTATAAAATTGATTCTCTATTTTCAAAATAATAAATGCTTAATTAAATTTGAATAAAATCTATAATAAATCTTTTTAGTATCTATAATTCTTCAAGATTCTATTAGCATATATAATAATCCTACTGAATATATTTAATATAATTTTGATTAGTGCGAATGATTTATGCTTTGCATTGCGATTAAAATTCTACTTAAAATTCCAAATATTGGTAACCTTTTATTTCTCAAGTTCAATAACATTATTGTAATAATAACATTATCTCATAAAATATATATATTCAATTAAGAGAATATAATTCTTGATCTATAAATTGGAGATTAGAGAATAAATCAAATGTTTAAAATTTAAGCCTTTTTTAATTATATTTCATCTACAACATCCACAGATGTATTCTTTTTAATCATAGTCCGCTTTAGTAACTCCAACACAATTCATATGATACCATTTCTGGCATTTATCACACTAAATATTTGGGTGTTGAATACCTAGATTGATGGCAAGTCAGGATTCAATGGTTATTTACAAGTACAATGATTTTACAATTTTGTGTAACCTTCAAATCTGTTTTTACTTGGTATCCATCCTAATCTGGTAAAGAATGTGCATTTATCCAAAGTCTGTGCACTTTCATATTCTTCTAAAGAGTATATGATGCAAGGAGATAAGATGGCTGATGCCAATATATAATCTGTACAAGTAGTACTAAAAACCTCACTGTTGGAAATCCAACTCTTAGCCTAAGGTCTAAATTTAATGACTTCACTTTTACGATAAAACCTATTATTGACTATCGTGGATACCATCTGACTTCACATAGACAAATAAGTTTAGATGATTTATTTTCATTAATTGTAATTATTCTTTATATTTTTCCTACATAATCTTCAGATGGATTATTCGCATTTTTAATTAATGCATTTTATCCTACTTTCAAAGTTTGTGAATTCACCTTAATCTCATCATATTCATGGATAATCGTGTTGCTGGTATCCTTCTCAGCCCAATTTACAATCTCCTTAAATTGTTGTTTTTTAAACATTTCTCTAATCTTAGAAGACGTCGAGATTCCACCCTAATGTTTAGATTTTTGTATTTTCTTTTTCAGCTTGTCAGCAGAATCCTCCGAATCTCCAGATTTATTAAAGAATTTATCCTAAATACAAAATGAGTATACTTCCTTGAACTCAGTCATTTTATAATAAAAATATTTATAATATTTCAATTTGCTTTTGCAATTATAATAAACTCCTTAATCTCTAAAATACAAATAATATCTACCTGATCTGCATATCGGACATCTCTGGCCTGTCATCCTCAAATTCTAACAGCATTCCTAACATAAAATGACATGTTGACATGGTTAAATCATGGTATCGATGATATTCGTTAAGCAAATTCTGCAAGGTTCCTTTTCACTAAAGATAATAATTCAATGTATCTACTTGTCATCCTTCTTCCCTAAGACACTATCATTCATCCCATAAACATCCTTAGTCAAGAACTCTTTACCATTGATCTAGCATGATAGAATTTATTATTACTCTCAATTTGCTTCCCATACATTATGCAACTAATTGGTTTTGACTCCTTTCCACGGTGCAATAATAAGTAAAGGAATGATCTAGATTGACTTTTGACTAAAATCGTATGTCAATTACTTACAATTTTGACTATGAGTGGAAATGAAAATTCATCCTATTTCATCTGATATTACTTCATAGATTCGATTTTTATTAATTTCAAATCAAGAATCACTTTGTTTTATGAAAAATCCTGGTTTTATCCCTTTTGAACATAGAAGCCTTAGATTTGTTTTTATAATTAGGTATTTCCGTAAAGAGATGTAATTTCCCCTGTTTTCAAATTCTCTTGACCCAAAAACCACACATCGACCTAGGTTTGTTCTGGACAAGTATATAAGAATGCTAATTAATAGGTTGTCTCTCCTATTTAAATCTAGTATTCATAATTATGATTACAAATTTAAATGATGATTTAATTATATAGACATCATTCTATTGAGCACTAAGAGTCGTTGACTAAATGGTGGCGATCTATGGCTTTGTTTTTATTTATATCCCTTAATAACCATCGTTAATGTAATCATCATCATCATCCTAATGTTATGGAACATGCAGAGCTTATTATTGATTATTATATCCTGAATAAACAGCATTTAGTTTTTATTTATATTCTGCACTTTATAAATACTTATCGAGATTCACTTGATTTTCATCCTCCTTGCTAGAACCACCTCCCATTATATAAATTATAATTATTATTATCAATAATAAAATTTATCATACTCATTAATATTCTTATGTTTTTCCAGTTCAGACGTTAAATTATACAACACATAAAAAATATCCAAATTATTATGAGGGAAATCATTAAGATTGGAAATTATTAGATAATATCTCTATTAGCAAGGAATCCTGAGTCAGCCTAAGAGAATATGAAGAGGAATCTATACTTAATAAATATGTAATTTCCTTGGTGATTATAATATGAATATTACATCTACTAACTTAGTGAGAGACTAAACTATATTCAAAATAACACAAATACTACATGTGAGAAATAGATAATTAATCATATTGAAAATGACGATAGACTTAATTTAATCAACCAATGCAAGTACATCTTTAACTTAACAATTGTGTGGATATGGGGAAAGTGAAAGTTAGATGTTTAGAAATACTGTAGGTATGCTACGCTATTCGTTTTAAATCAGTTTAAATCTATAGAAAATCTAGAAATACTCGATTTCTATCAACGCATGAAAACTTAAAATTGATCATATCTACTCAGTATCATTTCTTGACCTTCATTAATCAATTTTGGTCATTGTTAATCAACCTTACTTTATTAGAATGTCATAATATAAATAGAGACTAGCATTTATCTTTATAAGTATATCAAAATATATTAATTACAGTTGAATTTGTTACTTTACACTTATTTATATCAATGGATAATCATGGCCATAAATTATTTTAATGTTCTTAGTAACAAAATAAAAACACAGAATTGGTTAGTAAATGATTACTGTATTATTATTCTTACTTGCCCTGATATCATGTCTAATATGGTAGAATAGCCAAAAGTAAATCAAAGGAAAGGGAAATCTTACTAAATAGCCAATTAAATCTGATTCACTTTTAATAATCTACTACAATTTGAAATTTGGATAAAATAAAAAATGAAACTAAGTAAACTTGAACAAAATTAAAAAATGGTGGATTAAATAGTCGACTCAATGTTAGTAGTACTTGTGGATAGGATTAATGTTGTGAGGCTTGAGTGAACTAAACATATATTTAATACAGGTTTCTGATCTGAAGTCAGAAATTCAAAGATATATTAGTTATATAATATTTAATTTTATTATGAGACTGCAGAGAAATCACTAAGGAGCCATACAAATATTAAAAAACAAGTTGGAATCTTATGAACACCTTCAAAAATAGCAAATCTTGTGTTAGTTATTTCCAGATGCTCGAATGTGATTAATATTTGACTAATTTATTAGAAAATGGATAAAACTCCACTTGGATAAAGTAATATTAACAACTTATCATTTGAATTAAATGCTCTTTAGTTAGAATCAAAAGCCAACTCATGTATATTACATAATAGAGGGTGAAGTGAGATTGGAAGAAACACAGATTGAAAAAAGGATGCCTAAGAATAAGATGTTGGCATCGACCTGTATGGCAAAGAATAGAACGTTGCTAATAAAGTCTGCTGGCTCTTTGGTTGGAGTATGAAAATCATTTAAATTTTAGGAAATCGAAGCATTGCTTGAAAAACCTTATCAAACCACTGCCAAAAGCAATGTTCATTATAGCAAGGTGCTCTTGATCCCTGAAGCTATTTACATAGACTTGAAAAAACAAGATTACTTGCATTAGAGCCTCGAAACACAGCATCAAAAGGATTAATTAATCTTGAAGAAGATCATCCAGCTAAAACGAAGAAGATTGGAATTGCAAGAGATTTCCCCTGAGAGAGACTCCTCTTCCTAAACCAAGATTAGTCGAGAGGACTTCATAGTGCAATAAAACAAAAGAATACAAAAGAAACAAAATTTTGAATTCATTAATTTAACGCCAGAAGCTCCTTTGTTTTCTGTTAAAAAACTCAAGAGAGTGGCTGCTCCTGATGAAAAGCCAGAGAACAGAACTCGATCTATATCCGCTCCTACTAAAGCTAAAATGCTATCTACCATAAAAAGCATTAACAGCACTGAGAAAATATTGAAGACAGAGGAAGTTGTACGTTCTCGTGCTAACACTATCAATCTTGGGGAGAAGGGCAGACCTGGTTCTCGAGTGATTTGGTAATAAATATTTCAGAAACTTTGATTTTTATATTTATATGAATTTAATGTTTAATTTGGAGGATTTATTGGCAGAAGATGAAAATGATCTGAATGATGCATCCAATCTAGAGATCGATGATATCCTAAATGAAAGTGACAATTCTATAAAAGATTTGAACATTGAAAAAGTAAGATTATGTTTGAAAATCCAAGGCTAATTAAATTTTGAGCGAGAAAAAACAAAAATTAAAAGTGACACTAAAGGGTGAAAAAAAAGAATATGAAGAATTAATATTGAAGTATATTGAGTAGGAGTTCGAATAATAATACACAGAAGAAGTTAAAATTGAGATATCCTCAAATAATGAAGATGAAATAGAACCTCAATCATTAATTGATTAAATTGACAAATAAGAGAGAATCATCAAGGAAACAACCTTGGAGAATGTAGAATTAATTAACAATAATATCGAAATTGAAAATATTGAGATCCAAGATTTACAATTAATTTCTAATCAATTAAAGAAATTATCTGGTCAGCCTTGTCTCCTTGCTTTCTAATTCAATCTCTTGTCAATAGGAACTTCAATTGGTGAGATTTTAGTTTATTCTGCATCTAATGATGATTTCATTGGTATTTATATTAACTAAGCGCAGTTTTGAAATACAATTCTAAAGTCAGTGCAATTGACAACACTTAATCATTTTTAGTTGCTGGCTATGAAGATTGCGCAATCATCTTATGGGATCCAAACACTAAGAGTCAATTAAAACAAATTAAACATTAAGAACCTTTATTATCATTGAAGTTTTTCAATGAAAATTAATTCATCATTTCTGATTACTTGGGCTAAACCTCTATATGTAAGATCACCAAAATGCTCTGGTCACATTAGATTGAAATAGAAAAACTGATGCCAAGGTAACCATTATTAACATTCATATAGACAGATCCATCCATTTTATCAAATTTCTATTTGGAAATAGGAGTATATTGCCTTCTCATGTTTAGAGTAAGTCATAGTGATGAAAGTAGATTAGTAATCATAAATTATAAAACGAATCAAAAGATAGATAGACGGCTAAACATATCCTTGTACTAGTTGGGGATAATTTACCAACACAGAAGAATACACTGAAATGGTTGAGATTGCATTAGCAGTATCTTGGGGAACGCATATTGAAATTTACATTGTTGAAAAACAACAATTGATTTAAAAATATTCTTTTATTTTAAATACCATTATTTCTTGTAATTGGTTATCTAGGGATATGTTAGTAGTTCTGACTAAAGAATTTTAAATTGTTACTTTAAATACTTAGTTTTTTAATAGAGATATCATTACTGAAGATTCTAGAAATACACTAAGAAAATAAATGAATTATTTGTCCAATAAAACAGAAAAAGCAATTTAATCAATCACACCTTTAGGAGATATAATGAATTTTCCATTATAAATTAATAATGGCTAATAAATGGTCTCTGTCTATGTGAATTGCATTACTTCTAATGCTAGATTCATTTACATTCTGACTCTCCCATTAGTTAAAAGGATTAAACTGCAGATGTGGTCGGATTATTTGAAAGTGATGATAGATAAAGCAGAAACTAAATAAAATTGGTATGATATTTTATCTTTTGGAATTACATTATATTGGAATTAAGTCCATTGTTTTGCACTCCCTCAAACTACCTATGATTAAAGGGTAGTGTTTTCTGACATTTCAATAGATATCTGCAGAACATTTATTAATCTAGTTGGATAAAGTATTGAGTCGTAAAAGGTTTCAGAATAATTTAAATACGAAGAATGGTCTTAAACTATATGTTAAGCTATTTAATATTGTATTCATTGCAATTAACAGTAATATATCTTTACTGGCATGAAGACGCTTTTAATTAAGTTTCATCGATATTCGTAATTGTTGGCATCCTTAGAAGAATTTATTCTAACTAAGTAAATTAAACAAATTCCAAATGACTTACTACTTCAAATATCTACACATTATAAAGTGATAAATAAATCAGAAATTGTAGAACAATTAATATTGTCATTAGATCCAAAGGGCTTTGATATGACTACTATATTCTAAATTTGTCAAGAAAATGACCTATATACACCATTAATGGTTGTCTGTCCTCGTATTGATCATGATTATATTACTCCATTATAAAAGATGTACTCCAACTTTTTGAAAACCAAGAATTAAATCATGTTATTGAAATCGCTATGGTTTATTCAATTGACATTTCAATAGATTTTATTCCCAAATGAAAGGATTCCCTAAGATAGGTTTTAACATGCTTTCGAATAAGTCATTATGTGGTTGTTAATTGAAGACATTTTAACGATTTTCGGAATTCATTTCCCAAAAGAACTTTTCGAAATTCTAAAAATTGCTATGAACTATTCCTCATATTTCAATTCTCAATAATTATAAAAGTATTTCAATCACCAAAAACCTATCCTAGTGGCTTTTATAAATAAAATTTATTAGAGTTTGTCATAATTAATTGTCACCCATCATGCTTTGGGGATTGAATTTAGTAAATTTATAGGGTCAATAAAGGGTATGGTGCTTTATGAAGAAATATACGTAAGATCATTAAAACATCTTGTATCTGATAGTAAGAATTTCTAATTAATAATAAACATTTTGGAATAATTTGATTTGAAACCTCTTTTAAGAAATGAGCTGTTTGAATTGTCAAATGATAACTATATTAAGTCACTCTTTGCTCCTGATATCTATAAGTAGATTGATCTGTGCTTGATGAAAATAAATAAAAAGTATTTTATGCTTTGGCTTGAAAGACAACTCAATTTAAAAAGAGAACAAACTTTAAAAGCCTTGGATTTTTACTTTGATACTCTTTTGGGAAATAGTTAAACTTTGCAGATCCTAAAATAAATAGTCCCTACCTTATCCACCTAAGAACAATACAAGTTGATGAAGAGAGAGTAAATTACTGATGGATACATGGAGTTATTTCAGTCATTAGGGCCATCTAATAAAGATTTACGAACCTTATTAATCACAGCATGTTGCATTCACACACCTCATCAGGTTTTAGATAAGATTCATAATTTTGCTTTGGATGATTTGGAGATTATATTTTTAGAAACAAAACACAAAGAAGGGTTGGGATACATATATGCAAGAGTTGGTAAATTTGATATGGCTATGAAATTTTTCATATAAAACTTGCTTGATTACTTACATGAATGCTTTACATTATAGTCTTTTTCAAAGGAGATTTTGAACTTGAAATTCGATTTGCTATTTTAGACATGCAAAGACAATCTATCTCATAATGATAAGAACACATTTTTAGAAATAGGTCATCAACTTTTCAATCAAGAGACTCATTCTCAGATTTGGGCTTTATCGGAATAAATCACTAAACAAAATTATCAAAATATGATACCAATTTTATAGGTGATCAATACAAGACTGTGTGAATTTTACAATTTTTTGAGTATTGAGGAACTGATTAATTTGATGGAAGAACAAATAGAAATCTTCAGATTGGTGTGGATTAAATGGAGTTTTAAGAATTTGATTTATGATGAAAGAGTAAAGTATAGAATCTAGTATAAAAGTTATTTTATTGAATTGCAAACGTACCTTGGATTTAAGTAACAAATATTTCATCAAAATGTATAATATGTTACTTTTCTAGGCTAGTAGTCCAGAAATTTAGAATGTGTGTAGTAATTGCGATGAATTGATTACGATTGACTAACATCAACACATTTTAATTAGAAAGTGTTCTCATTCAACACACCAGAGTTGTTTATAGTAGCCTTTCTGTCACATATGCAATCCGAAAGTAAAAATGCAATTGGAGAGTGTTTTAGCCAATAGAAATGCAAGTGATGGAGTTGATATGAAAAGAAGACAAATTTTGATAAAAGAGAATGAGATCATGAAGGTACATTATATGAATATAAATATAGAACCATCGAAAATTAGAGGAGCAGATGGAGGATTTGTAATTAACAGCAGAGGATATCCGGATTCATGAGGAGAAGAGGATAATCCATGATTTAGAAATTTTTGATAAATTTTTTAATTTATGAGTTAGAATACACAATACTGATCATTTTGATACTTCCAAGAGCTTCTTCTACTCTTCTTGACTTAACATTCCAAAGATAGCTTAAACATTTTGTCCTTGGGTTTGTTCAAATACTTTCAAGGCACTTGAAATCTTTGTATCAATAGCTTCACTAGATCTCTTTGTCTTGTAGGAATTAGCAAATACTTTGAGAATCTAAAAAGATATTAATTTAAGATAATACTTGTAAAGCATTTTCTGGTTTTCCATTTACCAATTGATTGCAATCTGCAATGACAAAGTCTGCCAATTATTCGTGTTGAAGACGAGCTTCTGGTTTATCATATTTGAGAGGTAATAAATGTAGCCAAGTTTGAAGTCCTTAGGCAAGATCACCTCCTAAGGATTTTGATTGATATTTGATGATTTTTCCTAAGGCAGCGATCGAATTGTCTCTGGCATGTCCATGTTATTTTTCTGTGTCGTCTTGGTTCTTTTCGACCTTTAAGGAATCGACAAGGGCTTTGGATAACATGGGAGCAACATTGATGTACAATTACTATTATGATATTTAAATTTAATATACCTCTGGTGTGTTGAGGGCCATGATACCAATTCCATAGACGGCAGCCTATCTGACAAAGCAAACCTTATCAACAGCATAAACTGTCAGGGCTTGAGCGAAATCATTGAGTTTGCCTTAGACATATGGGTATCCCAAATATTCGACCATGTCATCAATGAGGAAGATACCAAATTGGTGCATTTTTGGAGATTAGGTTGGGTCCAAGACTTTGGGTAAGATTTGATTGCAAATGACTTCATATAATGGTTAGACTTAATCTTTGTGAGTCTTGAAGATGGATCCAATGCATTCAGCAATTTTAACATGGAGTTCTTCTTCAGTTTCTGTTTCCTCTTTGATGACAGTCTTTTCGTCTTCGTCAACATCTTCTTCCTTAGACATCTTCTCATTCTCAGCCTTTCTCTTGTCTGATTCCAACAACAATTTAAAGACTTTGTCTGAAAGTTAAGTGACCTCGTCGGTTGTCATGAATGGTTGTCCAACGATGTCAATGATTTCTTTGATGCAATCGACTTATTCAATGATGACCATGGGATCGAATTCTTTTTCAGCAGCTTCCAAGATGATTCCCAAGAAGTATTTAGCTCCATTGACCAATTGTTAAACATTGTTTGTAGCTTTGACATTTTCAATGAGACTAACTAAACATTTGCAGGCAGCACTTCTAATGTTTTCGTCGGTATTGAAATTGCAGAGAGGCACGATCAATTGAGTGCATGAATCAAAGTAAGGGAAGAATGATTCTTTCAATTCTTCAATGAACACAGATAACATATGAATGGCCACTTCAGCTTCTTCATTATCATAAGTGTGGAATTCTTCATCAGCAGTTCCTGTGTGTACTTTGAATACTTATTGAACCAATTGGAACAATGATGGGATGATTTCAGGCAAGTAAACTGCGATTTATTGAGGACAAACCAAAGCCAATCTCTACCATCCAGAGAGAACGTATGATTTTTGAGGATCAACGGCTTCCAATTGACTTGTTTGAACTTGGATCAAAATTCTGACTGTTTCAGCCAAAAATGGTTAAAATGAGGCTTAACCAACAGCTGAGGCTATCAAGGTGATGGTCTCTATTGTCTATCCCTTCAATTATCTATATTCCTTGTTTTGATGATTCAAGAACACCTAGAATAACAATGGAACGATCTCATTAACGTAAGGAAGGAATTATTATTTGCTAGATTCAGCTGTAGCAGCCAAAGTACTCATGGCATTCTCCTTGACAATTGAAATTCCATTGTTCAAATATTGGATTGTCAATTGGATGAGGTTTTGCAAGTATGATTCGATTCCCTTTTCAGTTCCTTCGACAAAATTGGTTAAGGCAGCCAAAATGTGGGATGTGACTCTTGGAACATCTTCAACTTACAATCTGGTTAAGAATTAGGGCACTATGAGATGCAAGTAGCTTTCCTAGAATTTAGGCTTCATGTCATCAGCTATTTGACCAATGGCATGACAAACTGCATATCTAATCATAGGATTTGAGTCACCCAACATGGGAGACACTAAATCAATGATTGGTTTGACTTCAGCCACTTCCTCGATGTATTCACCAACTTATGATAATGCCAAAATGGCAGCATATTTATATCTCCAATCTTAATGTTGTAATAATTAATTAACAATTGGACTTAATACTGGTAACATCTCCTTATCACCAATAGATTCGATCAGTCTATCAATTGAAGACATACCGAATCTTGTGGTTTCACAATCTTCGTCTTGTTGGATATCATCGTTGAATCCTTCAGCTGGTTTCATCCATTCTTCTGATACTGTTTAGCTTATTTGGATCATGTGGAAGAAGATCATCTCTACCAATTGACTGAGGTATTATTTGTCTTGTTTAAAGACTCTTGGGAATTTCTCAGCTAAACTTATCAAGGTTTCTGTTCCGATTCTCTTTAATCCTTATTCAATTTACGATTCTCTGAAGATGGCTGCAATTCCATTGAAAAATACGTTGATTTGCTTTCTAAAGAATTTTGGCTCGGCATCTACGATTTCAGAGAAGGTTTCCATGATGTCTTCACCCAAAGATTGATCTGCGATTGTGACAGACAATGCTGATTACATTAGATTGGGGATGAGATCTTGGAATACTCTGTATTACTTGGGTTCAGATGTTGTTACATAATTACCAATTGCTTAGATTGTGGCTGTTTTAATCTTTTGATCTTAACTAGCAAGACCTTAGATGAACAAAGTGTGAAGATCTGCTTAATGCTTATTGAATAGATCAATTGCGTAGGTGAAAAGATTAGCTAAGATCTTGAATCCACATTCAATCAAGTCATTTTTTGGGGACAAGAACAATTACCACAAGGTTTATAAGAGATTGGGCCAAGAATTTTTGGTTTCATCTTCAAAGAGTGATCCTCCTAGTTCTCCTATTGTGTCACACAATTGGCTTCTCACATTCGAACTTGTTTCGAGTTCCAACAATTAGAACAATGACACTTTAACTATCTCCTAGGTCTCAGGAGCAAGAAGGCTCCATACATTTTTATGACTTTTGGGGGAATAGTTACTGAGTGAGTTTCTCAAGTACACTGGAGCAAACTATCTGATTTTTAATTCTTCATGTCTGCATAGATGGAGCATTGCAGTGACAAATTCACTTGGCTAAGAATCTCTATATTAGGCTAGTAACTCCTCTGCCTTTTATCTGGTGGCATTATCTGGCGAGAACACACCATGGATCACATTAAGAAGCTATTCTTATAAACTCATTGTTTTTTTATCACAAATTTTGTATTTTTAAATATTAAATCATAAAATTTATTTAAACATATAAATCTCGATTATTCGATTATTAGAATGTTCTTTATATTCCCCTTCATTTCCAATAGGCTGTCCCCATCACCTAGGCCTATTTTCAGACTCAATAATATATTATTTTGAATATTCCGCAAATTTAATTAATTATTTAGAATTTTAATTATTCAAATGCCACTATGAAGTTTATAATAAGAATTAAACTCAATGGTTTTTAATTAAAATATATTCTAGTTGATTTAATTGCTGTTAAAATTAAATTTAGGCTGCCCTATTCCTATCATTAATCAACAAGAGAAGCACAAATAAAATAGAACTCTCTTGGGGGCCAATTTTCATATCTCATCTCTAGAATTTCAATTTATTCTTATTTTCTAATTAAATTTGATTTAAATTATTCACCTTATTATTCAATTTATTTTTCATCTTCAAATTAGGGAGTGTGAAATTTTTAATACAATCACGAAAATAGAATTTTAGATTAATAGAAATAATATATATATAGAAATAGAATGAAGAATAAAACGCAATGTTTATGTTAATTAAATTTTTTGATTTATTCTGATCTATACTTGAATTAATGTTTAACAACAGATTTTCATAATATGATAATTAGAACTTTTATTATTAATAGTCTAAGTAGTCAATCTAATTGTTAAAATAAACATATATTGAAATAATAAAGTTAAATTTTACTAATATGTATTTATAAACAATCACCATTGTTCCTAATTGATTGAAATTATCAAATCTTCATTATTATTCTGTTTCAAAACTCATTGCTTAAATTACACTCTATTTTATTTATCATCATCATCACTTGATTTGTTTGTACATTAGAATTCTATATGCTAAAATAAGGACACTAAAATGCTTTTGATTAACAATAGTTGCTTCGAATTTTAAAGTTTCATTATCCAAAATAAGTTCTTTTTATTTATTTAACTAAAAAGTTAGAACAAAATTAATCGAAACGCTCTATTTCTTTTTTTTAAATTTTGGAGGATTATTGATGAGACCTAGCATTTTTTATTTGGTAATTAATTCTTCAATCTAGGTAGTCAATCATAAAGTCGATTTATTATGTTACCATATATCCTATGAGTTAAATGATTCTTATTGTCATTAATGAAATCAACTTCAATATTACCTTCCCTTAAATAAAAATATATAAATTTAAAATTAAAATGTCTGCAGCCGAAATTCTTGTCCCTGCAAAATTTGTAAGTCAAATGGTCCAATTAATCATAACATGTGTCATCTATCAATCACAGGTATCAAATATATATCATCTTAGTATGAAAATTTGCTCAATTATCCAAATGATCAATTGGCTGAATCATCGTAAGTACATTGTTATTAAATCAAGCTTATAAGCTGGTGTCACACTCTCGGTCATATTTCTAGCTGTTGAAATGATAATCCTTTCCACAGGATGGACTATGCATTTTGAAAAAACAATTTTAATATGTATGCGAATAACATTAATTTTTTATCTAGAAATATTATTACATTCTCTAGGTTCTGTAATTTTAGCATGGTTTATATTGGATTCTTGGGATTATGATTATATTTGGGCGATTTTTAGTTTATTTTGCTTACTGCCACTACTCTTAGAATGCAGTACTATTGCAAATGCAATATTATTTCGTAGATCGATAATTCGTTCAAAAAGTTGATGATAATATAATTTATAAAATTAATTTTAATGAATACCTAAGAGAATAAATGAGTTAGATTTCAAAAGGCTTAACATTTTTTTCTATTTAGAAACTATATGGTAGAAGAATAAATTTGAATATAATCTGAAAAGACTATTATCTCCTTGTTAGAGTACTCATAGCTTTATTAATATATAAGCTTTAATTATAAACTAGTATTCTTGTAATTGAATTATGATTAATTCTATTTAAAGTTATGATTAAGCCTTATAAAAAAATAATATGCAAATCATAATAATATGTTTGATCCCATGTTTATCCTTCTAAGATATGAATGAAAATAACATTTTATTGGCTAACAAGCCTTAAATATATCAAGAATGTTAGTATTTAGAAAATAGTAATGATATAAATATGCAAGATTATAATTTATTTCTGATGTTATCTATAAAATCATAATGTAAAAGTTGTTACAAATTAGATTAGATATTAATTTTTCTTACTTCAGTAAATGTGTATTTGGAATTAAATCAAATAGAAATAAGGTAACATTTTCATAGAATCTATAATAACAGCTACTCTTTACTCAGGAAGAGCGACAGTTGAATTAGTAGAATTCAAATTATTTAATATATATAATATCGATTTATAGTAAAATTTTGTTATTGATAAATAGAATGAAAGGTATTTCAAAATTTGTGTACTTTTATTTTATCCTCCAAGTTAGTTGTTTTATATTCAAAGTCAATTTCATTTGTTTGTCCATTACACATAGTCACTGCCCTTTTTCTATTAATATTTCCAAAAAATTAGGAGTATAAGGTGTCTACTTAATCCCTAAGTTTCAATTAAGGTTAAATATTATTAATTTCTCTTCCTTAATCTGAGATCATAAAAAATTTATTTTCTTGTACAACTTTAAACTCTATGACTGTTTTAAATTTATTAGAATGTAATCTAGAGTTAATAGACCTACTGATTTCTGGCTTCTTGAATTCTACATTATTTATTGGACATTATATAGCAGACAAATGAAGTGGAGTCTTTTTTTGTCTCGACTTGCCAATTTGCTTGTATTTATTCTATATTTATTTAAAGGCATATGAGATAGGTTTGAGCATTGGTAATTCAACTGATTTTTATTCTATGAACCTTTAATTTAATTATTAATTTTGTGCATGTTAGGATGGTAATTTGGTGGTTGGTGCTTAAAACTCTACATTAGAGTCTTTCCTTTTGCGCCAGTTTTAAATAGAATTCTTAATAGAGAGATTTCGCATTGCTAAATCGATCTATAACCTATCCTGTAATTGTCCTCTTGTTTTACAAGAAAATGCTTAAATTTTAAGCCAATTTACATCAATATTCAGCAATAGCAGCATTTGTTTTTATTCATTTAAATAAAGTATAGAATTTAGACTACTTTATTTATTGGTTTATTGCTGAGTTTAATCTTGATTCATTTTCTGAGTCATTGTTTAATTAAACATATTTTCATTATAAAATTAATATTATACTATGTATTTTTACTACTATCTTATTATATTACTAAATCAAAAATATCATTCGATTTTAAGGGTTACTTCATTTCCTTAAATAACTTTATTATTTTTTGAATCTGTTTGAAATTTTTGTTAAATCACATGAGAAATATCATTATTTTCCAAGTAAGCAATAAAATTCATAGATTTTTATTGAATATCGGTCGATAACTTTATAATTTTAAAGTCGGGGTGGAACAAGACTTTCAATTAATTTTTTCCGTCCTTGCATTTTTATACCTTAATATATATCTATAAACTACATCACAAAAATATCTATTTGGTTCTCTGAATTTTTATTAATTGAACGATATTTCATTCAGCTTTTCTTATTCGGTATATCTTTGTTCGAATTGAATCAATTGATCTTTCAATTTAAACTATTTAGATTCATCTTCACTTCTGATTTTTTCAATACTCTTTTCCAAAACTATTTTTTACTAAATTATCATATTTAGAAGTACTTCGTCTTGATTTACAAGATCCTTAGACATTTCCTCTATTCTTGATATTAATTCTCTCTATATAGCTTATAATTTCTCAATTTAATCATTTTTTTCTGTAATTGTAACTTAAATTTGTTCATTTTACTCTTTGACTATTTTGTACGACTGCTAATCCATTTTCCCCAACACCTAATCATCTTCACTCATTTTATTAGTATAATAATTAATAAATTCTATCTATTTTAGATTATAGAATTATGAAATTAAAAATAATAACTGATATTGATTATAAATCTGTTTAAAATTATTTTGTGGATATAATTGTGTCAACTCATTCAGATAGTTTTTGATTGATATATTCGATCAATCTATCAACTATATCAATTTCAGTTTATCTTAATTATTAATATATATTGATACCTACTAACTTTTTGGTTGCTATATTCTGAGTCCTCCAATTCATTGATTTTGGTGGCATCTTAAATGTTCAATTGAGTAACTTCAACCAAAGCATTTGAAATATTAATCAAACCATCTAATTCGTTGAGTCTTGATTAAATTTCCTTAAGTCTGTTGTTGGCTGTGGCTAAGGAGACTTATAAGGTTTATTTTTCATTTCTCAAGTCATCACCTAATCTGCTCAAGTTTTCGACCTACAAATGAAAAATTCTATTTACTTAAGTCTTGTGATTGGCTTCCAATTGATCTTGTCCCTCTTGTAAGGCAGTAATCAAACGGGCCACTAAACTCAAGACATTATTCAAAGTTTCTGGATTAACCTTGGTTGTCATTTCAGCTAATCCCTCAATGATTGGTTGGAATAAGGTAAGTGAGCTCTTCTTGGTATGAGCCTCCAAAATCTCCTTGATTTTCTAGAAATTCTCTTTGGTTTAGAGGAGATTGCTCTTGGTGTCTTAACTATAATGGATTATTAAAAATAAAATTTACGTAAGTTAAATCAAAGATGCTCCTTCTCCTCTCAAGTTCAAAAGCAATCTTTAGGCTTCCTTACAAGCGAGAATGGCATCACTGTAGTCTTAATATTTAGCTGAGAAATCTGTGTTTTCTGCGTCCAATCTAGATTGAGCATCTCCACTTCCTCTACTGTTTCTGTCTAAAGCGGCTTGATCTGCAAAGTAATGATTAAAGAAAGAGATTACCTTCCTTGACTCTGGTCTAGAGAGTAGCTAACTCGTTACTAAGACTTGATTGTTCTTGTCTTTGATTGTCCAAATCAGCTTATGCTTATTCTAAAGTAGCTTGTAATTTAGCCAAATCAACTTGGCTTCTACGAGTGAAAGTGGCATTTTCTGAATCTTGTAATTGAGTGAGAGCAATGAGTTCATCCTTAATCTATTACAAGAGTTGTTTCAATTCATTGAGTGATCCACCGGTCTTCATGTTGACAGATACCAAATTGACCATTGACTTTCCAAATGGATGATCACCATACTGGGCAAGTCTGTCAGTCATCTCAGTTACAGATGTTGCATAGATGCACGCAATCAAGGCTAACACGACGAAGTGTTTCATTATTTTATATTTAATTACTATGAGTACTCCAAAAACGAATTATAATATTATGTTAAAATATAAACAGTAACGACTAATAGAAGATGAATCCTAACCCTACAAATTAATGGTATCACCTGCGATCTCATTTATATAAGGTTTAACAACATAAAATGCGTTCCTCAGAAAAAAAGAGACCTCTCAGTCGTCAAAGAACATCATCTGTAAATAAACCTCAAGCAGACATTTTGGTTGAAATCTAAAACTAAAATGAAATCCTCACCAAAGCCATCAATTCTCTCAGAAATACTATCGAATAGTTTAAAGAATGAATATTCAAGATTTTAGTATACAATTATTGTACTCCTACATAACAATTTGCAATTCATTAGACATATACTAATCATTTTAATTATTATTAATCGTGTGTCGTAATACCGAAAATATGATTAATATTTGACTCTTCGACTTCTTAAATTGTAATAATATTTTAATATAAATGGAATATCCATAGAACTTATTGACACAAGGAATTAAATTCTCAATCATTGGAGATAATGTTGTGCAAGTCGTTCTACTCCCTGGGGAATAGATTAACACTTAAAACAGCTACGTGCAATACTATTCAGACAATATATCAATATAAACTAAAAAATCATATTTCATTACAGAAAATCAAGTGACAGTTCTAAATACTAGCAAGGATAATATAGCTTATGTGGGGATAAGTGCTGCTAATGGGAAGGTGATGATTTTAGATGCTGCTATCTTTAATAATTATCTAATCAAAGAATCATCAATTATAGCAGCTAATGACTTTACCGAAGTTGGGCAATTCTTTCATTTCTAATCCACTTATTAAAAGATTGTCTTTACAAAAGATCTGACGAAATAGCAATTAATCTTTATAAAAACTAATGGCACAGTCATTGATAAAGATCTTGGAGATGGAGAATCCATTATTGTGCCAAACAATTCAATTTTGGGTATACAGGACTTTGTTCGATATGAAGTGAATTTAAAAGACACCACTAAAATTAAGCTGATTGGGCCTGGTAACTTTTTGAAATATTCATATTAGGTAGAATTCTATTTGAGATAAATAATTAAACTTTGGAAAATAATCTTGGTTTGGTAGGAAGGAAATATTTAGCAAAATTCTTTATGATTATGTCTATGGTTTTCTTTTTAATTTTTGTAGAATTAATTTTCGATATTTGAGTATGAATTGTATTTTAGATTATTAAACAACATAAATCAAATATTTCTATATATAATAGGAACTTCATTTTCTTATAATCTATTAGCTCTCATTTGCTTAATGATCAAAAGATATATTTTATATTTTGTTTAAAGATTGCTTTTTTATTGATTGTATTTGAATGTTAAACAATCACTCATAATCCATAAAACAACTTTAGGATCACTTTAATTTTAAAACGATATCTTCAAAATAAAAATTTTGATATTCTAAATATTAATGACCTAATCTTTATTTTAATTCTGAAAAGTTCAATTTGAAAACCTAAATCTATATTAACACAAAACAACTCTATTTTCAATGCGACCTATCATGTGAAAATATATATGCAATACCACATAAAGAAAAATTTCATCATTTCGAATGTAATATTATTATTTTTTTATTTTTGGTACTCCTTAGAAGTAATTGACAACAATTTAATATAACAAATAAACTAATATTCTTATAATAAACTTTTCGTAATCCTATCAATTAAAATTAAACTATCAAAGATATTGTTAAGATTTATTCGTAATAATCAATAATTGAAAAACTTAAATTTGATGGCAATTGATCTTTTAGATTAATCATAATGTTCCTTTAGTATGAACCTTTAAAAGTTGGAAATCTTTAATATTTTTGAATAGGATTTACACGATACCCTTGATTTAGGATATTATCTTCAATTGGATTCCAAAAGTCTATAAGGTATTTACTCCATTTATTATAACTAGAAATTAGAACTCTTTTTATTCATTATCTAATTTATCTCGTTATTATAAGTATACATAATTTTATTTAAGAAACAAGAAGATTTTTATCTCAATCCAAGTTTTGAGGAGAAAGTGGAAAATAAACCTAAATATGGTTATGATAATTGAATATATTATTTAAATTATATATAATCCGTTTGTAAGTGAGTGATTGCAATAATATTAAAACGGCTACTAGAGACTTGATGTGAATTGGCTTAAAAAACTCGATAATTAATTTAATGAAAAGTGTGTTCTTATTAGTTCTTGCATGCACAGCATTTGCAACATCAGAAACTGAATATATTTAATTGATTCACAGAATAGATGCAACTCCATTTGGAAGAACATTGTTTGATACCATTTGGTTATAGTTGGAGACCGGAGATCCTTTGGATAGATTACTAAATACTTTGTCTGATTTGGAAGACAGATATTAGCAAGAGCAAAGAGAAGATGATGCAGAAAATAGAGAATTTTAGGACTCATGCAATGTTGATATAGCTGCATATGACAAAGATATAGCTAATACAGATTCTGAGAGAATCTCTCTTGAAGCTAGATTGGAAGGAGATTTGTATCCAAGAAGAGCAATTATTTCTGGATTGGTTACAGCTAAAAAGGCAGAAGTTAAGGGTATAATATCAGTATATTAATCGATTAGGATATCAAAAGGAAATTGACGACTTAGATGCTGAAAGAGCTGCTTAACACGCTGATTTTGAGGAGATTGCTGCTGATCACAACACTGCCATTGCCGTATTGACTGAAGCCAGAAACATCATCAAGGCCAATGTTGAAGCCACTTCCTCATTAGTTCAAAAGAAACAAACTCAATAAGCTAAAGAAATGCCAAAAGAGCATATTTCCTTATTATAAAAGCACATTAAGGAATCCTAAAAGAAATTGGCACACACTAAACACATGCTTAGATATGTTCCCGTCCTGAAACTTTTGAGTCAAATTACAAGCAAAGCCAAATTTGATGATAGCACTATTTAAAAGTATTCACATTATCTTACATCCTTTAGAGTTGTAGATCTATTTGACAGATTAATCAATGAAGTTAGCGATTCTTTAAGTTTACAAAGATTTGCAGAAGACAAAAGAGTTGAAGCATACAATAAAACAAGAAAGTTCTTGGTTATTGCCTTGACTGTTGCAGGCAGCGAATTAGCTAATGCCGAATCTGACTTTGCTAGTGTTTCAGATATTATCAGACAAGTCGAAGCTTCATTAGAAAATACTAACTAAAGATTAGAATTACTTAATGAAAGAAGAACTGATAGATGGACTCAATGCGAAGAAGCAGCTAAAGACTATGCCGATGCAAGATCAGCTAGGTAAATATTGTATTCTTATTTTCATTTAGAGATGCTGATAGATAAGTTGTTTCAGATACTATTGGTTTGGTTAACAAATCTCTTAGAACTCTTAGAGAATAACTCGCTCTTAGACAAGCAGCAGGAGATAATATTTGATGATTATTCATATAATATCAATATATCATAAACTTATAATTAATTAAATCATACAAGATTAGATTTAAAATAAACTGCTACTTCTATGAGAATCTCAATAATAATATTCAATCAATATGTAAATATATATCAATCAAACCTCATACCCTGGCATTCTTTTGTAATTTATAAAATCCATCATTGCACACATTTCACCAACTGACCCCAACATCAAACTGAAAGGGTTATCAGACATCCCAACATTGTACCTATCATGGAATTTAAAGTTCTTCACCTCATTGAAAACAAAAGGATTTTATTTGTACTATAGGAATTAGAACGCATATTTTTTCAGTTTCTCGTTTTTGGTTACCTAATATAATTGCATAAATCCATAGCTATTCCCTGGTATGCCATGACATATCCCATATCCTTTCTTTATCATACCGTATATGTACAAGGTTTCTGACATGTGAATTGCAGTATTCAAGTATTCTTGTTTATTAAATATCTGATATGCTTTCAAATAAGGACCTATTGCGCCTGGGATTCCATGACAAAATTGGAACAATTCTGTGCTTTATAAATCCTCAGCTGAAGGTGGAATATTACCCTATTTATTATAGATCTTTGTTAGATAATCCAGAGTCAATTAAATAGATTCAAGCATTTTTAGGGTAAACTTCTCGTCTTTTAAATGAAAGTATTCTTTGGCTTATTCATAACTCAACAATAATACTTGAATAATTCCTAAAATTCCATGAGCACCACCAAAATAAGTCTAATCATAAAATTTACATTTCATAATTCCTTCGCCACAATTAAGAATGATCATCTTGCATAAATTAAAGATGTGAGAAGTTAAATCTAATTGATATGGTCCTTGTTCTTTGGAGTATCTTTGATTTATCCACAAGAAGATATATAAATATCCTGGGATTCCATATAACAACTCTTGTTAAAATTAATTTGGACTTGCCATGATATTGGCAAAGATGCTCAAAACCTAGGAAATATGTTTCGAAAAGTTCTATTAGTCTTTTTTAATGAAATATAGGTCTGCACCCAATAGTGAAGTAGCTATGTTGCTCATCAGAAATGTAATATTCCTATCCGGTTTTAAGGCTACTTGCATAGCTTCAAATTATTTTTGGGCTAAATCTAAATAAGTATCTGGGTTATAAAATTCAGGCAATTCTTAATCACTTAATCCAGAAGTACAAAAGGATTAGAGATCATCTGGAAGAGTTTTAACAAATTCATACATTCTCAAATACAAATACAGATATCCGCCAGCTCCGGAGAACATACTCAAATCCTGTCTCTCCTTTTACTTATTTGAGCATTTATCTGTTAAACAACCAACGGGAACATTTTAACGAAAGTATTTTAATTCATTTACAAGTGATTCGAAAACAGACTCGACCATATTCTCTTCAGGAAGTGGATTATTTAGATGATTTTGTGTATATCTCAATTCCTTATACATTGATATTAATATTTATAATTATATTAAATTGTGTAAAATGATACTTAATCTAAAGTTTATAACTCAATATATCAATGATATCCACGGACTTTATATAATACATAAATTTTCCCAAGGAACGTGAGTAGACATAAAAAGTAGATTGATAATGCAAATCCATATTAATTGTTGCATTAATAGAGATTAGAAAAGCAATTTGAAAACTTTATTATCCTTTTGTTATAAGATAAAAATACCAGTAAAACTCTAATATCAAAGAGAAGATCATTCCATAAGTATAGAATTAAAGTTACTAATTATTCCATTTCCTATTTTGATAAGGGATACTTAACAGAACTAGCATCAAGCCCAGAAAATCACATCTGGAAAATGCAATGTTGATAGTTATGAGTAGAACTAAAATCCCCATTAATTTGAAATTTGGTTGACTCTTCATCTATTCAAGACTAACAATGAATGCATCGGGATCACTTTCGGAATGCTTGAAGATGTTAAAAGCATCAGGCAAATTATTTTATAATTGATAGTCTTATTGATATTCTGGAATTTATTGAATCTGTATTTATTCTTGTTATGGCAGTTATTATTAATTGAAAATTGGCTGAGTATCATATTAAGCCTTATTTTCTTATTGTTGAAACGATTTATTTATCTAGATGTCCTGCTTGTACGCTGGTAATAGAGAGAGCGATAGAGTTTCCTTCTGCTTTAAGTTGCCATTATCAAAGTTGTATAATTGTTTCATAAAGTACAATTTTCGCTTAATCTATCTGATTTACTCAAGGAGATTGTTGACATTCTCTTCACAAAATTGCATTTACGCTTGAATGTATTCATTCTAAAGGATATAAAAAATGATAATTTACCCAATTATTTATGTATTCAAAAAGAACCAGGATTTCACCGATGCCTTCGAATATTAGCTACTCTTGGTTTTAGAAGTCTTATTGCAAGTTTTTTTGGACTCTTATTTTGCCCAGGGACTATTTTTAAAGTTAATATATTTCGATTAATTCAACTGAAATTTCTATTTGATGTACTTCATTAAGAATATAAGTAATTTTATCACCCCAAACTGGATATTCGCAATTCAAGCTTAGCTTGCTAAATCTGTCATGTCCATCAGAGGCTTCATTGCATTGAAAGAGAACTTCAATTTATTTGGATGCTTTTATTATGTCATCCTACTATCTATACAATTAGTTTAGACAGCCCGATTAGAGAGTAATTATTAATTATTAATGGTTTGCTACATTAATTTGTTGCTTAAACTCGTCTTCGCTTGTTCTAATTTGCTTGATTTTGATTTCTAATGATTTAACTTAATCTTTAAGATTTTACTCTTTATTCAGATAACCGTGAGTGAACTCGTCTTTGGATATCTTTTGATCCTAATTAGTATTCAAATCATTGAAGATCTCCTGCACTAATTATTAATCACATCCTTTCCTTTTCAAATGCAATTCCAATTCTGCCAAAGATAACCAACCACTTTAATCGACATCCAAAGCTTTGAACTCTGCCTCAATCTCCTAGAATCTCGCTAATCATAAATGAAATCACTATCGTACAATGATTAAAATTCAAGTCCTACAAGGCAGAGGGGTATTCTTCCAATTTTTGAATAGTCATTCTTTCTGGACTTACATAAACTTACCTTGACATTTTAATATTAATTAAAAAATGGATCGTTCATCCTCAATACCTCGTTCCAACTCATCAAGATATATACCATAATCACAACCGTCATCCTATAGACAGACAGCTGCATCAGCATAGTTGTCAAACTCCTAAATGAGATTTATGAATGATTTAGTTCAGCAATAGCCACCAAGTTAACGACAAGCCTTCAATAATCATCTTGAGCAATTAACACCTCAAGAAATTAGGGAAATTTAATAGAGGTTAGAAAATGGAGAAGAACTGCATGGATTACCATAATTGCCTCAAGGAGCAAACATGACTCATAAATTTATTGTTAAAGTTAGAAATCATGAACTACCAAATCAAAGATTTCCATCAATCAAACAATCCCAATCACCTTAACCGAGAAATGCACTCTAACAATGTCCAGATTGCATTAACCATCTTAAAAAAGTATACTGTTAAATAATTTAAAATAGTTAAAAGAATAAGATAATAGGATAGAATCATTATTGGTGGAAATGAATAGAATGAGTTAGTTCTTGGTCGATAAGGGCAAAGAAATTGATATGTGGAAACAATAATATTAGGCAATACAGAAAGTATTTATGATCCTCTATCTAGGAACTAATTAAACCAAAAACACCTGATACTCAAGATAAAAAAGAAATTGAAGATCTAAAAAGAAAACTCAATCAAAAAGAATATGAAAATTAATAGCAATAAGCAAAAATTAAGTAATTGTAGAATAATCAACAACCAAATAATGATAATTTTGAGTTGAGAGGAGGTAATAATGATGTGGATGTCGATTAATTACAAAAGGAGTTATTTGATCTTCAGCAAGATAATGAAATACTTAAGCAAGATAATGATAGACTCAATTCAAAAATTGAGAGACTACAGAATGAATTATCCAATAAAAAGAGTGAAGTCACCCCCATTTATAGACCAGATCCTGAAACTGAAAGACTTTTCAAAGAATTGTAGTCCAAATACAGCATTTTATAATCTTAATATTTCACATTATAAGAAAAGACTTAGAATGTTCAAAAGGAGATCTAATATGAAACAAAGGTAATTTATCAAACAGATCCAGATATTGAAAAGCAATTGTAAGAATTGCAATCCAGATATACACTATTACAATCCTAATTTTATTCACTTTAAGAAACTAGTAGGATCATGCAAAAGGAAATGCAGTATGAAAATAAAGTCATCTATCAAAATGACCCTGAAATAGAATAATTACTTTAAAAAAAAATCAGACAATATGATGAATTGAACACTAGATACTAATTATTGTAAGATTAATTGCAAGTCTACCAAGATAAACTCAAATAATAAAGTATGTATGAAACTCGCACAATCTATCAACCAGATCCTGAAACTGAAAGATAATTATAATTAAAAATTGATCAATACAATTAATTATAACTGAGATATAACTAATTGTAAACCCAATACTACATCATTGAAGAAAAGGCTAAATTTGTTCAAAAAGAAGTTGATCCTGAGGTTGAAAGAATTTTGAAAATTAAATCTTAGTAATTAGAAACCATGACAGCCAAATGCACCTTGTTCTAAGAATAAATAGAAAAATAATAAATTTAAATTGAAACGTATAAAACGAAAATCTATTAATTCGAAAACAGAAAATCAGATAGTGAGAATTATCTATTATAAATCCAATCTCTTAAAGACTAACTCAGAAAACAAAATACAGATATAGAATAATACACTCGGAAAATATACTTGTATGAATAGAATACTGAATAAGATTAAAGTGTGAAAAGATAGTTGAATGATGTTAAGGCTTTGTATGAACAAGAACTATCATTAAATTAATAATTAAAAAGAAAAATAGATGAATTCAAAAACACTCAATAATAATACGATACACTATAATATAGAATTAAAGAACTTGAATAATTACTAATATCAAAAGAAGATAGAATTAAATAATTATAGTTGGAATCAGATTAATATAGATCAGACATTGTAACGTATTAGTAACGAATATCCACAGTATCTATTAATATGGAAAATACCAACTCATTGAAAGAGTAGATATAAGTCTGGAAAGAAAAATATGATAAATTAGAATAAAAATAAAAACTCCTTATCGATTAAGAAGTTAACTAATGGAAAATTAGATACGAATAAATTGAATAACGATATGTAGCATTGCAATAAAGTTATGAGACAATTTAAATAACTTTAAATGAATATAAAGAGAATCAATAAAGTGAAGTCTATAAAATGGAGATAAAGAGATTATAAAAAACTGTAAGTTATTTTTTCATCTTGATAGGTCATTGAATTAAGAAGTGAAATAGATAAATTATTGGTCTAAGCATCAGACAATTAATGGCTTTAAAAAAGATATGAAGAACAATAATTATTAATTGAAACCTATAAATCTTAAATTGAGTAAAAACAATAAATTTAAAAGGAGTATATTTATCAAATTGACAAATCTGAAAGTAATAGTTAGAAAGTAATAAAATAATCATCAGTTTAATAAATAAATATAGAATCATAATCTATTTATCCATAACAATAAATGAGAGCCTATGAGATGAACAAAAATTAACCAAGAACTTCAGAATATAGCAATTATTCCTCACGACCAGTTGAATTAAATAGTTCGAAAGTAAAAACGACTTATTCACAAGCCTAATTTCTGTAACCTTTAACAAATAATATAAGTGATACAAATAAAGTAAATTCAATAACTATTTTATTAGAATAAAGTTGAATAAGAGTTTAATTCTTAAAGATGGAACAACAATTATGAAATGGTGATAGATGAAGTAACCAAAACAGATAGATGGGTTTAATGACTAAATTATATATCTAAATCTAATTTTATATACATTTAAGGTTGTGACTAAATTACTATAAAGTCTTAAATAGGTTAATTTAAAATTAAGACAACTATAACTTTGAAACCATAAATTAAATGATTAGATAAAATACAGAAGATTAAGATTGAGAGAGAGGATTGATAGGAATAGAAAAACATTAATCAATATATTAAAATGGTCGAATTGAAATCTTGATAACTGATATTAAACTCCAAGTATTCTTCAAAATTTAGAATTCTAGATTAAAAATATCAATCAGCTCGACTCAATTTTAATAAACATTTCAACTAACTCTAATTATACATTCCACTAATCAAACAGTACATAATATCAATAAATCTAAAAATGAATTTAGTAAAGTTGAAATTAGGAATAAATTATATTAAAATGGGATCAAAAGGATCTCTTGATTTGCAGATAACTATTATATAATTTATCAAGTAATATCTATTCTGCTTTAGCCATATAGCCTTAGATATAAAATTTCTTATGGCAGATTTATATATGATGTTAGATAGAAATCTCAAATTAGTTCATAATAATTTATCAAAGCAGTTGCACTTATAACTTGGATTTTTTGCAGGCAAGAAAGTTTAGAAATTCTTAGGCTATGCAATTTCTATTGAGAATAAAAAATCAAAAGTAAAAATGTTTTAGCTTGAACTCATTTGGAAAGCTTAATTTAGCAAATTTTTCATATTTAAAAGCTATTAAAGTTATGAATTTTTACAACATTTTTTGTCAAAGTATAGAAAAATTGATATTTGATATATCGAATTACAAAATGAATAAAATTTAAAAAATCCTAAACCAAAACAGGAGAATAAACTGAACATCGCTTGGGAACCCTAAGATAAGGGTTACTAAGATGATTTCAGTTACACAGGTCTTAAAATTTGAATGTATTAAGAAAGAGAATATTATGTAATCCTATTATACATGATCTCTTACACAATTAGGAATCTTAATCACTATATAATAATTGGGATGACGATGTATGTATTGTATTCAATAACTTACTCTAAGCCATTATCACAGGTAGAGATTTTAGTGAAAGAGTGTATGTTATACCGAGTATGTACCATCATCTGAGGGAAATCTTTGGTTTTAATAACAGTAATATTGATAGATATTTTTATGATTTTTTCTTTGAGTCGAAAGATCTTTAGTTGTTATGCACTACTTCTATGCATCTAACTTCCTTATTGCATTAGTAAACGATCACAATAGTTGAAGCCAACATATTGACTTAATTTCCATGTAAAAGAATGAGTCATTTCTATTGTATTACTTGAGTAAGTTAAATATGGAAACATAACAATAAATAATATTCAGATGGAAGCAGATTTGCTCAACTAATGTGCTGAAAATTTCACACTGTAAGCCTAACATCAAAAAATCAACTATGGTGTAAAGAATAGGGTGACATGATTCTGTAAAAATATCTTACCATTTGTGGAGTCCAATTGCAATAACTTTAATACTAAAGTTCCAAACTTCTTATACCAATTGATCACCAACCAGATATTGCTATAATCAATCAAAATATTAATTATGTAAAACTATCCCATAGAAATTGTAAAGTCTATGCTTTATAGTTGGTTCAAATGAGAAGTTTAAATATCAAAACAAATATTGGCTAGTTGCTAATAAATGTTTGGGTTAAGAAATTTAACTAAAATAAATATAGCTTCTAGTTTTACATAAAGGAAAAAGGTTAACAAATTCAAAAAGCGATCTGAAATAAGGCTACAAGAAGTATAAAACAACTGCATGGTTTCTAAGGAATTAGCAAGTACATCTGATTATATAAAGCAAATATCAATAATACTGGAGAAAAGTGAATCTATATTTTTCAAGGATAGACATTTATATTGTTGGGATGGCTAAAATATCCATCAAATGACCTTAAATAGGCTATCAACTCTAAATGGACAGCCTTTCATTAACTATCTGGCTCTTATTAATGAATATTAGGGGAATACTTAGGCAATGGTTTTATGGAGAAAATTGAGGTAATCTTAATTAAAATTAATATTATGACATATGAAATCAGATTCCATAAGCGCTTTCAAAAAAACTTAAATGGAATAAGTAGATTCAATTTATAATTGCAATAAAGTATTTAATTTGAATTTATTCAAATAATTACTTACTAATTAAAGTTCACAAAATTACTTTCAATACATAACAAGCAATTCCAATTCTTGTTTTTGGTTAGCTGTTAATTTGATTTACTTATGCTAATGAAAATATTGTGAAAATGATTAGTAATTTGTGATTTCTGATAATTCGATATATAAATAATAATATTGATATTTGAATGTTTGGATGTCTTGTTAGATTTTTTTTCCTTTTTTTTGATTAAGATAAATCATTTTTTCGTAAAAAAATATAAACTAAAAATATTTGTAGTATTTAAATAATATTTAATTAAGAGAGCAAGTAAAAGTAGTTCTTTAGGAGGAATTAATTAGTTTACACAACTACTGTTTAACACTCCATTGCAAAAATACTTCTTAATATAACAAAACAATACCATAGCCTTTCTATAATTTTTGTATTAAAAATATTTGGAAAATTAAGAAATAGAAGTAAACCTAAATAAATAATATATTTACCTTTATTATCTAATGCATAATTACTTTTGGATTTAAAGAAATTACTTCCTAATAGCATTTAATTGCTTCTTCATATTAGTTCAAATTGTTTAATGCAATAGCTAAATATTAATATTAAACAATAAATTACCCTTGTTATTCCATGCATTAACAAATTTAGGATGAATAAATATTACTTTATTGTAACATTTAATTGCTTCTTCACATTAGTTCAAATCATATAAAACATTACCTAATTTTTATATTTAACAATAAATTA